TCTGATAGCACTTGTTCAGCCTCGAAGAAGTGTAAAGTAGGCTGCTGTAGTAAGTATGGCAGCTGCGGATTTGGGCCCGACTTTTGTGGACCAAAGACATGTCTATCGGGTTGCGACTCAAAGGCAGAATGCGGGAGTGAGTATTATCATAATATTATTTTTCTTCTTCTTGTATCAAGGCTAACGTTCCCTAGAATATGCACCCAAAGGGCAAGAGAAGTGCCCGCTGAATGTATGCTGTTCCAAATGGGGGTATGCTTTTGCTCTGATAAACCCCGTACACTTTATATTGGCTTTATATAAATGTCCTAATTTGCTCCTATGCAGTTTCTGCGGCACCACAGAGGAATTTTGCGGTAAAGGATGCACTAGCGGGTGCGGTACCGTCAAGAGGCCGTAAGTGTTACCCAGAGTTGAGTATAGCAGGGCTTTTGTATCTGATCTACCCTGCTTCCAGATCATGCTCTGGCGGTACTTCTGCCACCAAACGCTATGTGGGATACTTTGAGGGCTGGAACTACGAACATCCATGCGACACCATCCACCCTTCAAAAATTAACTACAAGCCCTGGACGGTATATACTATCCCTACCTCATATGGCTACTTCCCCCTTAACTAGAGGCTAATGTTCCAATCAAGCATCTTAATTATGCATTCGCTACCATCAACCCGGACCACACCCTTGGTACAATGGGCTATTATGACGAGGAATTTTACCGTGCCTTTACCAATTTGAAAACTAAAAAACCATCCTTGAAGTGTTTCCTCTCTGTTGGGGGATGGGATGCAGGTGGCAGAGTATTTTCTGTAATGGCAAACTCCGCCGATTCCAGAAAAGTCTTTATTGAATCTGTCGTTAAGACTTTAGAGGAGTTTGGGTTCGATGGCCTAGATGTCGATTGGGAGTATCCTGTTGCAGAGGATCGCGGTATGGTTTCCCCATTTCTTTCTTTTATACCTTCCGAAACATAACTTATTATTTCACATAGGCGGTTCCAAGCCGGATTTTAAAAACTATGTTTCTCTGTTAAGAGAACTCAAAGATGCCTTTGGGACAAAGTATGGGCTTAGCATGGCAATTCCAGCTTCCTATTGTTAGTATATAGAATTATTTTTATTTCCTCTGTGAGATGTTGTGGAGCCTAACCCACCAACTAACGCGTACCCGATAGGGTATCTTAGGGGATTTGACCTCAAAAATATGGCCAAGTACGTCGACTGGTTCAACGTAATGAGCTACGATATCCATGGGACCTGGGATGGTCATAGTGCATGGACGAAAGAAGTTATTAATCCGCATACGAACTTAACTGGTAAGTGTATTATAGGTATAAGTTTTGAATGCTTAGGTTGACTTTTTGGAAATAGAAATATCCTACGGCCTGGATCTGTTGTGGCGCAACTCAGTTCCATCTGAGAAAGTTTTACTTGGTCTTGGCTTCTACGGGCGGTCCTTTACTCTAGGTGATCCAAGATGCAATATTCCAGGCTGCTCATTTAAGAGGACTGGTAATGAAAATTCAGGCGGAGCTCGCCCGGGCCGCTGTACCTTAAACAGCGGGACGCTATCCAATTACGAGATTAATAGAATTCTGAAATCAAAGTCACCAGAACTGGTTTACAATGACGAGGCTGGGGTCAATTGGATTACCTGGGAGAATGATCAATGGTAAGCTTCATTCCTTTATATTTGCTCGATACCTAAGAACACTGGATATTTTTGATACAAATGTAAACTAGGGTTTCATTTGATGACTCGAGAACATTAAAACAAAAAGCATCCTTTGCAAATAACCTATGCCTAGGGGGCACATTTGCTTGGGCTTTAGATCTTGGAGGTCCTGGCACCATGGGTCGGCCCGATGAACTTAACGGCAACACCCTTAGCCTTGATGGTGCGGACCTAGAAGGTGGAGATAGTGGATCCGGGGATGTTTATATCTCCCCTGAGATATATACGGTCCAGAACCCTGGAATCGCGTGTATACCTCCCTGTACCTTCATCATGCCTCGGTTAACACTCGATAAAGTCACTACAATCACATTCCCCCTTTACACAACTTCTTTGGAGGTGTTGTGGTGGACAGCACAGGCCATCACTCTTCCTGGTGGTGCAATTTCAAGCTCCATAGGGTCGATGAGGACTATTCAAACTACAACAATTACTATCCCACCACTTATAACATCTGTCCTTGACATGTGGCATTGGCCAGTTACAGAAACAGACCTCTCCTCAACAACATATGTGGTAGTGAGCAGTATTTTACCACCGCCATTTATGATCACTAATAGCCTGCCTTCAGATGCCGTTGCCCCACCACGAAATACAGGGGCAGGTGGCAGTCAACCTATGAATGGAGGTCAACCTACACAGGGTGGTGGCCAGCCTACACAAGGTGGTGGCCAGCCTACAAATGGTGGTGGCCAGCCTACACAAGGTGGTGGCCAGCCTACAAATGGCGGTGGTCAACCTACACAGGGCGGTGGCCAGCCTACAAATGGTGGTGGTCAACCCACAAATGACGGTGGTCAGCCTACACAAGGTGGTGGCCAGCCTACAAATGGCGGTGGTCAACCTACACAGGGCGGTGGCCAACCTACAAATGGTGATAGCCTGCCTTCACCGGGCCTTGCACCTGCTATTTCAAACACTAGAGCTCTCTCTTCCCCAGAATCTAGTGTGGTTGGCGGCTACACCTCCGATAGACAGGCTACTCAACCATATACATCCGATAGATCAACATCTGGGGCATTACCTCCTCCAACACAAAGCAAGACCACTGCCTCTCCTGGTGATAGGCAGAATGCCCCATCAAAAACTGGTCGTACCTCCGATGAGCCAACCACTAGAGATTTTCCATCTCAGACCTCTAACAAGGATATTGATAACCACAACACTCAGCCAACATCTAACCGGCAATCAGATTCAAGCAGCATGGGCGGTATCATTCTTCCACCGGGTAGCAAAGGCCCCCACGAAAGCGGGCTCATTTCCAGCCCTCTTCCCGGATCTCGGATGTTCACGCCAAAACCGCATCCACTTAGCGGAGAAACCGACAATGGCAAACTGCCTACTGTCTCGTTTACCAGTGGCCCCCCTAACCCTACTTGCACAAAGGACTGTGGGAAGAAGTGTCAAGGGGCCTTTTGTGATTGCAAAGGCGATGGCTGTAATAACCATGGGAAAGACTTCATCGACCCAAATGACCCAAACCCTCCTAAGGACCGGGACCGCCGGACATGCTTCGGCCCGGAATGCAAAGATGGGAAATGCGAGCTCGGGCTCCTTTGCAGCAATTTTGATTGTGTTGGTCCGGATTGCCATGATGGTATCTGTGTCGGCATTAATTGTGCCAGGATTCCATGTGTAGGAGAGAACTGCCTACCAGGGTGCAAGGGACCCGGATGCGAGACCCCCGGGTGTATTGGTGAATGTGATGACGTTGGCGAATGCGTTAACTCTAAGTGTATGAACTTTGGCTGCACCGGACCTGACTGCTTGCCACCCTGTGAGGGATGCCCACCGGTCTGTACGGGTCCTAACTGCAGGTCCTTCAAATGCCAGGGGAAAAGCTGTAAAAACGGGTTTTGTGAAGGGCCAGACTGTACACAAGACACCGATGAGTGCGAAAAGCCCGAAGCTGCACCCAGATGCACAGAATCCGTTACCAAATACAAACGGAGCGATTCGGTATACTCTAGCACTACCACAACCGAGTGTTCAACGGTGACAGCCTGTTCAGTGGAAGAAACGACATTCACAACAACTACCACTATTGATAATGGAGAAATAATCACCGTTACAGAGCATTACCCAATACAACCACTACTATCCGATGATGAATACAAATCTATTGCATCGAAACTTCATCGGTTACGAACCAGCCGGGACAAATCTCGCTTTGGGGCTACTTTCACCACCGAAGATCTACCGACTCACACAGTGACAATGACCATCCCAACATACACTTATGCTCACGAGCAAGACAAGGGCAAGCTCAGTTGCAAGCATACGGTCGGTGTTGCCAACCGCAAAGAACTGATTCGAGGAATCAGTTTCTTTTGTCAGAAGTTTGACAGGCAAACTTTCAACGGAGACCAAGAGGGTTTCACGTACTTGAATTCTTATTCTCCGGTGGCAGTTATCCGTGGAGACTGCGGTAGTGGGAAATGCAAGTCATACGTGAGGTTTGGAGTGAAGGTAAAACGAAATAACAAGTGCCAGGAAGATTTTGTTTTCAACGGGCGTGGTAATGGTGATGATCAGTGTGGCCAGAATTTCCGACAGATAGTCGACAGGTGTAATACACGAGGAGAAAACGGTAAGCGTAGCGGTTCATTCGCTGTTGGATGCCTTGAGTGGTATATTGACGTTATCGCGAACGGTTCCTGGGAAGCCGACCTGGAGCTACGGAGCAAAGAGCTGAGTGCACTGCATACGACCCTACAAACCGACTCGGCTTATCTGGTCTACACTGGGGTGGCGGGAGAGCCGACAGGAACAGTGCCGTGAGCAGAGGTCGCCCATCTTCTATATCTGTCTCCTTCATGGGTGTGCGCTGCAGAGAGACTCCGTAGGGTGATATAGGTATCAACTTGAAAATAAGGACTAATTATCCATTCATACACAAGCACTTACTAGTCAACTAGCTAACGGTTAACATAATTGTCAAAGGAGGCTAAGACAAGTCAGGGGTTTTAGTTTTAAACATCCCTCAAAAGAAGATTCGGATGAGAAAATTCACTACCGTTGAACCCATTAATATCACGATTGCGTATCGAAATGATGATTGTTCCCGCCTCCTTCTCCATATCCTACTAGCGACAAGGAACCAACTGCCGACTTATCTTTTAGCAAGTGATAAACTTTGCCACCACCTTATGGAGATTCACATAATCAACGAGCAATCAACGCGTATCATCAGATTATGACTCCATCTCCGGAATCCTACCGCCGTCAAGAAACGGTATTTGCCCATCGTCATTGCGATTTACTTTGCTATCTTCGGTAGCTAATGGGCGTGTGAGAATTTCAGTGCTCGTTTTAGGTGTTGCCGGACCGGTGTTGGCTGTTTAAATAACTGCCAACAAAGAGGGCATGCTAATCGTTTGGCCATATCTGATACACAAACCAAATTAGAAATAATTCGCTATTAATCCGGTTAATACTCACGAGTGTCTCCATATCTCCTAAGGCTTGACCTCTTCGTGAATTGTTTGCCACGCTTCTCACACGGAAATGGCATCATGCGTTGGCGAGACGTTGGACTGATGGTTGTATAACTACTAAGCTGACCTACTACTATGTATGTAGGCGTCTGCCTGCCAGTTAATTACATCAGGTGACCTACTTGGTTAACTACATCAACTCTACCAGACGATCGAGACGATCAAAATGGCAACAAGCAGCTAAGCAGCCCGCTCAGATGTCTTTTGGTCTTCCCGCAAAGCTATAGCTTGTCTAGTCTTTACGCTCACTTCCTTTGGTTGGCGAGAAATGGCCATAAATAAAAACTTCTGCCCTGAGAACATCCCTATTGCCATCCAAAAGTTTCGAAATGAGGATGATGAGCTTGCTCGGTTCAAGTCTAATACCCTCACACAACCACTATCCGGCGGCCAATGTCAAATCTACAGGCTCGGATTCTCCGACGATGCTGACTGGGCTATTCGAATACCTATACACTTAAGCTCCTATTCTGAGGAAGAAGTCGTCTCCATACTTATGACAGAAATTAAAATCCTCAAACATCTAGAGAATTGCCGGTTTCCATGGTCACCGAAAGTAATAGGCTATGACGTGACATTTGACAATCCTATTGGCTTCCCATTTCTCGTCTTAAACTGGATTCCAGGCGAGCCTTTAAGTTGGACAGCGACAACGCCGAAGAGAAGAGAGAGTTCTCGACCAGGTTGCGAAGATCATGATATCTCTCATATCATGTACACGCAGAGATGGTTAGCAATTCATTCTAGCAAGGCAGGGAATTACTGACTTATTTAGGTGGTTCGGCGTTGGAGTACTTTACGGATAAGGTCGACCAGAAAATTATTAGAATATGTCAAGGCCGCCTCCCCGAACTCGAAGTCAACCATTGCCTCCATTTAAAATGCGTACTCCCAGAGGTCCTACACCCCGAACTAGATAACGCTCCGTCGTTCATCGAACATGGCGACATTTCAGCTAGAAATATTATTGTGGACTCGGAGTACAATATCAAAGGGTGAGGTTCACTATAACTATACGTCTCTAAAATAAAGCGCTGCTGATATCTATCTTCCATAGTATTATCGACTGGGGTTTCTCTAATTATCAACCTTTCCAGCTTGCTGCTAGTCTCCCTAGATTCCTAGCAGTAGAACATTCTCCTGACCTTGAGCTATATCTAATGTTACAGAAAGACCGAGCAAACTTCCTTAGAGCATTGCGGCAGGAATTGCCAAACTGTTCTATTATGCCACTACTGTTGAGGTTATATTCGGCGCCAGACGTTGATTACAGAAGGCTTGTTCTGGAAGCGGTTGTTAGTAAAGGCCGGCACAAATGGTTTGTAGACAGACCTTTGTTATACTCCGATACCCCGGTAGACCTAATGCGGGAAGTATCTGAATTTTTTACAAGGGAGAGCGGCCGAAAGAGCGGGCTCCATGCCGCTGCCTTGATGGAACGTTTGGAGCGTTGAGAATAATTTAACTAGATTTGGCCATGCTGATCTCGGTCTACTCAATACATATTTATTTTGTGCGCGCGCTCAATAATGCATCCAGGTTTTCATATATGAAGAGCGGTGCCATACGCAGGTAGCGGTGCAAGTTGAAAGCGGCGCAACGACAGATGTCGTCCAGAATCAAGTTATCACTCTCCAGAGTTCGTCCAAATTCACATACATGCTTCCTCACCACAAGCCGGCCAAAATGTTAGTTGGAGATTACATGCCTGGGCACTCTTAGGCCCTTCCCACCCTCGAGGCTGCACGCACAAAGTTCAAAGCTATCAACGGTGATAGGCTTGTGAAGGATGTTTTTCGGCCATTTTTATCGACGGTAGAATAGAAAGATGACTTGGCCTCCTCTATCGACATTTTGACTTGAATGACGACAAGAGGCTTGTCAACTACAACGGCACCTCTCTTCCTTGGCCTGCTCCCACCCAGGGGGTAGAGGAGCCCTATATATCTGTCTGGTCTAAGGCCGCCGACGGCACATTCCGGCCTAACGAGTATCGTTATTCTCAGGACTATAAGGAGGCGGCAATCGACCTAGCAGAACTCGGTTTTATAAAAGAGTTCGATAAGCTTGTTCAACGACACGACGCATCGGACCTCTTCGGCCTTTGCCTCTATCCAGGAGATGATTTCGAAGGTTCCTGTGAGATTACTGTGGGTAGAGCTAACATCAATTTGAAACCGGCAGATGTAAGGACTCCTTCTTTGAATGTTACTTTGGATCCTAACGAAGCTCTGCAGTATCCTAGCGACCTCTAGGTAGTGGATACCGCATGGGTTTTCTCTGTACCGCTGTGGAATCGTGGTTGTAGATGCACTTACAACGCTGGGGCTGAGAACTATCCATACTTACGCCGTCTCGGGTAGCCTCAAGAAGTTCATCGGTTTATTATGTATATACCAACATTGGTTCTTTGTTACTTGAAATACTCACGTCGATTTAAATCCCTTCTTGAACAAGTATATCCTGTCCAAATCAACTTGATATGCTTGAGAGGGAAGTTTTTAAGTGGAATATCTATAAATCTGTGTCCGGATCCGATGGGAAAGGCCTAGATACAAAAATAGCGGGCATATAATAAGTTGAGCAACCCAGGTTACTCCCTCGTCACGAAGCCCAGGTTAATAAATTCTTGGGCCAAACAAACCGCGCTCAAAGAGGCGTATGAAGTCCAAGAAGTTAGAGGGAATTCGGGTGAGTCAGCAGAAGGAAAAGCGGCGGGATTCGCGGCCTAATCTGGAAAAGCGGACGATACGAAACTTCATATTTATACCCAAAAATTTTCTGGGGCGTCAATAACAAACACCAAGATACGTCCATCTCACCCAGTCACTCGCTTTGTATATTATTGTCTTTCGTTACTTTACCAGACATGGCATCGATGACCACCTCTGCTGCGTTGCCTTCCGGCAGTGTCGTCTGCGGCACAACGCAGTACGACATCCCTATCCAAGATGTCGCCTGCGCCGTCCCAAACAAAAACAACAATTCCGACCTCTTGAAGAAGTGCTGCAACGGCGCTCCCGTCGTGGCATATGATAACGGTTGTGCCATCTACTGTCTGGCCTACAGGCAGAGTGCCAAAGACCTCACATCCTGTTTATATGATGGCAAACTCCCGTATCAGGACGCCTGGTGCAACAGCAAAAACATAAATGAAACCGCCACCCAGACAAGCCTTCCCAGCCAGACTGCCTCTTCCGGCGAGACCTCGTCGCCAACTTCCTCCTCGACCGGGCCTGGCTCTCCCAAGCCAACTGGCAACTCAGCACCAGCTGGTCGGTTCAGCACGGCATTTGGCGTCATCTTTACTGTCGGTATCATCGTCGGCATCTTGGTATAAAGACCCTTCGGCCGTGTACATTCGATGATAACGCTTCAACAATGGGGGAAGTTATCTTATCTTTGGGAACATTCGGGGCCCTATATGGATCGGTGGCGGATCTCATGTATTCTATCATTACGTTGATTTTGGGGGTTTCACTGTGATAATAGGGACGCAGTACATAATTTGGTGTTGACTCTACATAATATTTCGGAATACAATACATGTATCTTTCTTTTTCACCGTGTCACACCAAACGGCCATTAGTCGTGGGCATTCTCTTCTATATACAAGTTTCGGGCTGGGAGTCTCAACCTGTAGGACTCCAACTCCGTCTCGACGCATATCTTGAGCTCCGTCGAACTTGTAGTTGCACTATGGAATAGATCTATAACTATATCAGTTATATTAAGAACGAGACAAAGTCTATCACTGAGCTATACTCCGTGGGTTGAAGCCGATTGCACGGCGGGAAAAAGGGGCCTCAAGGTGTATACAAGCACCTCGTCTGTAGTCATGTGACTGCTGTTTATTAAAATACCCGCGGGCTTTTCCAACCTCAACGAAAGGCCTGAAAGGTGACAAGAAGCAGCCTCGCAGGCTGGTTATATTAACAGTGCTCGCGGCGATATTAACTGAGACTTGACATGGGCATTCTATTTGATACTGGCATGCCTGCATATTAGCTCACCTTTGTATTAGTTACTGCTCCTTGTGCTTCGCTGGCCGACGTTTACTTATAAGGCTGCCCGAACCTCTGTTACTTCATTCATATTCTTCACTAAGGAATACGTCACAACAGAAGAGCAAGGCTACAAAGGACCCGGCCTTTTTGTCGTCGAGCTGGTTCTTATATTATAGCCTTGTCCTTGCAGGATTGTCTTGGGCGAATATATCTACTTTGGCCATTTTTACAACAGCCTACAGATCATAACTTGCCCCATCAGCCTATTATTGCAGTCTAAGGCGAGCTTTACTTTGATACATATTGCCCACGATGCTTTCTATGTGAACTAGTTACAGGACAGGCACTGCGCTCTCCTGGGGTTTTCTTTCTTTATATCTCCCATACACATCCACACAAACAAACACTCGTGTAACCGCAATGGCACAAGGCAGCACAGCTTTGAAATCTCTCAGTGCTAATCCTCCACACAATTCTACGAGCGCGGAGTCGGTACACACCTATGTCTCCAGCACTGCTTCTGTACATGAGATAACTACTGAGCCTCGGGTTGAAGTTGTCGAGGAAAGATATGAAGTGATTCCGTCAAATGCGGTCCCTTCCACCCCTCCAAGCTTTGGGAATCTATTCCCTTCCTCCAGAAGGCTCATGATAAAGCATGATGATACCACGCTGGACGGAAATATGAACCTCCGGATCACTACTCTTGCAGCAGAGTCTCCCGGGCGTCAGGATGAAACGATACTGTTCCACCTGCGTATGTACGATCTCCATGATAAAAAATTCTCACTCCGTCGATACTGTCGGGATTCGAGGAGGGAAGTTTGCCATTCCTTGAGAAAGTCGCAGGTGCCTAAATCGAGACCAGGTTCGTCTGGTCACAAACACATGAGCAATCCTATTTCAGGGTTTCTATCCCATGCAGGCGCGGGCACTAGGCCATCAAAGGGCCTGAGAAGACCCGACTCGGGATATAAATCCGGGTTAGACGAAGATGAGCCCATTGGCAGTGGGAAATATGCGAGGCCAACCCCTTCTCCCAACCGACCCTCATCCGCCAATATCATCCAGTTGGAGTTTTCCAACTATGCACATGTAGAACTCAAGAGACGTGGATCTACCAGCTCAAGACGGTATGAGTTCGAGTACTGGGACGCGAAATATCAATGGAAGAAAATAACCCGGAATGACGGTCCGTCTAAGGAGATCTCATATCACCTCTACCACCAGGCGACGTCCAATCCAGTCGCGCACATCATTCCTGAGCCGTTGACGCCCAGAGAGCTATCAGTCGAAGCGAGGAAAGGGGCATGGGTCCCATCATCGTCGATGTGGATTAATGATCCAACTCTATACGAGAAAATGAAAGATGTTGCTGAGTGAGTATCTGGAGCCTGGATCTATCCACCTCAGAATTGTTGACTAACAGTGTTGCCTGGCATTTTGCTTCTTCCTCTTTCTCTAGCGTAATTGTTGCGACAGGTCTTGTGGCGTTTGTAGACGACTGTATCGAACGAAGATGGCACTCGAAGCGAACCTCCCATCATGCACCACCCATGGCTTCTTCCTTCATGAGGAGCGTGGAGTCCGTCACCTCGACGAAGTTCATCGACAAGGTTTTTCATCGACGGAGCTCGACCGGATCGAACAATGCTGGATCTTTTAGAGAAATGCTAAAGTCGATCAGTCAAGGGGCAACATATTAACGAACATTCACCAACGACATTTTGCATACTTGATGTATCACGACGTTCGCCTTGCTGTATATTCATTTCCCCTCTCTTCTCCCAAAAATTGTCTTATTATTCTGGAGCCTTGGTTGGTACTTCTCGGGCCGGGTTGGATCAGAATCCATGGTTCCATTCTATCTTTGATATTTTTTTTCCCATCCATATTTTTTTCCCTGACATTTTGGGCAGTTTTTGTCTCCCATTTACGGAACGACTGCATTGTTACCAGGGTGTTCCCCTAGAATATTTAAATAATTGGATGTCAATTGGGTAAACTGTCATCGCTCATCCATGCAAGCGTGGTATCTTCTATTTATTCAATTCAACTAGTTACAAGCTCCTCGCTTTTACATTGGCCCTCCCTCTTTATTTTTTTTGGCGTCCAATCCATCGGGGGATTTCTTGATCCGCTCCAAAACCAAGGCTCCTGATGTCCCTTGAGACACGAATTGTAATGCAACAACGGCCAGGAAGGCAGTTAAACGAACTAATTGTTAATTCCTACCCAACCAGTCAAAACAACAGTCTGGCCCAAGGACAATTCGAATTTCCCTCCTGTAAGAGAAAAAGAACCCCAGGACTGACTCAAGGATGTATCCAATCCTGTCATCTGCAGCTTTTCCCGTTGCTGACATACCATCCGGTCAGGTGTATTGGAATATTCAAATGCTGAGGCTGCAGGCATGAATGCCCAACCGAGACGAAGTGAAAGGAAAAAGAGAAAGCAGCGAATCAGCACATTCAAAAGCATTCAAAGCCTTCCCTGGCCGCGGACTTCTCTCCCCAAGGGCTCCATCTCTCTGTTTCCCCCCGTTGGTGCCGCGTCTCGCTGCAAGTCGGCCTGGCTGGAACTGTAGCAGGCAAGCGACTTGCTTCATCCTACTCGATGGGCGTTGCCTTGACGTGCTTGACCGTCTTGCCTTGTGTGCATCTTACGTTTCTTTTCTTATCCTCTTTTCCTTTTCTTTTTTCTGGCATGGAACAAGATGTGTGAACCTCCGTCCATCTTCCCTGCGGTTTCTCTGCATATTTCTTGCTCCACCCTCCCATATAGGAGTCCAATCCGGATCTGGATTTCGCCTTTTAGTCAGTCTCGATGTTGACGGGCCAGCCACATCTCACGCCTCACGATTTGGCTCCCTGCGATGGCTAGGGTCTATGTATACAATATGCTGGGTGCTCACGCAGGGCGAGCTACACTTCGGCCTGACTGGACGCAGCGCCGAGATTAAATGTCAACAGTGACAGTTCTTTTTTTTTTTTCTCTGGTTCTTGACCGGATGCTTGATACTTGATTCGGGGCCTTTCGCCTTTGCTTCAGTGTACCCAACCGTCCGCCTCGTTTGACCCCCTTCCCATACACATTATAGTCCACACTCCAATTTTTAAGTTGCTATTTGGGGATGGGCTTCGATGCCTCACCTTTTTTTTTTTCTCGCTGTTCGGCTCGGCTCTCTCCTTTTGGGTCTTTTTTCCCTTATTTGCTTGCACGCTGATGAGTTGGCAGCTACATGCTGGATCCTCTTGTGGGTGATCTACGCTGCCCAACTAACTCAGCCGTTTTCTAGGGGATCTCTAGGTACCGAGGAGTCATGTCATGGTCCATGATCTCGATATATGTGTATGCGTGTATGAGAGGGAGAGTTGCGGGCATCAGTACCTAACGCGGAGCGGACGGCTAATATCAACCACCCTCGAAACCTCTACCCTGCTGCTGGCTAATCCATGATTGTTGCTCACGATGGGTTTCAAGTTACCTATCAGTATCTATTCTGCCCCTCCATTTGCGATATTCCCTTGCGTATCCCTCCTTTTAGGGGCCGCTGGTGGGCCCACCAGGTAGCCCACCACAAGTCATACATGCTGTTCTCAAGTCTGTTCTTTTCCTGTCCTCTGTGCTTGCTTCCTGCCTTCCCGGCCCTACCACAGGGTCTGGCTGCAATGCTGGCTGCTGTTCCATGCCGCCCTGTGATGTTCCCCAGATGGTTTCCCTGGCTAATAATGGAAAAGCTGGCGTGCTTTCTGCTTGATTTCGTGGACAACCAGCTGCAGCGGGCCGGCCCATCTCCCCGTGTTCATCTCAACTCCCAATGGGTATCGTTGTTAATTTATACCTCCCCCGTTTTTGACTTTGCTATTCCTCTTTACTGCATCCATACGACCTGTCCTAAAATCGGATATGGTGAGCTAGCCAGCAGCAGAATTTTCAAAAACCTGTGGACCATCGCCTAGCTACTTACTTGTTGACACAATCTCAGAAATTGCACCCATGCATATGCCAACTCCATTCAAACGGCTTTGAAGGCGAACTGCCCCTCCCCCGGCCCCGGGCTTGCAGGAACGTCGTGATCCTCGACATCCTTGATTGTTCCTTGCCCCCCTTTTCTCGTCGTTGGCAAATTTCCTGTGACTTTGTTGTCCTGTGTTACTTTATAACGAGCTTCATTTCCATGGTATATGCCTTTATATATTCGACCATCCGGAATTGAAGAATCCCACAGACAGACCAACTCTTTTGACAGAACAGCCTCCTATCTCTACATTACTCTATACACATTATTTACTTTACCATTTCCAACTTTTGGTTTTTAGATTTTTAGCTGTAGCGTTCATCACAGTGGGTTATCACCTCCCGTCTACGAATGCTCTGTGGAGTTTAAAGCCAGCTGCCAGACGAGGCCACTGCTAACATGAGCTTTCTCCCAGCCATGGCTGCCAACTGTGCCACTGCTCGTGTGTCATGGCAAGAGAAACTCAATGGTATGTCTTTAGTCTCGAGTATATCATAGTCTCTCTATATGCTAACTTGACCATATCAAACCACAGAGCACTGCAGACAATCGAAGCTCCAAGCTCCCGTGTTCAATCTTGTCTCGGACCGCCGAGGTAGCTATTTTACCATTCATCCTTTCTTCTAGCCTCGAGCGCCTCTCCCTCCATTGTTTTCCTATATATCTATACACATACATACGCATATATATATGTGTGTGTATATATATCCCTCATAAAGGCAGCCCGACTATCATCAGAAGGTGTTCCCTAATTTTGGTGACAAATGCCCCATGTTAACTTCTTTCTCTTCTTCGTCCCTGATCCAGGCGGCCGCACAGCATGGTCGAGCAGCGTGAGCATCCAGGGATCCAGCTTTTCCGCCCGTTACTTCTATGCCGGAGAATATATCAACAATGCCAAAGAGGACGCAGCCGAAGTGGCATTCACCCAATTGAACTCGCAGCCCCGGCTGGCTACCGCCCTCCCGGGACAGCTATATGCGCAACCAAAGTAGCCGCGGCCTCGGGCCTTTTATCCGCATCCAACTTCGCCCATCTGGGCGCTAGCGGAAGCCCAGGAATCGACTTGTTAAACGCGGCTGGCGGTGTTGATCCCACGACATCCACTTCCTCCTTGTCTATCTATCTTAACGGCTTCAGGCATCGTACGCCTTACCATCCTTTTTTTTTTTTCCACCACGAGGAATGCTATCCTCGGTGTACGTTTTCAGAGACGTTATTGAAACAATCGACCTTACAAATGGCATTTACTTTTGGATATATGCAACCTAGCCTTTTGGAAGTAAGGTATATCAAACAGTTCGGGCATTACTTTTTTAATCCGTTCTCTTTTTTTGTGACAGGAAATTGGCGGCTATTTCATTCTAATGACTTTCTACTTACTTTCGTTATCCTTCCTGTTCACCTCTTTTTACTTTCTTGTTCAACGGCTGGACTGCCATATGAAGACAGGGCCTTGTCCGCTGGTGTGGCCTTATCTTTCCATATAGCCCTAAGATGGGGGGGAGGGCGCTCTTCACCATGGAATGCAAGGTCGGAGCTGCCAGGATGACGGACGGGTATTTCTCCCCCAAGGAGGGATATAATAAGCAAGAATACAGACAGCCTTCAATCCTTGATATGCATCCTCTCTCTCTCTCTCTCTCCCCACAGGTTCATGGAGACAGGGCCGGATAGTACAACTTCCCGGCCGGAAGTCTGCCGCTTAACGGTGTTTTGCTATGCCAGTCCAGACGTCAGAAGAGCTGCATAAGACTCAGGGATGGTACATACCAGTTGCATTAACTTCTTCTGTCCTGATATATACCAAACGAATACTGGTATATAGCTGATATCTCCGTATATAACTCGGTAGAACCACGAGAATGACATCATGCGACAAAACTCGCTCTCTGTTTTTTCTTTTTTTCTTACCCTTCTCTCCCTCCTGACAGTATGTTTTCTTCTGCGAATACACTTTTCGGAGAACCAGTAAAAAAAAAAAAAAGGTCGCCGGCGCTCCACCGCGAAGGCGTTGGAAGGGGGAAAAAGTAGCGGGAAGAACTTGGAGTAGTTTTTGTGATGCGCTCGGCGATGGCGACCGAAAAAAACACCCTTGCAAGTCCAACCCGCAAGCCAACAGCGCAAAAAAAAAAGAACCTCCCATCGTTTGGCCCAGCAGGAAGCTCGTTATTATAAAATCCGCTTCTCTCTCCCCAGTCCGAAGAGAGTAGCCCTGGCGCCTAGCATGCAGGCGTGCGATCGCTGCCATCGCCGCAAATCGCGATGTGACAAACAGGTGCCCGTCTGCGGACCGTGCCTGAAGGCCAACGTCGCCTGCGTCTACACAGACCGGTCCAAGGAGCCTACATATCGCAAGGAGGTAGTGGAACGCCTGGAGCGACGTCTCAGGCAGTGTGAAGCTACCAATCGTGCGCTGGCTGCGAGACTGGCGGCCGTCTCCCAGCAGAATAGCAACAACAACAACAACAACAACGGCAACGGCTCTGAGGTCTCGGTCTCAGGGCAGAGTCCCTCGTCGACGTCGAATCCCGATACCAGCCCAGGCCAGGGAGGAGGACGGCAGCGGCAGCGGCAGCAGACGAAGCAGGAGGGTGATAATGAAGTGACGGACGAGGTCTCGTTTCTCTCGCTGACGGCTGGCGGTGACCGTCAGTTCCTGGGCTCTGGCAGCGGCGTGCTGTTTGCCAACCTCGTTCGCGCTACCGTGGACGCTGCCCCGGTCCCGATCTCTACTCCGGCCCGGGCATCATTCACTCCACGGCCGTCGCATTCAGACAATCCGGCCCACGGAGGGGGTGGTGGAAGTGTCACCTTTCCGCTGGGCTCGCCAGCCGGGAGGCCAGAGGGATATCAGATCCCGCCGGAGACGTTTGCGCGAGACCTACACCACGCATACTTTGAGCACGACTATCTCTGCTACCCGTTCCTGCATCGGCCAACGGTCCTGGCGGCATTCGAGCAGATATACAGTGACCCCTCGGTCTTGGATCGGGATGTGTACTCGTGCTTCATTTTCTACATGATTCTCGCCATCTCGTCCGTCGATTATCACAAGTTCGATTGGCAGACCAGACCCGATGCCGAAAACTTCCATGTTGTCGCCCTGTCGAAATTGACGGAGGTGCTGCAGTTGGGAGGCATCAAGCCTCTGCAGGCTATCCTGCTGCTATGCCAGTACCGGATGAGGAGCCCCATCCAGGATACCTCGGCAAGTATGTACTTATTTATACAGATATATTTATTATTTTTATTACCGTGGCTAATGGAAATAGGTATGTGGCACCTGGTAGGCGTTGCTTGTCGTATATGCATCGAGCAAGGCCTGCATCGAGAGTCGACGTATCCACCAAGGCCATCGTCCGACCGGATGGACGTTGACTCTTCGAGTAGCATGATTCGTGCAGAGGTTGGCCGGCGGTGTTTCTTCTGTGTCATTGCCATGGATCGGTACGTTCTCTGGCAGCAATCCATTAAAGTGCACTCAATGCTCATTATCTACTTTTAGCGTTGTGAGCAACACTCTTGGCCGGCCCTTTGGGATACGGCTATCAGATACAAACACAGCACTCCCCGATCCAAAATATGATCTCGAGGTAAATCCGCCAGAAAGCAGCTTCCATCCAACTACAGACTGCTTCTCTCGTACAGCTCTTTTCGTCCATATAGTTCGGTACCGTATTATCTGTGGTAAAATCCTCTTCTCCATGGACAACGGCCAGTCGACGCAGCAGGACTCCAACGAAGCCTCCGCGCTGTCAAAACGGGACAGCTTGGCTGCGGAGCTCGAACAATGGAGGCATGACACAGCCTCCCTTAGCCTGCCAGCTGTGGACTTGTCCAGCACGATCCCCGGGGACAGATCGAGTTTCCGCGCTCATGAATGGTATGAGCTATTGTATTACAACGCACTACTAATGCTGTACCGTCCTTCTCCAGCGCTCCCAGCCATTTCGTCAACAGTCCCCACCGCAATCCAGACCATATTTACTGCGGCCAAGCAATCCATCACCCTATATGCCCACCTTCATCGCTCGAGACGGATAAACTACACTTGGATTACGCTCCACGCCGTGTTCATGGCCGGACTCTCCTACATATATGCCGTAGGCCGCCATTTCCGTGCAAAGCGCAGGCTAGCGATGGGCGGAGCTGCTGGCGTAATGCTCGACGAAGACCCTTCGATAATAGAAATCGTCAATGAGACCCGAGCCTGTTCAACGGTCCTGGTAGCTGTTTCAGAGCGATGGAGCGCTATTCGCCACTCGCATGAAGTCTTCCATCGCCTGAGTGATGCTGTGCTCTCCGATGCAATCGAGCTATTAAATAACCCTCCCTCGACAACCACAGCTTCGGGTACCCAGCCTGTTCTCTCACCCATTAAAATAGGGCGGATGGCGTCTCCTACAAGTTTACCCACGTCTCACCTTTCACCCATGGCCAGCACCGGTATGGACCAATGGCCGCTTTCGGATCCTAACATGAGTCCCCAATTAGCCGTTGACTCCGTGCTGCGTGACTGCTTTAGGGATCTTCAGCATATGAATGAGTACAGCTATGGCGATGACCCTATCTGTCGTCTCTCACAGGACTGGCTTGGAGAGATTGGCGGGATGGCCTTGGACGCCGTTCATGTATGGGGCGAGTAAACGCTCTTCCAATGGTGACCTTCAATAAAACCATGGGACATCCACCGATACAGAGTCCGACCTTAATATTGATGAACGGGGAGCAGATATCTTGCAGTCACCACGTCAGCTTATGGCTAACTTTGCGCGCTTACCCGAGGCAGTCTCCACTCCACTGCAAAGCATAGATGGCGCTCTACAAATACACACGCACCAGCAACTGGGTACACTACATCATGGCGCAGAAGAGACTGCAACAGATACTACGAGGGTTATGAATATTCTATCTAGAATTGGGGCTCTTGAATCTCTTTTTTTTTTTCTTTTTTTTTTTTTTTTTTTTTTTTTTGGGATTTTAGTTCATATCTTACGAACAGATTATGAACTCATGGCGATATGTCTAGATATGTTGCTTATTTGCCAAAGGGGGCCGCCGTCTCGTCGGCCCCATACTTTTTTGGTTAGATATTGGCTTGAAGTCAGTCCACCAGTCCTATCGATACATGGTTTTGTATAGATGACCACAATCCATACATCGTTTATTGGACAAACAATTGACATCTCGTATTATAAGCAGTTTCTTCATCGTCCGATTTAATCTTCTATTTGACTGACCACCCAAAATTATGCAGTTAATGTCTATCCTGCATAAAATATGCAAGTCACGTGAATATATGTTGATGACTCGGCTCACTACAACAAAAGACCATCGCAATTATATTCGAGAAAAAGGACTAATTATGTCCTTCATTCTCTCTTTTACAGAGATCTTTAAGCGGCTCCTTGCGGCTAACAATAGACGAGGCACCTATCTCAACTAAGCTGCAAATTCTATTATTTGTTCGGCTTACATACAAGCCCTCATTCATATGAGCAAGTGGATCAGCCCTCACATAAACCAAGAATGCTCGGGGTAGACAACCAGGTCTGGCACGGGGAGCGAGTTCCTCAGATAAATGAGCGGACATCATATTCAGAAGACTGTTTTGAGCTTTGATAGCCTGAGAATTAAACAGTTAATATCATCAAAATACTGAAGTCTTTCCTTGTCGTCACTGATTATATAATCATAGTTGAGGCTGAAAATGCCTTCAGCGCTAGCAGTTTCACGTGACTCACTCTGATTGTGAGCCGAGCAAGAATTGATGAAACGTTCATATTTGAAGCTGATGATTGATTATTGTTGTATATCCAACTAGGAGCTCAAAGCTCAGATGGAAACTGTTTGAATATAGATAACTATTCCTATAGGGTAGACCGAGACCGCTTCCAAATTGATCAATATGCTCCATGACATATATCATAACCAAGATCAATGAGTCTACGGCGCATACGGCCCCCTACGAGACCTAGAGTGCAATCATTGTTATCCAAGCAATTTCCCCTAGTGGGATCGTACAGTAAAGTCGTTATGGCCTCCTCTACGGCCATTACAGAGGGAAAGGACAGAAGAGCAATGCCTTCAGCCTTAACATTCGACCTTGAATCCAAATGCTCGGTAAGATATATATGCATATGTCCCCGTTGACACTTTGCCATAACTCTTAACATTCAAGCGCTAATACCAAGCTCCGCAGACCACCAAAGCCCGCGCGAGTACGCTCCATCTCCCCCATGGACCCGTCAAACTCCCGATTTTCATGCCTGTTGCAACCCAAGCGTCGTTAAAAGGCCTGACACCAGACCAACTTGCACAAACAGGATGCAAGCTTTGCTTGAATAATACATATCATTTAGGACTTAAACCAGGTCAGACTGTACTAGATGAGGTTGGGGGGGCTCATAAGTTCCAGGGTTGGAATGGTAATATTCTAACCGATAGCGGTGGGTAGGTGTCATATATCTCCTTGAAAATATTATTATTTACATTGCCTTGCTGGAAGAGTAAAATCAAAAAGGCTAACATGCTCTTCTACCGAATACAGGTTCCAAATGGTTTCTCTCTTGAAACTTGCGCAAGTAACAGAGGAAGGAGTACGGTTTTTAAGCCCACACGACGGGTCCCCAATGTACGCTTTCGCACTCCACCAGTTGAAATTCTAGGCTTTCCTTACTTCCAGATAACTGCTAATGATCTATATAGGCTACTTACGCCTGAACATTCAATATCGCTACAAAACTCTATAGGTTCGGATATTATCATGCAACTGGATGATGTTATTGCTACAACATCGCCGGATCGCGCAAGGATGCAGGAAGCCATGGAGAGGTCAATTCGCTGGCTGGATAGATGCATTGACGCACATAAGTATCCTGAAAGACAAAATCTTTTCTGCATAATCCAGGGAGGCCTTGACTTAGAAATGCGCCGCCAGTGTTGCGAGGAGATGGTTGCGAGAGACACTCCTGGAATTGCAATCGGTGGCCTATCTGGAGGAGAGGCAAAAGATGAGTTCTGCAAAGTGTTAGCTATTTCACTGCCCACTTTGTCTTGTTCTGGATAACAGTCTGTCTAACTGGCGGATAAATAGGGTCGATGCCTGCACCGACATGCTACCAACGAATAAACCTCGATATGTCATGGGGGTGGTGAGTAAATTCCGGCTGTCTAACATCCCTTGACGTAGAATCTGTCTAACATTTTTCAGGGATATCAAGAAGATCTGGTAGTAGCCGTTGCTTTAGGCGCTGATATGTTCGATTGTGTTTTCCCGACTCGAACAGCCGTAAGATATTCTCTCCCTTACTTATTATACCTCCTTTCAGGCCCTAACGTATATTGCAGCGCTTTGGAAACGCTTTGACACCATACGGAACGTTAGGCCTCCGCCGTGCCAATTTCTCACGCGATTTCGGGCCAATAGATGAAAATTGCAAATGTAAGACCTGTCGACCTAAAGAAGAGGGCGGGCTTGGTATTACTCGAGCATATTTGCACCATCTAGCAGCGAAGGAAACAGTCGGAGCACACTTGTACGTATAAAATCTATTCTCCATCTCTTTTATGTCTTTTAAATGCTAACTCCGCCGGTAGTATCACCATGCATAATGTTCATTATCTTCTTGCATTGATGGATTCGGCTAGACAAGCGATTCTAGAGGATAGATATCCTCAATTTCTAAAGGAGTTCTTTGGGAACCTCTATGGAGAGAAATCAAAGATACCCAAGTGGGCAGTCGTCGCCCTTCGTGGAGTTGGTGTAGATTTACTTGGGTAGAGATGGAGTTAAATGCGTGATGGTCCTTTCTTTGACTATACTGGACCGCTGACGTTTTCTGTATATGTGAGGCCTTCCGGTTATTCTCTACCATTCCTTGATTTATTACATACATGCATTGAACAGCCTAGCGCAAGGAAGGACGAATCCATCTCGTTGGAACAGGTCCATAAAATCTAAAGCCTAAGCCGATACATCTAAAGGGCTTGACAGGTTTTCCAAATGACGGATAACCCAAGTCCGACGTGAAATGGAGAATTCCAAGCACTTGTCCTGCAAGGTGGCGCCATATTAGTATGCTGCTACGGATAAAGCTACATCCAATCCCCGACCCCTCTCACACATCGAGCCTACAGGATTATATTGGCGAGATGTTTCGATTCGAGGCCAAGGAGCACTTACAAGCAAATTAATATGGAATCAGCACTACTAGCACAATACAGTGACATAAAACACAGCCCTAAACTATCACTGTATATTAGTATCTAAACAACAGATACGAGTCGAAGTGAAGAAGCGTGTGCTGCTTACCACGTTATAGTCATAAACCCATGGCCAATCTTTTAGCTATGGTATTTCTCCAGGGACTGTTCTTCATCTGGCTAACCACTTACAGCCACCACCACCCCAGAAAAGGCAGTAATAGCAACAACAACACGGGACGCAACTTCATATTTGCAATGTGATACCTAGAATATAGATGTTGGAATACCTATAGAGGTGAGAGCCACCACAGAGTGATTTAAGTGTTATGCTCCATTATACCACCCAGCCTCCTATATCTCCACGCTTTCCTACGTGAAAAGCAGAGAAACATGAACAGGCATTCCACCCGCTGTTATTCAGTGGAGAAACATGCTACCAGCAATATAAACTGAATATCGTGGAAATGAGCAGCTGACTTTATACGCTTATGTGTATAATCTAAGATAAAGTTTGATAGACTTTGATCTAATCTGATAAGATAAGATCCTAACAAGCCGGAAATAAATCTTTTCGAAGCTTTCTTCAGAATTGATGACTCCAGCCATAACACAAAGCTAGGATACCAGCTCTCATTAATGTTTTCACGGCTGCTGGTATTTCGCTATTTTCCTCGGAAATGCGATATTTCGTCTCAAGGACGTCCTCCTCGGGGATATACGAAATATTTCGGACCAGGTACAATAGATTTCAATCCTGACCGTCAATCGCAGCCATGGCGCTAGCGCTAGACGCACTGTTCAGAGCCCCATTTCACAACGGCCCTGTTATAATAGGATTAATTCCACGGCCAAATTTTGGGAGCAAATGTTATTGGTAGTTCATCAAACTATCTCGGGAAAATTATGACGTTTTGGCCCCAGACTGTCTAACAATGGCAGCGCAGAATATACTTATGTGGCTTGGCTGAGGGATTGTCAATAAAAGCGACATCACTTTGCCATTCTTGCAAAGGATTGGCACGTACTATGTAAGGCATGATTTCCTGGCATGACGAAGCAGCTTCAACTACCGTATGTTTGGCCAATAGAGGCGGGTTGTACGGAGTATCCTCCGTAGACTCGTTTATTGGCCTAGTAGGGCCGGCAGCCACTCAAACAGGAAGGGCAGGCTGCGTGAGGCACCACGTCTACCTGGGAGTAGAGAACATAGTGCTAAGACACTTCTGCCGTCTTTATTGTCCCTCATAATAGTCGGACATTACGGTGAAGCGTTGATTAACTTCAATGGTCTGTGTTGATCACAAACCAATGTTTAAAAAAAATTGAAGTGGAATATACATGATAAATCGAGATCATCATACATTGGTTTGCCTCAGAGCTAATTAACCCCCTAGGGGTCAGTTACGTAGTAGATATTCCCTTGGACACGGCTCCAGGTGAGCTATAAAAGACACCACCTTCCTCAGGCCACAGCGTGGAAAAAACCACACAGCGCATCTGTACGGTACTCCATTCCCTGTCCTATCAGGTATTTACTGAATGCACTCCTTTCCCAGCTCTAATCTGTCCCTTGTCTGATTAATAAAAGCTGCAGACATTGCTGCTACAATGCGGTTCCATCTCGCAATATCCCTTTTTGCCCTAACGGGTCTCGTACTCTCAGCTCCTGATCCTCGTTGCGAAACGGATGCCGACTGTGGGGGATGGCAATTCTGTGATAGGATACAAATGTGTACCGACACACTTGGAGCTGGTAGCCCCTGTGATACCAATTCCATGTGCGATTCCGGATGGTGCGATAACAAAGTGTGCAAAGAAACCGCTATCGGGCAATCTTGTAGCACTCGCGACGACTGCCATGGACGTCAACAATTTTGCTCACAAGAAACACATACTTGCCTTCTATCTGGCCGCCCGGAGGGTACCTCATGTCAAGTCAACGGGGAATGTGCGTGGAAACGATGCTTTAATAAGAAGTGCCAAAAAGAAGACGGGGAATTTGGAACTTCCTGCAAGAAGACCGAAGACTGCAAGTCGGGCTTGATCTGTGCGAAGGATGCCTTTAGCAGTGGAAATACATTCTGTCGATTCAATGACAAAGGGATTGGATCTCCGTGTTCTAAGAAGGAAGACTGCAGGCTCGCATTACTTTGCAAGAGTGGAATATGCGAGGCGGATGATACGACATGCATCGCACCTGGTCTCCTTTGCAAGGCTGACGGCGACTGTTGCTCGAAAAACTGCAAATGGAACTTCAGCTCCGGCCTCCCCCTTCGATCATGCGCGTGAGGATATGGAATATAGCCAGAGTATTGGTGAAGTTAACAAATGCATACCGTCACTTCACCCCTTTATCATTATCGAAGCCAGCACTGCAATATAAACAATAGAAATAGCAACCTGCTCCTGTGTCGAGAAACATTTCAATATGATACTCAAAGAACCTTAGCATCTCGCGGCTTGGTTGGATAAAGTACTGACGGCATGTATCCATGCAGTCAATAAAGGATGTATTGGATTTGGCGGGAATAGTGATGTGTCCCTCACCCTCGCAGCGTACATAGTAAGATAGTAGCCTGAGTTAGCCCGGCACGTCGATATTGTCTTATTGTCGTAAATAGATATCTTCTTCGCAAATCTGACGGTTAAGGAGTGGCTTCTCATGGGCTGCATTTTGGTTGTTAGACTTTGAAACTTTTTCAATATAAAAAAACGCGTCGCGGTAGCTGAATAGCTACATAGCTACAACCAGCGATATTAAACTGATTCACCGTCGGTACGATAATCACAGCAACCTAGACAGATACCAGCATGGCGGCAACCGCATCAATCGGAGGATCAGACTCCAACATCGCTCTCAACCCGCCGTTACAGCCAGACGAGCATTCGCCTTCACCTGCTCCCCCTCACGACCCTGCACACGAAGAACACCAGTATCTCAATCTCATCCGCACCATTATCAGTACAGGCGAACATCGCCCTGACCGCACCGGCACGGGAACTCGTTCCATCTTTGCGCCGCCACAGCTTCGCTTCGCTCTCTCCAAGCCGTCGTCTGACCCGTCCAACCCAGATCCCATCCCAGTCCTGCCCCTCCTCACCACCAAGCGCGTCTTCCTACGTGCCGTCATCGCCGAGCTGCTCTGGTTCGTGTCAGGGTGCACTTCCTCGCTTCCCCTAAGCGAAGCTGGGATAAAGATATGGGATGGGAACGGGAGCCGGGAGTTTCTCGACAGTGTCGGCCTGTCCCATCGTGAAGTTGGTGACTTAGGGCCCGTATATGGCTTCCAATGGCGCCATTTTGGGGCCGAGTATGTCGATGCAAAGACAGATTATGCCGGAAAGGGCGTCGACCAGGTTGCTGAAGTCGTTAGGAAGCTAAAGGAGTCGCCTTACGACAGGCGTATAATCCTAAGTGCATGGAATCCGGCGGACCTGAAGAAGATGGCTCTGCCGCCGTGCCACATGTTCGCGCAGTTCTACGTGTCGTTCCCACCCCAGCAGGAAGGGGATAAAAAGGGGAAAGGCACGCTGTCTTGCGTGCTATACCAGAGGTCGTGTGATATGGGACTGGGTGTGCCCTTTAATATCGCGTCATACGCACTGTTGACGCATATGTTTGCTCACGCCGCAGATTTACACCCCGGCACCCTGATACATACTATGGGTGATGCACATGTGTATCTTGACCATATTGAAGCACTACAGGAGCAACTTACCAGGGAGCCAACTGATTTTCCTACATTGAAAATCCATCGTACCGACCGGGGTTCTGGTGAGATGGACGGTTGGAAGGACTCTGATTTTGAAGTATTGGATTATAAACCTCATAAGCTGATTAAGATGAAGATGAGCGTATGATTGGTAGAGTACACGATATATACACTTGATGTTCAATTAATGGGTAAACGGGTTAAATACGTTGATTATTGCAGAATATATATGTACTGAGAATAATTATATCCAATCCACCTGAACACCGATGCCAGTATAGGTATAGAAAGATAACACGCTATAGGTATAACAAAGGGTATAGCCCTACATTTCGATCAAATCAGGTACTGGTGGCCCAACACCCCTAAGCAATACAATAGTATCCCCCTGAGCCACAGAACAGTTCCCTATCTTACTAGAAAAGTCTAGCAGCTTGCCTCCCTCAACGTGGAAGATCCTGAGCCGGTCCTCCTCTCCCGCAGAACGATTATTCACATTCTGCACCTGTAGCCTTCGCGCAGCATCGTCCAGTATCTTGCCCACACTCCATCCCATGTCGAAATAGAAATCTCCGGTAGGATACTTAGCAGTGGTCGTATCTGCAGAGGCTTCAACATGGAGGTAGAAGCGTTTGGACACATCAAGGTTCGAATCTCCTTTAGCGTTCTTTTTTAGAGTATTTAACCGCGCCATTCGTGACGCGGCAGAGGGAGGCTTTGCCTTGGGTTTAGAGGCCGGAGAAGTGGTAGCGGAGGATGACTTGCCCTTGCCCCAGCTGCGTAGGCGGGAGAAGGCCTGCCGCGCCTTTTCAGCAGAGGATGTGAAGGCCACTGATGCCGCGCTGGTGCCCAGGGGTATGAGATTGCTGCAATCATGGTCCTCCCTCATCCGGTGGGAGAGACAGTATTCCCTATTGCAGTTCTGGCAGTGGACACCTGCATTCGCCATCGTATAGATTAGGGCCTTGCATGACGGATGCGAGCACTGGGTGGAGTTGTAGACGGTAGGTTTCTCAGAGAGCTGTAAGGGTGTCGTAGATGCTGTGCCATTCTGCCCAGCTCGTCGACGGGCTGCCCATTCTCCTGCCTTGGGGCATTTATGGGTTGTTTCGGTTCGGTGGTCAAGGCAGAAGGTCCCCTTGCACGATTCACATCTGAACGGAAGGAAATCTAACTGCCGACAGAACTCGAATTCGCAGTGTTTGCCGATGTCTTCAAGATCACGATCGGCCATCTGGGTATAGGAGGAGGGTTGGTCTGGAGACGAGGACGACATGGTGAGCTGGTATCGTACTAGAAGACCTTGTTATAGGATCTAAGGTCTAGGTATATGGAATCTGTTGGGCAAGGAGAAGGAATATGAAATATAAAATGGCCGGCAAGGCCTCAATCTTGTTGACGTACTTTTGTCATCTTTTTTCCGATAAGAAGTTTCCAGCTGATCCTTATCGCTTCTTTCGGGGATCATTGATAATCCGAGATCCGAGATGAGTAATCAAGGTACGGTACTCAAATACCGCCAAGAAGTAAAATTACATGTTTTATTGGCTGATTCGGTATTATTCGTATCAGCCTCTAAAGTTAAGGGCTACTTTATATAGATGAAATCTGTGGTATCAAGAATAAGATTGTTAGTATTATATATTATAAGGGATATGGGGGATATCCTTCTAGTTTTGCTCCAGCAAGCGAGGGAGTCTTGGGTATGGAATAGGTAAGTGGTTCTTTGGGAGCTTTACCAACTACAATATGGGGTATAAAGGACAGTAAGTCCTGAGCAAGGCAACAACGCAGGCTTCAAGCAAAGGAGCAGGGGAGGTAGACCAACAGTAGCCACAACTCGGACAATAAGGGGGTATTATGTTCTGACGGTGAAGACTTTCAATCACAGAATACAATACACATAAACATAGAGTACATTGTACATCAAGGGACAAAAATGAAATCGAAATAAACGACAGAGGCGAAAAGATGGTAGGACAAGCGAAATAAAGAAAAAAAAGTCAAGTAAAAGAGAGAGAACAGTGCAGGAAGATGCAGAGAATCAAACAGGAGTGGCCATTAAGTTAGGAGCCGGAAAGGCGGTTCTGGGGATTCGCAAAGGGAATAGCGGACGTTGCTGTGAAGACGGGGAGCTGCTGTGGTACCGCGGCTGGTGGTGATCGGACGGTAATTCTAGGATTCGCGGACCCGGGGGGCGTGTCTGGAGTAAGTGGTGGAGAAGGGATGGTGCTGGTATTATCTGCCGACTCTTTGGGCGGCGTCGACGCAACGGCTTCGTGGTTGGAAGTCGGATATTCGACGTAGCTCTCGTCGTGGGCTAGACCAGCGTCTGATACTTCAGGTAGGGGCATGGTGTGTGGATCCAGGGAGGCGATAGCCTGTGGGCTGAATTGATCGGTCTTGGTCATGGTTGGCGACTCAGATGTCGTCTCAGTGGTTGGTGTTGCGGTGGTTGAACGAGATTTCGAGCGTGATTGTCGTCCGTTGACCTCCTTGGTGGTGCGAGGCGCTATCGCTCCAGGGGTTGCTCTGGCTGCTGGCTTGCGTCTGGACGATTGGGACGCCGCCGTTGTGTCCTTTTGAGCTAACTTTGCTTCTCGAAGTGCATTTTCTTTAGGGCTAGGCACTTTCAGCTTTATGCTCAGTTTATTTACGCTAGCCGTTAAGCCATCTACACCAGCATCGTTTTCCTGGGCCTTCCTAGGGCTATTTTTGGCCGAAGTAGAGGCTCGACTGCTGCTTGCAGCCCTGGCCTTACATGTGCTGTTCCGCAATTCGGCACTAGAGCTTGCTCGTGAGGGCGAAGGCCGCGTTGAAGCTGGACGGCTTCTAGGTTGATGAGCCCTAGCAGTTGAGGATACAGGAGTCACGGCCGAAGCAATGCTGACTCTTCGTGAAGTGCGAGAGCTGGGGGATGACTTTGGTTCGCTGTTATTTAGCATGCTTGGGTCGGGTAGATCGTTGACGGAAGCAATAGTAGTCCGACGAGTGTTAGCAGATGAAGAGCGGGAACTCCTAAGCCTTTCGGAGGCGGGTAAGGCGGGAGCCTTCTGTTTCCTCTCCCTAAGCTGCATATGGTTGGAGTTCCTCTCGTTGGGACGTGACCGTTGACTCGCTGCAGACGCTGGACGAGCATCCCGTCGAGGCTGGCTTGTTGTGGCTTTCAGGTCAGCATGCTGACAGCTTGTGGTTTGACGGTCTGTGGGTATAAGAGCCTTGGAGAGCTCAAAAGCGGCCGTGGCCCAGCCGATCCGTGGGAGTTGTTGGAGGGATGAGTCGCCTGCATGGCTCGGGTTGTAGGATGAGGATCTGTGATCGCGGGTTGGTGTTATCACCTTTGCAGATGATGCTTGAGTGGGCGCGGAGAAGGTAGGAGGCCCTCTCTCGCGAGGTTTTCGTGGAGTTACAGGTGAAGGTTTGGCCAAGTTTTCCAGTTCTTCAAGTAATGATGGTGCCCACCATATGGTATCATAGGTTATTGTATCAGACTCCCTCTTGACATCCTGCATTGCATCATGCTTGCTTTCCTCTGACAAGCCAAGCCGATTGAACATCTCAGCGGCAAGCCGGCTGCCATGCTGGTCGTCTACGGCGTCAAAGTTGGGTAAGTCTGAGAGGCCAGAGAGGTGGCTGAATACGCCGCTTATCAGGGCCCTGTCACTATATCCTCCTTCTAAGACTGAGATTACTCTGCCGTCAACGGAGAGGCCTTCCTCCTGTGACATCCGGACAATATCGGCTGTGAATCTGGCGTAGAAATCCGTTGGAACGTTGACCTTGTGTCTTTGCATACCAGCTCCCTCCCACTCGCTTGCATCGAACCCAGCAGACAAGAAGATGGCGGCTTTGGGTTGAGGAGCGTTAGGTGAGGTACTAGATTGTAGTTGATGTGAATGGGCTCGCAGGAATGCGCGAGCCTTTTCAATCAGGACGACATACTTTGTCTCGTACAAAGCCCAGAACTCCTCTGTAGTCTTCCATGACTCGAGATGGACATTCCAAATACTCTGACCGTGAGCATTATCGATGCAGACGCTGGCATTCCGAACTTTGCTTTCATCGCCTTCCTCACAAGGGTAAGAGTTGATATCGTGTAGACTGAAGTATCCAATAGCAGTTCTTTTATACCCGGCCGCATTTTTGGCTGCACTGGCAGCTCGTCGGTTCTGCTCCCAGGCAATGGCCTGCGATCCGTCGCCGTGGTGTAGATCGAAATCAAGAATTGCCGCGTGAGTCAGTCCGTGTGTCATGGCAGCATATGAGATGCCTACATGGACGTTGTTGAGCCAGCAGAACCCGGATGGATAGCTGCTCGAGCAGTGGTGGCCTGGCGGCCGGATGCAGACAAACGCCCGCCGTGTCGACGGAGAAGTGAACACCGAGTCAACGGCGTCACAGACGCCTCCCAGTGCACCTTCAAACGCGTCCAACGAGCCAGGGCAGAGGTATAGATCCCCCTCGTGCAGCTTGGGGGCAGCATTGGCTCCGGTTTCCTTGCCAGAGCTGCTAGGCCGAACCAGCTCCTTGCCGTTCGACGCCAGTCTGCCTTCTGCGGCATCACACATCAACCGTAGTTCCTCCATCCATTTCGTGCCATGGACGTGCGTCACCGCTGGCGAGTTCAGGGGCATGGTTCGTACCGTCTTCCTTATCTGAAACGGCGGGGGCGGGAGCTGTCGTAAATCTAGGTCCGGGTGTGGCGCAAACTCGTTACCGCCATAACGCTGCCCCATGCGGGTATACGCAGCGGCCAGGCCGAGGACGCTGGCTTGCATTCTCTCCGGCCGCTCGACGATGAGTTCCAGCCCCGCCTTGGAGGTGCGCGGGCGCGAGTATCGGTGGCCATAGCAGGCATCCTGTATGATGACAACGGTTCGAGAGTGCAAATCGACAGCTTGGTGCAAGGCCAGCTCCTTTGCAAAATGCTGAGCAGCTATATCTGACGGGCCAGAGGGCGAGGCAGACGCCATCTCCGGGAGGGGTGAGATGGCCCGTCCGGACGCGCCTGGGGACGAGGCCAGATGCTGTGCGGACGAGCGCCGTGAGAGGCTCTGGCGCGATGAGGATGAAGAGGCAGCCAGATTCTGCACCGATCGAAGCGAGCTGACCGATGCTCGCTTGTGCAACGAAGGTGTCGAGCCGCGTCTCTCGTCGCGCAGGGAGGTGGTGCTGGTCGTCCTTCGAGGCGCGCGTTGCTGCTGCGAGGTCGGGCTGGCGCGGGGATCGTTTTTCGGGAAGCTGGGACTCCTCTCTGAGCGGTGATAGGGAGACTGTAGAGGCGAGTGAGAAGGTGAAGAACGCCCTGTGGTGATGTTGAGCTGGTTGAAGCTGTGATGCAGCTCATCCTGTCTGCCGCCGCGCTGGTTATAACGTTGCTGCGGCGATGCCATGATGGCGGAGAGCAGAATCACTCATACAAAGCTCCTTTTTAGCTATTATTCCCTATACTCACAGTCAGTATTTCACGTTTGATAGCCAGTGTGTGTGCAGCTTCCCACTTACTCTGCTCTTGTTGTTGGTTTTGTTGTATACAACTTGGAGTTTACGCTAAAAAGGAGAACTAAAGCTGGTTTTTCTTACCCCTGAAGCGTTAACATGCCATGAATATAACAGTCGAACATGTAATTTCATGTATATATATAAGTGATAGAGGGCTGTGTATGTGTGTGTATATTCTATATGGTACAGAGATAAAAGGCGGTTTCCTTCTATTTTATATAGACTGGCTGGCTATTGTATAGATGGATAGAAGGGGTAATATAGTATGGAATAAAGAATAAAAGGCAAAGAGAGACGAGACAGCGGTCTACATTGATACCCATAGAGGCCTGGGGAGGATTCCATCAGGTTTGTTGTCTGAAAGTCCCCGGCCAGCGGCAAGTAGCAGGTTCTGCGAGAACTCGTCGATGCCCACGTAGGCTTCACGGCGAGGAGGGTTGCCCACGGTGACTGACCAGGTGCGTAGGCCGTAGTAGGATGCCAGAGAGTGGACGAGCCATCGTCTGCAACATGTCAGTCTATACACATAGATAGATAGCTGTATATACGGATGGCTGTAGACTCACCCGAAACCAGCGGCTCGATCCTCCGCCGGACTCTCAAAGACCATCTTCTCACCAGACAAAGCATGCAAAGAAGAAGACGGCCGCTGTTTCTGGACAGTAGACTGCTGCATCTTGCGGCCGGTGAAGACGACTTCATCGTCATCGCCGTCCTCGCTGTCATCGCTGCATCGTTCGCTCTCCGTCTCTCTAGACCTATGCCAGGTCTGTGTCTCAACCCACTCTCGAACAAACAGCCTGATCTCCTCCTCTAGCTCCTGCACCAGACCTCGCGCCGCACGAGCGTGCTTCAGCTTCGCCCGCAACTCCTTGGATATCTTCTCCAGCTCGGCGTTGGCATGAGCCTTCTTAGCATCCCCCTCCGTCTTCTTCTTCTTGGTCTTCTTGTCAGATGAGTCTTGGTTCCTCTTCGACCTGCGCCGGGCCTGCTCCTTTGCGGCCTGATGGGAGTCCCAGAGTGAGGCGAGATAGTAGGGAACCGGGTTATGGCGAGGATGCGTAGGTTGGACCTGCCAATCGTTTGCTGACGGAGGTTGAGCCCAAGGGTTACTTAGCAGACGGTCTATCAAGAAGTTAGTCAGTATGTATGTATGTATGTACTCGCAGGTAAAGTACCATTCTCCCAGCGCTGTCGCCGTCGACTCCCTTCCTTGCCCTTGAGCAGCGACTCGCGGCGCTTCAGACTATCGCGACGCAACGGCTCTCTGCGTCGGTACGTCGACGGCTCAGCAGTGGCTACAGCAGCGCCGTCTGCAACGCGGACACTGCGGCCCAATCGCACCGGAGTAGGGGAGGCTGGCTGCCGCACGTCGTCGTCCAGCGGGATAGTCAGCGGCGCCGAATTGCGATACGGAATCGGCGAGGACTCGAGGGACAGGCTCTCGATGGCCTGCTCCGACCAGGACGAGATCGCGAAGACCTGCTGGGGCGTGAGTGCTTGCGTTGTCGTCGTCGTTGATCCAGCTGGTGCCGGGCTGGCGCTGAGTGTTGGATGGACAGCCATGCCGGAGATGCACCTTGCCTGCACTATACCCTCTATCCAGGGGCAAGGAGAGGCTGTCTGGCGGGGTTTAAATAGTTCTACCCTCGTCAGGCCGTTAGGTCGCTTGCTCGTATCTCGATGACTCTCACTGTCTGTCTCTCTCTCTCCTTTCTTCCGCTGTGAATCATCGTTTTGGAACTGCCGAGACCGTCCGGAGCCAATCGTGGCTTGTGGCCGCGGCATGCTTTGCATCGCTCGCTGGGGTCACGCAGCCAACTTTGTATGAGTTACCCCAGTCAGCTATGTATAGCATTACTTAGCAGGACAGAGCATGTTGAAGTATGTAAAAAATGTATGTACGGAGTAATATGTGGCTATGTACGGGGATACGTATGTACAGGAGTATGGGGGAGATGCATAATATTTGACAGGATTGAACTTGATTTACTTGGCGAGCTCGGTGACGAAGCCGACGATGAGCTTAGCGTGCTGGATCATATGGTCGAAGCTGAGGTAGTCGATGGTGTCGGTGTCGGTGTGGAGGTGAGGGTCGAGGAGGTCGATGGGAGACTCTGCGACCATGGCGGATGGGAAGCCGTTGCGGTTGGCAGAGGCATGGTCAGAGCAGGCATAGCCGCATCGGGTGTCGATGGTGGGGATTTGGCAGTACTAATAGGAAGTAATGGTTAGTGCTTGATTTATACTGACAGCGGGTGCATGGAGACATACCGTCTTGATGACCATGCGGACGAAGGTGGTGAGGCTGGCGTTGACGTTGTCGGTGATGATACCGAAGGACTCCTTGAGACCCTTGTCGAGCATGCCCTTGATGTATCCGGTCATGTCCTGGTTGAGCATGCCCTTGACCTTCTTTCCGGCCTGCTTGTAGTTGGCGAAGATGGCCTGGGAGCCGAGGAGACCAGCTTCCTCACCAGCGTACCAGTGGAACTCAATAGTGTTGGCGGCCTTGCCCTGGACGATGGTTTGGTCTTGGAGCACTCCACGGAGGGCCTCGAGGATGGTTACGGAACCGCTTCCGTTGTCATCGGCACCTGGGGCACGGCCAGTCATTGGGCTGCGGCCGTTGATGCTGTCCTGGTGGGCACCAACGACAACAATCTCAGCAGAGCGGCCGGGGATGGTGGCGATGATGCTGTGCTGTACGAAGTTGTGCTGGAAGCTGGCCACCTTGGCACCGTATCGGTTCGCGCCAGAGGCAGTGATGGCAGCCTGGACTTGCTGCTGCAGCCAGGTGGCGGATTGCTTGCCATAGTCGGACTTGTAGTAGCGGTTGTGGAACGAGCTGAGCTTGGTCAGGTCACGCTGCATGTTTTCCTTGGACAAGGTAGCAATCATCGCATTGACAGCATCAGCATGGCGGATGCTGGTTGGGTAGGCGACGGCTGGCTGTGCAACAGCAGCAGTGAATCCAACATCCTGGTCGGTGATGTCGAAGAAGTCCTGGCCGTTCTAGGTGCAGCAAGTCAGCGTGGGGAGCAATTTGATGGAAACTATCCCGATAAGGCACATACTTGCTTAAGCTCCCACTTCTCCTCTTCGGTGACCCAGCGAGTCTCACCAGGAGCAAGTTCAATCAGGAACTTCTCAACCTGGGTGTCCACCGGAATACTAGCTCCGAGAACGGAGGTAGCAGTAGCGCCCAGCGCAAGGACTGAGATGAACTTCATGACTATTTTGGGGGAGTCAGCATGGCAATGATCAGGCTGTCAGTAGTAAGCAAGCAGAAAGCTGTCATGACTGACCGTCAAGGAGACCTTCGGGAGATAGACAGTCTATCAGGGGTAAGTATGGGGAAGGGGGATAGGAGTATTTTCGAAGATCAGCTATGAAGATCAGTTCAATCCGTGCGAGGAATATCAAGGCAGATCGGCGGCACCTTGGGGATATTTATATTTGTTCCCATCTCAGTTATTATCTCCCAGTGACCCCATATGACACCGGGCGGTAACAGCGGCGATGGCCTGCGACACCATCACGGCTGACTATGTGACGGATTACAGCGGCCCAATGCAAAAACACGAAAAAAAAGAACACGACAGGTTTTATTCACTATTTCCCCCTTCTAGACCCGCATCATGCATTGTACATTGGGGCAGACGGTCCGGAATCCTACCTGAAGAATTCCGCCCATGTGCAATGAATTGAACATCCGGGATACCCATGACAGTTCTCGTGAGTCTAATCAATATCCGGATATAACTATGTGGTATAGATAGCCTGCCTGAAGGGTTGACGACGGCGGCGAGGGGGGGGGGAACATGCGGTGGCTCCCAATAGAACCAACGCCGGTTGGTTCATAATCAGTGGTGATACCACCTCTAACCACGCGACCCCCAGAGGACGGTCTAACAAATTGACGTCTAGCGGTGGATACGCCAAGTAGAAAGCAGATGAAAGGAGAGGAGGTAACTTTCTTGCAGCGCGGGGGAGAGTTCGCAGTGGTTCCTCATCCAGAGTACAGGGTGCGGCGCCCAGTTATGTATATGTCTATACAACATTTGACATATATACATATTAAAGTCCATATGTATATATATTCAATGCGCCCCCAGAACCAGTTGGAGAGGATTATCACGTCCTGCGTGATCAGGGCCCGGTGCGAACTCGGCTTCCCGGTGATGGTGAACCTGATCGACCCGCTGTCTCTGTGATCGACCAGCGGGATCGAGGGTTGACCCTCCTTCGAGAAACATTCTGCTTCATCTTGTTCTTTTTTCTTTTCTTTTTCCCCTGGCCTTTTTGAGTTGAACAGGCCTCATCCTGCGCTTGTCCCGTGCCGTGGCCAATGGGCGATTCGGACAGGCGAAAGAAGGTATTCCTCTTATTAATACCAAGACCACCCCTTGGGAGGGGCGTAATCATCTTGGCTTGTTTCGACTCTACTATATATAAACATATATAGTACTGGAATATAGGGGGGATGAAAGGCACCAGCAGGGCTCGTTGATATCAGCGTGTATACGTAGCCCTTCTTATCTCCCGTCTCTGGGCTCCGTTGCAAGTTTCCCAGGCTCAAGAATCCCACGGCAGGGCAGGCTAGTGAGGTAGTAGACTCGGATATTGGCCGGCCTGTGGCAAGACACGACCATCCTCCAGTCCGCATCATCAGCATCGCCATCTTCAATCTTCATCTTCTTCATCTTCTTCCGCCGCAAAATATCTTGTTTTGTTTGGTGAAGTCAAAAAAAGAAGAAACAAAAAAAAGGAAGTCAAGATAAAGTGATGACTAATATGATTACTAAGAAGACAGGTTAGGTTGCTGACTAAGGCCGCTTTTAAGCGTAACAGGTGACTTGACCCCGCAAACTTGCCTAAAACAGGCAGCACACAGGTCGAAGGTAGCAAAAACATAGAAGATACTTGTATTTCACGTGGATCCCCACCAAAAAATAAGTATCTTCCATGTATGAAGTACCACGGAGCTATGGCGCACAAGGACGTCAGCTGCCTCTTTTTTTTCTTCTTCCTTGCTTCTTCTGCTTCGTCCAATCTCGACACGCGCAGAAAAGGAGAAAAAGGAGAGGAAGAAGAGAAGTCAAGCTTATTTTCCTATTTTTTTGGCCTTCACAATCCCAACCAGCTCTTGCATCAAGACAAGCTAGTTCGAGTTGACTAGCAATAGAAAGGTTTAGCTTGGCCGGACGGCTTGTTTTGCGCCTGTTGCTGCGGGGGAAGAAAGGAGAAGAAGAGGACATCCCAAGGACGCCCCCGAGAAAACATCTTCACCTTCGAAGTGCCATCAGACAGCAAGCAGGCAGAGCATCCAGAGCAACCTGTACGAAACAGCAGAGACATCATGGCAGACTCTACAGCCCATACTTGTAAGTAAGACCAGGAGAAGAAAGAAAGCAAGAAAGGAGAGAGAGAGAGAGAGAAACAAGCATCATAACTTCTGGCCTATCGGTCACTGAGCTGGCATGGTTTACTCATCTTCATCCCAGACAACCCGTTCGTCAAGCGTTCGTCGTATCAACGTAGCTCGATCTGGGCTTACCAGGCGGCCACTACGATTTCCTGGCTCCTCGTCGTCGGTTTTGGCGTCTACGCTGGCACCCATCGCCAGCACCACGGCGCTCCAGAGAAGCAGCATGGCGAGGCCCTCCACGCCCTTGCCCACGACGACCACCTCAATGCCTTCTCCCAGACCAAGGTAGTCACTGGCATCTACTGGTGAGTTCTCTATCCGGGGAAACATGTATCCCAAACATTTACTCATTACCGGTTGAACAGGGTCATACTTCTCATCTCTCAGCTGGGCTATATCGGCCAGCTCTGGAGCTCGGATGAACAGCACCTTACCACGGCTGCCAATGTGGCTCCGTACTTTGTACTCAACAACCTCTTTGTGCTGGCCTTCACCTTGCTCTTCGTCCATGGCAAGTTCTGGTGGGCTGAGGTCTTTGACATCTTCAGCTTGATCAATCAGGCCACCGTCTACTGGGGCTTCTCAGACCTGCACCCGTTCATCCACCTGCCCGTCGTGGCTGGACCCTATGCCTGGTCTCTGATCACCCTCTTCTGGAACGGTGCCGTGGCCGTTGGCGGTAACAGCACGCCCTTGAGGCTGGTGGCCAACATCTTCATCTGGGTGTACTTTGTCATCGGACAGGCTCACATCGTTCTTCGCAACGACCAGTACCTCGGATACGCCCTCAGCTTGTTGACCTTTTGTAAGTTTTGCCCTTTGAACATGTAAAAAAGAGAAGAAATGAACTGACCGTTTAGCTCTCTCACTCAAACAATTGGCCATCAAGATCATCTCCCTTCAGTGGATCTTCGCCTTTACCATCTTCGGTACCATTTACCAGTAACATTACTTATACCAATAAATCCAAATATCAAACTATGGAGGCTCAGAAATAATAGACGGAGCGTCGCTAATATTGGACAGCGGACTTTCCTCCTGCTCATCCAAATTCGTGGGAACTGATTGGCAATCTTTATATGGTTCATCGTCTTCGACCAAAAAGCCACCGCCCTCATGGGTATCCTCGCCAACTCCAGGAACAAGGAATCCGCCCCCTGTGTCATGTCTATGGCTATCATCCTCCATAAGCTCGGGCAATTCTGGGACTTTCTGACTTGCAAATGGATTATGAGATTCAGTATCACCCATTGCGCCATATTCTTCCCGGAGTCGGTCATTGATACGAAGGCCCATTATAAATTTTCTCCAGGTTGAAAGGATAAGCTTGTCATGTTTTAGTTTCTCTTTCCTCCTCTTTTCCTGTTCGTCTGCTATCCACGCATCTTTTAAAAGAGTTTCGTTCTCGGCCGCAACGACTACTCCTTCTATTATAGGGACAGCCATCTTACTGCCAAATTCAAAGCCTGTAACTGCTTCTGCATAGTCTATGCCGAGTTTCTTGCAAACACGGACGGTCCCAGGGAATGGCACATGTGCCGCACCTTGTGGTATCATGGAGGGAACAAAACAGTCGATGTTTCCGTATTCATTTTTGGGTATTATTCCATCTTTGATAGGCGGTGGAATTATAAATTCCGTTTGATAAAGGGCATACAGTCCTTGCATCGGCTTCTCACCGGTTTCACGATGGAGCTCGTCCACCTCCCTCTTCCTATTCAACGTTACCGCTCTAATAGGAACGAGCTTGAGTGGTGTTTCTCCCATCTTAACTTTTCGTCCCTCTTTGTGCCAGCTCTCAGCGGAAAGACATCTCACTACATCTGACCGTTTATAAACTTTTTCTTCTTTTTTCTTTTCATTTTTGCCAGTAGTGAAGGTTCGCACATGAGTTGCACCGGAGCGGAGCGCTTCTTCCCTTTTTAAAAATCTCTCAAGAACAAACTCATCAGATGCTTTCAGGCTCTGCAGTGTATCCCCCTCTTTTGGCCTACTTCTTGCTTGACTGGGTGTAAGCGATGCATTTTCCTTGACATCAGCGACTGTCCTTTTACTTGCGGGTCGAACATAGCCTCTCATTGCAGTTTTGAACCAGTCATATTCGTAATACGAACGAGATCCAGACTCATTGTACGGAATCTTTTCTACTGGTATTCGAAATCCTTTTGTTTTTCCAGGCCAGACCTGTTTTTTCAGGTATCGAATAGTGACGTCTTTTGCAGTTGCATCTGGAGAATATGCAACCACATACGCTATAACTTGTTTGGCTTTCTCCACCTTTGGTGCTGGCGGTTCAAACATCGCAAGGCGCTCTGGCGTCCTGGCTAGATAAAATGGTAGAACATGTGTTTCAACAGGTATAATGTCATTCGTGATGGGTGATACAACCTCAGACCAATATATTGGGCAGTTGAGATCTTTATCGATCTTCCTCCCTGGACGGTTTGCCTTTTCTTCTTTAGGGTTATAATCCTCGAACTTGCTCCATCCGAATCCAATCGGCTGTAGGCTGGCAACCATCCTTGCTTCCATACCGATAGCTCTTAAAAGAGAGGTAAAGAGTTGAGCACCTGCATCGCGGGACCCCTGGCGCTTTCGAGCAAGTTCACGGAATTCAGTTATGTCTCGAATAAGCTCCCCATGTGCATTGTGTTCTTCATCCGGTCCATTGAATTTGGTAATCTCTCTTCCGAGAACTGGCATGGGCCGATATCCTCTTTTCCTCAGCCCGGGAGCAGTTATTTCAAAAGATCCGGCCCAGTAAGAAGCGAGCATCGTCAATAATTGGTATGTAGAATCATCCTGGCCCTCTGATGATGGACCACATGACTCAACCATTGCTTTCCACTTCTCTAGTTGTTTATTGATTCTCTCTGGTAAGTGGTCAAGGAGGATTTCCTTTACTTCTGCATCATTAATCCACGAATTCCTAACAGCATTGTGGAATAGAAGGAACTGTACGTGCATGCAATGCGTTTGGATCCGAATTAGACGGTCGATCTTACTAGGGCCTTTTTTCGAAGAAGGCGAATATGGAGTAAATGATTCTTCGTTTCTTTCTAGTATTATGCTCAAGTCTCTCAGGACTGGGGTTTTGGTCTGAGGAGTTGCATTAGAAGTCGCATCTTCCCAGCTCACATCTTCGTCATCGTCGTCATCGTCATCGTCATCGCCATCCGAATTTCCTTGCAGTACTGGCTCGTCTTCCAGCTCAGACAGGGAAGAGTCCCCGGATGAAGATTCCTCTCCATTAAAGAACTTTGAAGCTTTAACCTCATCGGCCGAGGGTTCTGGCGGCGTATCAAGAGCTTCTAATAGAGCGAGCCTTGGATTAATTTCGCGTGCATCTCGACCCTTTCTTGGAGCTAGGGACTGTGGCATCGACGGCAAAAAGACGGACGGCCACTTGCGGTTGAGCCTATAGACTGTGTTCCTTCTTTAGTAGAAATATTCAGGTAAAATTCATCTATCGTCTAATGTACAGAAGAACTGGGGGCTGGTCATTCTGCGCGTTTCTTCGGTCGACGGGAAGAGCTCATATGAGGGATGGCGATGAAGTCGCGAGCAGATGGAACAAAGTGTGAGAGCCGGCGCGTGGTCACATGATTTAAATTGGCCCAGACCGAACTGGGAAAGCCGCGAGAGGATGTTGGGATGTTCAATATCAGACATCTTATATGAATGATAAAGCAAGATGCCAACTTTGCATTGATGGTTGCTGTTTATACCTTGGAGGGTATATAAATTGCTCCTCGATGTGAGCACCCTGGAGTTTTCAATTAATAGTCGTATATATATAGATACTAGCAGTTTTAAGAGTAGATACTATACGGATGTTTAAACGGCAAAACATGATAAGAGTTTCTAGTTTCGATCTAAGTATTCCGCATCCAGTGCAAGTGAGATAAAAAATCTATATTCGCTTCGTAAATAATGATGCACCAGAATATGTGTATTAATACGTTTGTCTATTCAGCTTGAGTTGAGCTCAGCTCAACTGATTTCGGTTCGCAGATTGGATCCACAAGCCAGTCGTGCCGGAAACGAAGGAAAAGGCAAGATGCACATAAACAAATACGTGAGACACTGAAGGATATAATGATCGCTCGTAGCAGGCGAGCCTGAATCCCGGATATACGCCATACCTCATAGCTCGGCGGCTGTATATGACTAAAGATATATCCCACGCTCCCGCGCAATCTAGAGTCTGGATATGAGAAACGGCGTAACCCGGGGTGGTGGTTTGCTGTATTCATTGAGGCAAAGCAGGTGGATTAGGCTTATCTGCCCAAAACGCTTCCCTTTCTCGAAGAACCTCCTCACCCCAAGCTTTAATTTCGGGTAGGCGTATCTTCTTAAAGACATGGTAGAATTCCGATAAGTTGAGCTTTCCCCCATGAGACCGCTCATACTCAACAGCCTGCAGTAGTAACTCCATCTTATCTATATCATGCACGAACCGTGCCTCAAGAGTCTTGTCTTCTTCATATTCCTCAAAGATTTTCTGGAGACCCTCACCCGGAATTCCACCAAAGACACTGCCTAGCAGCGTATTGGATATGTATTCCATCACTTCTGCTTCTCGTCGTGCCTTTTCGGCCTTGGTTACTTCCGTGTCAACGGGTGTTATATCGCCGACAATTGATTCAGCCATGTCATGAACGAGAGCCATCTTGGTGCAGTGGAGGATATTTAGCTTTGAGGCAAGGGAAGGGGGTGCTAGCATCGTCATGACAGACATGCGGTACATGTGGTCGGCTATAGACTCGCCATGGGGAATGTTGAATCGCCGCCAGCCTTCTCTCTTGGTCGTTTTTAGTCGTTCTAGAAGGTGGAAGAATGGAACGGGCGATGAACTGTTTTCTTCTATAGGATGCGGTAGAGTCGCAATGACTGGGAGCGCGAAACGTCAGTTTGCAGTGATAACTTTGAGGCTATTTAACCGTCACCTACCTGACTTAGTGGTCCAGGGAGTATTAGAGCCCATCTTCCTGCCAACGGACGATCGAACTGGCGATAATAAATGGCGCGGGGTGAGTAGCTGCTGGGGAGTTGGCGGGGAGTTCCGGCCTTTCTTATATGGAAATCTCCAAGGATGTTTTCTTTCTTTTGATTAAAGCCCATGCAAGACATGATGCTGACTAACACATCAACCTATCAGGTTGCAAGTTGAGAGATATAAGTTATAACATGTTACACAGTAAATTTGAAAGGATTAATTTATCTATTCTTTGTTGAGATAGATAATTGGTGACCTACTATGTACTCCTAAGATGAAACAAAAGACGACGATGTACGGAGTAAGCTGGACATTAGTTACGGAGACACATGCTATGTATACGCCATGTATGTATGTTGTCCATAGTAAGGTTGGAAAGCTCATAGCCCGATACATATATGTAATGCTCCGTACCAATGATAGGATGCATCAGTCCGATAAGTCAGCTTTGTTCCATGGATATTTTGCTATTTTCAGGGGTAACGAAGCTCTATCATGTGACCTGCGTCTGGCCAAATATCAAAATCGACTCCCAACAATATGCGATCATATCGACGATTCTGAATTGTCCTCAAGTTCGACCAATATAAACGACATCTCTAGGCTCTGTATAGAAATAATCACTTGTGACACGATCACTGCGCAGCCTGGTGTATGAGACGTCCCTGCGACACCTCCCTATGCGCGTCTCTACACCTAAGTCTGGAGCCGAAACATGGCCTCCGCGTCCGCCAATTGCGGTCTTCATTCGCAACCTGAAGCTACTGCGTCTTGACCTGCGCCCAGATTGGCCAGGTATTCTACCATCGACACTGTCTGATAGCCAGAATAATCTGCGAAGACGGATACAAGCTGTCGAATGGGCGCTATTTTACCTGTTCCAACTATGGGATCCCGAGCTCACACGAAATGTATGATCCCATTCTCCCTGTAGCGGGATGAAGGCCGACAAATAATCTAACGGTGAATCAAAATTCTAGAAGCTACAGCCATTCTTCCCACCTCTTGAGCCGCTGCAATCATCAAATCTTCGGGCTGCCCTCTTCCGATCTCTCTCAGAGTTAACTAAAAACGGAACACTGGGAAGGGAGAGAATATTACGAAAAACAATGCTTGAAGAATGCACTGGAGAGAAGTTTGATGAAATCCTTGCTGAATTCTCCACGATCGTGCTGCGTAAAGTTGTGGCTTCATCTCGTGAATACAGCACGGGAGCTCCCTCATTATCCCTCCCCGCAAGCAAGAAAGGACCACCCAGTGATACCCATAACCTACTGCCAATGATTATCGCATATCGCGCATCGTTACATTCCATGATAGACCAGAAAAATGAGCTGAACTCAACCTGCCGCGATCTCAAACAATTCCTTCATCTGAAATCTAATGAGCTTGCAAACTCAAGACGCATGCCGAAGCCCTTGGCTTCGGAATTAAGGAATCAGCAACATTTTCAAGAGTCTATCAATAGATCATGGCACGGTGACATTAACTGGGCTACTACAATCTTGAATGGAGATTCGCAGGCTGGCTCAGAGCCGCTGCTTGAAATGGATTTTTCTCAGGTTTGGTCTGGGATGAAAAAGGTGGAAATCAAAGGGGGCCCAGGGCCTCAAGCGCATCCAAACCTTCTAGCGGATTTGGACGACCGCCTCTCAAGGCAGAAATCTCGGCTTCAAGGGTGGCGGGAATTTAAAGAATCTCTAGACTTGGACAGCCTACGGGTTAGCTTACAGCGACCAGATACTTCCGAGAGACCGCAAACGTTGCCCCAGAACAAATGTAGTGTCACAAATTCCCCAGTCGCAAATGTTGAAGCGAACCAGGAAACATACAGTAATTCAGATCTCGATGAATCCCTAATAGTTCATCCAGAACCAGAAATATCTTATACGCCTGAAACCTCTTCCAACTCGAAAGCTAGGGATGATGCAGACGCAAACCAGGAGCAAGCTACTGTCTCTCAAGAAGTCTCCGCAGCGGCAAATTTCAATGCTCGTGAATCGGGCGTTGTTGCGAACATGTCGACAGATGACCTGCTTGCAATGCAGTTGGGAGTTCTGCCTTCGAGTAAAGCTGGCACCACAGAGTTACCTGGTAGTAACGCGACGGTAAATGACACGTCAATTACCGACGATACCAGTGGTGTTGAAGAAAATGAAAACCAACTCCCCGAGGATGTGGCCTCTGGGGCTACTACTTTGTTGGAACGTACTAGACAGTCTATGCTGTTTGTATCTTCCGCTACCCCTCGTCCATGGAAGCCTATTTCGGACAACCGGCGACAGTCTCAGCTGCTTTTCCCCGGCGATCCGTTCGAAACACCAGAAAAAAGAGCGGAAAATAAGGGAAACTCAAATAAGGAGGTGTCGGATGATGACCCCTACAGTGACTACGTTGATTATGACAGTGTGTTCAAAAGCCGGCCAAAGGTAGCTTCGAGCCCTATCCCATTCGAATCAACCCAACAAGGTTCTGGCGATGAGAACCAGGATGAGGGTTGCAGTTTTAGTGAACTTGCGCTGGAAAACTCGCCTTTGGGGAAGATGCAGTCAAGGCCAAGGGCCCAGACCGCTATACGGCATCCTGTCATATGTACGGATGCCGCAGAAGCGACAGGTTGAGAGAATTTAATCCCAATCGCCGAAGCGCTGCCAGAGACTTTTGTTTCTGGACCTTTTGTCTCTAAGATGAGTTTACCAGTCTGAACAGGGTCCGAGGCCAAGTAGTTCAAACGGACTAAATTCGTACCATCTAGATGAGCCTCGTCTAGTGCTTTTTATTTTAAATAAAAAAGGTTTAACTAAATCTTCGGTTTGATACCATGTGTTTTCAATAGCTCCATTCACTTATCTAAAAATGAAAGGAGGCTCTTCTGCCATACTGAGCTGTCTAATCCAAGTCCACGCCCGATAAGAACAATCTTAGACGCTGGCATAGAGGATGGTTGGCCATCTTCTGCATCTGTAATTTCAAACACTTCTCTGACACCTTGGATGATTCTTGTTTTTCCATTGGTCAAGCGAAGGATACCCTTAAGTCGGTGGATTTCAAAATCGGTAATATCAAGCTCCGGACTATGTTTAGGTCCCGGGAATTCTTGATTCCATAGCACAGCTTGCAGCCATTCATCAATACGGGCAACCATCTCTTCAGATACGTCTGAAAAGTTGAATGCGAGCGTAGATATTGTCTAAGTGTTATATATGATTCAGCCCCCGGGTTCAAGATGGAGTGTGGATTTTAGAAAGAGACGGCGGGAAGAAGACTTACAGCGTCAAGACGGCTTTGGCCCTTGGTTGAAAAATCTACACTTGTTAACTTATCGTAAGAATGCAGCTCAAGCACTGTGCCTTCAATACTCGATATCTTGCTATGATCCGTTGTATGGATTGTAGCTAGACCGTTAATCGAGGTGATCCGATCTTTGACCTTTTCAAGTTCCTCGCTTGATACTAGATCGGTCTTGTTGAGAATTATCACATCCGCGTGTGATATTTGTAAATGAGCGGTTGTTAATATGACATTCCCATGCATACCCTGCTTTTCCTCTTCGCAAGATGGTTCATCCAAGAGTTTATTGATGTTCTTTGCGTCCACCAGGGTCACAATTCCGTCAAGGTAGATAGAACTTCCAAGCCCATCATCAACCCAGAATAAAGGTGCAATATTCCCGGGGTCGGCGAGGCCAGTGGTCTCGAGTAGAATATAATCAAAAGTTCCTCTCCGGTTCATTAGAGATTCAATGGCCAGAACCCCAGCGTCTCTGTTACAACAAGAAGTCAGAGATCAACTCTGATGTAGCGGCTTTGTATTGGTCGCAGTGACAAGATGCACATCTTCGTATGGTCTCTTCCAAGCATACCTTACGGAACAGCATATGCAGCCGTTAGCTAGCTCAAGCCATTCTTCGACTTGTTGGCCTTCCTGGTTCACGGTCATGGACTTTTCAATATCCACAGCTATATATAGGATATCCAATTAGATATGGATACAGATACAGATATGATTCCAGTCTTACAATCTCCAAATTCTGTTACAATATTTTTAGTACTATCGACTATATCGGAAGAGGATTATAGTTATAGAAGAACGAACCATTGAGAATCACTGCTATCTTCTTTCCATGTCTTTCATTCAGTATATAGTTCAGCAACGTGGTTTTGCCCGCCCCGAGGTAACCTAAATGGAAGATAATTCTCTGTTAGAATGTGATATATGTACCTGTCAAGCAAGCACAGTCTCCAGAGTTACCTGTTACTATCGTTATAGGAACCCTGGGGAGACTCTGATCTGTGGGAGTCTTGGGTTGTTCCTCAGGTTTTTCAGGAGCAGGAGCTACATCTACCAGCTGTGGCGGGCCGTCATCATCGTCATTGATCATACTCATGGTGGTATATCGGAAAACAATATTTTCCCCTCTATGTCAACTGGTTACTTTTTATATCGTTTCTAATAATATTCGCTACGCCTACCTGAGCACGGACCCGCCTTTAAAGTGGGCGGCGCGGAAGAACTTTTAAGCGATTTATCTTTGCGCGCGGATATTTTGTTTTCCAGGTACGAGTTTGGATGTTTACGTCGCTAAAAAAAAAAGACAGCTTGAACAAGTGATAGAACCAGCTTATTCTTGTGCTGCTGGCTGACTGAGGAGGATATATAGGTACTCCATTATAATGTCTGGGTCAGCGGTCTCACCATCAAGCTCCCCACGCTTACCCAGCCCTCCTCCCTTCACTGAAGTACAGATTCCACCACAGTCCCCGACTGCCAGTGACGGGAAAAGTGATGGATCCGACGAATTCCTAGGCATATCGCATGGTCAGAACGATGTATCAGCACGGAGAATCCGTCCCGGAACAAAAGCGGCGAATATGGCCTCTGGTCCCCCCTTAGTTCCACTCTCTGAGGTTCGTTCATTTTACCATAAGCAGCGTGGTAGAAGATGAATTAGCTAACAAGAACGATTTATCCCCTATGTATAGCTTGATTCCCCTTTCCAGCTCCAGGAACACCTCAAAGCCTCCTATCATCACTTCACGCAGCCCGCAGGCTCCGATAACATTGCACCGATAACCCGAGAAATCGCGCGAGAGCTGGCGGAACCCCCAGCGGGCGTGGAACGGTCACTATGGCTATATGAGTTGTGCCGGTTCCTTACCATGAAAGCGAACAATCTTGTTATTGCCTTCTTTGCCGAAGACCCACCATGCTCGGCGCAAACATGTCCGGAAATGCGCGCTTCTGAATGGCAATATCTCTGTGCCGTTCACGACCCTCCGAAATCCTGCTGTGCAATCGACTACTGCTGCCATACGCTCGACTGGGCAACGAATGTTCTCACATCACCTAAATTTTTCCCAAGCCGACTCACGCTCGGTTCTGATGCGACCGGAGGGCCTCAGGCCAGCATGAGACATCTTACCAATGTTTTCCGACGGGTATATCGAATATTTGCACACGCTTGGTTTCAACATCGGGGTGTTTTTTGGCAGGTTGAGGGGCACGATGGCCTTTACGTCTTTTTCAAAACAGTTTGCGATATCTACAGCCTTATTCCCGATGACAGCTATACAATTCCTCCAGAAGCAGAGGGTGAAGAAGCCTCTAACACCGATGCTGCTAGCCAGAACCAAGGTGTAAACAGAAGGTTGACTATTCTACGCAAGGATGATCCAGTAACTGTAACACCTCCCAACAGTCTCGAGGAGCCCAGCGCAGGTTTGGCCGCAGCAACTACAAGGCGGCATCGACATTCTCCGTCAACTGGGGTGGGCGTTACAACGATTGCTGAGGCAGCAGAAGATGACGATTTAAGCAGGAACACCCTGGGAGTTACCCAGCCATCCAAAGATTCTAAAGTTGAAAGGAATGAGAAGGTTGAAAAAATAGTGGAAGAACTAACTGAGGAACCGGAGCCACTGCCAACAAACGAGGAGCAAAATATCATACCCGAAACCGTACCCATGAAAGACAGTGAAACGACCAAGACAGAAAAGCCAGCTGTGGTAGAGGAAGCCACCCCAGCACCTTCGTTGCCCGAAGAAGTGGTGGCGGATTCCGATAAGGAGCCAGTCGAGGAAGCTCCTGGGTCTCCTGGTCCATCCGAGCCCACCACTTCGAGCATAGATGAAGAAGTGAAGGAGGACCAGACAACGAGTTCAGCTGAACCACAGGCAGAAGAAGGAGAAGAAATCGGTAAATCTCAATTGCCACAAAGTACTGAAACTGGAGAGGATGAGCAGAAGTCCGCAGCCGAACCTAAAGCCCCTACGGACGCTAGTGTTCCAAGCGAGGCGCAAGTTGAGCCAACCAAGGAAACCAAAGAAGTCGGAGAAACCAAAGGGAATGAAGCTGAGGAGCTAGAACCCAAAGCATCATCCTAAAGACATGGGTCCCATTCCACCCTCCTTACCGATGCTGTAGTGGGTACATCATCTATCTCACCATGGCAACGTCGATTCGTGCCGGATTCCCTTTGTTAGCGCGCGCGCCATACGGATGAACACTCTGTATATGATATTGCATTTTTTTTATTGTCGACTATTCTTCTCTTTTATTCCTTCTTCCCCTGTCTTTCATTGGCACTGGGAGATGATTCATCTTTTGGACGCACGACGGCGGACGGCGGACAGCCACTTTCTATTTAGACAACACTCGCAAGCCAAAATATCCCACGTATATACCCTTGGGTCATACTTGGATGCCTCTCCTTTGCGAATCCTTTTCTTATTTTTTTCCTTCTCATCTCCAGCTGATATATTTTCCCACCTTACACATGTATATGTATTTTTAACGACTCTCGGCATTTTATTTAAAAGAATAAAATATGTAATGATTTTCAGGAAATTCCTCTCGGCTCACCTCACCTTACCTGTCATATAATATATTTTAAACTCGGCTGATTCCAGGCAAAAATGAATGGCTTTATCAGCTGGAACGGAACATAATATATATTATTTACTATATAAGTCACCAGGCAACGCCGTTTCAACACGTAAAGCTACAACGCTAGACTGTGGTGCTGGATCGCCAAAAAGGAAACGGGCATCCCGTAGAAACAAAATGCTTGCAAGCCAAAAAAGCGCAAAGGTACAGCAGGGGCAGGCAAACAAAGGCCATCACTGGGTTTCCCTGTCTCTCAGAGTGCTAAAATCATACCCGTGTCGTCATTCGTTAAACAAATAAATTATATACTGTACTTGAAATGAAATTGAACAGGCATGAAAGGAAGAAGAGATACTCCAAAGAATCTCCAAAAGGACGCCAAAATTTGCATACATCAGTGCTAAAAGGGGTAGTTAAACTTTTTGCTCATTCCGCTTTTTTTTTTTTTTTCTTTTTTTTCGTTGCCGAATATGAGAAGTATAGATCGTTCATTATATAGGGTATATGGGAAAGAAAATGGCTGGAAATGGCTGATTTATAGAGGCAGAGAAGTAAGACATAAATGCATAACATCAAATCAACAAGCAATAAACGGAATGACAAATGAAAGAACAAACGGAAATGAAACAAACGAAATGGGTAACATTAAGGAAAACACCACGCTCCTCCTACTAAGAATGATGCAATAAATGGACTGAAATTAGATAGCATTCAGTATCAAATACAAGTGTCGAAGTGGGAAAAATAACATTTTTTTGATGAGAAGGTTTCCGGATAGTGCGGATATTTTAGGTATGGGCGACCGTGAGTCGAGCTCATCTATGTGTTGAATAATCAATTGTGAGAAGGGTTTATAGGTAGCACCGACGAAAATAATTCGGCACAGGGGGTATTTGTATGGGCTTCCTTCGGTTTCGGGGAATCAGATATCTTCTCGTGAGAAAAGGCTGGATTAATTGGCAATTTGGACGACAGGAGATTACAACCAACTGTGTCGAAATGCGACTTGGTTACGCAATCAGATTGCTGGCCTCTGTATCCGGGGTTGATTGGGAGTAGCGACAAGAAAAGGTCGTCGGGACGCGGATGAGGAGAGGTGGAATACATCGTGGGTGTTTTGAGAGGTGCCATTGCAATAGGCGGTGACCTCGTGAGGTGTAGGTTATGATGAATCCGCGTGTTTAAGTTCCTGGTTTGAATGACGTTCTGTCCTTCGCAACGTGGATTAATTGGCAGAGTGGATGTTAGGAGGTCACTATGAGATGATTGTGAGTAACCGGCCTGACACCCGCTGGGCTCCTGGTAGCAGTATCGTGGGTTAATCGGTAATGCAGATGTGAGTAGATCATTGGGACCAAAGCTCGAATAGCTAGAAGACACAGGGCTGTTAACTGCCGCGTTTCTAGAACTTGTTTGTTTAGAAGTAGATTCTGAGCTGGGAGCAACGGCCTCCGTGACCTTTTGACTGCTTGGCAGCTTTTGTAGGACTGGATTAGTGCGAGGTTGCGTATTCAGTGCCTGACAACTTCCAGCCTTTTGTTCACCGTGACACGGGTTGATCGGGAGCACGGAGTTGAGGAGGTCCTCGTGAATCGGGGCTGAGGATCTGGGGGATATAGGGGCAATACCGGTAACCAAAGCCGATTTGGTTTGTTCGCGTGGAGGAAAGTCACGATCTAGAGGATCGATATAAGCCGGATTAATTGGCAAATTTGAAGATAAGAAATCGTCATCGGCATACTTATTCAAGAGGGGAGTTTCGAACCCAGGCTTGTCATATCGAGGATTAATCGGTAAGTCGGATGTGAGGAGAGTGTCGTGGGGGGCTGGTGACTTAGCGGACGTTTCAGACGGCAACGCAAGATGATAATCATGTTCCACAAATGTAGGCAAGTCGGGGTCAGCTGTGTTCATGAAATCTGGATTAATTGGTAGTCGAGAATTTGAAAGGTTCGCGGAGCCAACTACGGGCGCAGGGTCTTCATCCCTCCCTTTTTCACGAGGTTGACGTTGCTGGCTGGTTTCCTCGGTTCTATCGGTACCCTTTTCATCATAACACTCTAGGTAGGGTTGGCCAAATTCTTCAGAAACAGGAAGGGAGTCAAGTGAAAGATGACTCTGGCCAGGCACTGGGTAATCATCATGCACCGGGTATGGCGAATCGGGTTCAATATGATCATGCGTTTGGGGAATGTAATTTTCACCAACGGGATAGCCGCTCCTAGGATGTTCCTGGAGGCCTGTAGACCCAAAATCATCGAATCGAGGATCCAATTCCGTCTCTCTGTCCTGGCGGTCCAAGAATTCCATTTCGGATAAACCCATAGTGGCATGGTGTGAAGTTAGGGCAGGTCTAACATAGCCAGGATTAAAATAAGGGACTGGATGATGCCCATTTCCCCAGTGATTCCTAGGTAGAAATTGTCCGTTCTGATCAAGCCCATTTTGAGATTCATGAATCCCATGCTCGCCGTGATGGTGAGCAGCCTGTAGGTTACTATTCACACAATGAAAATCAGGGCTATTCCTTGACGGAGGTATTATCACAGGTTCTACTCCCATATGTTGGTAGCGAAGGCGTTCTTCCATGGGTACACTGGCAAAATGCATTCCCTTAGCATGCTGGTCCATGTACATAGAATTCAGTTGATAATTGTAGTTAGCTTGGGCGTGCCCCTGATATAATCCGTTGAGACTTTGCATTGGAGCGTATCGGGGAACCTCGGCACCAAGCATGGGGAGATCTTCCTCTCCCTGATCGTCGAACAAGGCGAGGAGGTCCTTCGCAGATAAGCGGCCTTGTGGTCGTTCGTTCAAGCAAATATCGACTATTCTCCTGAAATAGGCTGGAATTGCCATGTCATCCGGAATAAAAAGGGGGCGAGGTTGCCTCCCTGGTTCATCTTCCTCCATAGCGAGAGCCCAAAGAGTCATTCCGAGTTGATATAAGTCAGATTTCACACCAATATACATTGATATCCTCTGCTTACTTTCCAATTTTTTGGCAAACTCTGGAGGTTCCCATCCAATCGGGCAGCCTCGGCGGTTGATGTCAATTATCTTTGCGTCATCATGTTCATCCACAACGACATTAGACACGGTAAAGTCACCTTGGACGAAGCCAGCTTCGTGGATATCCCCGAGACCTTTTATAATCTGTTTAGCCCAACGCTCTCTACGTTTCCAAGAAAGTTCACCCTTGAAGTCATAAAACAAATCAGCCAAGGCGCCCTGTTCCGCATAGTCTATCAAAAGACCTTTAACCAATGTTCCTGTGTCATCGACAACGATTGCTCTGAAATTTATAACGTTGGTAGAGTCAAGAAGAGCATGAAGGGCGTTAATTTCGTATAAAAACTCCTCGACAGTGTCCGGGCCTGTAATTTCCTTCTTCACGTAATCCTTTCCGTGGTATTTTACTCGGTAGACAAACCCAGATAAATGTGAGTCAAAGTCTAGCTCACTTTCTGGAATAAACAAGGGTTTGAGATACTCGACGCTGGAAATTGGTGGGAAAATAATGACCTCATTCACATCTTCGGTAACGTGTACGTGCAGGCGGCCATCGCGAGTTTCCAGTTTAAGGTTGGTGACGGTGTCGTAGAACTGAATCTCATCAATTGACTCACGGATCGATTCGTATATATGTGCATTTTTTTCACGATGGTATTGGAGCTTTTTCAGGTCTGACTCGAGGGATTCAGGCTCAGCATTACGGTAATCACAGGATACTGTTACCTTTCGCCATCGGTTTGGAGTCTCCGCATACGTGATGAAGAATTTTTCACGATCAGATTTGTCTCGGAACCGCATGCTAAGATTTAGTATCCATTTCTTGTCTAGTTCGGCCTCTAGTTCGTTATCGATAGTACCCTCAGAGGGAGGGCCATATTCCGAAGCCATATCGGTTTTTGGTTGTTGTTCAGGGTCCAGTTGAACCGGTGAGGGTTCATCATTTATTAACGTAGGCGATGCCTGGGCCGATATATCATAGTCTTCCGTAGACAAAGCTGGAGCAGAAATTCGGGGAGAGTAAGGTTGGAGTGGGGAAATTGGTCTACATGGGCCGATGTCGCCCTGGCGGTCGGCGGAGTAGGCACGTCTATGGCTTGAGCCAGTCTCTGAGGGAGTGAGATGGTCTCGTCGCTCTGAATTCTGCCGTTTGAAGGTTGGAGCTCGGGGTAAGCCAACGGTGACGTTCGACGGGCTGGGCTGAGGGAGCGAGGGCGCCAACTGCTCACCATCCGTAACAGATACGTCACCGTCGATATCATCGTCATCATCGTGCACACCCTTTTTGCTTGGACGAGGAAGGCCCGCTAGACGCTGGCGACTCAGTTCCCGTGCAATGAACTGCGAGTGAGATTCAATGCCTTCGCCGTCCCTCCCCAGCCAGTTACGAAGTCCAAGACGGTGGAACAAGCTGTGTCTGACTGGGGGAGCGGCCTTGAGGTCAGGCATGAGGAAGAATGGGTACAAGAATGGGCCTGGTGCGTCGGCAATTGAGATGGCCATGCAGCACGACGCGAGGCGAGCTTGGGCTCGACAGCGTGACAGCTGACCTGGATGACTGGCTGGACAAGCGCGGAATGTCCATAAGAAAAGACCGGCGAGGCAGGAAGTGAGATGGAGAGCCTGTCGACCAGGTTGCGTGAAAGAATACGGCTGGAGGCTCTGGCTCTGGGTCCTCCAGCGGCAAACGAGAAACGGGCTTTACATGCAGCCAGCCAACAGCAGATAGTCGAGGAGGGGCTGCGTTCGTGTAACTAGAGGCAAGGGGGATTCATCATAATATAATTATGAACCGCGAGAAGGAAGAGAGAAAAATAAAATAGCGAAGAGTTTGGTTATGTGCAGCGTTCTGGTTGGACCGCCCAAGTCACGCAGAACCAGCGTCAGTTCAATTGAAACGAGGTTTGCTGAAGAGGTAACCAGAGATTAGCAAAATTCCTCGTCCAGCTAGTCCTCATAGGAGGACACAAAAGAGGGAGAGAGACTTGGTGTTGTTGTTGTTGCTGTTGGTTGTTGTTGAGAGAAAAGCGAGTTTGAGGGTGAAAATTCAGAATGAGGCTGGTGTTGGCCGTTTTTGGCGACCGCTTCTTCTTCTTTTTTCTCACTCTGCCTTTTTGACTACAACAACAACACGACAACAGAACCCAGCCACCGAGCAGAGATAAGGACACGCAGAGAAACATAGGAGAAGGATAGGAGAGGCAGGTTAGACAACTTGCACGAATGACATACCGAGTTCGAAGCCAAACACAGGCTGATGGTGGAGGGCGAGAGACGACGTCTGCTGTGTGGCATGGAAATGTACAACATGCGGCCTGCCAGCGAGCTAATAGCGACTCAGTATGGCCGAAAGGTTTCCAAGGGGTCCCCCTCGGTGCTGGATATTGGATGGTTGCTGAAGAGACTCCCTGATGATACATACAGCCCTTGGTTGACTCCGTACAGATGCTGCGGAAAATATTATAAAGACACTGGTTGTCTTCTAGAAGATCAGGCAAAAAAAAAAAAAAAATACGGCTTTCTATGGATAATAATAATAATATAGCGGCCCATCAGACGGTCGCATCCATGGTTCATTTTCCCGCAAAGTTACAAGCGGGAACTGGCGGATATCAGTCTTTTAATTCCCCTTGTCCGGTCTCTCTCCCAGCCCTTCTCTGGATCGTATAACGTCTTGTTTTTAGTCAACGACCTCCAGGCAGCAGCATCAAATTCCACGGGATATCGTACTTATGACTCTTTCCCACGGCAAGAAAAGAAAAATAGTCGATGGAATTTTTTTTAATTTAAACTTCACCATGCGACTGCTGAGGGGCGGTTGGAGCCAGGATATCGTTGGGCACGACGTGGATAGGGCTGCCTACGTTAAACCTTGCATTAGTGACAGTTCTCCTTTAGCGCTGCTTTGTGCTGGCTCCAATTGACCAACCCAACCCGCCGGCGCTCACGCATGATGTTTTACTCTTTCAAAGACAAGTATATTCCTGTCGACTGGTGTGGATCGGCAGAGAGAAAGAAAAAGGACAGGCTGCGGCAGGGCAACATCTAAAGTCGAGTAATGGTTGTGAACTCCATTTTGACTGGCTGATTTTGCCTTTTACCCTTTAACAAGTGGCCTTGTCTTTTACCCAGGCTTGACCTCGCTCGATCCTTTATTTATTTCAACTGAGGGAAAAGGGGGAAAAGAAAAAGAAAAACCTCCTTACTGGCGGTCTAGTTCATTGTCAATCCCCACTGTCCCCTCTGGAGGGCCTTACTAAAGTTCAGAGAGAGATGGTGCATCGGCCCGTGCTGGTGACCTCATCGTACCTTCAAGGGTTTTACGAGCCTCGTCGATCGGTACATTCGATATTTCTCTGCACAACGAAAGGCTAATCTGCAACGAAGCATCAACCCAGTCGAACTTTTTCTCGAAAATATACGGGGGAAAGTGAAAGCCCTACTACATTCTAATTTTGTGCAATAGCCCATTCACTGAAAGTTTGTCAAATATCTGCCATTCAGCTAAACGACGAGCCGGCGCTATTAGGCAGCAGAGAAACAAGTTATCTAATACGACAAATTTAAGCATTAAATCCGCATTCATACTTTGAAGTAGCATTACATAAATAGCATTCTTACATTCTGTTAAGCTAGCGTAATAAAGGAGACAACAAATATGCTAACGTCGCCAATAGCTCATCACTTGGCCTTAGCTCCCCTCACAACCGGGTCGGGAGGACTGAGAATCCATTGCACAGCAGTAAAGGCTGCTTCTTTATCATATTTTTCTTCGCCGAGGTCGTAGATAGCTCTCAAGGTATAGGTGAGCGTTGGATATTTCTCTGACGGGTTCAAAGTCGCTTGGACTACGCGCACCTGCGCACAGATACATGTCACAATAGTGGCCTTCGGTCCGTTAGCACTCGCACAGAAATGTAGATAGATATAATAGGACAAACAAAGTAAATAAAGGATGGGAAAGGGTAAGCATACAGTCAAGAGCCCTCCCTTATATCTTGGTTTAGCTTTATACCGATTGCTGTCAGGATTCCATGTCATCACGTTCATTTGGCGGCAGAAGATTGAAGTAGCAGCCAGCAGTTCGGACTTTCGAATATGATCTTTTTTGTCAACCTGCTTTTCTGAGTGGCATGTCCAGTCGCGCATAATGCAGCTCCAGTGGTTATCGTTCAGATAGAAGAGCCGAACTCCCTTGATTCGAGGGTATGACTGGATCGTGATGCTCTCACCGAGAGTGCTAAAGAGAGGACCATCAAATCTGACAGGACGTCAACAGGGAATTAACAGAATAAAATAAAATAGTAGTGTATAATCTTACTCTGCAGATTTCGTACTGGGAACTTTCTTTAGAGCCTGATAGGCAGCACTCTCCAGGAATCCAGAAAACTGCCAGTCGTTTGGGAGCCACCCTCCTTTATTTGGATGATTTATTCTCTCGCAATCGCGGATAGCCTCCAAGAGTTCAGGAGAAGTTGGAAAGACAACCTTTTGCCCAGTGAAATCCTTACATTTTACTTCAAGATCTGGTGTCCTCTCCAGCCATTCGAAGGAAAATGAATTCGGCGCGTAGGACATATACCCACGAAAGAAAGATGCCATACACAGGCTAACAGATGCTGGAGAGCTAAATGGGACTTTTTCCAATTCCATGGTGGTTGTGAATGAGATGTTCCCACGGCCAGCTGATGTTGATTTTGAGAATGTGAACAAGTTCGAATTGATGGCTGCTGGTGTTGGGCCGTCAACGTTTGGAGTTGGAAAGGAGGAAATAACCTTCACTATGGAAAAGAGTTACTCCACAATGGAAACGGGCAGGCAGCAGCCCACGTGACTGAGGCTACAGTGAATTAAGCGCCGGACTTCCCTTTACAGCTTAGCCCCTCTCCTCTTCCCCCTACTCCGCCCTCTTCTTCCCATGTTTCTTCTCTCCCACCTTCTCCTACTTGTTCTTAGCATCTTCACCGCATCTCTTCCTGCTGTCTCTGCTTATATTCTCTATTTTAAAGGTTGCACTTGAGATTGAATTGATAAACTTCCACAGCGCGTCTACAGAGTTTCGTGATACATAACTACTATGGCAACTCTTCGTCGAAAGGCAGCAGAAGGCCTGGATAAAATCCCCTCCAACGAAGGAGAATGGCGTGCAGCGATACAAAAATATGGCCTTCAACAACGCACTCTCGAGGATCTGTGCAAGGAAGGTAACTAGTTAATTACACCCTTAACAAGCCTAAAAAATTTAACCTAACAACATACAGGGCGTTTCTCTGCATCGTCGGTCCCAAAGGAGGCATTCCTTACCTTACGATGCATTTGGCCTGAAAAGAAGAATGTCGAGGATGCCATGGAATATATTACAGACCTGGAGTATTTCTTCACCGAGGACCATTCTCACGACGCAGCAAATATAATAGGAACGAATCTTCTTGGACTAGATAAGCTTAAGAATCTTGTTAGCATTATATGTCCATCAAAAGAACCTCGCCTAAGCACTCCACCCAAGTACTCTGGAACGCTTGCGGATAACCTAGGCCCTTTCTCGATACTGGTTAATATATTTAACCAACTTCAGGACAAATCAATTCATACCGAAGTAGATGTTCAGCAGGTAGGCTGGGCTCCACAAACAAGGCGACACTTCGATCCAATGCAAAGCCCAATTCGGGAACACCCGCAAAGTCCAAGTCGCCAGCTATTCGAATCAGAAGATTTCGACATGGAAGATGTTGACATGGATGATGCCGGCAGTCCTGCCCCTCCTCTTCACCCTGTTGTCACTGCTCCTGTAGAGCTAGAAGACGAGGAACCACCTCGTCGGACCCCAACCGAGACTCTTGTTACTGATTTTATGGTCACCTTTCTTGGGGGCTTAGCAAGCCTTGTTCAACCTCACAGCTCTAGGCCCCTTTGCATTGCAAACTCCTTTGAGACAACGTTTCAATTTGGTCCTTTACGTAATACTCGTCAGCAACAAGGCGAGGTTCAATACCGAGCTCGTGTCGATGGTAGTATTCCTTTCAGTACATCTCTGTCCGGAATGCTACGTGAAGCTGCAATTTTCGAAGCGAAGCGCGCTGTGCGTAAGGAGAGTGATGGTAGCATCCCTGTGTTGGCCCAGCAGTCAATGGAGCATATCGCCTACATTTGGAAGCGCCATGAAAGCGATCAGGCCGTAAGAATTCCTTGGTTTTCTTTTCTTTACTGCGGTATCTCGTCTCTAAACTGGAAACCTTTACTAACCGAACCTGTGTCATAGTGGAAGAAAAAGAAGAAGACTTACCATACCTTTATGGTAGCCCAAGACCATTTACAATTCCACATCAGTATCGGCACTTATGATAACAAATACCTTGAGTATATTTTTGCGTCAAATTCTCAGATTGTACTTCCTTTTCAGGGGCCAGTACCATTTCTTAAGATTCAGGAATTCGGTCCGTTTGATATTGCCAACCAAGACGGCCTTACACTTTTCTCAAATATAATGCTCTCCTTTATCCTCCAGCAGCTTGAGCAAACATCGGCTAAATCCATCTTTAAAGAGGCACTACGTTGATGTTTGGACATTACAGCTACGACAAATTCGAGATTTAATTTATAACTGCTACTTCTGCTCTCTATATCTAGAGTTTGCAAATTATCCTCTCTCTCCTGCATAAATAATGGATATAGGGGATACCACTATGAAATGAACCTGACTCAACTTTTTATATACACGTTCTAGCGCCCATAATTGCTTCCAGAAAATTAATGCCTGATACAGTTCGTATATACCTAATAGTTTTACCCTTCATTATATTGATAAATTCGTTAAGTCTAACTGTCGTTGAACCCTTTGCTGTTGAATTAACTTAATATTCGTTCGATTATATATAGTTATAGTTAAAGTTTATAGAGAAGGTTTGTTAGCCGTGATTAAAGTTTATCGAGGAAAGATTAGATTAGATAAGATTAGATTATACTTCAATAGCCAACGATCATAGCGAAGAATAAAGCAGGAGCGGTATTAATATCCGTAGAAGTACAGAGAAACACCAGAAGGAATAAATAGTGGAATTCTACAGATATCGTTTATCGTGATGCTAATATACAGGAAAATATGTAGCCAAACTAGGAAGCAACCCCAATGTACATTAACTCAAGCCAATGCCCTAGGATGGGATCTTGCTCATCTTTTTCCTCTTCCTCATCCGCCCTCCCTCCTTTTCCTCGAAACTTTGCCTATCCTTTGTCTATTTTCCAACAAAATAGAGTGGCCCTGATAACAAGGAGTAAAGAAAAAGAGGGAAATAATACCCAGTGCAACTCCGACCCATGCTTGAGGAACCAATGTATGACAAAGAGAGGAGGGGTAGACAAACCATGCGTATGGAAATGGGAACAAGGGTTTCTATATAAGTAAATTAAGGCAATGATAGACGTAAAACTAGTCTTCGTCTTCTTGGGCCTTCTTATCGGCCTTCTCTGGTTCAGCAAGCTGTGCAGACCATAGTTGATTTATAGCTTGCCGGTCAATATTGCTAAACACTAGGTCAAATATATCGGAATACCAACTGGCAGCGTGACCTTCTATTCCTTCTTTAATATTCTAGAAATAAAATATATAAGGTTAGCCGTTGTATATAACTCGATGAATTACCGCAGAGAAGCATACCTCAGGGAGCTCTAGCCAATCAGACATATTGTCTGCGGGGAATATGATGGTCTTGGCTCCTGCACGGCGGGCAGCCACAGTCTTCTCACGCAGTCCTCCGATCCGCAATACCTTTCCTGTTACTGTAAGTTCACCAGTCATGGCAATAGCGGGGTCAACGGGCTTGTCGAGGGCGAGGGATAGTAGGGCAGTTGCCATGGTAATACCAGCAGAAGGGCCTATAAATGGCGTTAAAATCACGGCTAGGTAGATAAAATAAGGGGATTGAGGACATACCATCTTTTTGCACTGCACCCTCAGGGCAATGAAGGTGAAGCCTTGCTTTGTCAAAAAACTTATTCTCAGGGAATTCTTTAGCCATAAGAGATTTTGCAAAGGAGTATGCAATAATTGTAGACTCCTTCATTACGCTCATCAAGTTGCCAGTCTGTTCAAAGCCGGGCCGGGAAGATGGTGACAGTGCAGATTGTAAGATTGATTCCACATATAGTGCAGCACCGCCCATGCTTGTCCATGCAAGGCCCATTGCAACACCAGGTGGTGTGGTATCATAAAGTCGATCCGATGTAAAGACGGGTGGGCCAACATAATCTTTTAGATTGTCTTTTCCAATAGAAACGTGAACATCTGATGGAACTTGCACAGCTTCTAGCTTCGGGGTTTCTTGGCTTGCGGATTCCATTGTAGCTTCAGTCTCTCCCTTTGTATTTGCTTCCTGTTCAGCCCTAACTTCTTCCCTAACATTGGTTTCTTCTGAAGGCTCTTCGTCTGGTAGATCTTGGATGATTTTCAATGCTGCTTTCCTGTACACTTTTTCAATTTGTTTCTTGAGGTTGCGCACACCACTCTCACGACAGTAAGATTTTATTAGCTCTTCTATACCCTCTTTTTCAAGAGTCACGTCCACCTGTTTCAAGCCACTGACTTCTTTGGCCGCAGGAGCAAGGTATCGCTCAGCAATGGCCATTTTCTCATCAGCAACATAGCCGGAAAGCTCAATCAATTCCATTCGATCTAGCAAAGGGCGGGGAATAGTATCGGTCATGTTTGCCGTGCAAACGAAAAGCACCTTGGAGAGATCCACAGGGATATCCATATAGTGATCGAGGAAAGAAGAATTTTGCTCTGGATCGAGTAATTCAAGCAGTGCTGATGCTGGGTCTCCCTGATGCCCTCGTCCAATTTTATCAATTTCATCAATAAGAATAAGGGGATTTTCGGTCTGGCATTTCTTGAGGGCTTGGATAATTCGGCCAGGGAGAGCCCCGACATAAGTCCTTCGATGGCCCTTTATTTCGGCCACATCTGTCAAACCGCCAACACTGAATCGATAGTACTGTCGGTTTAATGCGCGCGCAATGGATTTTCCAATACTCGTCTTTCCTACACCGGGCGGTCCGACAAAACAAAGAATCTTCCCTTCGACTGTTCCACGGAGTTTCCCTACAGCAATGAATTCGAGAATTCGGTCCTTTACGTCCTTTAGACCGTAATGATCTTCATCCAAGACCTTCATAGCATTCTTGACCCCGAAATTCTCCTCACTCCTTCGGCCCCATGGAATCTGTGTTATCCAGTCCAGGTAGTTTCTGGTAACATTAAATTCAGAAGCTGCAGGCTCCAGGTGTGCGAGTTTGTTCAATTCTTCATCAAATACTTTCCTCACAACATCAGGCATGGCGAGTTTTTCAGCTTTCTCCTTAAACTTCTCCACAAGTTTATCCTTTCCGTCGGACTCAATTCCTAGTTCCCGACGGATACCTTTCATCTGCTCCATTAACCAGTATTCTCGCTGGCGCTTTTGTATCTTAGCCTCAACATCCTTTGAGATCTTGGACTGAAGTTGGGCATTCATAAGTTCCTTTTTCAAGACAACCAAAGCTTTAGACAGGCGTTCCTCAACATTCATGGTTTCTAGAACATCCTGCAGCTCCTTGATTTCCCCAGCAGACACAGCCGCGGCAAAATCGGCTAATTTGGCGGGTTCCTCGATAACATTTCCGGCCGATTGGCTCATGGAAAAGGTGGAAATCTGGTCACGGAATAAGGGATTCAGATTTGCAACATCCTTGAAAACGTTGACTATTTCACTCGTAACCGCACGTATGACAGGGCTCTTCTTGTCGATGGGTTCTTCCACCAGATTGTTTACATTAACTATACTCACGGGATACTTCCGTAAGAACGCTGATGGTTCATATAGACCTGTATCCTTGGTGGTTTGTTCTGTAGTCCCTTCCTCGAAGCTTGCCACAACATCACCTTGTTTATCGGTTGATGAGTCTTTCGATGGCTCTTGATCACCGACGTCTTTCTGCGAGTTATCACGAGATGGGAGAATGGACGTCATTTTTATTCTTCGGTGCGGGTATAAAACTGCCGTAAGGCCACTCTCATCTCCATGAACGGGGAAAGCGCTTGTAATTTGGGCAAATACACCGACATCATGAACCTCGTCTATGCTGTCAATGACATCTTTATCGGCAGCTTCATCCTTGAACAAGAAAGCTCCGACGTAGGGTTGCCCTCGTTTCATCATTTCTTGTATGGCGGATACAACGTTCGGGTCTTTGATCGTGATAGCCTTATAAAATCCAGGGAACAGAGGTCGTCGAGCAATTGGGATGGCCATCACCTGTGGATAGACATCCGGTATCGTCGGTTTCTGGAGCGCCTTTTCTGAAGATCCCTTTCTTCCTCGCCTCCCTCCGTCACCACTCCCACTCCCGCTTCCGCTAGAACTGCCACCGCTGCCAGCTCCCGCCTGGCTTGGCCTTGAGTCTGATCGCCCCTCTGACAATGGAATTGGGCCTGGTTCATCAGATTTTCCTTTACCTTCAGAAGGTTCCTCAGGCTTTATTTTCTCTTCGCGTTCTGCTTCCGCCTCGTTTCCTTCGCTTTTGTCCTTCTTTGGTTGTGGCGGAGATGGTTTCTCTTTTAGTCGGGCTGGAGTCGAAGAGAGACTGCGCGAGAATGGTAGTTGAGAAGTTCGAACATCTAGGCGAGAGAAAGCAATCTGTCTGATTAGGGGACTGTAGGCTCTGTACCGAACATCCTGGGAGGTCCGACGAAGAGCTATTCTCCACGGCAGACTGATGCCCCGAATCATCCTCGCGGTTGGTACCAAAAAAAAAAAAAAAAAAAAAAAGAAAGAGATCAAAACTAATAACGAATGAAGGCCCCCAAACCAAATATAATACAGCACTCCGTACAGCCCTTCAAGACAGCAATTCCCCGAGCTGACGAGAAAAAGAGTAGCTAAAGAGACAACTTCGAGATTTGCCGGATCGAACTTGATGTTTTTTTTGCTCTTTTTAGTCATTCGGGGATGGCAGCTGGAAAAACTATTTGGCCGAAGTTCCGGGGAAACTTTTTTTTTTCTTGAATGTTCGAAAAGAAGAAGAAGAAGTCGAAGAGCTTTCTCGTTCTCCTCGTTATATACAAATTAATATACTTGATCGCGTTTATATTATCTTCCCATGAGTGTCACTGCGCCCGGGCTGCCGCTAGCAGTCTCTGTTCCTTGCCGTCTGTTGCGAACGTCGAGATCTTATAGAAGTCAATGCCTTGACTTCAGCCGGCATGTGCAGTCACGGTCATATCAGACTGATTCCAAGGCCTGGAATGGCCAGAGGCCTACTGTTAGACCGAGCAATGCGCAGTCATTGAACCATTCATCAAGAGTAAGTGGGCTATTATTAACCGAAACCGCAAAGCCAAGTATCATCTTCGCTCACATCGATCCACAGCAATTCCATGCAACAGCTCCCGTCCAAGCGGCAGCAAAAAATCCTTACAGCGTCTTGGGTGTTAGCAAAGATGCATCAGCTTCGGAAATTAAGCGAGCATACTACGGGCTGGCGAAAAAATTTCATCCAGATACAAACAAAGACCCCAATGCTAAAGACAAGTTCGCCGAAGCGCAAACCGCCTACGAGACTTTATCCGACCCCGAAAAGAAGAAGGCCTTTGATACGTACGGATCTGCTGCATTTGATCAGAACGGTGGCTTTAATCCTGGCGCTGCTGGCGGCGGTCCCTTTGGAGGGGCAGGTGGCTTTCATGGGTTTGGCGGCTTTGGAAGCGGCGGGGGTTTTGGAGGAGGGTTTTCCGCAGATATAAATTTTGATGACATCTTCGGTGCCTTTGCTAAAGCTACTGGTCGCAATCCACGCGGTCATGGGTCGCCCTTCTCCAGCGTTGCGGTTGGAGACGATATCGAGGTTCAGGCAAATATCTCGTTCATGGAATCGGCCAAGGGAACAACCAAGGATATCAACATCACGCCCTTGGTTACATGTAATTCGTGTAAGGGAGAAGGATTGAAGGACGGAAAGAAACGATCACGTTGCAGCACCTGTGGCGGAACCGGCGCACAGATCCATGTTATCCAAGGCTTCCAGATGCAGAGCACATGCGGAGCTTGTAATGGAACGGGCTCGTTGATCCCAAGAGGCTCCGAATGCAACACATGTAGCGGTGGAGGTGTTGTACGAGAACGGAGGACTGTCAAGGTTGATATCCCAGGGGGTGTAGAAGACGGGATGAGGCTACGGGTTGCCGGTGAAGGTGACGCCCCCATGGCAGAACCAGGAACCCGCACACAGCGAGGGAACCTCTTCGTCTTTATACGGGTTGCTGCGGACCGTCGGTTTAATCGCTCTGGATCTGATGTCTTGTACACTGCCGCCATCCCTCTCACAACCGCGCTTTTAGGGGGTGAAGTTACAGTCCCCACGCTAGACGGGGAGGCTAAGGTCAGAGTTGGCACTGGAACCGGAACTGGTGATAAGATTACCTTGCCAGGAATGGGTATGCGAAAGCTCGGTGGCAGGAGAGCAGGCAACGGGGACTTGAAGGTTGAATTCAAGGTCACCATGCCGAGATCTCTGACTCCCAACCAGCGAACAATCCTAGAGGTTCTTGCAGATGAGATGGATGATAAGACTGCGAAACGAATTATGAATGTCAACGAAATGAAACCTGAGAGGTAAGCATTCCCAAGCCCATGAATATCCAGCTTCATCAAGGGTTAATGTATACTCAGTTCTTCTAGCAAGTCATCAACGGAAGGAGGAGGCAACGGACAGAAGGGCCAAGGTTTCATCAAGTCTGCTTGGGACAAGTTGATGAACCATCGCAATTCATGTTCAAGTTCAAGCAAGGGTCCATCCGGCTCCAACGAGAAGAAGGGACCCTCAGCGCAACCTGACCAGCACAAAGAGTCTGACCAACCGAACGAGTCTAAAAAGGCATCAGGCTCTGGCTAGTCGTGTCCCCTTGGATGGTATTCAATCCTGTCCGTTTATTTTCTTCTTCTTTCTCATAGCGTCGGGCGAGGTATATCTTTTCCTTCATACAACATTTTAACTCCCCCTTTTTCTTTTGACTGTACATTATGTTTCTGTATACTCCTCATCATCCAAAACCAAAGCCAAAGCCACCTAGCAGGCGTTTCTCTTCATACTCAACATCTTATGTTTACATGTTGGACGCACCTTTTTTTGTTACCTTTTAGCCTTGCTTATTACTTCTCGAGGCTTCTACTCCATGCTCTCCCCCTTTTGAAGACTCCCCGGCCTCTCAACCCACAGCATGCTCCCTTCACAGCCGTGCCTGGAAGACCGAGCCGGGCAGCAATTTCGAAACAGGACAGACACTGAGGCGGAAATTGCTTTGGGCCGGTACCGGGGTAAGTGAGTTTGCCATTTTTACTCTACGATATATATATCCATGAAAGAGACTAATAACCCGTCTCATTAGCCAGACGCCTGCAGTAAATCGGCCGAGCAGGCCTATCTTCACGATGGCAGTGATATGCATGAGCAGGAATTGGACATTGCTCAAGGCCTCTCAAATTTTGCATAACAGACGAATGCAAAAAAAAATAGGACAAAGCTAGGCTATGACGAGTCCCTACAGCTCGAGTTTCCACTTCCTAGGCGTGGGTGGGATATTGGTAGGTCAAGTCGAAATCACCAACAAGTATATAGATGACGCTCCACTGGATCATTTACACAGTGGGAGACAAAAGGAGACGTCTCCTTTCTTCCTTTCAAGGCAAGATATGTGACATCATTTCTGTTTATATTATAGACTCGGAGGAACAGTTTCATCAGGATAGGGAATACTGTTTGTATGCTAAAAGCTCTTCATCTCCTCTCCGCCCTTGTGTGTCGCCCTTCTCCCACCATACACATATACATAACTCGTATATATAGCCTTTTGACAATCTGCCGGGCTGAAACTGATGTCTAGCCAATCTGTGACTGTGAAGCAGCATCTCAGGCCTACTGGGCGGATGCCATACTTTCAGCAGGCAAGGATCCGGCTGTGATAGTGGCGCCAGTAGAGAGTGCAAGACTAGGATGGGATGAAAAATCTCCCACTCTTAGTGCATCATGCGAGTAGTATATCGGCTCTAGAGATGAAAGACAGCAGAAGAAAAAGAAAAGAAGAGGAAGAAGTTCTTCAGATTCACTGCCGCCGTGATAAGGCTTGTTGACGCTGCCTTGACATCTTTTTGCACCAACTTCTCGCCTTCACCAGAAACATCAACCAACCAACATATAGATAACCTCCTCCGGCCCCCAAAAAGCACCAGTTGACGCCGCGACAGACACAGAGGCACAAAGACAACTATATAGAGCGCATGTCCGGTTTGACCAGGCCTTCTTTTTGGTGACGACACCAACTATACATCACCCTCCTCCCCACATCGTTCCGCCGAGGAGGGCCAATATAGCCAGCCAGAAGCCTAGCACTCCCAGCGTCCTGATCCCCGTATATAGAGGGACGTATATATACAGAACTACGGAGTACACTACTCTCCAATTGCTACGGTGCATAGGATTATTCCTGGAGCAGATCTGTCGTCCTCTTGGGGGAGAGTGCTGGCTCTTCGGCCGCCAAATCCGCCACGATGGTGCAGTCTCCCATGATATCGTGTCCTCTCAAGCAAACGGCAGAGATCGACTGGATTGCTCCTCTCAAGGGATACATCAGACAGACATACGGTGATGACCCGGAGAGGTATTCGGAAGAATGCGCGACTTTGAACAGGCTGCGGCAGGACATGAGAGGTGCGGGCAAAGATAGCGCTTCCGGGAGAGACCTACTCTATCGATATTACGGGCAACTAGAGCTATTGGATCTACGCTTCCCCGTCGACGAGAATCATATCAAGATATCCTTTACCTGGTACGCTGTTCTTTCGTTTTGCTTCCACAAGAGGGATAAGTTGCAGGGCTGACGATGCGACTAGGTACGATGCATTCACGCACAAGGCAACCTCCCAGTACTCTCTGGCCTACGAGAAGGCTTCCATCATATTCAACATCTCCGCCGTCCTATCTTGCCATGCCGCCAACCAAAGTCGATCTGACGATACCGGGTTGAAGACCGCATACCACTCCTTCCAAGCGTCGGCTGGCATGTTCACCTACATCAACGACAACTTCCTACATGCTCCCTCGACAGACCTGAGCCGAGATACGGTCAAGACGATGATATCTATTACTCTTGCCCAAGCACAAGAAGTCTTTCTCGAAAAGCAGATAACAGATGGGAAGAAACCGGGATTCTTGGCCAAGCTCGCCAGTCAAGCCGCTCATCTATACACTCTGGCGGCGGAAGGTGTTCAGGAAAATGTTACCAAGGGGATATTTGAGAAAGTGTGGTGGATTCTGACCTCCGCAAAGGCGTCACATATGACCTCTCTGGCAAGCTATTACCAAGCTATTGCTGACGACGAAGGCGGTATACACGGTGTCGCCATCGCACGATTACAGATAGCGGAGAAGGCGTCCACGGCTGCAATTAGTATGGCCAAGTCATTTCCTTCCTCCGTCCCTTCTGGCTCTAATCTCACGTCTGAAAATGGCACCGTACTGCTGGATATGGTACGGCGACAGCTAGCTACCGTTCAAGAGAAGCTACCTTCGATGAAGAAGGATAATGACTTCATCTATCACCACCAAGTTCCAGCTGAGGCTGCTGTTTCTCCTGTAGCCAAACTCCCCGCTGCCAAAGCTATACCCGTCAGCGAACTGTACCAGGGCCAAGATATCCAGCGGATAATTGGCCCCGATATTTTTCAGCGTATAGTCCCAATGTCTGTTACCGAGTCGGCGAGTTTGTACGATGAAGAAAAGGCGAAGCTCGTCCGGGCGGAAACAGAGAAAGTTGAAGCTGCTAATGGAGAGATGGCCGCCAGCTTAGACTACCTGAAGCTTCCCGGCAGTTTAAATATCCTGAAGGGAAGCCTGGACGATGAGCTGACGGTCGATGAAGAGTTCAGAACGTGGTGCGAAGAGGTTTCCTGTCAGGAACCGTTCAGAGGCACTCTCGAGGATCTACAGGATGACAAGACGTCGCTACTTTCCACCCTGGAGCAGTGTACCAAGCAGCTGGATACCGAGGAGAGCGTGTGTGAGAAGATGCGGTCCAAATATGGTGCTGATTGGACACAACAGCCAAGCTCGCGCCTGACCTCGACTCTACGATCGGATATAAGAAGTTACCGCGAGACAATTGACGAAGCCAGCTCGAGTGATTCCCAGCTGTTGGTCACTCTACGACAGCATGAGTCCGACTTTGAGGAAATGCGTGCTGCTGGCGAGGCTGGTGAGCCGGATATACTCTTCCAGAAAGCACTCATTGCGGCCGGCTCGAGGCCAGGGAAGAATGGTGCCAGCCCAGGAAGCCCTTATAGCAACAGGGCCCTGGAAGGAAACCTCTTGGAGGCAGACTATGGGGAAGGGGGCTTATCTGTGGCAGAGCAGATCGCAAAAGTTGAGGAACTGCTACGGAAATTGAGCCTGGTGAAGAGAGACAGGATGCAGACCTTGAAAGACTTGAAAGACAAGGTGAGTTCTATCAACTAAAAAGAAACAACCAATCAGTTCAATGCCTAATAATCTTACCAGGTTCACAATGACGACATCTCCAACGTTCTTATTCTCAACAAGAAATCAATCGCCAACCAAGAGGAGCAGCTATTCCAAACGGAGTTGGAGAAGTTCAGACCTCACCAAAACCGGCTGTTACAGGCAAATCATAAACAGAGTGGCCTTATGAAAGAGCTGGCCAAAGTATATGGTGATCTGCTACAGGACAAGCGGGTACGGGCTGAGAAATCAAAATATGAAGTACTCACCAAGCAGCGAAACGCGGTCACATCCAAGTACAGAAAGGCACACAAGGCGTTCCACGAACTCCTGAACGGGCTAAGCCAGGCGCAGGCATTCTACATGCAAATGCGAGACACAATTGACAACCTGCAGCAGAATGTCGAGACCTTCCTCAACAACCGCCGGGCTGAGGGCGCCCAGCTACTCAGCCAGATCGAGCGAGACAAGGCCGCACAAGCATCCGGCCACGAAGAACGCGAACGAGACAAACTGAAGAACCTGATGGAACGATTATCTGTAGATCCGGCCTCTTCACCATCATCGCCTCCGCCTCCACCTCCGCCTCCTGCGCCCAAACGGGCTGCTAACACGGCAAAATCACCCACTCACCCCGGCCTACCACCACAGCAACCTCCATCTCGATCCCCCATCACAGCCCAATACCCTCCGTCCACCTCGACCAATTATCCACCTATAACTTACCCAAGCGGCAACGGCATGTCGCCCACTGAAGGCTATGGTGGCACTCAACCACCCTACGCCCAACACATGAACCCAGAAGCATACAACCCCATGGCCTACCTTTACCAACAGCCACCGACCTCCCCTCCGCCGCTGCAGCAATACTATGCTAGTCCGTCCTCGTACGGCGGCTACCCGGGCACATCACCCGTCCCTCAGCCCCAGATTCCACCCAGCCATACTCCCCAATATCTACCACAGGGCTACGTGCCTCCTCCGCCGCCGCCACGCCACTCACCAGTACAATATAACTCACCTGGCCAGGGACAGGGGGGATATCCTCCTCCAACCAGCAACTATCCACCCAGTCAGCCATCTCATCGTGCAAACCAACCCTCTCAATCACAGTCACAGGGCGATCCATGGGCGGGCCTGAATGCATGGAAGTAACGTATGAAGTAGGAGAAAGAAACGAGGAGAAACACGAATGAATGAATACCTAGGTATGTTTGAGATACGATCCAAAAGAGCTCAAGAACAAATATCAGGCCACCCAGACAACCAGCTGGGCAAATAGACGAAGTTTTCCTACAGCATTTTTTCCTACAAACATCTATCTGCATCTATCCATTAAAATAGCATTATGTCGACGTCGTTATTTCATTTTTTATCATAAAAAAGGGGGAAGGGGGCAACAGATAGAAATATACAATGGCAACTCTTTTTTCCTACCCTTTTATAACAAGGATATTTCTTAACAGGTTAAAAGGGGGTATATTAGATTAATCTTTATATTCTCTAGTTTGTTTTATACAGAAGAGCAGACTCTAGCTCACAAGGGTATCTATCAAGTATGTAACCAAACCGGATGGACCTAACGCCATATATGAAAGACAAAGAGAACAGGGCAAAAGAGCAGAGCAAAGAAACAGGGAGATCAAGATCTACGGCTGAAATCTAAGCCGAAACTCCTTCCCTCTCCTCTCCTCGTTGACTTTATACAGAAACCGAGCGATGGCATCCTGCTCTGATATAGCCGTGTTATTAAAATGTTTCCGCACTGCCGAGGCAAGTTGTGCCTTAGACACTCGTCCCTGTGCCGGGGCAGAGAGGCGATGAAGTACATTATCCGACCGCATAGTTGGACCTTCCTGTCTCGAGCTGATGTCCATGTCAGTGTCAACCTGCATGTCCTGATGTTGTCTGTCCGATGCCTGCTGCTGGAGCAATTGTCTGCGTCGGATGGAAATGGCGGTTGCAGATCGCAGACCGGCACCCTGCGAGAGGAGGATGGAGTTTATCTGTGATGAGAACGCGCTTGGGCAGGATAGGTTGTAGGCGTAGCGGTATTCGTGAAGGACAGACAGAGGCATAGTGGACCAATTTATCTATTGCTGCTGTTAGATTTGGTCGTGGCGTATTATCTATGTTATATTTAGGAAAGCCACATACGGAGGCCTGAGACTCAACGCTGCCACTCTCGTCCATGCGTTGATCTGCAGCAGGGGATTTGCCTTCTTTCAAAGCTGCATTCATTCCCGCAACGGTGGTGTTTGCAGCGGCCGAAGAGGTTGCGGCGGGTTTGCGGCCCTTGGTGGTGCCCTGGCGTTCACGGGTGCTGGACGCTTCTGACCGGGAGTCATCTGGGATTACAGCATTGGCAGCAGCAGACGTAGCAGCAGCAGCAGCAGCTGTAGCGGGTGCAGGGCGCTGGCGGGGGGGAGCCATTCAGGTTAAGGTAAAAAAGAGATGTCGATCGAGACTGCGGAGTGCGGTATTAAACGATTGAGCGCCTGACTGTCTGGTGGGGACTGAGACGGTAATTGGAGAATAGCGAGTGGATAATAAGAACGGGAGGAAGAATAAAAGGAAAAGGAAGAGAGCATGTCTCGTAAAGCTGGTGGATGAAGCTGAAGTTCGAACGTTTCTTCGTTCAAAAGTTCTTCTTTTCTCGGTCTTTTTTTTTCCTTTCGATAACGATTTTGACTTTTTTGTTTTGGTTTCCGCGTGGGGTGATTAGTCATTCATGTCTTATCTAATACAAGGCGTATCGATGTTTTGTTCAAGGCTTTCTGGCGATGATGAAGATTGGTTGTGATGTAGACCTTCAACCACGATGTGTGGTATCACGAAGCTATAAAGCAGTCAGATATACTATCATGTCTTAGATGCCTAAAGTTATTTATTCTACGTTCTAGTATCCAACGTTTGGCCCTACTTGGCAACCATTTAGCCCATTCACATACATATATAGACATCCTATAGGCTCCGGAGCTTACGGCCGTCATTCACCGTTTTATGTCTATATTCCTGTGGTTATTTGGTAACTGAAGCATTGTTTCGTTGTCTACAAGTGGTACTTATTTAGAGTTTGTAACTACGTCATCCCGTTCAACCCAATAGATATAAATAACTGCTTATGAAGTAGTATAGAGTGACGAAGGAGATTACATGTCAAAGACCTCGTCGAAGGAAGAGTGCTCATCTAGAGTCCCTTCTTCGGCCTGCTTGATTTTCATCTCGATAAACTGTTGCATGCCATCCTTCTCCTCCGCCGTCAAATAATCCTCTGGCTCAGTCTTCTGGTCAAAGAACATCCCATGCAAAAAAGTCCAGTAGATATCATCAAACATAAAACTCTTCCTGGCGGCGAGACAGAACCAAAACACCCCGTCCTCCATGCTCTCTGCCATCCTGCCTGACAGACGCTGGGACTTCCTCATCTCGCCCGCCGCAATACGCGCGTCTTCCTCCTTACGCAGGACAGACAGGAACAGGTCCAGACGAGGCCTGTACCTGTCTAGAAAGCGAGTGAGGTCAGACTCCCATGCCTCGGGGCTCTCGAACAGCAGCCACCAGGGTGCGGCGTGCGTGAACTCGGCGGGGGCAAAGTAGGTGTATTCCCAGTCTATGACAGCAGTAACAGAAAAATCCGAGTCGACCAAGACGTTTGAGGGACGCAGGTCATCGCAGTAGAGGTGGAACGTCGAAGCGGTAGACGTGTAAGCTAAACGACGGGCCACTTGCTTGAAGAGGCAGCGGGCAATGTACTTTTTTCGACAGTCATCATAACCCTTGACGGCGTCGTTGCGCTGGTAGAACAAGTGCATGAACTGCTGGTCCGCGAGGTGGGAGAAATAAGAAGGGGTATCTGGGAAGCTGGACTGGGTGAAGACGTGAAGGGGGACATTGCCCACCCTGACGAGCTCGTTCATGTTGAGGGTGAGAGGCCTCTTGTCGACCTTCCATCCTTTTCTGTCACAGTCGAACACCAGGCCGCCGATGGACGAAAGGACGGGCTTGGACAGGTCAAGCAGCACTTTGGCCATGCTGGCGTAAGCCTGGCGCAGCTGACCTTCGTCGACATCGGGCTTCAAGCTGGGCGACTTGACCGTCGGGTCTCGCAGATAAGAAGACAGTAACTTGCCCTCTACGAACGACATGACTATGTAGGGACCGCCTGCCCATCGACCCTGGCCTAGCAGTTTGGGCACGGGTACCGCGGAATGAACAGCCAGGAAAGTCATGGTGGCGAGCTCATCCTAGGTCTTCTCACGACGGAACCTGCTTCGACCAAGAAGAGGGAAGCGAACGACAACACGCTGGCCATCCTCGAAGGTAACCGTGGTGCAGATGTTGCATGAGCCGGTGGTGTACTCTGATGCTTCAACCGCGCGAACATCCGGCCGATGGTTCTGGGCCAAACGAAGGGGCAGAGTCGAGTCTCTGAAGAGCAGCCTGAGCCATCCGGCGAAGAGGGTCTGCGCCTTTTCCTCTGCCAGGTGGTCCCAGTCCATGATAATGAAGCAGTAGCAAGTCTTCTTCTCTTAACGGACTAGTTACCGAAGTGTTACGGATGATCGCGATCCCATTGTAGGATAGCTGATTATGGGAGGCTGGAATAGGGAATTTGAGCTTGAAAAGAACTATTTAATCAACTTTTCAACCAAATCTCCATCGTTCTCACTTAACAAGTGCCATGATCTATGTACTCATGGATGAAGAGAAGACAGCTTTACTGTCCAGTTCCGCTCAAAGTGGGATGCTGCAATCTTCTCTCCTGTTCTATCTATCGAGCCAAAAGGTGTGGAATCACTTCTCTTCAGATCCTACTTGGGATACTCAAGATTCCAGCATGTGGGATCCCCGAGCAATTCACAGCTGCCGCCTTATCAGCCTTTAATCTGAAGCCTGAAACTTATTCAACGCGAAACTTCAGTCCTGGTCCCTGAGGTATCTGCGTTTTACTCAACGTCGGATGATGACCTTGGAGTTCCGTTTATCCAGGAATATCTCTTTATGACTGTAGTTTAACATGGGGATTTCCAAGGAAGAATGAAGATTGCGCCGCAAGAAATCTCTGGAGAACTGAGCCGGTTCTCCTTTTCTACCGGTGGAGCCCCAACTTATGATGCGGAGAGTAACTTAACCCCGGCCCATTGAGACCTTATTGACTACTCGGCAATGCCTGAGCGGCTCGGACGAAATGATAAAGATATTGAACCAACGCCGTATTTCACAGCTGGCCCTTTACAGACCCGGAAGATTTCTACCTTCTCTCGCTTAACCGGACCAAGAAGCCGGAGAACATCCTCAATAAGGGAGACTTCTTCGTGTCTTTTTACAATGGACGACGCAAGACCCAAGGTTCGTGCTCATCCGGATTTGAATATACAGAACATCCTTGTATCCGATGTTGAATTGGGGGGGGGGGCCTTTAGATCGTATTAGCAACGAATACAGGGATATGGCGATATACGATATAATCGATGTTCTGGAAGGCGGCGAAATGGAACAGGAAATGCTGGATTATCTGAAAAAAAGGGGATTGAGAGCCTGCTAAACCAAAGTTCAGTCGTGTGTAGCTGGGCATTAACAACTGGCACTTGGCCTGAATGTAGATGATTCCTGTGAAGTGCATGTGGCATCTGCTCATTTGAGCGCGGGACTGGCCCAGACCGTGAGATAAACATGGGGAAGCGGTTCTACCATGTAACTGTAGCCCTGAGGTGGCCGTTTTTGTACCACCCTTTTCTGCTGTTCTATATAAATAAGAAAAAAAGGCTTTTTGATATCTTGGCGGTTGAATAAGCTATTACGTCACGGAATCTTCCGGGCTGGCTGGGTATCACGTGACATGGTACTGCTTCTTCCCCGAAAAGATCGCAGCTTCACCGATATACGATCGATAAAGCTTGCCACTCCGTTCTTCCATGGAGAAAAGCTGATGATCGCTATGGAGTAGATACCTGGGCAGAAATTGAGGCTGTGGAGCTGGTGGGCCGGTAAGTCAGGGCAGTACTATGTAGGTTACATACAACACCTTGCCCTGTTCACTTTCGACTGAGGGATATCGTTCAGGGCTCGATGGCGGAACTATTGGCGGTATGGGGTGCGATTGACTGCACGCAAACCGCCTGATGCGTAACTGGAGCACTGGGTTTGAGTTGGGATCCGAGAGTGGACATCTGCATCTTCACCACCAGCACAAGTCGCCGCCTTCCAACAGATCGAAGGGGGACTTAAATGCGACTATACATGAATTCATAATGTCGACGCTTCACACATCCTCCGTCCACTGCAGATAGACGGACAAGAAGATAGACAAGATAGACAAGACAAGACAGGCAAGAGAGCCCAGAATGGCAATGCCGGATATCCTGTCTTGAACAGATATCCTGTCGCAAAGCGTCCACACCAACGGCCGGTTCGGATGGCGTTGGGCTATCGGCAAGAGCATACGACGTTCAGACAGGGCTGCAGAGACGCCCTCAAGAATCGTGGCCACATGCACCCATATTGGAACGATGGGACGGATACCGATGCCAGGTTCCTCGGACGTCCCGAGAGGCTCTTCCGGTACTCTTCTATCAGAAGTGCTGACTATATCGCATGTTTGGGGTATTAAGTAGTCGGGGCAATGCCTCGTCGACGAGCGGAGGACTGGTCGAAGCCTGGCCACTGTCGTCACGTTAGCTCCATGGCTGTTGTATGTAGACCGTACATACGTAGACCGTACATACGTAGACGTTCTTGTATGTAGACTGTTCTTGTATGTAGACTTATATATTTTTGGAATACAATATACTTCGCTTCGCTCCGTAAATAATAGTAATGGTATGTATAGTAACATGGTATGTGTCTGAGATCGCCCGCTCTCCAGAACTAGTCTAGGTATACCGTGCTATAGAATTGAGAGGCCCTCTGTAGGCCTGCCTGAGAGCATGCCGAGGTGCTAAGATCAGCCTGTGCAGGACGGGGCTGTACACAGCAGGCCGGATGCAGGAGATGAAACACGGCCTCCCATGTTATCTATCCAGAAGAAGGGAAGAGAACTTGCGTAACCCCTTGGCCCGACAGGTCGAGGTGGCGACGTGGAATCCCTCCACCCGCACCCAGAGCGAGAGGAAGACGACCAAGGGACTCCATGATACCGGCCAGAGAGAAGCTTCTCCGGCTGTACGGGCAGGCAGACGGACGTCGACGGGCTCGAAGAAGCATCCTCTTTCGACCTGGCGCAGATGGAAGCGTTGGCGCCCATCCTCACGCATAGCTCCAGACGCATGTGGAGAGCTCTACATGTATGCGTCAGTGTAGAGTGCATAGTAGAGTGCAGTGTATAATGTATAATGTACGGCGATATACGTCGGCGGGAGGAGGCCGAGAGTGAGGATACGAGGGAAGCGACCCGGAAGGCAGCGCCCGAATCTAATCTACGAGCTCTTTTTAGCTCACTTCCGTCTTTCCGGCTCTTTTAACCCTCAAGGTGCCATCATGCCACTGTCATGTCGCATCAGCCGTAGGAGGTACTGTACATCCAGCATGTACTGTATGCACGAGTGAGTGTGGCGTGGCTGAGCGACTTCCCCGGATCATCTTCGTGCGGGAGTCTGGAGATGGCGTGAGCCGAGGTCGTTTCAAGAGTAAGGCTAAGACTAGAGGTACATAGGTGGTGTGTACTATGTAAGTGGTGAGGGTGTAAGGGGTGGTAAGGGGTGGCAAGGGGGTACATAGTAAGAGAGTGAGTGAGTAAGTGAGTAAGGAGGGAGAGAGTAAGGAGGGAGAGAGTACATAGTAGGGGAGTGGAAGAGTAAGAGTAAGAGAGAGTAAGGAGGGAGAGAGAGAGAGAGAGAGAGAGACTGGCGAGTCGGAAGCTTCAAGCGTCTCTCGTGGGCGCGAAAAGGCCGAAGGGCGTGAAAAAGGGAGGAAGAAACGTGGAGAAGAAGAAGGTAAAAAAGTAGACTCTTTTGTGGGGTTTTTTTCTTCTTTTTTTTTTTTTTTCGTCTCTTTTTTCGTCTTTTCTCGTCTTTAGGAGGGGCGAAGGAGAAGCTTTTTCTCTTCTCTCTTTTCTCCCTTCCGACTGTTTTCTTCTTATTCTCTTGCTCTCGCTCTTGTACTGCGACTTGTGGACTTTCTCCAACCTGCTTTGCTCTGCTTGCCTGCTTGCTCTGCTTGCTTGCTTGCCTGCTTGCCTGCTTGCCTGCTTGCTTGCTTTCTGACCGACTGACTCGATCGACTGACTCGATCGACTGACCGTGTCGGCTGACTTGGGCTCTGCTACTTAAGCCAGCACTTCCTACATCAACATCTACATCAACATCACCTACATCTACAATAAAAGAGAATACAAAGAGAATGCCAGACGAGAAGCCGGAGCTGCCGCGGCCGTACAAGTGTCCGCTCTGCGAGAGGGCCTTCCACCGCCTCGAGCACCAGACCCGACACATACGCACGCACACCGGCGAGAAGCCGCACGCCTGTCTCTTCCCCGGCTGCGCAAAGCGTTTCAGCCGTTCAGACGAGCTCACCCGCCACTCGCGCATACACAACAACCCCAGGAAGCCCGGCAAGCACCATCACCACCACCACCACCACCAGGTCGAGGGCAAGGTCAGGTCTGCGCCCGTCAGCCAGGCCGTCTCGCCCAACGTCTCGCCGCCTCACTCCTACGCCGTCCCCTACGCCTCCCACCTGCCCAGCACCCTCAACCCCTACGCCAGGCCCGCCACCGCCTCCACCACCACCACTTCTTCTACTATGGACATCAACATGCTGGCCACGGCCGCCAGCCAGGTCGAGAGAGACCACCAGCTCGCCCCCTCGACGTACAGACACCATCGTGCGTCCTACCAGCAGCCGCTCTCCTCCTCCTCCTCCACCGCGCCGCGGCTGCCCTCTCTCTCCGCCTACGCCATCTCCCACTCCCACTCCGCCTCCATGACCAGGTCGCACTCGGACGAGGAGCACCACCACAACCACTACTCCTACCGCTCCAAGAGGTCGAGGCCCTCCTCCCCCAACTCCACGGCCCCGTCCTCGCCCACCCTCAGCCACTCCTCTCTCTCGCCCACGCCAGACCACACCCCCCTGGCCACGCCCGCTCACTCGCCCCGGCTGCGGCCCTTCTCCTACGCCTCGCCTGACCTGCAGCTCCCGTCCATCCGGCAGCTCTCCCTCGGCCACACGCCTGCCCTGGCCCCCATGGAGCCCCAGACCGACACCTCCAGTCACGCCACGCTCACCCACTCCACCTATCTCGCGGCCTCCCCCGCCGCCTCTGCCGCTGCCGCCACAGGGCCGTCCATCAGCGACATCATGACCAGGGCGGACGGCACGCAGAGGAAGCTGCCCGTCCCCCAGGTCCCCAAGGTCGCCATCCAGGAGGTCCCCCCCGCCCTCGACCTAGACAGATATTAGTCTCTCCAGTCTTCCAGTCTTTTTTTTTAAGTCCAGTCCGGAGTTATAGATGGTTAGGAAAAGTTGCATAGATCACCACTTCACACAGACTCTTCACCATTATTACTTTTACTTTTACTTACTTTTACTTACTTTTACTTATCCATCTTGGATGGCTTGGGCGGCTTTGCTCTTGTATGGGATACGGTTAATATTCTATATGTTTAATAAGATCTACTTTGCTCGGAAGAAGTGTTCGCCTGTCGATAGTACTTTTACCTCGTCGCCCACGCTGATGGTGAAGTCTGGAGAGTCAGTAAAGTCAGTAGAGTAGACAGAGTAGATAGAGAGGAGGGGGAGAGGAGAGAGAGAGAGAGGAGAGAGAGCGTGTGTAGAGAGAGTGTGTAGAGAGAGTGTGTAGAGAGAGCGTGTGTAGAGAGAGAGTGTGTGTGTGTAGAGAGCGTGTGTAGAGAGAGAGAGTGTGTGTGTAGAGAGCGTGTGTAGAGTGTGTAGAGAGTGTGTAGAGAGACGTACGGGGTTTGGTCGGGACGAGCATCATGCCTAGACAGCCTCCCTTTGCGCCTCCGTCGATGGCCCGCGTCCCCCTCAGCGTCTTGTCGGGCTCGACGCCGTGTCTCTCGCCCGTGTCAGGATCCACGTTGGGGAGCTTGCACCTCACCGTCCGGCAGCACACATGCACATCCACCTCCTCCTCCCTACCCTCCTTTACCAGACGCACCATCTTCCACGCATCCTCCTCGTACGCCGCAACCCCCTCAACCACAACATTAGGCCGGAACCTGCGCACGCTCAGATGCGGAATCGCATACTTCGTCCGCCCGTCCATCTCCCTCACGCTGCCCATGCTCTGCACCTGCAGCGGATACTGGTCGCTAAACGCCATCCGAGGCACAAACCCCAGCTCCTCTGCACTAGGCGCGTTCCCCACCGCCACCCGACTGTGCTCCGGATGCACCCTGAACAGGCCCAGCGGCTTCTTGCATTCCAGAAACGCGCCCAGCGCAGCCGGCACATGCGTCGTGTACCGCGTCGCCTTCGTAGGCACCGTGAACAAACGCAGCGGCTCAAGCGGGAACACCGACGACGGCTCCGCGGGCGGATTCAGCGGCACACTAAAGTACTCCTCCCCGTCTGCTAGGCCGAGGGCTATGGCCAGCCTGGTCCAGGGCGGAAGCCCTCGCGTGTCTCGCGGGAAGTACACGATCAGTATACCGCCTGACTTGACGCTGCGCAGACGCGCATCGTACGTCTCGCTCGACGGGTCGGGAACCCAGATCTCAGGCCGTATCAGCGCCATGCGGCTGTACTTGCCGTCCCGAAGCGTCTTTGCATCCCATCTCCCGCCGTCTTCTTCTTCTTCCTCCGCCGTGCTCGTGCTCGTGCTCGTGTATTCCGCGAAACAGAACTGTCGGTCCCACGCCAGGCCGCTGTCCTTGAACTCCGCGCGGTTGAACTCGATGCCCCGGCAGCTCTTGATCGGGTATACCACCAGCGCCTTGATGCGCGGTGTCTTGTCGCTGCTTCCTCGCTTCAGCCCGTCCGTCCCGTACTCGTGCTCGTCGGAGAGGTTCGAGTGGTTGTCGTGCAGGCCTAGCTTGCGGCAGCCCTTCGGCGTGCGCGCCCGCTCCCGTCGGCTCTTCAGCTCAAAGTAGAGCATCGCCACCAGCGGGAAGACGAACAGTATATACACCAGCGCCAGCGCCACGGGGACCGGCAGGTTAAGCCGTGGCACTATTCCTCGAAGCAGCCTCATCTTGTCTTTTCGTCTTTTCGTCTCGTCTGTAGTTGTCTGTAGTTGTCTGCTTTGTCTGAATCAAGGCTGCACTGTGCGACTAGGCCATCTGTCCCTCAAAAGACAAGGGCGTCTTTTATACGACAAGCCTATCCCCGGCAATTAGTAAGTCTTATTTAACCTGTTCGGAGTTTTTGCTTCTCGTTCTTCTTCCCGGCCCGATCCTACGCCCTTCTGCGAGGCAGAGTTTCGGGGAAGCGCTTGTCACTACCCGTTTAGCGCGGGTTGCGTTTGGCCGTCAGATCGAAGATCGATGGACATGCCGTAACTCACTTATGATCTAACAATAGCATTATTTGACCTGGGTTGTTGGCTCGTATTGGTGAACGTTGCCCGTTCGGGGTTTGATGGCGTGGAGGTTGAACCTCGGCTCGACAGGGGACGTTGATCCATCCACCTGTCAGCGTCAACTTCAGACTCCATGGAAGACGACCAGACTCTGTCTGAGACCGATGATAGTGCAAAGCTGTACACCATGGACGGCAAGACGAAGAAGTTTCTGAGCTATCCGGAGCCGAGGAGAGGGTCAGTCTACCGGTGTAAAGAACGCGCGTTGTGCTGATAACTGACGCTGAGACAGGCCAGACGTCGCATATCGCAATGAGAGGAAGCAGAATCCCACCATGAGCGGGCTCGTGCTGGTGCTTGCTGCCTTCGTGTGAGTTCCTCTCTTCTTGTTCGACGGGATATCAGTTACTGACTGCCTTAGGTTCGAATGCGTGGGCATGATCCGCAAGCTCATATGGAAGAACGCCGGATTCGCAAGCCTAAGAAAGATCAGAAAACAGCTGGAAGACTATGAGCCTCGTGTCGACCCCACCGTCGTGCCTACATGCGAGCTTCTAGAGCACAAAGACACACTCGAGGCCGAGAAAGCCGAACCGGAACTGGCATCTACCGCCATCAGGCCGCAGGCCAGGTACTATTCCGTCCAGGACTACCATGACATGTACCTCGCTGGAGAATTGACGCCCACAGCCGTAGCAAAGGCGATTCTGCCCCTGATTCGTCGAGATACTACGCCTCCCGGTGCACACTCGGTTGCCTGGTTCGAAACGCGGGCCGATCTTATTCTCGCTGCTGCCGAAGCGTCTACGACACGGTATAAAAAAGGGTCTCCTCTCGGGCTGTTGGATGGCGTACCTACAGCCGTCAAGGATGAATATGATATTGATGGATACAAGACCTGTCTGGGCTCGTTGAACGATTATACCAGTGACCCAGCACCGCCGGGTGACTCCATTGCCAGCTGGTGTGTGAGAAAGCTGGAGGAAGCCGGAGCCATCGTTCTGGGGAAGCTGTCAATGCATGAGTTCGGCCTTGGTGCGTTCTATACTCTTTATATGTGTAGCCGCTATCCGCTAACTGCCTCTTAGATACGTCGGGGAGCAACCCAAACTATGGAACTCCGTTGAACCCGTATAACCCCAAATACTACCCCGGAGGCAGTTCCTCTGGATCAGCATACGCAGTCAGCGCTGGCCTGGTCCCATTCGCACTGGGAAGCGATGGCGGCGGCAGCATCCGCATCCCGTCTTCCTTCTGCTCTGTCTATGGCCTCAAACCCACGCACAACCGAATCTCTCACCACCCGGGCCCAAACCACTCTAATACCTGCGCCGTCAACGGTCCCTTGGCTGCAGACCTGCAATCCCTCTCTGCCCTCTACCGCATCATCGGCTGTCCTCCATCTTCTTCACCCTTCAACCCCGTCTCTCCCAGGCTTGCACCTTGCCATCCCTCTGGGAAGAAATATCTCGGTGTCCCCGAGGCGTGGTTCTCCCAAGCAACCCCCGCCATCCAGCACCTCTGCCGCTCCGCCATCACCACTCTCGCAGACAAAAACGACTATACAATCGTGCCCATCCAGATCCCCTTCCTGGTCGAAGGCCAGATCGCACATGCTCTCACCATCCTCACCGACGCCGCTACCTTGCTCCCCGACACCTCAAACTTGACTGCCCCCAACAAGATACTTCTGGGTCTTGGCCGCGTAACGCCAGCTACAGACTATCTCCTTGCACAGAAGCTTCGTCGCCTACTAATGCAGCATCTCTCCTGGCTCTGGAAAGAATACCCAGGCATGATCATCGTTACGCCCACAACCAGCTGCGCAGGCTGGCCTATCCGCGATCAAAAGGAGCTGAAATACGGTATCAGCGATGGAGACCAGACGCTCAAGACGATGGATTTTATCTGGCTTGCGAATTTTACCGGTCTCCCTGCTATTTCTGTACCGGCTGGCTTTGTCGTTCCAGAGGGAGCCAAGGGCGAAGGCGAAATAGCGGAGGAAAATACCGAGGGGAAGATTCCTATCGGGTTGATGGGAACCGGGGAATGGGGAAGCGAAGACTTCCTTATGCGTTGGGGGCTAGATGTCGAGAACGTTGTAGGCGATCGGAGATCAAAACCGCCTATTTGGGTGGACGTAGTTGCCAAAGCGAAGGAGGTGATGGATGCTGGCTTATAAATGTTGGCTGTATATATATTGCTTCACACATAGATAGCTGTCTTTAGACTACAATCATGGATGTAGATACTAACAAAAATAAAATCATCGCTTATCGATAAGGATCACGTAAACGCGCCTCCAGGAATTTTCGCGTCTTAACCGTTTTGGGCAGATTAACACTTTAACCGATCATCTGTAACGTCTCGATGGCTATTATAAGCCATGAACAGAGACACAGCTAACTTCCAGAGCACACCTACAAGTACGTATGAAACCTGCGGCCACATAGTACCTTCTAACGGGTAAACAGTCCAATCGCAGAACCCCAGTCACTTACCAGCTACATCGAGTGTTGAAAGGGATCCTTTATCTACCAGTCTCCCGCGCCTTGATGAAGCATTGATACCCCCATTAAAGCATGTCGCAAACACAGCCAGGGATGCATCTCCAGCTGCTTCGCAATTTGCACTTCCGGGATGGAGTCAGCTAGGTTCGAACAATGGCGCTACTATTGATAGCGGCGATATCAACAAAGGAAGTAGCAATAGCGATGACAACGGTGCCAGTGAAGACTTGCCTGTATCACCGGGCATTCAGAGGGGTGAAATCACGGAGATATCTGGACCAAGAGGGTCCGGAAAGACTGCTCTGGCGTGAGTTATTGTCAGTTGTATGATGTATACCATTTTGCTGACCGGCGTTCTAGAATGGCCACGGCTGTAAATGCGATAAAGCAAGGGGAATCAGTAGTATGGATAGGTTCGAGTATACCGCTTGATGCTGCCGGGTAGGTACGAAGACTGACGGGATCTAGATACCGCTGGCCCACTCTGCATGACCCGATTCGAAGAGATGTTATGCAAGAATACCACGCCAGCACAGACGGGCCAGCTGCTGCAAAACCTGCTACACCTTCAACCGACAACTCTAGCCCATTTACTGGCCCTGATATCGCATCCTGTTCCCGGCTTCCCTCCAGCCAACACGGGCTTGATAGTGCTAGACTCGATATCATGTCTTTTTGGCTCAGAATTCCGAAGCAAGCTACCGGCCAAACTCAGCAAGGCCAACGACCTGAACCGTGCGGAAAAGTCCAAAGACGCCCAGGAGTCGAAGCTATGGTGGAAATTAATTGGTAACTTGTCGGCGAATCTGAACGCGCTTGCATCTCGGCTAGACTGCGCGGTTATCGTCACTAATGAGATGGTTACCCGCTTCCGGCCTGGCCAGAAACCCATGCTCCACGTTGCTATATCGGGCTATACATGGGATACCAGTGTAGCTACGCGAATCATCCTGTACTGGCACTGGCTAGACCCTGGTGCTAGAGAGAATCTACATATGAAGCGGATTAGAATTGCAGAGGTCTTCAAAGCAGGGAAGATGACTATTGTGCCTAGAGATGTGGAGAGGATTGTTCCATTCTTTGTTGAAGATGCGGTACGTATCTCGTCAAAAGGACTTATTCGCTGAATCAATTGATTACTGAACGTTGTTCTAGGGCCTTTGTGAATTTACTCGTTTATCGATACGACTGGGCGGTGCGGCCGGTACACCTCAGCCGGGAAAGCGTAAGCTTGACCAGCAGCTTCTACCGTCTCAACTCCCTCGCAGACCAAAGATTGAACATGAGAGCGAAGATGAGGAGGGGAAGGAAAGTCTAGAGAGAGAGGCTGCTGAGCCTGTGCTGGCGACCACTCTACCTGCTGAAATAATGGATAGCCAAGACGAGGAAGAGGATGAAGAATGGCTGGAGGCTACTGAGGCGACAGACACGGTGAACCTAGAGCTTACTCCTGATCCCATTCCTGGACAGGAGACCCTAGAGGACGACACCGAGCTGCTGCTCAGAAGTATGGTGGAAGGGGATGTATGACATACTCATAGGACGGATATAGTAACCAGTGCGCGGTTGAGTATTGGCAGGAATTCACAGTTAAAAAAGTCCTTGGAGATCTCTCGGCGCCTATGCTGGTCTCTTAGCAGTCGGAAAGTGCTCTCGTATCACGGCCAGACGATCTCTCCAGCCTCCGACATCAATAGTGTATATAAACCATACCAACGTATGTAGTTGAACATCGACAGCGTCAATCGAAACTTGCACAGCGAAGAAGGACAACGAAAAGCGACAAAACATGCTACTCTCTCAGCCATGGCGTGTCGGCCTGACCACACTCGGCATCGGACTGAATGCCTACACCGTCCTCGTCCACACGACCGTGGGCTTCAAGAGCGTCGTCCCCATGCTCCAATCACACAAGACCAAAATATACGACATCATCGGCATCTGCTTCCAGCACCTCATGGTTCTCCCCACAGTGGCTAGTAAGTCAACATATAAATCATCCTACATACACATCACCCCATCCGGAGATATATACCCCGTGCCAACACCGGTGCTAATGCAAGGCATTCAGTGATTCTCCAGCTAAAGTGGTTCCACCACGGCATCGACGGTCCGTATGAGAAACCGCTCTTCTACACATATCTGTTGGGCAACTTGGCGTTCGGGGCGTGGTATGGATCGATGGGGGTGATAAACCCGCTCTTAAGCACGGTAGTTGCGCCCCTGGCGTCGTTATTGTGTGTTTTATAGCTGGGTGTGAGCCCATGTAAATATCTCCAATGGGAAGTATACGAGTATACTATGTATGTACGGGGGCAGATCCTGATTCTGTACTCCGTAGTCTGTAGCATCACGGAAGGGGTCGGGTGGACGGTAGATCAACACCGCGGACACATGGTAACCTTCTTTCATCTCCGAGGCCAGGAATTCCCCAGCATAAACACAACTCATATACATTTACACGTATATATACATCCAGACATGTACTCCGTACATCCATAGCATATGTTAAGAAGTTTTACTATCTTATCGGAAGCCTCGGTTATTTCCTAGTTGGGGCGAGGTTTAAATAGATTAGTCATATCTTAGTCATCAAGGAAGGCAAGTTTTATTTTTTCTGTTGGGGAGAGATGCTTGGGACGCTAGTAGGTTTTAGGTCATGAGCTGCCTGAAGTAAAAAAAAGTTGATGTCGATGTTGAGGTCGAGCGAGTGAGCAGTTGGTAGAGCCATTGACGCGTGAGGGTGAAGAGTGGTAGCGAGAAGATGAAGATGCGACGGGCGAAGATGACGGCAGCGATAAGAGATAAAGGATAAAAAGGTGTTCCGTGGCGAAGAAGACGTCGCTGTCGCTGTCGGCTCTTATGGGCAGATACATGAGTTGATGTATCTTTGTTGGGAGGGCCCAGGCCGGGAGCCGTTGGAAAGGACAACGTCTGACATAAGCATGTATCGTCTTGTACAGAGTAGCTCTCTTTACGGCGAGCCCTCCCGTCTCGAACTCGACACAGCACCGCCAATTATGCATAGAAGTCGCTCATATCGTAGAGGCGGAGTGTAGATATGACAATAACGGGGGCAGGCTAAGCTGACCACCCTAGATAGCCCATGTGGGAGGGGACGGTCGAGGTCGCCGTAAGGGCTGGTACGATGCTGTATCGTCATAAAACCGCCCCCTGCAGCAAGATGATGTGCGCGTCTCCCACCTTCAGGCACCACAAAAGCTTGTCCCTCCACTTCCGCCCCAACAAGAGCAACGTCGATGAAAAGCGAAACAAGGAAAAAAAGGCAGGGAAGAAGGAGGAGGCGGGAAGAGGCGCTGGGAGGGGGGAGGAAGCTAGCCGTGGCGTGTAATTTTTTTTTTTTTTTTTCTATACATATATAGTTCTCCCTATTCCTTCAGAAGAGTTGAAGCTGGAAGATAGTGTTGAGTGTGTGAGTGTGTGTGAGAGTGTGAGTGAATAGAGTGAAGACTTTGGTTCACTTTGGAAAACCTGGTTCTTTCATCATCGTCTTCTTCCTCGTTCCATGGTCTAAAGTTGAGGGAGTGACCTGCTGCCAGTTCAGCTTCGTCTTTTTCTATCACCAACCTGATATCACCAATATCAACGTCTCTTACCCCACCAACATCGAAAGATCAAAAGACCAGCATCACAGATCAGACAACATGGGCGACGCCGGACCGTCGACTGAGCAGCCGGTTCAGGCTCAGCAGCCGGAGACCAGGAAGCCTCACATCACAGACACCAAGATGACGCTCGCCAACTGGCACAAACATGTCAACTGGCTCAACGTCACCTTCATCCTCGTCGTGCCTATGCTAGGATGTCTACAGGCTCTCTGGGTGCCGCTGCAGCTCAAGACGGCCATCTGGTCGGTCATCTACTACTTCATGACCGGTCTCGGAATCACAGCTGGTGAGTTATACATGGAGTACAGATAGAGGATAGAAAATAAAGTACTGACTTGAAATAGGATACCATCGTCTGTGGGCACACTCCTCGTACTCTGCTACTCTGCCATTGAAGATCTACTTGGCTGCTGTCGGTGGTGGTGCGGTTGAAGGATCTATCAGATGGTGGTCTCGCGGCCACCGTGCCCATCACCGCTATACCGACACCGACAAGGACCCCTACTCTGTCCGCAAGGGCCTGCTCTACTCCCATATTGGATGGATGGTCATGAAGCAGAACCCCAAGCGTATCGGACGTACTGACATCACCGATCTCAATGAGGATCCCGTCGTTGTCTGGCAGCACAAGAACTACATCAAGGTCGTCATCTTCATGGGTCTCATCTTCCCCACGCTCGTCAGCGGTCTCGGATGGGGTGACTGGGCCGGCGGTTTTGTCTATGCTGGCATTCTACGCATCTTCTTCGTCCAGCAGGCTACCTTCTGCGTCAACTCCCTGGCCCACTGGCTCGGGGAGCAGCCCTTTGACGACCGCAACTCCCCTCGTGACCACGTCATTACCGCTCTCGTCACCCTGGGAGAAGGATACCACAACTTCCACCACGAGTTCCCATCTGACTACCGCAACGCTATCGAATGGCACCAGTACGACCCAACCAAGTGGACCATCTGGATATGGAAGCAGCTCGGCCTTGCCTACGACCTCAAGCAGTTCCGCTCCAACGAGATCGAAAAGGGCCGTGTCCAGCAGTTGCAGAAGAAGATTGACCAACGCCGTGCCAAACTCGACTGGGGCACCCCCCTGGACCAGCTACCGGTCATGGAATGGGAAGACTACGTTGAGCAGGCCAAGAACGGCCGTGGTCTTATTGCTGTCGCTGGCGTCGTCCACGATGTCACTGACTTCATCAAGGACCACCCCGGCGGCAAGGCCATGATCAACTCTGGAATCGGCAAGGACGCCACCGCCATGTTCAACGGAGGTGTCTACAACCACTCCAACGCCGCCCACAACCTGCTCTCGACCATGCGTGTGGGTGTGATCCGTGGCGGCTGTGAGGTCGAAATCTGGAAGAGAGCCCAGAAGGAGAACAAAGAAGTCGACTTTGTACGTGATGAGTCCGGCAACCGCATCGTTCGCGCTGGTTCACAGGTGACTAAGATCCCTGAGTCGTTCCCGTCCGCAGGCGCTGCTTAAGCGCCTCTCTCTGTTTTCTTCTCGTCCCCTTCACCCTTGATAAATAACGATGGTTAACGATTTGGTCTGTTTTCCTTGCGTAGACGACTAGAGTCATGTCATAAGCCCCCGCAGATGACTGGCCTCTCTCCTTTCTCTTATCTCTCTCCCTCTCCTTCTCTCTCCCCCCTTTCCGATGATGATAATATCTCCCCTACTTCCCCCCGACCTGGAACAGGACAAACTCAGGTTTTCCGTTTCTTACTTTTATGAACGCCCTTCGACTTTCGACTATGGCCAGGGAATAAAACTCCCTCTTGTCTAATACTTTTTGTTCTTTTCTCTTTCTTTGTACTTTGCCTGGGGTCTGGAGTTGGGGAACGAATGGGCAGGCTACAGATTATCTTTCTCACGAAATAGTTCAAAACAGCATGGAATCTCAGTTTCTCTTCAAAAGTTCCAAAAACATATAATACTTCTCTACTGTACTACTCTACTGTACTTCTCTGTACTACTCTACTTCTAGTTCTATATAGCCTGATATCCAAGACTTACCCCATACCCTTACGTAAGACCTTGGCTTCTTTCTTCTGGCTAGAAAGTCGCAAGGGAAGCTTCAAAACTCCTGCATGAACAGCTTCACAAGAAAGTCAAGCTCAACTAGACAGGCCAACGCTCACCACCAACGTCTGCGCATCTACATATATATAGAGACAGAGATATGTGTGTGTAGAGATAGATACAGGTATATATAAGCCACAGAGACTGATTGACCGACCTCCACTCTGGCGCCGGCTACGGGGTACCGCTTCTCCCTCTTCCTGCTCGCCCTTCCGCTCTTCCTGGGCGCCATCTTCATCCTGGCGCCTTCACTGCGCTTCCCCGCCCTTGGGGTTCTGCCACTGCGCACCGCCCGCCCCGCCACTTCCCCCTCGCCTTTCCTCCACTCAGCGACAACAAGGACAACAACACGGACATCAATAGCAACGACGACATCACTACCAGCCAGACGACCGCTCACTACAGCTTCAATGGCACCCTCAGCACTTCGGACGCCTCCTCAGGCCCCGCCGCTCTTCACAGGCACCCCCACCTCCGTCGTGGCAGATACAAAGCGCCTGATCGAGCTCTCGCGTGCGGTGCAGGATGGCGTTGCCAACAACGTCACTGCAGAGACCGCCACCTTCGACAGGGTCATTCTCCCTCTAGCCCGCGATGAGAACACGATGGCTCTCGAGTCACATATCCTGGGCTTCTACCAGTCTGTTTCGACGGACAGTAAGCTGCGTGATGCATCCACAGAGGCAGAGCGTCTCATGAACGATTTCGGCATCGAGTCCGCCATGCGTGAAGACTTGTATAGACTTGTCGATGCCGCCGTGAAGAAGGGCGAGAAGCTCGACCCAGAGTCGCAGAAGCTGCTTGAGAAGGAGCATAAGGACTACCTCCGTAACGGGCTCGGCTTGCCCGTCGGACCCCAACGGGATAGGTTCAAGGAAATCAAGAAGCGGTTGAGCGAGATCAGCATCGAGTTCCAGAAGAACCTCAACGAGGAGAATGGTGGTCTGTGGTTCACCAGGGAGCAACTTGCCGGTGTTCCTGAGGACGTGTTGTCCGGGCTGAAGAAGGGTGAGGGCGAGAACGAGGGCAAGTTACGTCTTACCTTCAAGTATCCTGATCTCTTCCCGACGCTGAAATACGCTATCAATCCCGAGACCAGGAAGACTGTCATGATTGCCAACGAGAACAAATGTAACCAGAACATCCCCCTGTTCAAGGAGACGTTGCTCCTCCGTGACGAAGCTGCCAGACTCCTTGGATATCCTAACCACGCCGCCTTCAGGCTGGAGGATAAGATGGCCAAGAACCCCAAGACGGTGGATGACTTCTTGGGTGATCTACGTTCTAGGCTGACGGATGGTGGTAAGGAGGAGATCAAGACACTCAAGGGTATGAAGAAGAAGGACCTCGAGACTCAGAGCAAGGAGTTCGATGGATATTACTTCCTCTGGGACCATAGATTCTACGACCGCATGATGCTGGAGAAGGATTACTCTCTCGACCACCAGCTTATTGCCGAGTATTTCCCGCTTCAGACCACCATCCGCGGCATGTTGGAGATCTTTGAGCAGATCTTCGGCCTTGTTTTTGTCGAGATCACGGGCGAGGAGAGAGCTAAGATCTCTTCCTCTGGCAAGGCGGAGGATATCGTCTGGCACGAGGACGTCCAGGTGTTTAGCGTCTGGAATGACGAAGGTGAGGGAAGTGGGTTTGTCGGATATCTATACCTTGACCTGTTCCCGCGTGAGGGAAAGTATGGCCATGCTGCCAACTTCAACTTGCAGCCGGTATGTTCAGTCTATCAACCTGTCTATCTTTTATTACAGTCGTACAAGAACTAATCATCGGCGCAGGGCTTCATTAAAGAAGATGGATCTCGCCGCTACCCTGCCACCGCACTGGTCTGCAACTTCTCCAAGCCGACTGAGAAGAAGCCGAGTCTCCTCAAGCATGACGAAGTCGTCACCCTCTTCCACGAACTTGGCCATGGAATCCATGATCTCGTCTCCAAGACCATATACTCTCGTTTCCACGGTACCAACACTGTCCGTGATTTCGTAGAGGCTCCCAGCCAGATGCTTGAGAACTGGTGCTGGACTCCTTCTCAACTCAAATCCCTTAGCAAGCACTACTCCACCATTTCACCAGAATACTTCAAGGCCTGGAAAGAACATGCTGGTGACAAGCCTGCCCCGGCCGCCGAGATTCCAGACGAATTGATCCAGAACCTCATCAAGACAAAGCACGTCAACGCCGCGCTGTTCAACTTGCGACAGCTCCACTTTGGCATCTTCGACATGACTGTCCACGAGCCCAAGGATCACGACACAATTAAAAACATGAACATCTCAGAGATTTATAACAAGCTTCGAAAGGAGATTGCTTCTCTGGATGGACCTGAGGTTCTTGGCCAAGGATACGACTGGGGCCACGGAGAAGCAACCTTTGGTCATCTCATGGGTGGTTATGATGCTGGTTACTATGGTTATCTAAGGTACGGTTTTTCGAATATTGATCTTCCCTCTCTCTACCACGTTAGACACTAACCCCCTTTAAACAGCTCCCAAGTCTACTCCACCGACATGTTTTACACTGTCTTCAAAGAGGACCCCATGAACAAGAAAGAAGGGCGCCGCTACCGTTATTCTGTTCTTGAAAAGGGTGGCAGCCAAGACGAGATGACTACGCTCAAGGAGTTCCTCGGTCGTGAACCAAAGCCAGATGCCTTCTACAAGGAACTTGGACTTGCGTAGATAGATCACCCTTGCTCAAATTACCTCTTATCCCGAAGCTCTTACTGGTCGTTATTGATTGCATGTATTATGGTGCAATTCTTCCCTGGGTTGTATTTAGCTTAGCCATCATACCCAATGCCATGCCAAGCGTTTTAACCCAAGCTTTACTAGTACGACATCATTATCTCATTATAAACCCAACCATAGACCTAAAAAATCGGTAAAATGAGAATAATATTGATATGCTACTAAAGGATAGCCTAGATATGTATCAAAGTCTAAGGTCACGTGCTGGAGCTTGACTTTTGAAGCTCCAAGTTAAGCATTCAACCTTATAGAAATCCAACTCTGGACCTTTCATTGAACAGCGATACCAAGTCAGCTGTAGGGAACTATGGCTACTACCGCATCACAGGATCCTCCCTCTCAAGACTCTTCCACTATCCAACAGTCGCATGAAATTAACGAACAGCAGGCAAAAGGGAGTCAGTACCGAAGCCGCATACCCATAAGAACATATCATTGCAGATTTTGCAACCATCTTCTCATCGCATCTACACAGGATGTGTCTACCCTTCCGCGAAGGCGAGCTCCAGCTCTGGACAATGCAATAATACTTCCACTACCAAAGAAGTCAGCAGACGTGGACGAGGAAGAGGAAGACGAGGAAGAAAACATCGAAGAGGAAGAGAGTGATAAAAGGGAATCGGGAGAGACGCAGATATCGCAACGGTTAGAGTCAGCAACATTGAAATCAGGCACGAAGAAGGAGAAATCCTCCACCTCAGCCTCGCAGCATTATACAATTCTACTTTCTACGACTACACCGGATAGAAAACCGATCATTCTACGGAGAGCAGATGGGTTTGAGAAACGGCTCCTCGTTCGATGCGGGCGATGTAAGGTTGTGCTTGGATATGTTTTGGATGAGGTCCATTTTAAAAAGGGAGATGGTACCAAAAGCGGTGCTGGGGCGGGTTTAGAAGGGGAACAGGGCGGTACCTCAGGTACTGGAGAACCTGAGGTTATCTATATTCTTCCAGGCTCGCTGGTAGAGACAGTCGACCTGGACAAGGAAATTCAGATTGAAAAAGAATCCTGGGCTGGATGGGAGTCCCTTGCGGATAAGATGAAGAAATGAAAGAGTTAAAAAGGAGCATTATGAAAGTCATGACTTTACGGTGAATGACAAACTTGTACAGGTGGATAATTAAACGCATTTCATCAAAAATTTACGATTCCATAAACAAAGCCCAGGCGCAAATCTCTACCGCTCCCCCAAAAGAAAGATACAAGAGCATTAAACGATCTTCGGACGTCGTGTGACAGGTTTCTGGACTCCTTTCCTATCCGTAAACATCTTCTGAAAGTGATATATTCATAACGCATAAAACTCCGAGGCGGGAATAAGGAAAGACGTTGAAGGAGGGAAGTATAGCTCAGTTGGCGAGAATTGTTCGGACGAGCTCTGGTGAATTAAGACGTTAGTTCACGATTCTTGAATGTAAAAGATATAAAGAGAAACCTACCAGTGTAGTTTATTTCGCCGGAGCTGGTGTCAACGGCCTTTAGAAGCTCATCAACCTCTTCATCAGACATTTTCTCACCAAGGTTGGTCAAAACTATGCGAGGAAAAGAGCGTTAGCATCAACACTGGTACATAACGGGTGGTGATCGTAAATTCTCACTGTATCGTAGTTGTCCAACACCGATATAGCCCGTCATATCTTTGTCAAAGACCTGGAAACCACGGCAGTACTCCTCTGGCTCTCCGGGGTCGCGGAATCCACCAGGTCGGTTAAGGACTTTAGAAAAGGCATCGAAATCAACTGAAACCACCGATTAGCCCCTCGCTTGATACCGTTTTCCCCTTCCACCAAATAGCATATCAACTCACAGTCCCCGCCAATTCCCTTTTCCAAATCACTGATCTCAGCCAGAGTAGGGTTCTGTCCGCACGCGCGAAGCAAATCGCCTAGGGACTCGAGGGCGACACGGCCGGTTCCGCGCTTATCGAAGAGGGAGAACGCCTCCTTGTAGTTTGTAGATGCCTTTTCACCATTATTACGGTGCTCGTTAGCAGGTGCCATGATGTTTGTTGTTTGGATATTCTTCGATTCTTCGGAACGAACGCGACCAAGGGAGGAAAAAGTCAGGCTGCTAGCACTCTTATTCTCCGACAGGTACTTTGTCCCTCGATGATCACAGCACGAAACAGAAGCCTCAAGCCAGCTATATTGAAGTGTAGTAAGACAGAAGTTGTTTACAGTGGCAACCCGATGGCTTCTACTTCTTCTTCTTCTCTTTCTTTCTTCCCCCTTGGGCCGGCAAACGCTCCGGGAGTGAGGAAAAAAGGAGTCTTTGACGTACCATGGTTACTCTTGTTTGTGTTCCCGAGTTTTGCTGTTTGGTGCAAAGAACGCAGAGAGAAGGGTGAGAATGTAACTGGTTTGGTAGTTCTTGTCTGACAGGTTGAAAAGTTGAAGATTTGTTGTTTTTCTTATTCAGGGAGTTTTTTGCTTCTTGATTGATCTTCTCTTATCGTTGAAGCTGGCCTTTTTGGTTGCCATGGGAGACGGCCGCCACCAGCCCCTGAACAACAGACACACCGTAATATACATAGTACGAAGGAGACACGCAGGCGAGATGATGGTGGTATATAATTACAGGAAGTTAACGAATCGAGTGATCGAAATAGTACTATATAGACAACAAGAGGCCCCGGTTAAAAGAGAAGAAGAAACCGTATCTTCGAAAATCAGACAAGACCCCGTTCAGCTTGAATAGTTCATAGGCAAGAGAATCTTCATAAAGTGCCAAATACCAATCATTACCTCTTTTTTTTATCCCTAGCTCCTGGATCGAACATGCTCCCTCAATCCCTACTTTCTCTAAGCGCCAGAGACACAAAACGGAAGATAAAAAGAGCCTGGGAATATATAGAAAACTCGAGCAAGGAATAGGCTGAAAAAGAAAACAAAAATGTCGCTCAGGGGGTGTAGGATGGTGTGAAAGGCTGAATAAATATCTATCATTGGAGGTAAGGTAATGAATAGATGCATCGCCCTTTAAAGACAGATGAAAGCATATGTAGGATCGTTCATGAGCTCGAAGGGACTGTTGCCTGCGTGCCCTTTAATTTCTCGATACAGCTTCCTAGCAGCTTGCCTGCTTCATGAAGTAGCTCCCATCTTGTGTTGAGGAAATCTGAACGCAGGACCATGAGAAGGCCCATACACCGGTTCCGATCACGTACTTTCTCAAGGTCATTGGGGTGACGGACGCCGCCAACCCGTTCGAGGAAGCCATACATGTCATGCCGTTGCTGTTCAGGGAGGGTCAGGTCTGGCGGTGGTGATGGCCTGATGGGACCATCTAGAGCAAACCCATACGACCATACGACGAGGGCAGCGAAGTAGAGGACCCACGGCCGACTCATGATGAAGTCCTCTCGGGCACAGTATTCGGGTATATTTATGCTTGACCGGGAGGCCTGATTCTCCGCTCTTGTGCCGCTATTTCGCAGCAGAACCTGGGACAAGAACTTTAGGGCATAAAAGGTAGCGTCTCGGGCTGATTCTTTGTTCGCCCATCGATCAACCATCTTCTCTCGCGCGCAGCTAATGTCTCTGGGTGTGATAGCTCGTCCAAGAAGTCGGGCTGCGCCTGCAAATATCTGGCAGTCGACCACGTCGACATGTGAAGCCATGTGAGCGAGGTGGTGGAGGACATTCCTTGTCTCAGCGAAAACATCCTCTTCAAAGAGATTCTGCTGGCGTAGCTGATATCCGCCAGATGAGTAGCTGGTTGGACTAGCATCAGGTAGCGATTCATCAAAGTCTCGTTTCCAGTTATCAAAGGCACGCAGCATGGACGACCGCCACTTGTCTCTGAACCCAGGGACCTGGGAGACGCCCAGCGAGCTAACCTGCAGGTCTCGTTGATTCATGTGCCAGCTTACACTCAGCAATCCAGCCATTAGTATTGTTCGACCAAACGCGTTGGTTCGCACGGCCTGGCCGTTCAGTGTCTTCTTCAACCCTTCTAGGAACATTGTTGGTTTGAAACCGTTGGCATTGAGCCGTAACTGTACCTTGGCAGCCTCCGAAGGGCAAGTTGCAGACCAAAGTGATTCTTCGCAAGGGAGCGGCAGCCTCATCTCATGTGCGGCCATTTTTACCGAATGCCCGAACATGGTTGCGTGGGTCGAATCCAGGACGAAGGCAGCAAATGCGACTCTTCTTGTGCCCTCTGCTTTGATCCAACGCAGCCACGATTCGTCGAATTGGCCAGGCTCAGAACTTCCTGAAGACGATGGGACTCCCGGGCGCTGTCGATTGTCTGAGGGAGAGGGAGGTGAGTTGAAGGCCGTCCGGCCTATCAAGGAGCTGCCACGACGCATTAATGTTAAAGTGGTATCATGATGGATGTGTGCTCGTTCATGCAACTCTCGCGTAGAATACATCTTCTCGTACATCTCGAGAAGTAACAGCGTTTGGAATACCCAGAGCTTTGCTGGGGGCCTGAAGTCTGGATCCATGAATAACTCCCATCGCAGATGAACGCATATGAAATTGGCCAGCTCTGACGCCATATCGGTGAATTGCTGGCCGCGGTTGCTATCAAGAGTAACAGCACCAAGGGCTATTACCGCAAAAAGTAGGAGATTTGGTGTTTTGTCAGGCGTGAAGGTGTGTTTGTGCAAGATAGGTAGTTGTGCATAGCAGTGATACCAGTAAGAGCTGATATATGTCTGCATCATGCGTAAGCTGAGAATATGGTTGTCTGCCTCCATATTTCCCTCCATAAATGTCTCCTTACGACACTTCAAGGAGCCACTTCCAGTTTCATTGAACCTGGTCTGAATCAGATCCAGAAGTTCGCTCCGCTTCTCCCCAGATATGACTGAGTACGGCGGCCCAGAATCGAGGATACTAGTCACACTCATGGGGTGCTGCTGTTGCTGTTGTGGCTGCGGGGTGCTGGTACCATACCCAGCAGCAGCGGTAGAATCGGTAGGGTAATATGGGTTCTGGATCTGGCCGGAGTAAGGGTCGAGATAATTGGGTATTATGGTCGATACAGCAGGGAATCCAGCAGCAGATGAAGTATTCGAGCTTTCGTTAAAAAGCCAGGCGGTGAAGTCGTCTGTCAGGGCAAATGGAGATCGATTCAGTATCTCTCCACCAAATACAGGGAGGGCATACGGCACTACAGAGTCCATGTTAGAGACCGATACTTCCGAATGCATGGCTGTTGGCATGGAGGCCATCTGGCTCAGAGTGCTGGCGAGGTTCACGCCTGAAGATGACTGGCTGTGGGACCTTCCCAGGGCAGGATCCGTAAAGCTAGGGCCGGGAATGACAGTAGGCATATGCAGGCTCTGGCTCTGGGGCATATACGTGTTTGTAGCCATGCCATTTGCTAACAAGCCGGACGGCATGCCAAAAGGAGACACGGTATGATTGCCAGCGGGGCTTGGTATAGATGGCTGCCGTGATTGCATGGGTTCTGGCGCCACGGAGGCACTGGGAGCCATATCTGATGCTCCGTTCAGCGGTATTATCGAGTATGGTTGGAGGGTATTATTATTAATACTGTAGGGCTCGTATGTCGAGCAATTAGAATCGCCATAGACAGCCATCGACTGCGCATTCTGCGTCGGAACAAAGTAGCCTGCATTCCCTTCTGACTGTCGCCGCATCGTGTCAGCTTTGCCGTTGTGATATGTGGTAGTCTGGGGTGTCTGGAGAGGCCCGCCAGCAGCTGAAGCGGCGGCAGTAGAGGTCAGGTAATTCTGAGGCGGCATGAAGCCATTGTTGCTTGCGCCGGTGGAAGGTTGTTCAGCCATCTGCTGAAGAGGAGGAATTGCTCCTGGTGACCCGGTCTCGTTTGTCTGTGAGATGCCTTGCGCCGTAGAAGGATGACCCGGGTTGCTTGTGTCTCTCGCGGACGGCGACGAGCCTGCGCCAGAGCTCTGAGTAGCGACATGATCGCGCTTTTGCAGCTGTGAGCCGTGGGTATTATGGCGCTCCTGGTGGCGGATACACAGATCCTGGCGGACGAAAGTGCGGAAGCAGCTGGGGAATTCGCATCGATATATTTGTTTGGGAGAGTCTTTTTTTGGACATATAGAAAAAAGTCACGATGTTCAGCAAAACTTCAAACCCGCTTCAACAACAACACCACCGGCGCCGACAAGAAGAAGACTGCGCAAAAAGAGATATACATACGGTTCAGCTGATGGCGATAGAGATGCTCTGCTCGCGAATAACTCTTTCCGCAGCCTTTGTGCTTGCAATCGAACTTCTTGCCAGTCGCAGCTTTCCTGGCTCGTTTCCGCTTCTTTGGCGACCCGTCCGGCTTGACAGGCGACTGCACCTCGTCTGATGGGCTGTGAGAGCTCGGGGGACTCGGCTCCTGGTCTTGTTCCTGTCCTGGTTCCTGTGCCTGACCCTGAGTATACCGTTGCGCGGCGGAGGGGAGCGGGTCGGCGTCGACAAACATCGTCATGGCTATTTCCTTTATTCAACTATAAAAGCCTACGAGCTCGACTCTCTAGAGCCAGTCCTGAGAAATGACATGACCCACACTTTTAGCCGCCCCAAGGGATGAGCAAACTGGGACGCTGATATCTGGGGGCTGGAGCTGCACCGCGCTGAGCTGGCATCGGTGGGAGGGCGAGGACGAGGGAGGGGGGGGGAAGAAAGAAATCCCTTTACGGGCTTGCGTCGTTGCTGCACGTCCTGATAATGAACGGCGTCTTGGGGTTCCTCTTTTTTTTTCTTTTCCCCAGGCCTACAGGTATACGTGCACCACCGGGGAGGGAGGAGGGAAAGGAGGGAGGGAGGGTATACTATATCGAGAGAGAGAACAACGAACGAGACTGCAACAGTTTACGGATTGGTTGCTGGATAAGCCAGCCCAACGAACTGTTTGGCCTCCATGTGGGATGGGATGAGGCTTCAAGAAACTCGGTCAACATGCCAGCAAACCAATGCCTCTTCTTATTACCTGCAGCTATTAATAACGGGGGACACTAAATCATCCTCGCCTTTTACGGGAGGCCACGGAGGTTAGAGAGAGAGACATCAAACTTTTCGAAGCTCTCTCTCATGGCGCTTATACGCAACGGCTTCTCCACCATCAACCTTGTCTTGCTATCTATATCCAGCATATATTGATATACAAGCCCGCTTAAAGATGACGTTTCTATATACTCCGTATGCCCAAAGGGCAACTCCGAGACGGTGAACAGAGTGAGGTCAGTCCCAGCAGCGTGGGGTGAGAACTCCTTTCAAAAAGCGATTGATGACCTCTTGTTTGCTTTTTCCTACCCTGTCTATATTTTTTCTTTTTCGTTTTATTGCCCTCTTTTTGTTATTTTTATATTCTTTTTTTTTATTTTTTTTTTTCGTCCACTGGCCATGTCGGATCAAGGCACCCTTTTACCCGGAGTCTAGTCCATGATTATTGAATCCTATGCAGCTGAGCTAACCATTCAACAAGTTATCACGATGCTTGACCCTATGATCCGTAAGCGCAGGCCTTCAGTGGGCCTCTTCAGGGGTCAAAACCAGGACATGGGGAGATTTTGGAGGATTCCAATTCGTATTTCGGTCAAGGCGGAGAAGGGCGACGGACGGGGTTAATCAAGATAAAAATCCAGCTCAAGGTACCCAGAGAACATGTCTACCTACTGGCTCAGAACGGTCAGAACATCTCTAACCTCATACATACCGCTGTCACACGGCGAAGCCCGCAGCGGGAACCGGATCGGGCCTCAGTGAAGCGGACTAATGAGCCATTGCCATGCCGCCATCTAGTCCCAAGTTAAATTACACTTGGCTAGGATACCTCAGTGCAGTTGGCGCCGCGCTTCTCACAGCAGCGAAGAAAGAAGATGATGAGAGTGAACCATGGCTGCACGAATTACCAGCCGCATGGCTCTGCTGGGCTATCCTGTGCACTTACTACATTGGAAAACGGTACCTTTTCCACGGCCGGTTCCTTGACGGGGACGGCATAAGAGGCCGAGATTTGACCTCACTCGCTCGCTTGTGGGCTATCTCCATTGCGATTGTCGCATTCACATTTGCCTCCTCGTTCTCAGGGGAAGCCTCGTGGCTACTGGTATGATGCATAATCTGTCCCTTTGGCCTTGAATAATCACTACCCAACAGTTAGAAAAAAAAAAAAAAACTATTGATATTCGAGGAAAATGCTGACTTTGTAGCCTGCGATTACAACCACTGTTCATGTGATATTCCTTTTGCGAGAAAAACGTTCTTCGTTATCGCCATCGGACAGCTCACCTGGGGATTTAATACCCAAAGGATGGCCTTCCTCGGCCCAATTAATTGGACCAGCTGCTATTTTGCTTTCCCTTTTTGACTCTATATTCCTATTTCGCCAAAGTGGAGATTTGAATTCATCACCGCTACCATCTATCCTTCGCCTGTCTGTCTGGATATGTCTAGGTTGGCGGACGTCGAATAGCATACGGTCAACAGCTGCCTCTGGGGGCGCGGATGTAACATCTGCTCTTGCACATGGTGTTACACCAAGAGTACTCTTCGTATTGACGGTATCTCTCGCCCTACACGGCCATGCACCCAGGTTCACATCTACCGAAATCTTGATCTCGTTTTTGTCGGCCTCAAAATGGATCGCAATATTCTCAATGGTGTGTACAATATCGTTTCCTTGGCCCTCGGGGTATGCAGAGTAACAATGCTGACGTCGGGCGATCATTTTCAAGGTATCTGGCAATGCCTCTGCTTCGGCAAGCACTCTAGATTCATTTGCTCAGTTTTCAGTGCAGGCAATAAATCTTAAGCAGGCCAATGAATTCCCCGTCCTGTTTTTGTCAGCCGGAGTATCCTTAGTACAAGGCATGGTCACTCTCCCTAAAGGCATGCAGTATCGAAACTGGCTGGCTCTTCTTTTGATGATCCCGGCTACCGGCTTTCTGCTCCAGGAGACATCCGTAGACTTTGGGTATTCTCTCTATGACGGAATGGTTGGGCGTGTTGCAGATGTCTCGATTCACCCCATACAGCAACTTGCATCTGAGGCCATGAAAAAACACCATGATATGGTGGCGGGGCAATCCAAAACGCTTGAGGCTGCAATTATTGAATATGAACGCCGATACAGCCGAAAGCCTCCGCCTGGCTTTGATGTATGGTATAAAGCAGCAGAACACAAAGGTTTCATTCTCATTGATGAATTCGATTCGTTAATGGAAGGGCTGAAGCCATTCTGGGGTGTCCCTCCCGCCGTTCTTCGTGCACGCGTAGCTGCGGCAACGCAGATATCTGGCTCAAGACTCATTCGCTATTCTGTGAAGGATAATTCCCTGATAGCTGAAAATGATGGTGAGGCTACTTGGATAACAGACCAGCTTAGAATTTGGTTTACCTCTGATGTGTTGAAAACTCTGCCTGACTTAGTGTTTGCTCTTAATTTACTTGATGAACCGCGAGTTGTGGCTCCCTATGAGGGCCTGGAGAAGGCTCTCGGAGCCATGTCTTCGACAGAGGACTCGGGATCTTTCTCGAATGCGATTAAATTCAAAATGGCTAACGCCTATGATCTATGGGATAGCATGACATTATCCTGTGACCCGAAATCTGCAGCTAGAAACGGCCCGACCAGGTTCAAGCTCCCACGCAAGGGTCTAGGTAGCAGCTTCGTCTCCAATACTACCATTGCCCGAGATGTCTGCTCCATGCCTGATCTCCAAGTTCAACATGGATTCTTCATTACACCAGAGACAGCAAGCATAGCGCATTCAATAGTTCCTATCTTTTCGCAGGCCAGACCTTCGAGTTTTCAGGATATTATTTTCCCAAGCGTGTACTATGGCGGGAGACTAGAGATGCACGAATATCAAGAAAGCCAGGACATGGAGTGGGATGAGAAAGAGAATGTTGTTTACTGGGCAGGTTCGTCAACGGGAGGCCATACAAATATTAATAACTGGCAGATGTTTCACCGCCAACGGCTGGTGCTCACTATCTCCAACAACGCTACAAGGGTCGAACTTATGAAAAGGATCCTCGAAAATCCTCTAAAGGATAGTAACACTACATCTACTTGGCGCATATATACATCTAAAATGGAGCAAATTGTATCGATGCTCAAAATCCGAATCTCAGCCGTCATCCAATGCGAGGACGACGCATGTGATGCACAAAATGCCGCTTTCCGACCGGAAGAGCAGCCAAAGGATGATTTTCAAGCGACATATCGAGCCCGGTATAATTTGGACGTTGACGGCAACGGTTTCAGTGGACGTTATCTTCGTGGTCTTCTGTCCAACTCTGCCATGATGAAGCAAACAATATTTAAAGAATGGATAGATGATTGGCTAACGCCTTGGGTCCATTATATACCGGTCAGCATGGACCTTGTGGAATTCCCTGAGTTGGTACGGTTCTTTACCTCTGAGCCAGAAGGACAGGCGATAGGGAAGAGAATTGCGATGGCGAGTAAGGATTGGTCGCGCAAAGCAATTCGAGCGGATGATTTGAAACTTGCACTATGGCGCGTAATGCTAGAGTACGCGCGGGTTATGAGCGATGAGAGAGACTCCATGCAGTGCTGTTCTTAATTTTAATGTTGGATAATTCCTATTGGATACTTTTGGGTTAACCAAGGGGTTTGGGATATATACTTGGAGCACATACATACATGCTCTGCAGAGGGGATATGTGTAAGGTATAAAATTGGAAAAAAGACGGTGTATTTATAAACCATAGAAAAAAAAGGCCTAGTTCTCTGTTATACAGTTAGCATGGGAAAAAATACTTACGATATTATATCATCTATGATGCCTACATTGCAAGGAGAGTAAGACGCATATACTCTCCATCTACTACTTAGCCCATCAATATGGGCATTCTATCAGAACTTGAGATAAAGGTCCAATCTACCCAGGCTCCATCTCCATCCATATATCCCTTTACCCATGTTCACGCCGTACGTCTTAAGTATATGTTATATGGGATCGAGTACGAATGTAGGAGGGTTGTGAACGTGAGGTAAAGAGTACCCGAGTCGGTTAAAATAAATGGCTTTGGTACAGTGTTGAAGCGAGCTGAGAGTTAAATTTGGGAGATGTTCAGGCCAATCAATTATTGATGCGAAAGTATCGTAAAGAGCTTTTCTGTGCCACCTCTTATCGTTACCTATGGTGCATAAACTTGTCCATCGCTCGAACTTAACGGTATAAATTGATACCTACCCGGTAAATCGAAATCGAGTAGCCTCTAATCTGCCTAATCCCTCCCTTGGTGCCACATTCCGACGTCTATATGAGTTTGTGAAATCTGGAAAGTAGGTATAAGTTAGTTAGAACGAGGATGATATTCTAAAATAGTGTGACGGTGCCGGGAACGAACCTTGAAGGACAACTCTAATTTTCCGCATATCACCCAATTGAGCATACTCTGAGAGCGTTTTCATCAAGCGCTCACTTTCACCAGGTTTAACGGAGCGAGCGGGCAGCATCTGAATTGTAGCTTCAATCCAACTTGCTGTCTCTGCGGGTAGTAGTTCGAAGCATGACATAAGGACCGCCGAAGCGTCAGGGAAGCAGTCACCAGGAAAAGTAAACATCATTCCTGTTAATATCCGTTGCACAAGAATAGAACCCTGTGATACCATTATTCGTTTCACACCTGCTCTAATCTCCGGCGAGTTCGTATAAACCTCGCCATCCGGGGTTGTGAAGTTGGACACAGCCGGCTTTTCAAACCCAAAGCTGATCAGGTCACGGAGGTACTGTAGGGTAGCGGTAAGAGGCTCGATCTGCTGAAGAGTGAGCGAACTCAAAGCAGCTGAGAAAATGGGAGCAGAAAAAGACGACGTGACAGTATTTTTAGGGAAAAATCGGACTGCATCTGTTGCTAGCCTGAAGAAATCCTCAATCACTAAAAAGGGCCGTTAGTAGGAGGGATATGGTGGATGGAAGGAGATCGTCTTTCATACTATCTGGTAGATGTTCTGGGGGTAAATCGTTAAGGATTCGGAGGAATAGCACAACTTGCTCTTCGAAAAATTGATAAACAGCAACGCTGGTTGGATTATCAACAAGCTCTGCTCCGGCGGAGAATTCACGGACAATCGCATCAGTTGCCCAGAGGAAGCATCCTTCTCTAGACGCTTCAAAACCAGATGAGATGCTTTGCGCAAGGGCCGGAAGGAGAGGAGTCATTGCGTTGCGGTATGAGATTATCATGTACCGCCAGCAACGGCAAACTCTCTCGAGGATTGGGGTAGATTTCGTGAAATTCATAACTATTGTGCTGAGAACAGGTAATATCTCTCCGCAGTATTTAACTCCAGGATTCTCTTTTCCGGGTTCGACATAAGGGGAGACAACTTGAATAAATATAGCGATTAATTGCAGATGGTCTTGAAAACAACGGCCGTTGGTTAGTTCTCTTTTATGCTTGAGTTACTCAGTAGAATAGGGTTATACTTACCAGCGACGGCCTTTTGTCCCTCTTCATCTTGAGCATTATTGGCCAAGGTCATAATTCTGGACATAAGGGGGTTGCAGAACAGTTTTAATCCCTCGTAGATTTTTTCAACTGGCTGGACAGCGAGGACGGCCGCAACACCCTCAGTAACCTCTTCCTGGCTGGAAGGCTTCAAACCATCAATAACGGACTCATAGAAAGTATGAAGCTGTGGGATGTGAGAGCCCAGCAATTTCTGGCAGTCGGTTCCTAGGAATTTAAAGGCAAGGGCTGCTGCTTGCACTACTTCCTGGGACTTATGTTGGAATCCAGAGATGACGTAGTTAAGCTGTGCCTCTAGCGTCTCGGGGTGCTGTGCAGTCCACTCGGTGTATCTACCAAGAGCCATGATTGCCTGGAAGCGAACCTTCTCCTGATCTGGTATGCGCACGATGAGCGGGATGATTTCAGGTAAAACATAACTTTCCTCCGCTTCTACCATCCGTCCCATAGCGCGCATGCTGAATAGAGGGGCTTCCAATTCTTGCCAGCGTGGGACATGATCGTGCCTTGCCTGGGGCCCATATTTTGCAACCCAAGCTTGAATGAGACTGTATGCCTTTCCAAGACATTCAGAAACTCCGATAACTGCACAACAGTCCTTGAGTACATCTCCCATGGAGTGCCGGAAGCTTCGGAATTTCTCCTCTTGCTCTCTGTCCCCGTCAAAGAGGTCGTTCTCGTCTCCGTCAGAAGTTGGGTATTCTAGGTGCTTTATCATGACATCGACGAGCTTTGAGAACAGGTCCCCGAGGGTTGCCCTGGCTCTTGTATACCGCTCCAGGGTCAAATATTGCTTAAGCTCATACCAGAAGACGAAGGTGATTGAAATAGCATCTCGATCTTTATCAACTGTGCAACACTCCAATACCGCTTCCACCAGGTTTCGGAAATCATCTGGTAGGCGTGCGATTAAAAGAACCCAAGCCTCTGCCGCCTCTGCAAACAATCGAGTAAGACCTCGGAGCGTGTCAACATCTTCTGTTTCTGCTGCTTCTCTTATCTTAGGCCGCAGCGCTATTACCCTGGGGTATAGAGCTTTAATAACGTTCATCGAATCGTCAACTTCAAGTGTGTCCCTGTAGATCATGCATATGCAATCTACAGCCGCCTCAAAGGATCTTTCTTCCGATAGAGCTTTCATGATGACGTCCATCAGGGGGGATTCTACGACCTGGGCCGCAGGGATCTCACGCATCCACGAAGTAATACATTCAAGGAGAATTGGATTAGTTGCAGCGGAAGCTAAAAAGAATCGCCCAAAAAGCTGTCAGTAATACACTCGGTAAGACGGATTTTGCCCAAGTAGAAAGACATACGAGAAGATTGAGAATATTGTGTCAAAAGACCCAGGACCTGACTTGAGTTGTCCTCCAAGAGTTCCTTTGTTCTTGAAGATAGCTCCTCTTCCTAAGAGTTACGAATGAACTGATTAGATATAAACGATTTTCTTGGTCGTATTAAAAAGGATAGATAATTGACGGATATGCTGAACTTGAATGCGCAAATGCGGTGGATGGTGTGATTCGACCGGAACATACAGTCAGGTTGATTTTGCGTCCCTCTATGACCTCCTCGGGAAGGATCTTGAGGAATTCGAGGACACAGTCTCCGGCTTCGTTGCCCAGCGCAGCGCCAACGGTAGGCAAGACATCCTTCCAGGTGGTCATCTGGATGGCGAGGGTAGCCAGGGAAACACATAGCTGTGTCCGTATCGGCCGTGGTCCAGATCTATAATTTGACAGGAGAGAAAGTATCGACGTCCTTAGTTCAGGCTGAGCGGACTCGGGAAGCTGGTCAAGGTCATATGTGATCTGCCAAAGCGAGTTGTTTGTCCCATCAGTGACCAAAGTCGCTATAGAGTGTAATATAGATCTATCGAGGGGGGGTCTTGTTCAACATGGCCGGTCTTCTCACTTTTCCTTTCAACGTAGTTGCAGCAAACAGCTTTGCTTCGACCTGCGCATCTGCAGTCTGAAGAATCGCGTGTGTCGTCGTCCATGCCTCTGTCTGTTTTTTTTTATTTAATTTCCTCTCGTCAGTAAAAGTCCTGACAGCGCCTATGGAGGGGTAAACATGTGTGACGATGAAGAGAGCCAAAGCTCACCGATTTCTGGAACTTTTCGAGAAACTCATGGGCGTGAGTCTTTTCCTGACGAGAGACACTGCTCTGCATCGTCGAAAGGGCTGCAAGCACTGGTGCGAAGGCCTGCTGCCCTGAGGCATTGCTCGCTGTCGCCATGGCGCGGGTTTGCCTTGGGAGGGATTCGGTGCGGGCAAGGGATCTGGCGATTTGGCAGTGCTGGATAAATCGGCGCTGTGCCCGCAGTCGTCATGAAGCGAGGAGTTGAGTAGGAGTGAGGAAGTGAGGAAATGAAGAAGTTCCAAGGCGTTGGTAGATTTGTTCGATGTTTTTTTGTAGTTTTGATAGTTAGAAAACCGTCTGGCCCACTTCTGCCTCTTTTTCCTTTTTTGAACGTCAAATGAAGTTTTCCTGCACTTTTTACAACTTCACAAGCACCAAAACAGCTTCTCACCACGACAGAGAGACGATTTGCGAGTGACAGAGTGAGTGAGTGAGAGAGTTACAAGAGTGTGAGAGTGCGAGAGAGAAGGATAAAAGTCGCTACATCATGACCGGTCGAGGACAGCGTGGTGGCGCGAAGACGCTGCTTGCTCCGATCCATTTCATCTTCAAGCTCCTTCAGCAGCGAGCGACGGTGTCGATATGGCTGTACGAGCAATTGGCGGTTCGCATAGAAGGGAAGATACGGGTAAGCAGCTGGCTACGATTGACTGCGGCTTTTTCTCTTTTCTTCATTTCTACGTGAGCTAGAGGCTGACCCCTTTCGATATCAAGGGATTCGATGAGTTCATGAACCTCGTAGTGGATGACGCGGTGGAAGTGACGCTAGCGACAAAGACAGAGGCAGAGTCGAGGAGACAGCTCGGTATGGGACATGGAGTCTGCTCTTTTTCGTGCGGCATGCTAATATAGAACAGGTCAAATCCTGCTCAAAGGCGATAATGTCTCGTTGATCCAGACGGTTCAGTCATAGAACGACTGTGATGGTTTCTTACATGATGGTTCAAAGGCGACTGGCGTTTACGGTACAATGTTTCTGTTGGGAAAGAGGGGATGAAAATACAAAAGACGGCGGAGTGATCAGCTTCTCACGACCCGTCCGTCACCTACGACCAGGCTGTTGACGAGATTGTCGTACTCTCCCACAGGCACCTCCTCTGGTGGTTGGAGAACTTGCTCGGCTAGACATAACGCGGCTATAATCTGGGTTAGTTGTTTACTGGTACGGAAAAAGTTGATGTTGGCAATTTGCTGCTTGTGTTCGTGATCTCACCGAGATATGGCATCTGAACCTTTCCTGCCTGCTGAGCAATGTTATTATTCCGGTATCTGTTGATAAAGCGGTCATAATACCCCTTTCCGTGTCCCAATCTCCTCATGCCGTGGTCAAAGGCCATCCCGGGCACGACCATGAAATCTAAACCGCAATTTTCATCCTTTAAGGCGCCGTCTTCGCCCAGTAAACCGACCCCACCCAGGCAGTTCTCCCTGCTGGACAAAGAGCCAGCGTCCAACGTAGGAATGCCCCATCCGTCAGGCTGTAGAGACTCGTAATCCTCAATTGAACGAAGAGCCAGCATCTCCATGATCGACGACGGCTTCGTTTCAGCACTGCCTGGCGCAGCCTGCTGCTTGTAGATGTACGGCACAAAGACCTGTTTGCCACGGCTGAAGGCATCCCGTACTATGTCTCCTGTCATCATCTCCGCGGCCGGCATGGATAGGTAGACGCTAACACGCCTCGCTGACTGATATTCTGGCAGCGAGAGAAGGCGTTCAGTGGCAAGAGAAGCTACGATAATCAACATCAGCCAGCCAGCCAGATAAGCGAAGGACGAGGGACTCGAACATTGAGATATAACTGACTCTGCAGAGACGCCAGCGAGGATCTTCTTGACCCTACTCCTCATCTCCTTCTTTGCTGTGCTTAGAGAGGCCATCGTAGAGGATTGCGACTGTTCCGTTGATTGTTGATATGATACAAATATTTAATCAGTGGCGAGTCTTGGTCGACCAGGGCAGTTAGTAAGACGAGACATCAACAAGAGATAAATAACAGATAATAAACAGTAAAATTGCCCTGGTATATATCAGAGTAGACAAATATCGATCTTGCTCCGGTGTTTTCTGTTGTTGTATCGAAGTCTTTCATGGGCCAGAAGGACGACGTAATATTAAGTGGCTCTCCCTTTTTTTTTTTCTTCCTCCTCCTCTGCTTCCTCTCTTCGTTACAAAAAACTCCCGCTTGACTGCTATCAATACAGTGACGATGAACTTGCTACTGTCTCTTCCTTTGCTGGGCCTGCTGCAGGCTGTCATGGCGGAGTTGGACCCGCGTCTTACGGGGACATGGACGACTAAGTCGCGGAAGGTCGTCACAGGGCCGGTATGTATAGCAGATACCACAAGAGAGAGAAGCAGAATACTGACTGACTGAATCTTCCAGGGCTTCTACGATCCAATCAAGGATAGACTGATCGAGCCATCGCATACCGGCATCTCCTACTCCTTCACGGACGATGGCTACTTCGAAGAGGCTCACTACCGCGCCATCTCGAACCGTGAGTGCCACCCCTCTTATACATATATATACCCCTTCCAACGAGGGAATAGACGGACTGAAAGATATGATATCTAGCACAAAACCCTGCCTGCCCAAGTGGTATGATGCTGTTCCAGCATGGGACATACGACGTCAAGCCCAACGGGACTCTCGTATTGAACCCCTACACCTTTGAGGATGACGGCCGTCAGTTGATATCCGATCCATGCAAGGGAAAGAAGGCGAGCTATTACAGATACAACCAGAACGAGACCTTCAAGGTACGCGGATAGTAAAACCTCTCGTCAATGAGCCGAGTGATTGCTAACGTCGATTTACAGAGATATGAAGTCCAGCTCGATGAATTCCACAATATACCGAGGCTCAACCTGTATACACATGATGGCTCGCCCATGAACCGCATGTTTCTCATCTACAAACCGCCACAGATGCTTCCAACCAAGCATCTCAACCCCGTCGTAAAGACTCCCTCACGACGAAAGAGAGATCTCGCGGACAGTGAATTCGATACACCGCTAAACAAAAATACCATCCTAACACGACAGCTCTCCATGCCTACCCACGCTGACCGATGGTGGTGGGTTGGTGTCCTCATGACCTCCATCGGTGGAATCGCCCTCATCTACTCCTAACCTTTGCAGCCTTCCATCATCGGGGAAAGAAAGGGAATAAAATAAAAAACAAAAAACAAAAGTTATATGATATAATGCACTTTTCTTGGATATAGATGGCGTTACGAACGGACTGGTGTCCCCGGTTTTTCTTCTTTTCTTGCCTTGGGGAGGCTCTATTGTTAAATCGTGGGACGGATATGCCTATTATTGCCTCCTACGTTGGGCTGATCGGTTGTTGCAACTGTACTTTACTTTCTTTTCCACTTTCACCTTCTCACCCGCTGTCTTTTCTCATCTGCAGGAAGGCCTCGTCCTGCTCCTTTACTTTTCTTTCTGTTCTACTTCTTTCACGCCCCTGTTTCAACCTGTTGCTATTGTGTCCGAGGGGTAATTGCAATGTTTAATTATCATCGACATCGACAATGTCAATCCCTGTTGAGACTGTTTTGTACCATTGAAGATATATGGCTACCCTCTATGTTTGTATTTACGGCATGGATCAATATTCAAACTGCTTTCTTATTGGAGCTAATGTTACATTTGAATTGACGATCTTCTAATATACATTCCAGTTTTCATTTCTAGTGAGTGGAATTAGGATGGAAGCCCCCCATGCCACCAGGACATAGATTTCTCTCTCTACTGTGTGAGAGGTGTGATCACTTCTGTTCCTGCACCTTGACCAATTCTCCAGCAATTTTCGCAACCACCGTCTTGCTCGCTGGCTTCCCATCCAAAGGTCCACCAGCCGCGAGTACTTTCTTCATGACACTTCCAATAGCCATCTTCTCACCCCCTACCCGGAGTTCCGCGATGACTCCCTCAACAGCAGTGCGTATCGCTTCTTCGCTTACGGTCTCAACCTGTGCAGCATATTCCTCAACCACCTTCCGCTCCGCCGCCGCCTTGGCCGTTAAATCTTCACGCCCAGCAGCCGCGTACTCCTTCCCACTAGCCTCTAGGCTGGAGGCCCGCTTGCGGAGAATATCGAGAAGGCTAAGATCAGTCTCAATGGGCTTTGGTGTTTTGGCTGCGTTGTTCACTTCTGATATGATTCCGCGTAGGACGTCAAGTCTATTGTTTTAAGTACACTGTTAGCGTTGGTTCGTCTGTAAGGAGATTTCTAATAGATGGATCATCAAGGTGAGTGACCTGACTGTGTCTTTTGCTCTCATAGCAGCTTTCAAGTCTGTTTTTATCTTTGCAAATAATGGAGCAACCCCGGGTGTAGAAGATGTGGAGGAGTAGCGAAGGGAGAGCCGCACGAGGGGCGACTGGAGGCGGAATGATCGAATCATGCTGCTTGTGATCGTATATATAACTTCTTCTCTCTACCGTACAGGCAATTATAATGGTATATGTCTCTGCTGTCTATCAAATGGCTTTTGAAAGCTCATCAAAAAATGTTAGCAAGTTTGATTATTTATAAGGATATGGCCCGTGCACTCAAGCTCTTTTGTGTTTTTGCTAAAAAAAAGTCGCAAATAAATCAACATCTTCATCTTTTGACCTTCTTCAGCCATTCTACCACATACATAATAGATACAAAGCCTCTGGCTTGGGAAAAGCTGTGAATAGGCTCTGGCTGTGGCTACCTGATCAACTTCTATACTGGCAAAATCTCTCACCCAGTGCGCCTGGGTGCTGCCGCGACCATGAGCTTCCCATTCACACCTACACCAAAGCCACCAGGCACATATTTCCAGACTCCGGCGGCCTCGCACACTCATGGACCTCTTTTCACCTCAAGACCTCTCTCTCCGCCCTCGGGCAACGCTGCGGGCTCGAATCTAGCTGCCTCGACCGCCGCTCGTCCCAAGATGCCCACATCGGACATAAAGGCAAAGCCTGAAGTAATAAGTCCAAGAGAGCGAGCAGCGCGGACAATAGACGAAGCTCTCTTGCAGGAGTCGCGGTACCCTGATCTAGACAGCTATCTTTCTCGTACGTTGCATTCTGAAGCCTACAGTCGAACGCGTTGCGCAGGTAGAACGAAGAAAATCAAAGGCTAACTTTGTTATATTAGAGGGTTTCTCCTCCGATTACGATATCCCTAGCTCACCATCATGGGCGCCGTTCCAGAAAGTGAAGATGTATAGGATCCCAGATCAGATATTCGATCAGTATAACCGCGCGCAAGTTTCTACCAGCATGGGCTTGTTTGCGGAACTAAACCACGCCTGGGTCACAATCGACAATGCGCTCTATCTCTGGGACTATACGCTTCCAAATCCCCAATTGGTTGGATTTGAGGAGCAACCTAACAGCATCAACACTGTCAAACTCGCGCGGCCGAGAAAAGGCGTGTTTCTACCAGCAATTACCCACTTGCTCATCATCTCTACAACCGCGGACGTCTTCCTCCTGGGTCTTGGATGTGAAAATACCGGTGGCTTTAAGACGGTAACTTTATACCAAACCGGCATGTCAGTTCCTATCAGAGGGTTAGATATCAATGTCCTTGCATCGTCCGATTCGACCGGACGGATCTTCTTTGCTGGGTCTACCGACAATGATGTCCATGAACTTACCTATCAGCAGGAGGAACGATGGTTCCAGGGCCGCTGTGGTAAAGTCAACCATACAACTAAGAGCTTCACCGCATTTGCGCCTCAATTCAACCTCCGAAACAAACCAGCTGAGTTTGTAGAACAAATGGTAGTTGACGATAGCAGGAATCTCCTATACACCCTGTCTTCGAATTCATCAATTCGAGTCTTTCACCTGAAAGCTGATGGATCCGTCAATCTTACTATTACCAAGACCGCAATCGATATTTACTCTAACATTGGCCATATCATCAGCTCTAATGAAACACTCAACCCTAGAATCAAAATCGTTTCGATCAGCCCCATTCCAGCGCCAGAGGCCTCCAGATATCATTTAGTAGCTACGACTGCCACTGGTTACCGGATATACCTCAGTGCTACCGGCTCATATAGCTGGTCGGCTATTCCCAATGCCACTAATGCTCCTACAAGCATGCAAGCACAACATGTCAAAACTCCACCGTCTGATTCTCCATCCGGTCAACTGCCACAAGTGGCTCCGATACCAGGAGCCCCATTCCAGCCTACAGGGCCTTCAAAACTCCCAATACACTCGCTGAACCCTACTAGCTCCGCTGAACGGTTCCCTCCCGGTTACTTTTTCTGTCTCACGCAGAAAGACCCCTCAAAACAAGCAGATACGTTGTTTATCTCTGCCCCTGACTCCGGAAAACTTGCACTACCACGAGATCCTTCTATGCCCGTAAAACCAGAGGAAACTGGCATTTGGCTCACTCTTGGCAGTCGAGCTGAGGCAATTGGCCTCTATACTCCATACGACCAAGGTGGCCCAACGAGCGGTGGCTTTGGGAATGAGCTATCTGTTCAGTTCGATAAGCCTGCCACTGAGATTGCTATTTTAACTAACACTGGGGTTCACATCATTCGCCGAAGACGGCTCGTCGATATGTTTGCTTCACTCATTCGTAATTCGGATGGTGAGGAAGGACTAGATGCTCAAGTCCAGGCATTTATTCGGATATACGGCCGAAGTGAAACGATAGCCACTGCGCTCGCAGTGGCGTGTGGCCAAGGAATGGAAGTTTCACCAGATTCTCGTCTTTCGAAGATTAATGATCCTGATGTTCTCGACTTTGCCCGAAAGGTTTTCATAGAGAAGGGAGGGAAGCCAACTATTAACGAAAACGCAGTTACTGATGGGTCTGTCCCAGCCATTGATACGGTTCTGCCTTCTCCTCGGCATGCAGGCATCGCTTTGTATACTTCCCGGCTTCTTCGATCTATTTGGAAAACTGTAATAGCAAAGCAAGGGCGAACGCCTTCTGGGGGCCTTTCTATATCTCCAGCAGTCCCTACTACCTCATTACTTTCCGTCCAACGTGATCTTTCTGCCCTTCAGGAGTTTTTCAACACCAATCGGACTTTCATCGAAGGATTGAGTGGACCTGATGCGCTATCGAAGGTCACCACAAAACAAGAGGAAGTTGCTTTGCAAGCTGAGCATCGTGGCCTTCACTCTCTTGTACAGCTAATCTCCCATACAATTGAGGGAATCTCGTTTATTTTGGTTCTTTTTGACGACAGAGTTGAGGATGTCATTACCCTGCTGAACGAGGATGCTAGAAACCGTTTCTTAGAGTTGACATTTGAGCAGCTCTTCGCCACATCTAGGGGGCATGAAACAGCAAAGGAACTTGTCAAAGCCATTGTGAACTGCAACATTGCCAAAGGCTCTAACGTTGAAACAGTCGCTGAAGCTTTGCGACGAAAGTGCGGCACTTTCTGTAGCTCACAGGATGTCATTGTATTCAAGGGTCAGGAGCTTCTCAAGAGAGCGACAGAGGCCGGTCCAAACTCGGAGATTGGTCGAAACCTACTGAATGAGAGCTTGATGCTTTTCCAGCAAGTGTCGGAGAGCCTCCCCATGGACTACCTAAAACCCAGTATCGACCAATATATCAAAAACCAATTCTTTGCAGGTATGTTACCTACAATTCCTATGAAGACATCAAGAGACTAATGTGTATAGGCGCAATACAACTTGCCCTCAGTGTAGCCGCTGATTCTGATAAAGCAAACCATGCGCTTTCTTGGATTATGGATGGAAGACCAGCTGAGGTAAGAAGAGAGAACCAGATGAATAACAGTGACATGCATTAACACACAGCTATGTAGGACCCCCGACAGAATAGTTATGAATCTCGGCAGCAATGCTACGACCTCATTTACAAGGTGATCCTTGCTGTAGATGAGCTTTCTGAGCAAGACAACTCTGAGGGCCCATACAGCCTCATAGCACGAAGGAGAGCTGAAGCATACGACGTAATTACCACCTCGCGGGACGAGGTTTTCCTCACTAGCCTTTATGACTGGTATCTCGCGCGCGGGTTAAGTGATAGACTCCTTGAAATTAGGTCCCCGTTTGTTGCTACCTATCTTGAGAGAAAATCAACAGAGGATGTATTCCACGCCGACTTACTCTGGAAATATTATGCCCAATCCGACCGATTTTATGACGCGGCTGTCGTGCAATTGCAACTCGCGAAAAGCCCATTCAAGCTTACTTTGAATCGAAGAATCGAGTACCTAGGTCAGGCAAGGGCAAATGCATCGGTGCATTCACCTGATGTTGGTCGAGCAACACGACAACGTTTACAGCATGAAGTTGAGGAACTTCTGGATGTCAGCCATGTTCAAGATGACCTATTGCAACGCCTAAAGGATGATGTAAGGCTAGATAGCGATCGCAAAGCTGATGTACTGGAGGCAATGAATGGAGGCATCATGGAGATTAGCAAGGTAAGTGCTTTTCCCTAGAACGAACAAAGCTCTTTTGCTTCAGAAACTGACTGTATGTGCCACTCTAGATGTTCAACGAATATGCAGCTCCTGGGAACTACCATGATATCTGCCTTCAGATAATGTATCTTGCAAACCACCGAAATGCTTCAGACATCACCACTACCTGGCAAGACTTGATCCAGGGAGTCCATGAAGAGACGCTGAAGAATGGGACGCCCCTACCATATGAAGCCGTTATCGAAAAGGTTCGCAGCCTGGCACATAGACTCAGGATGTCTGACGTTGCTTTCCCTGTTAAAACTCTCCTTCCTATGTTGGAGCGGTACAAGCTTGAACACCAGAAGAATGACGGGCCTCCAACCTGGGTTGTTGATCTCTTCCTTGAACTACAGGTTGAGCCGGAGGTGCTATATACCGTCCTTGAGTCTTTGTTTTATAACGACGAGGTACCTTTTCATGGAGCCAATCGGAAATACATTGGCAATGATCTCGCATACCTTATTTCAAGATGGTTCAACGAAACAGCCCGGCTCGGCGGCGCGGCGTTCGGAAGCGATGTAATTGCCGCCAGGGTCTCGGAAATGCTACTCCTACTACAGCAGTCTCGATTGGATAAGGATGTAGTGCAGGCATGTCGAGATATGAGGGTGAGACTTGAGCAGTCCTTCCGTTAAATTATGTTGTCTATAATCGCCGTACCAGTGCCTCTGCATATGTCTGTTCTATGACTTTGCTTCTAATGTACACTTGAGCTTCATGCCTTTAGAGGCTTATGTTGACTAACTACATGTCTTTCATTTTTTTTTCCGATATTCAGGATGGGATATCATTTGGGGAGGGCGTCTTAAATGATTGGATTCTAGATCAGTTGAGACTTTTTGACGTTCCAGATGCATATAAACCAGCTTTAGATGGCTGGTTAAAGAAATATGTGCCTACAGTTTTTTATTTCTCTCTACTCCTTTTTTAGTTTCTGTGATTGCTTCACAATTAGTTATAATTTAAGGGGTCAATTTATATCATGTGACCTGACGCTGTCCGAATAAATCCTTCGGTCTTTCAACCTCAATCTCAGCAATTGGTTAACATTTATATCTAGGAAGGTACAATGGCAGGCAGCAAGAATCACGCTCGTGGTCAGAAGCAGAACGGCCCGTCTTGGAGACGCAATCTAGATTATGTCTACGCCTCGTTCTTCATACTTCATATTGTGATCATGTTTAGTACGTCTTGACAAATTGTTCATGGGCCAACAAAAATTCCAATGTTTCATGAAGGACTCCTTGCGGACGTTAGTATACCTCTCCTCCAGGATGCTAACTGATGATGCCCTTTTTAGTGGTTGATCTTGTTCCGCTATATCCTCTTGCCTTGAAACCAGCCTTTCTCGATGACATCCGCAGCTTTTACATAAACACATACCACGATAAATTCTTCATTGACCCCCCAGCTTGGTTTGGCAGTTACTTGGCTATGGAACTGGTATATCATGTTCCAGCAAGCGTAATCAACGCTTCTAAACTCCTATATAGTAAGCAATTCTCATTGTCCTCCAGTCATGGAAGAGGATCAATTGTATGTGATATCTAACATCCAGCAATAGACGATTCCTCTGCACCACTTCATGTGCTGGTATGGGCTATACAGACGTTTATCACAACCCTCACTTGCGTGGTGGAGGTGTGGAGCTGGATAGATCGTACGACTGACCAAAAGATGAATATAAGTTTACTCTACGTCCCATATATGATATTTGGTAAGCTTATATTAAACTCTATACCCAGTATGATTCCTAATGAAGCTAAGAGAATTGTAGCTGGGTTGGTCGGGCTTGACATGTTCAGCCGGTTACAAACATCGTTGAATAAGCTCAAAAGGGATTGAGAAAAAGTGGATATTTTTTTCAGCATTCGAGCATGGACTAGGCATGCCAATCAGGAATAAAATAACCTCAAGACATAGCAGACGTAATATATATTTAGATAGACGTTCAAATAGGACAATAGCTCTGTGTTTGATATTAGATGCTCTTATCTTAGGTTTAAAGGAAAAATCTAGGCTTGGCGCAGGTGCTCGTGCGTCACTGACTCAAAGTGTCTTGCGCTTATCTGATCTGGATCCGATTTTATCAAGGCTGAAATACTTATATCAACGCACAACTTCCTCCCTCCCACTGACTAATATGTTCAATATTGCTTGGATCAGTCGGTCTACTTTGGACCTTCATCGCGCATACTGGAGTGAAATGCTACGATGAGTCGAAAGGCAATGCTGCAGTCTCGACTGCTCCTCCACCAGGTAGCAATCCTTGTTCACCGCCGCAGCTTGGAGCAGAAGAACTAACATGGATCTAGCATGACAACTTGAGATGCCATGGCTACGGTTGTTTACCTCCATTGAAGCGACGGTGCTTCTCTCGCTCTAAAACATTATCATCTTCTTCTCACCCGACTCTCAGCTCCCGAAACCATGATCGCATCCAATATCCCCCCGAGTTACCGGATAACCTATGCCACAGTGCCAAGGAGAAGGAGGAAGACAAGGTCGGTGCTATGGGATCCTGTTGAGATAATTCATTAGTTCGCCTACTTACACGATCACAGGAATTCTTCCTCGACCTTCTAAGCTCTGCAACTACCAAACGAGAAGCAAAGTCATATCTATCCCGATTTACACCACCAAAACCACCCCTGGTCAATACACAACCGAAAGAGGAGGCTACAGATGATCTAAAAGCTGTGAATTCAAACGAAAAATATTTTAATGCTTCTCTTATGTCCTCTACTCAGGCAAATACCCTACCTGCAGAACCCAATTTATCAACTTCCAAATGTGCTGCCACAGAAACCCTGCGCGTTGCTCTGATTAAAATCAAAAACCCGGAGATGCTAGATGACCAATGCCTTCATGGAATATCCAAGACTCTCTCTCAACTCAGCAGACTTGCTATGGGCTGCTGCATTGTAGTGGAAGTTGATATCACTGAAAATGATATAGACTACCGGAAACTTGCATCTGCTCAAGCAAGCCGCATTGCTGCCAAAATTGATAAAGTCCATTGTTTGGGTGCACGACGACTGGAATCTGTGATATCTCTAAATGCACCAACGCAGAGACTATCTGTCTTGTCAAGGAAGTCACTACTTTCTCCACTCTATCGTGGTCAAATTGTGGTAATTGACCCTATAGGGTACACTAAAAATACCTCAAAGGCTCTTCCAATCCCAGCTGATGAGCTTGTATTAGCGTTGACAAAGGAGCTAGCTGGTCTAGAATACAATCCTGAGTTAAGTGAGGCGGCCGCAGAATCAGTGCAGAATATTAAACAACGACAACAAGAAGTATCTGTCGAGAGATTGATTGTTTTAGACCCATTAGGCGGTATCCCTTCCCTGGGGCGTGGTCAACACAAATCACATGTTTTTATTAATCTTGAACAAGAATATGAGGATATCCGGAACGAGATAACTCAAGCAACTGCAAATCAACAAAAATCAGCTCTAGATGGGCTTAATAGTGGGCTAAAAGGCCATCTGGCTAACTTAACTCTACTCCAAAAAGCCCTCGCCCTTCTCCCACCTTCCTCCTCCGGCCCTTATTACTACCCCACAGGATGCGACAAATTTACCTAAAACTCGCCATGATACTTTGGGAACCCCAACAGTGGGCACTCGCCAACGGCGAAATCCCTTGATACATAACCTCCTCACGGATAAGCCTGTTCTTTCTGCATCCCTGCCCGCTAGACGCCGTGGCGATGAAAAGGGCGATCATGTCCCGAACACCCAACTACCCCATTCGACTTTTGTGAAACACGGGATGCCGCTTACCATGATCCCCGATCCACGGGTCAAATGCTGGACTGCAGCCCATAATGAGGGCTCCCGCATAAACCTAGACGATCCCGCAGTAGATCTACCGCGACTAGTACATCTGATTGATGATTCATTTAATAGAAAATTGGATGTTAATCACTACTTGGACCGGGTTAAAAATCGGCTTGCGGGCTTGATCATTGCTGGGGAATATGAAGGAGGAGCGATTTTGACTTGGGAGCTTCCTCCAGGTGTCCCGGACGACGGAAGCCCTGAAAGCATGGCCCGAATGGTCCCTTATCTGGACAAATTTGCTGTTCTGAAGAGGAGTCAGGGGGCAGGTGGTGTTGCTGATGTTGTTTTTAATGCCATGGTCCGAACCTGTTTCCCGGAAGGGGTCTGTTGGCGAAGCAGAAAAAATAACCCGGTTAATAAGTGGTACTTTGAAAGGTCGAGAGGGACTTGGAAGCTTCCAGACTCTAACTGGGCGATGTTCTGGACAACCGATAATGTTCCAGAGAACGAGCAACTTTTTGAAGATTATGAGAGTGTCTGTCGTTCAATCCAACCAAGCTGGGCTGATAATAAGAAGGAGGTTGACTAATATCATGGCGGATCTGGTCTTTATCTATCTATAAGCGCTAACATATTATTTGTTACAAGGAAAAAATTGAAGCTTAAATAATTTAAACATTCACTGTGCGCACGGATCACATTTTATCTTTATTACACCAAAAGTTGAAAAAGAAGCGCAACCAAAAAGCAGCAGGAATGCAAAATAGCAACTTATACTATGTTTGTTGAAAATGAGGAGTTAAAACAACAATGCCAATATGTATAGAGTGCTGTTATCCTGTTTCCCACCTTTATACCTCGTACAGCAAGGCCGATGATCGCGCTTTGGGCAAGGGAGTCCGTCTGACACAATGTCCTCGATGTCAACGATTTGCCGATAAATACGTCGAGCATGATTTCGTCGTTCTCTTCATTGACCTTGTACTAATCAAACCTCAGGTAATATATTAACGATTTACCTTATATCTGTGGCTTGTTGCGCTAACCTCTTCACTGACTACAGGTTTACAGACATTTGCTCTTTAACAGGCTTGGGCGGGATGATGACAAATTCGATGTATAGAAAGCCAGCTCCATTTCTTCATATTATAAGGATATACTGACATCTGATATTGACTGTAGCGCTCGATTATCCGTCTCGGGATCCTCATCCTTCTTTTTGACGTGTACCTCTCCTGGGCGCGAATTGAAAAGTCCTCCGCAATCGCTACATCGCCGCTTGGAAACACTCCAATAATAGTTCAATACGTGTTTTTTCTCACACTGAATGCCCTTGCAACTCTTGCACATCATGTTGCCGTTCGGTTCCTAGCTACAATACTCGTCTTGAAGCCCGCGGCACAATCTCTGAAGGCCCAAGAAGTCCCACAGCGTGCGAACACTCTCCCATCATCGCCATCTGATGTTAATTCAGCCGGGAATGCCATATCAGCCCAGTTTCCACTAAACTCTAGTCCAATAGGCGGGCCAAGTGTTGCTGATCTAAGCCGCTCATCTTCTGGCAGTGACACAATTGGCGATGGAGCTCATCAACAAGCTGCTGTTTCTCCTAACACCTTACCTATGTTATCTGTGGAATCCGAGTTCCCTCCACCTCTTCGAAGGTCGTCTACCGCACCCCCGCAGATTCGGCCAATCCCTCCTCCAGCACTCGCCAGTCGAAATGCAATAAGTACAGCTCTCCTAGTTAGCAGTTGTACTAAGTTGTTTCCAATACTTCTAGTTATATGGGGAACAGATGCGTCGGGCGAGGGCCCGGGTGACCCTGAAACTCCATCCCCCCCGCCTGGTAGCAATGGAGGAGAGTCCAGCTTAAATTTACCATTGTGGTCATCTCAATCCCTTGAATCCGTTGTTCACAATACACTATCCACCATTTCACAGCCGTGGTCATCACTTCTATTGTCTATCACTAACACCCATCTCGTGCTGTTAAATAATATTGAGGCTTTGCTCATTCTCTTAGATTGTGGCTATAGTTATGCTATTGTGATGACCCTTGGCGGTCAGTTGGCCAGATGGGCGGTTGAAAGATGTTTCTTAAGCCTCGTCGGTCTATAATACCAAGGCGTACAGAGCTCCATAAATAACATGAAATTGAAAGGTCTATGCAGTGAAAGCTGAATTTGTCTGTAAGATACAAACTCCAGCCATTGTTACAACTGTAGGCATCGTGTTCAAACATATAAACGATACCCGAGGAGGAAGACAATATTACCCATTGATATATGATGCTACAGTCCTCGTAGGAAGGAAAGTCTGGAAATCAAATAAACGCTGAAAAAAGAAGCCCCAAGGAATTGAAGAAATACCAGCATGTCGATACCCGCATTTGTTCATCGTTCAATTGGCATGGTGTGGTCTTCTATCGCTACTCTTTGGCACGAATAACGGGTGCAGTTGTGCAAGGAATGTTACAGCTACAGTAACAGTAAATATTAGTCCAATATTCCCTAGTATGTCCATTATAACTGATTTGAGAAACACAACGTACCCCACATAAGATAGCAGAATGTGAACCCAAGAATCAGCGAACTTCGCCATACCCTATTCACGATGTTAGTCATTTGGTCCCCGAGCTAAGGATGAGCTGCAACTGTTGGCAGGCGATAAGATAGGTCTTGGGCGTTGATGTGCTTTCGCAAAGATAACGATATATTCTCCGAGACATAGGCCTTAACACAAAGGGGTGGGATCTGGGAACTGACGGTCTAGTTTCTCCCTTAGGACTGAACACCCATGCTAGCAAGTTTGCGAGGACGACGAAAACAAGTCCGATGATGACGCTCCAGCTATAGAAATCCAAAAAGTTAGCGCAAACGCCCTGTAACATGCAGATATATGGATATTACCCGCTAGCCATTCTCCTTTTCTGGCGTCAAAAATGGTATGAGAGTTGCGCCGCGCGGAGAATGTTTCAAACGGAAGAGAAGAAAAAAGAAGAGGAATAAGAAGAAGAAGAAGAAGGGACTCTCTGTATATGTAAAGAAATGAACTCTGTAAAGTGCACTGATGGATATGGCTGCAGTGTTCTCTGATGCTTGACGCTGCCTGTGAGCGAACGTCGAAAGCTCCGTCATCAAGAAATGATGACATAAGCCATTTGGAGCTTATGGCGGATTATAGCTTATGTAATCAGGTCTCATTAGGTAAGCAATGTAAATATTTAAGGTAAGTTTATACCAACTATGTTAGTTTCCCCTTTTGAGCCTCGCCTAGCTTCCTAGACCAGAACGATACTCTGCCGACCGAGGCAAGACTGTTAAGGCAATGCGCCTGTTTACACCCTTACAAAGCCCAGTTCGCCATACCAGAATCGGTATTCAATATTTTGTGTATGGCTAACAGCTTGGGTTTCTCCTTAACTTTCTTATCCTTCAGGACAATTTCCCCCCAACGGCTTCAAGGTTAACCACAGGACATGTAAACCTCAACAGCTGAAGCCTATAGATTGAAATAAAGCTTTTAAAGGATGGTAATAGCGAAAAGGGTAATCGTGGAAGCGGGAGTCTAATATTAAGTGTCACCCTAGAATTCCATACACATATCGCCATCCCTAATCACCCGAACCAGCCGTTGACGCGTAATAAAAGGAAGTATAGTATAATCATTATCTATAATCATTATCTTTCTTTGAGCTTGTATATATACACACTACAGGATCATAAGTCGAAGCCTGGCGCTGAGCAACAAAAGCAGCCTTCAGCTCTACAATTTTCTGCTCAGGCATTAATCGTATGTTTCCCATTCTCTACTTCTAGGTGTGAGTCGTCTGGGGTTGTCTAGCTAGAGGTCTCGATTGGCTCAAAGTATGTCATCATAATTCCCTCCAACAATGGCTTTGCAACGGTTTTCAGAGCAGCGTGAGCCTTGCAGTCGTTGTCATAGTATTTCATATCGTCCTCGGAAGCAAATTCGGACACAACAGCGAGATTATACCCCTGGCGGCGCTGGTCCTCGAATGTTGATCCAGCTTTGACGGAGAGGATATAAGGGGCACCATCCTAGCGTTCAGACTTGGTTAGCCGTTTCTTTGGTGCTTCACAATTGTGGTCGAGGGCTTGTTTTGCCGGTGCCTCAGACAGAACTCCTCTATCAGGGTCAATCTTAACAGGCCGTTCCAGTCTCGGTCTTAAAACAACCAGCAGTCTCACATATATCTGCTTACCTTTAGAGCATCCTTCTGCATTGTGCGATACAAAGCAAGGACGGACTTGCGATCCTCCTCCTTGGGGATCTTGAACAGGGTTACGCGACAAATCGTCATGGTGATGGGGGTTGATATCAAGGTACGCGGCAGTACTCACGCGCAGGACAGGAGGATGCTGAGAATTAGTTTGACTGTTATTTTATCGCCAAAATCAGTTGATGCCAACCCCTCCTATATTACGCAAGAACTTGCATCGATGCCCCGCTACCGAACTGCATCGCTGCTTGCCCCTACGCGGCACACTTCCGTTATAGCCGCTTATATTAACGGTAGAATTTCCGCCTTATCTTCATTGTGCCGCGGGTAGTCACGTGATAGAATACTATCCTTAACTTATATAAGCACTTTTCGCCTCAGGTAGCTTTCCCAGAGCTATGACGCCATAGTAATCTTCCGGCAGCTTCAGCTTGTTCTTGCAGCGATATATAAAAGGGAACACGGCCGTTGGTGATCCCGCGTGCTCCGTACGATATACCCAAGTTATTTTCGACACAACGGCTGACTATCAAGGAATATCTGTATGCTGCTCTTGCCTGAAATGATCTATTATGCCCCAAATGTGCCCGGTGGCACCTACAGACCACTTCTGGATAGGATTCCTCAATGTTATACTCCCCAGGACTCGACTGCGAAATTATCTCCTGGTAGCACCGGAACAGAGGAATACGCGACCCATGGACCATCCCCCGTGTTGATATTTGCCGACATTGAGAATGTAGTGGAATGTTTGAAGAGCATGCCCATGTCTCGAAGAAAAAAGTGTTCAATGCTTTTTTCACCAGACATAACAGTTGAGATGGAACTTCGGTTATATCCCAAGAGAGCAGATCCGTCACCCTGGGGGGTAGATGCTCTATGCCGTCGACTTAATACTCCTCTTTGCCCACACTTGCGACTAGGCGATGAAAAAGTTACTGGTTATTATTCCGGATGGCCCGAGGGTTTTCATACTGACCTGGAGTCTGATTATATGCTCGGCTGTGGCCGCTGCAAGACACGGATAAATTTTAAAGTATCGCCATCCACCGCTAGGGGCAATTGTGGTGAGGAATGGTGCACAGTCCATATCCGTCGACCTCTTGGTAGGCTATTCTCTTCTGCAGAACCAAGCCTACCTGAGAAATCGTTAAGCTTCGAGGACCTGTGCTCTATAAGGGAGTATAGCGACGCGACCGATGACTGGTTTGGAGCCCTTTGGAAAAATGTTCCTAACCCTAAGGGGCGTCGGGGGGAGCCTTGGTATCAGAAGCTGGTAATTCACGATGACGATTGGCCCAATATTGGCGTTGAGCGACCGAACCTTGACCATATATTTCCGATATCCAAAGTCCCACCTCCCGCGTTTCTATCCTTGAAGGCATGGTTAAAACGTATCCGACTAATTTCTTGCTCTCTTATTCCGGAGGAAATCCATAGGAAGTACGGCCCTGGTAGTACATTGCATTTTTCCCTTCACCATGGCTTAATATATTTGGAGGTAAAAAGGGGTCATCGGTTCATTTATAAATACGCGAATCTTTGAGTTACTATGTAGTAGCCTGGCTTGTCACCTCTGCTTAACTACCACTTCCCTTATGCCTTATATCTCAGCCAAATGCTGTACTTTACTCGGGCCGAAGGGGAGACAAAAAAAAGCATCTTGTTATATGCAATCCCAATAAGAAAACGCCAAACTATAACCTTATGTTTATTTATTTGCTTCTACCTGTTTTACGTCACTTCAACTGCTAGAGTACATAGTAAGGGGAGGGCAGACATTCTCCCTTAGTAAGCCTTGGGGTGAGAGGCCAGACTATCCCGGTCATAACTAGCCATATTACTACCTCCAGCAAGTTTCCCTTCTTGTTTGGAACGCTGATGGCACAGCAGGATGGCACAGTTGGAGCCGGAACTTCGGATATGCCATCGAAGACCACAGGAAGACAACGGTGGCCTGAAGGCCAGAACGGTCACTCTGAACGGCTGGCTAACTGGTTAATTAGCTAATAATTGACTTCGGCACTGCGATGACGTTTCTGTCATGGAATTCCCAAACACCCTTGTTCCCGTCGCCTTCAATTAAATTGGATTCTCCCTTGCGGCAGGCAAATGTTGTGCCATCTTCAACTGATCCGGATGTGTGCCCTTTAACCATAATACCCCGGGCTATCCCCTCGCTCATGCCCTTCTTCGTCCATACCGTATACTGCCTCCTTCGCCTTTCTCGTCAATAGGTAGATTCCTCTGGTCCCCTCACGGCTTACCGGCTCTGGATGTTTTCACACCTCCGAAATGGCATTCCCACTCTTGTTATCGTCGATGACTTGGGTCCTGGACTTTTTCGTCGCCGTCCGCAGTCCCTGCGCACTCTCTACACGGCAGTTCTCGCGGTGGCTATTTACAATTGTCTGGAGCTCGTTCTACTCATCTTTCTTACTTTCAACAAATATGAAGGCCTTTACTTCTGGAGTCTTCTTCTGGCCACGGTCCCAGGTGTTCTGACAGATGCAGTGTTCCTGTTAATGTATTACTATATGACAATACCGCCTACGGTGGCCTTCACTTTTGCTAGCATCGGCTGGTGTTTCATGATTACCGGTCAAGCCGTTGTCTTATATTCTCGTCTCCACATGGTCCTACACAGCCGATTGGGCCTACGACTGGTTTTGGCCATGATAATAGTCTTTGCCATCGTCTTTCATATACCTGATATTGTCACCGGGTATGGAGCAATTGTCGACAATGACGCCCAACCCGCATTCACCCGCGCATTCCACATCATGGAGAAAATACAATTGACCGCGTTTTCGGTGCAGCAGTTTGTCCTTTCTGGGCTCTACCTCTATCTCGCCACTGGCCTTCTAGCCTTCGTGCCCGCCAAAGCCCGTCGAAAGGAGCTGTATAGACTCATCGCAATGAACATTGCTATCATTATTATGGATATGGCCCTCGTGGTATTCGTCCACCTGAACTGGTGGGTGGCCCATGAGTCGCTCAAGCCATTCGTATACAGCATCAAACTGAAGCTGGAGTTTGCGGTTTTGCGTACGCTGCTTTCGATGTCAAAGTCGGCCGCTGTCGAACTACCGGATTTCGTGGATCCTACCAGACTCCAGGGGGACGTTAGATACGCGCCTCCAATGCCAATGACACAAATCCGGGAGCAACGGACAGATTCAATGATATCAGACGAGATAGGATGGGATCAAGCAAGTACAGCACACACAACTGGCTCGAGTTTAGAGCAACAGAATCTTCCGGTGGAGGAGGAGGCTCCCCTCCAGTCTGGTTCTTTGTCTAGTTACAAAAAACGATCCAAGACATACCCGTGAGCGTCCAAGTCGAATGCGTTCATACTTATTTTGTATACAATTCCGCTAGCTAGCTAGACGGAGAGGCTTCTACCGAAGTACAAGGTACACGTTTCTGCTAACTAGCTCTTTTGCGTATCTGATATTGACGTAGAACAATTCCTGCCCATCCAGTAGATAAAAGGGGACAAAAAGGGGATCGCAAGAACATAAAAAGAATAAAACAGCTGGGGTAGAATCAGAAATGATAGTAAATACGATGAAGCAAAGTACAACATGTATACAGGCAGAAAAAAGTTACGAATCCAAGCGGGACGGCACTGGAGTAGAATACCCTAGCATATCAAAATAGAGACAACGGGGTAATAATGGCAATTATCTGACCGATTGGTATAGGGAGGTAAGAGATAAAAATAATTAAAGGTGTGCCACCGCATTAATCGATTGTGAATACCCCGAGCTGTTCCCCGCTATAGACCCATTAAGATATCTACCGAAGGAAAAAAAAAGGGGTTGCAAGGGCATTGCGGTTTGGTCTATATATAGATCTTTACGCGCCCTCCCGGCTCTTGCGGTAGTTTGCCTATCCATTCCGTTGAGCATATTACTATATACGGGAAGAGATTAAGGGGAGAATAAAAGTCAGGTCCATACCTCTTGCTCGACCTGCAGGCCGTCAACGATAGGGCCGAGTTCGCTGAGGATCTCATAGGCCTTCTTGTGGTATTCAAGCTGTGCAGCGATCAAGTCTGCCAGGTTACGCAGTGGCTCGGGGGTATCAAGGACCTGGAGCTTGAAGTTAGATGGTAAACTGGGTGACGAGAGCGGCGGAGTAGCTTACATTCTTCATAACACCAACTGCTTCTTCAGTCTGTCCAACGAATTCGTCCTCTGCCTGCTCAATCTCCGCACGAGCATCTTCGCTCAAATGGTCCATGTCCTTGGTGGCACCCTTGGCCGCCTTAGTCGAGTCAAGCATCAGTCTTGAGTTCTCTACATTCCTTCTGGCCTTGGTAGCGAACATGAGGTTTGTGTTGAGGGTGGTGTTCCAGCCGGCGAGGAAACGGGACTGAATCTGAGCGTCCTGGGCCAACCTAGCCTCTCCAATCTTCTCGGATGCGAGGGCAAACTTTTCTAGACCAACTGCCAATTGATCCTCGGTGCCGGGGGTGCTGGCCTGGGCGATGACGTGCGAGCTGGCAAGAGCAGCGCGGGCAATGGCATGGCTGAACGTCTTTGGCTGAGGCTTCGCAGAAGGTGGTGCGGTCAGGGCCGACTGAGCTTCTCCTGGAGAGGAAGCCTGGGAGAGAAGCTGGACCTTCTCGCTGATGGTGCGGCCTAGGTCGTTGAACGATTCGCGGATGTTTGGTGGGTAGTCATAGGCCTCGTTTGAGTATTGAGAGCTGCAGGTGAATCAGAAAAGGCCAGTTAGCTCATTGAAGCATATGTTATTCCATATAGGCAGCAGCATATATATAGTCATGGGGCCAAACGTACGTGACCTGGAGGAGCTTCTGATGGACAACCTTTAGAGCATCGACTCGCTTCTCAAGCTCGAGGTAGTCGTTTGGAAGTTGAGTCTAGAGTGTCAAACGGCCACGCGCCGATGGAAATATATTAGCGTATTGTTCATTGATAAAAAGACCACCTTGGACAGATGGAGATAGTGACGGATATCTAGTTACCCTCTCTTCAGCTTGACCAAGCTGCTCCTTCACATACTGCTGTGTTCGCGCGGCAAAGGGGGTAAAAGTAGCACTGGAATATGACTTATATTAGCTCCTGATCAAAGAAAAATAAATGCCATGGTGATGTTGTGACTGTTTTGCGGGACAACAACTGGTCGAGAGCTGGATAGATGGGGCGGCGTACGTGAAGTTCTTCCCAAAGGCTTGCACTTTATCCATGGCTGCGGCGGGCTTCTCTCCAACTGTACCGTGTATTCTGTCGAAGAAGAAGAAGATATCTGCTGTCCGTGAGCAGATAGTCAGATGGTTCGATGATGGTTTGTTCGAGTCGTTCTTCTTCGGTTTCTTCTTTCTTCGCAAGAACGTCAAGCAAGTAAAGCTGACTAAGCTGCGGCTCCTCCTGGGCCTTTTCTTTCATCTCTGATAACTTCGACCTTGTACGTTGGAAAAGAGAACATGATCATTATATGTTATTATTTAGATCAGATTACTATACACGGGTCTATTTATGTTGACATGAGCCTGAGTTTGTCCATAGGTTGCTGTTTCATGTACGGCCGTCATCCTTAAAAACTCCACGACAAGAACAAGTATAAACATAGGAGAGACATAAGAGATAAGAAAGAGAGAAATATACCAAGAATTGCATGAGATGGTAAAGTATTGAGTAGTGAGATGGTGGTAAGATGGACGAGGGCCGGAGTAAACCCCCGACCGTCTGTGTGGTAAGGATAGATACTTCTACGGAGCGTTCAAGTGAGGGTTGCCATCATGGCACGAAGAAGTCGAGGAGTCGGTGCTATAGAGGAAGAAGCGTTAGTCTGCATGAAATGACACCCATGGAGACGGTGGGAGCAAATAACGTACCTTTATGGTCTCTCTTGACGACTACCTCAGCCGTAGGCCCTTCGATGGCCCTCACAAGCTCACGCTCAGACATGTGGTGGCGGTATGGTACCAGGAGGCGTTCCGGATGGTCGTCCTCCACTTCTAGAACGCGGATGGGAGACGACCGTCGACGGACGTGTCTTGGTCTAGCTCGTGGGCGTGGAGAGGGAGAGTAAGTCCTCACCGGCCGCAGTGTTTCCATGGGCGGAGGAGGGGTGCTGGCTCTCCGCCTGGATACAGAGCGACGTCGCTCGACGGTTATGGGAGTTTCTTTGGCACCGAGTATGACCGTCTCCTTCTCCTTGGTCCTCCTGGGTAGGGCTACGTGTATGAGTCAGTTTTGTGTTCTTTATCGGAGTCAAAAGCTACATACCGCCTTGTCGCATCAATTTGCTACATTCGACCAGTTCATGAATGCGCTCGTCTGAAAGTACCTTGTAGATCAAGATATCCTCCTCCTATAGATACATTATTAGCGTCTGTAGGTGGTGGTGATGGGTAATGCCGAAAACCGCAAGAAAGAAAAAAAAAGACTCACATATTCCTCATAGTCATAGCCAAGTTCTTCGAGAGCGCGGGGAGCCACCATATGCTTGGGTATACGGGTAGTCCCTGGCTTTGGGCTTGCCCGTCCTGACTTTGCGCGGGGAGCATCCGGTCTGACGCTCGAAGACCGCCTCCCCCGAGGGGTTATGCTTCTGTTGCGTTCGCTCATACTCCTCCGAGCGGTGTCATCACCAACAAGAGTGTGCTCTGAGATGCGGAGGTTTTCCAGCTTAATGTCTGGCAGCCGAGAGGAACTGCGTTTCCTGGGCGTGACCGGCGGCCCGTAGTCATCCCTATCGTACCGTCGATAGTCATGCGAACGCTTCGACGCTGCGAGATCGAACCTGTCCAGCGACGACTGACGACGGAGCAGCGTTGGGCGCCGAAAATCACGGTCGTCACTAGCGCGAGCCGGGGATGCATCATGTCGCCTCCTCTCGCTGTGGTCTCTCCTTGGGCGGATGACGGGGATGAGGTGGTTGTTCTGCGTCTCGGTGGGCTGTAGGTAGTCCTGGGCACCGCTGAAGAGCGATCGCCTGTCTTTCCTCACCTCACGCTCCTCTACCGACGTTGCCCTTCGCGGGCGCATCTCACGGTACGGCGCTGGTTCTCGTCGTGCATCGCGCTCTTTGGTAAAGCGCTCTGCATCCCAGCGGTGGCCGCCTGCAGCAGCGTTCCCTGTCGGGCCTGACATGTGGATCAACGTGTGACTTGACTATTTAACAGGCGCGCCTCAGGAGATGGAAGAATATAAAGGCAATGGTACGGCTCGTTCCGTGACTTTCACAGGCCGTCTGGTAGCTTTTCGACCCTTTACCGTGGATTGATCAAGTGGGCTCTGGTTATGCGGTCGATAGAGTAGAAACAGGCTGACGGGACGACTCTTCGATCGAGGTTCTCTTCAGGCAAGACGACGGAGACGGAGACGGGAAGCAGTTATATAGTGGCGACGGCAGCCTTGCCTTGCTTCTTCTTCTTCTCTCTCCTTTTTTCTCTCTCTCTCAAGCTTCTTCCACTTTATGATGACATCCAAAAAGTCAAAAAAGGTTCAGCTCGGTTAAATATCGAAAAAAGTAATTTGATACTCTTTGATGTTTTATTATCAATCACAATATATCAGTTGAGAGGAAATATTTACCATCATCACCAGTGCCGGCAGCAGCGTTTATATATACACACGTACAGCTTTCTTCCAGCAGATGTCAATACACCAAAGCCCATCCATCCTGTCTGGCCATCCATGCAGCTAGCTAACAAGAAGAAAAAGCAAAGAAATCTCCTTTTAACCGCCAGGACAGCAATAAAACAGTGGCTGGACGTTTCATCTTCATGTTATAAAAAGAAACATAGAAGGAATCCAACCCTCTTTTCTTCATGCAAACACTAACAGCATCGTTTTGGCCCCAGATGAACGGCCTCTCTCAGCCACTGGCAACCAATTGATGCTCTCTTTCTCTGCACTTTTCGGACAAGATCCCTCCCCTGCTGCTTTGCTTCTTCTATTATTGCCAATAATAGCTTTGTCCTGTTGCTCTCTGGGTTGTCTGCATGTATGTAGCTATACACCCAAAGGTACTCCATACAAGGACCCAAGGATCTGGAGATATGGGAGAGAGAGCCACCAACGACCGCCCTGTAATATTGACTAGTATTTTTCTTAAACACGTTTCCTCGCGCCCGGCAGATGGACAAGTGGGCGATCTTCTTCTGGCCCTGCGTTGGCGCTGTTGGGCATGCATATATAGTATAGACGGCTGTTCATTCACGACCACCAGAAGGCTTCTCCCCCCTGAGAAGTCGATGGTGAGAGGTCGACGAGAGGTCGCCGCCACTCTACGTTCAATCATCTTTCTTTTCTGCTCTCTGTGGACGGGTCTGCCACCTGATGCTATGCGCTTTGCCCGGCTTGAGCTGCACTTTGTGGCCCCTTTGGGCAGAGAACGATGAGATCATAATCTAGTCCACCATCCCAGCAGTGGGCCACCACAGACAAGACTTTTAACCTCTTGGAGTTACGGAGTATAGATGCATATGCGGGCGATCCTCGGTCCGTCAGGTAGAAGTTGAACGATCCCTTATTATTGATAGTCGAATGCTACTATCGGGGATGCCGCGGAAGCCCAAAAGGACAGCTATAGAATACAAAAAAGGGATAAGAGATATTTGAACCTTCTTCCTGGATCCGCCTGACCCTTACAACAAAAGTAGCCCCAATCCTGCAACGAGAGCACATCCCAGTCCGGAGATATCCCAGATGCTACCATTCAACCACGTTGGTGCTTCGCTCTTGGACACCTTTATGGACACATGTGGCTTGACAGTGCAGACTGGTTGCTTGACCGGTGTCTGCGTAGAGGCTGCCCCCCCAAAATGACAGGCGGTGTCCCCGTTTCCCTTCTTGACCTGGTCCTCGTAGTACGCGTTGAATGCCCAAGAGAGCTGATCTATGGGATTACACATCCCGTACATTCCGTATATGCCGCTCGTTGCGTTAGAGGCGATATCCTCGCAGGCCATGGGGGAAAGGCCGCAGACAGTTGAGAACAGCCGGGACAGATCTTCGTCGTGGACAGTAGATTTGGCTCGGCAAGTGATAGACCTCGTCATGCAATCGCAAAGTTCCTTGTCCGGAGTTGGGGGCAGTTTTGGTGAAGCTTCCCAGTCGCTGCTGATAGTAGGACAGGGTGCGTTGTCTGTATGCACTGGTGTGTAAGCAGACAATTTTGGCCCCTTGGGATTCACATTGGCCATCTGGCTAGCAAATGCGGTAAAGTCTGCAAGTTTCTTAACCCTGGAGCCAGATACATCAACAAGTCCTATGCAACAGACTTAGTAAGACGGCCGCCTTTTGCACAAAAATAGGTGCCCATGCCATCTGCTTACCGTAGTTGTTCTGTTCCTGGAAGTACATGTATACGATCCCACCAGACCAGGTAGGCGTCATCTGGGGGCCATAAATCGCCTGCACCTCACTAAACTTCCGGGGTTGGACTGTATTGCATCCATATTCGGCGAAGAACACCGGAACATTATATTTAGCAAACTCCTTCGTGCGGTCTGCGTATCCAGATGTCTCAAAGGTAGAGTCACCACACCATTCATAGATGTTATACCCCCAAAAGTCAATACGTTCATCATCTATGCCGCAGTCAAAGTACGCAGCAAGGTTCCGTCGAATATCTGCATCGTCATCGGTCGCATACCCAATACCCATCTGTCGATATCCCTTTTCGTATATATAAGCTTTCATGTCTCGTACCGCAGCCTTTACAAACGCACTGGCATCCGTGTTAGCCCGATCATTCGTCACTTCGTTCCCAGCAAAGAAACCGATGACATTGGTATATTTTGCCAGAGAATCAATCACGGAAGTGTAGCGGGCATAGAGATTAATATCCCATTCAGGAGAGTCACGGTTGATTGACTGAGAGGGCTCAGCCAAGTCAGCAAGTACGTAGATACCGGCATCGGCAAGCATTCGCATGCATTCGTCATGGTCCTTTTCAGGATGAACGGCATATACCCGAACTACGTTAGCATGCAGCTCCTTGAGCAGAGGAATGTCTCTCCTGCATCCGCTGGGGTTCGCAAGGGGATCAGAGTATGACTCGACCGAGCTAGCACCATCTATCAAAAGAGAGTCAGCCTGCGCTTTAGCATTTTGATGCTGTAACGTCCAATCCCATTTTGAACGTGGGATCAGTACCTTGGTAGGCCACTCCTTTGATGAAGCTTGAGTAATAGTTAGCCCCTAGCAAAAACAGCCAGGTTGATGAGAAAGAGAAAACATACAATTGTTGCCCACTGGTTTTATAAAAGAAGCGTGAGCCCTTCCCCACGGCATTAGCTGTCATGATCTTCTTAACCAGGGGTCCAGAACAGGCTTCGTACCTTGATCACAATAGGGTCAAGGTCAGCGGCATTAGCAGGGAGAGCCCAGCAGGCTGCTAGTGCGATAGAAAGAATAGTCGCTAGAGGCACCATGATGTAACGTTTTCAGAAGAAGATATCGGATATCTTATACAGCTGTTTAGTGGAAATGGATGACGGTAAACAATGCATGGATGAACAACGTCCTCTCTCATGTTGGCTGGTGTATTGATATATTGACTGCATTACACATAGCAAGAGCTTTAGGGGTATGTGGCATTCCCCCTTCAGTTTGTTTATATTAACATGCTGCCATGGTAAACATTCATAACACCCCCGTCGCTTCCTTCCTGATGTTCATGTAGCCCAACGGTTGAATAAGCTGGTATTTTATGTATTCTCGATGGCAAAGGCCGGAGCCATCTAGTCGTACATGGTAGATTGATGTGTGGGTAAGACAATCTAGGCCTATATACTCCGTGGAGGTGCCATAAGAAGCCATGAATCCGCGGAGGCCTAGTTCAAAAGGGACTCAGATGAACTAGAATGAAAAGTGGTACTTGCATGGGGCACTAGCACTAAGATATATGCCGGGCGCTACTCCCAAGCCAATGCCCAATGCCCAATATCCCATATGCCGAGCTGTCTGATGTCTGATGTCTGATGTCTCTGATATTGATGCCCAATTTTGCCAGCGGAAAGCTTTGACCAAGGCTTGAGCCTCGGGAAGAAGGAAAACACATGATATATCTGCCAAGACTCCGAAAAGGGAAGCTCGCCAAGTTGGGTTTAGCCCTTTTCTAGTCTTGGCATGGAGGCAGATTGATAAGAGTGCAGTGCTTAATAAGCTATGCAGAGCATTACGGGGCAGTCTCGGCACTTTTCGGGAAATCCGGGGTAACATCAACAACATCGAAGCTATAAAAGAGCAAGATATATCAACTTTGGAGTTGATGGATTGATAAGTTGCTTATTACTGTGCATAATACTCTATCGTGCCTTGTTCCAAGAAACATTCTAAGATCATAAAGCACCAGGGCGGCCATTGCTCTCGTTCTATTTATACCCTCGATTGCCTATCACTCAAATAAGGAATATACCTACCTATTGATACCGTACACAGTGTCTTTTATTGAAAATGGCAGCAGAACAGATTGCATGGATTGGGCTGGGGAACATGGGAAGGGTATGACAGACTTTTACATCGCAAATATTTACACCCATGTCTTTATTTTCTACTTTTCTTATCCTCTCATAATGCGTTCTGTTTTCAAGAATGCTCTACATCAGACTCATCAGATATAACATTATTGGCAACTTGGATCTGGCTGGGTGGGCATCTTCTTCCGGATAACCAGTCTGAGGCTCCTTAAGCGTTAGCTTGTTCTCTACCAGGATATCCAGGGAAGGGGGTGGCGCAGTGGTAAGCGACCTTATTACCCTGCACGGTATCCCACGCACACGGCCCTCTAAGTGCAGTGCTTAAAAAAGCCACGGACCCTCCTGCATCCTAAACCATCTACGATCTTGTTGACGGTGTGTTGCAGGACTGAGGGATGAACGCGGCCATTCCCCAGTGCACGAGCTGTTATGTCAATGGTATCCCAGATGAAGTCCAAACAAAACCCAGGCATGTGTAATGAGAGGCTTGCGAACTGTTGTGCCCGCAGTCTCCAATCTTTTTTTTTCTTTCGTTTGTCGTTTTCCATAACTTTCGGCTAGTGACTTGGGGGCAGTGTGAAGTTGGTAGAGACAAGCCGGCACGCCGGCGCCCTGGTCGAACCTAGCTGCCTGCTCTTTTTGCTTTTTGTTTATATGCTTATTTTTATTTCTGTCCCTGTTTTGAGCCTTGTCTATAACAGCAACTCTCGGCTCTGGCTAATTACATCCTCTAGGGTATGGTCAAAAACCTGACTGAAAAGGGATCACTCTCCAAGCCACTGATAGTTTACAATCGGACGCAGTCCCGAGCTATCGACCTTGCAAAAACACTGTCCCAGCAAATCATCCCAGTATCAACGGTCAAAGAGGCGGTAGAGAAGGCTACAATAGTGTTCATCTGCCTTGGTGATGATGCCGCTGTTGAAAGTACCATCAATGACGCATTGAAATCAACAGAGGTGAAAGGTAAATTGTTCGTGGATTGCTCTACCATCCACCCAGACAAAACTCGTCGTCTAGCCCAGCTGCTCGAAACCTCAGGTGCATCCTTCGCTGCTTGTCCTGTATTCGGAGCGCCGGCGATGGCAGATGCAGGTCAGTTGATCTGTGTTCTTGCGGGGCGCAAGCAATCTGTTGATCGTGTCAAGCCTTTCTGCACCGGTGTGATGGGACGTGCCATCATCGATCTATCCACTGAATCAGAAGATCCTGGAAAGGCATCTATGCTAAAAGTCATGGGCAACAGCATGATATTCCAGATGGTATCCGCCATCTCGGAGAGCATGGTTGTGGCCGAGAAGTCCGAGCTGGGTGTCAAGCCGTTGCATACTTTCCTTGAGCTGATGTTTCCAGGACCATATGTGGGTTATTCAAACAGGATGCTATCTGGCGAGTACCATAGGCTGGAAGAGCCCTTATTTGCACTTGATCTTGCCCGGAAGGATGCAAAACACGCAATGGATATGGCAAAGGCTGTAGATGCCAGGATGAAAGGGATAGAAATGGTGGATGAAATGTTACAGGCTGCCAAGTCACATTCAGGAGCAAACGGAGATATGTCTGCCATCTATGGTATTGCAAGAGAGAATGCCGGGATGAAGTTTGAGAACAATTAAATAGATAGCAACCGAGAAATTATCCATTAATGAATTAGTTAACTATAATAACTAGCCAGCTAGGTGGTATATGTACGGATCAAACTATCTACAGACTAAAGGGGGGCGAAGGCCCTTAGTAGCAGTGTTTGTTGCTTCTGAGACCCTTTCTCCGCTATTTCTTCGGCTTCTTCCATAGCAAAGAGCAGACGACTAGACCGGATCACGAATTCTAATACGGCGTACTGTGTTAGCAAAGGACAGGGAAATCGAAGTGTTGCTCTCTATACCTACCATCGACTTCAATAGTATAGTATACTATGGTTTCCGTCAAGTTGGCAACTCCGCGCAGGAATCCGCAGCTGGTCACCTCCCGAGTACTGCCAATGTGCAAACTTAGCCCCGAATCCATCTTCGGATCCACCCATCGGACATCTTCTTCAGTTAGGGAATGATCGTCTACGTCGTCGAGCTGGTGGCAGTCCGAATCAGAGTCATCCCCATGTGGATCAGTGAAGTGTTGTGGTGCTGTTAGAATGGGTTGTTCAGCCAGCCAGTCCCTCCGAAGTCGAACAACGCCCTTGGAGACCTTGACACCAGCAGGTAGACGATCGCCAAAAAGCTGGGCGTGGACACAGACTTGTGAGAATGGCTCAGCCGAGTCTACAAGAATTCGAAAAGGCGCTACCCGGCCCTGACTGCTTATGGAATTTTTGCGCTGGGTCTTGAAGCCCCCTTTGCTAAGCTTACTCTCGCCTAAGATGCCTCCTATCCTGCCCGGATCCTCATTTTGGTCGTCTACCGTAAAAACTTTCCAATCCGGCGAAAACAACGACTCAAAGTGCTGCATTACCTTGAACCGCGTGTATTGTTCCCTTAGTACACCCAGATCACCGATTGAGAAGACATGGTCGAGAGACAATAGCCCTTCCAACTCTTCAGGGTGCTCACTGTGGTTATGGGGTAAGGTCCTGGTGTCGAGATATGTTCCTATCGTGCGTCCTTGCAACGCCACCCTAGAAGGGAGATGGCAGTCCAATCGCAAGGTATAATTACCTTTTAACTGTCTTATTGCCGAAAGTCGACGACTGAGGATATGGCAGATGATATTGTAGAATCGAGAAGAGACCTTTGTCCAAGGCAGAAGCTCACGAGAAGGGAAAACTTCAAGGATTGTGATGAGAATCTAGATAGATATATAGAATTAGCCGTCCATTGTTCAATGAAGCTGCTGTCTCGGTCCTAGAAATATAGGCCGTTGCATCCTTTCATGCACGATGGCTAACCTCGTAAGGGAGAGTATATAGAGGCGGTGAAATACTGTTTGTGCGCTCCATAACTGTTGATGTCACTGACTAGCAAGTCTCTCGATGGAAGATTGAGCAAGCACGTTTAAAAAGAAATATAGGTCTTGACCAAATTATTGACAAAAAAAAAAAAAATAAAGAACATAAAGAAATGAAGAAATGAAGAAGACCATTAAATATATTTCTTAATTAACAGGCCGCTTGATCTTCTGCTTCTCCTCAAAACCGTTTTTTCCCCCTTGTGATGTTTTCTGTTTTGCCGCCAAGAGCCAAGTGTAAGCGGAGTATTAGTAGTCACCTGTTTTGTAAACAAACTCTTGAAACGCAAAACTCGACTTATCTTGACTTCATCAAGCATTAACCACCCGTCTTAACCTGGCTCATATGAGGGTCTTCTTAGTAGAGAATAACAGGAAGTGTCAAAATCCTGATAATGGCCTGATGCTGCCCCTGAGTATGGATAATGGCGGAGATGCGTAAGCTACTCCTCTTACAGTTTATCGTTCAAACTCCAGGTTTCGCACGAGAATGCTGCCGCTGATGACCAATGTGGCCCTGGCTAGATATCAAACCCTTGCATACCGTGTGTCATCGGCCGCGAGCCCCTTTTACTGAATGGTCCGCTCATAATAATATGAGCCTTAATTCGAGTTTTTTTCTCACATTTGAACACCCGCCTTATCTTTATCCTAAGTTTTAGATTCGGCTTCCAGGGATAAGATGGCAGCTTCTATGGTCTCTGTCAGTACACATTGCCTCTTCATATCTCTGAGTGGACCCCCGCGTTCTGTCAGGGATCCTATTGCCGTTATAATAGCCGGGGCTGGCGATGTCTCCTCATCGTACGTCGCGGTTGAGAGACTAGTGGCACCCTTCTGCCGAATTGCCTTGTTTGATCGGTCTGGACTTGGCCGCAGCGAAAATGGACCCCAGAGGCATACGGCTACCGTTGCAGCCACTGAATTACATGCACTCCTGAGTGAAGCACAGGTTAACCCCCCACTTATACTAGTTGGTCACTCATACGGCGGCATAGTCGCTCGTGAGTATCTCCACCTATACCCAGGTGACGTGGCTGGCATGGTTCTTTCAGACGCTGCGACAGAGAAATCAAACCATTACTTCAAAGTGCCCGATCCAAACATTGATGCGGTGATGGGGTCTCTCAAGTACTCGCTGATTACTGGATTGAGGAGTGACTCGGTACTGTCTCGGGATGAATGGAGAACACGGGCTGCGGACATAGCCAGGGGCGCGGAAGCCGCCCAAGCTGAGGCAGCTGCGTTTATAGAAGTGTGTGAGACACTAGGGCAAAAGGAACAATATACAAATTGTGTGATGGGTGCCAAACCCTTGAGCGTGATTCGATGTAACAGTTCAAGAGACTATGAACGTATTTACGAGAAGGGCATCGAGGCGGGAAACGGTACGCAGGAGCAGCAACGGGCATTTCGACAGCTCTTAGATCAATGGGATGATATTGATCGTTTTCTAAAAGAAGAACAACTTCAGCTATCATCAAAAAGCCGTCTAGTACATGTTCCTGACTGTGGGCATCACATACATCTTGTTCGACCAGATGTTGTCGCACAAGAAATCCAGTGGGTCAGGGACATGATCTTAATGGAGTCCCAGCTCTAAGTTCTTTTCTTTTTTTTTCTTTTCCTTCGAAACAGAGTCTTTTGCTATTAGATACCATCGACCTATTCGTTACAACCCTTTATTTCCTCCAAGCAACGAGGTCAAGAAGATGGCCATGGATAACTCCCGAATAGATGACCGCTGGTCACTAGCCATCGATGATCAATTGTGGATACGTATATACATGTTTCACCTCTGAGCGGTTGCGATATCTGTCATACTATATATACATTTATAGAGCTATATGAGAGCATGAACGCTGACTTATACAATTGACCCTGTCGTATATATCCGCGACTGATTCTGGATTTCTGGATACCTGGGCTCTTAAATCTCTCCAATTCTCTGATTATAATTTACTTCTAATATTATGCCGTAGTATATCTCTACCTTAAAAACAGGAACAGGACGACCAACTATTCAAATTATAAGTTTAAGATGGAAAAAATCCCAGTCTGATGTCATCTATATTCCGACATTGGCATGCCCTGTGCGGGGCTAACCTTCAAAGCACCAGAGCGGCAAAACGCTTAAATTTCGAAGAAGCTGGTAATAGAGTGATCTAAAGATGACTCGAGCCTAACTCTAGTGTTATTCGATACAAAAAATTACTCCACCACACAATAGAAGCGGATATCACACCCAGTAGTAGTAGGAGCTAGAATGGATTTGTATATAAGCAAGGAGTGGCTCCAACGTAACAAACATACGATAGACTTGAGCCGAAGCCTTCCCTCCATGAAGAGTAACGATATCACCATAGCTAACCCCTCGCTTTATCTATAAACAGGCTTTTATATGTTCAGCCGCTAGCGAGTAACTCTCCACTTAGCCGCGTCAAAGCCAAGCGCTAAGGTGGGGAGGCTCTTTACGTGAAATACTATTTATTCTCTAACGCTAATATCCACGACTTCAACTTTTCACTACCAACGACACCATGCCTGAACTATGTGAGATCAAATACTCGCAGCAGGACTGCATCGCTGCAATCCGTGACTACTATTATTTTCTAACCACAATGTATCTCGACGAAGACCTTGTTCTCCAGCCACCAGAAGGAGGCTGGCCATCAATTACCGACGAAGTTATGCTGGTCATTGGTAAGGATAATACGGTTGCTTCTCTACTCCGCCATTTGCCTTATATGGCTCCTCCTACAACATCGGGAGGGGAGGCCCAGCCTATCCCATTTCTCTATTTCGCTGATTGGCCAGGTGTCTGTGCTTGGATTAAGTCTGGTCGATTAACGGCTGAAGACGCCAGGGACGCATCCCAAGCATACATGGACGCAGAGACAGTGCCACCTCACGTCATTGGCCTTACGTGTGGCGGGGCGGAAACTGCTGCAATCCTTCTTGATACTAAGCTCGGCGTTATATTCTGGCCCGAATGCCCTGGGGGTGTAGTATGGGACCCTTGTCGGGAGGAAGTCCTAGACGATGCATACGACTATGCTCCCAAAAACGAAGCGGACTGGCGTGCAGGTGGCGGTCGCTGGGCAATTGCAGATTTCTTTTGAGGTTCTTAAATGTGAGTTTCGTAAGTTATCCTTTGTTCCATTTTGTTCACGCCTTGTACGTGAGGTCTATTCGGTTGATTTAAAAGAGTTTATTCCGATGCTACAAGAGATTTATCGAAAGCATGGCTGGCCCAATATGGGAATTTACAACAAGCAGAAGTGCCTATCGGAGGTGCGGGCGGAGTTAGAGGACAAATTCCCCGATTTTATATATTGGTAGCCATTGACGGGCAATTAACATTGAACCATGGGATACATAAATCAGCCTATATTTATGTATTCTCTAGTTTTACATATACAATTCAGATTCTCCCACTCGATTGGACCCTGTCTATAATATGTCTTCTACGGGCTTTAAAATTACAAGTGGCCGATTTACCCACATTATGCATGAATTTCCATAAAAGGAGGCTTGGGGTTTTCTTACAGGGGAATACCTAACAATTTTCGGGACCCGCGTCGGGGAGTCAATATGTAAGGTACTGGGATCAAAGACATGAGTCTGCAACCTAACAATCATACCCAACCTCATATACCTTCTATACCAAGACTATGAACAGGTACCAAAGGGGATACACGCTTACCTATATATATACGCATGTATATAGCCCCTTTCATTATCTCCCTATCTTCCATTATTTCATCTCTATATGTGCTTCATTATAATGCTCATCGTGAGATCTGCCATAGTTGCCCTTTTATGGGCGACTAGCCCGGCGCACGCTGCTATCAACCTCGACGGCTCTCGCGCTACGAAGCCCTAAAGTAAAGATAATCCTTCGCCAATTGGTGATTCTACTGCGGCCGCTGTTTCCTCGCCCACCGTTTTACGTGCTACGGAGCCCGTCCACAACCCCAAGCTCTCGAAAAATTTATTCCATAGGAGCCTCAAAACTGCAATGGCATAACGAGGCGGAAGTGCACTTTTTCTAAATGTCTTCCTGACGGATAATCATGATTGATGGAACACTATATTTCCATAATGTGCCTCTTCAAGCTGTCTAATGAAATTACGGCTTGGTAGTCTATTCACGACCCTTAGGTGAAGGCTAGCAAGGCGAAGAGAAAATAAAAAAATCACTTCTACATGCTACATATGGGAATATACACAAATGGCAAATAACTTAATTTTGGGGGGACTTGCGGCTAGTACTGTTGGTTGGCTCGGCTCTTACCCTTTTAGTATATTGTTTGAAGCCTAGGGATCATTAACGCTATCATTTAGCTATACAAAGCTCCACTACGCCGCATCGTAGGACTCGACTTCATCAGACATAGCTAATATATCAGAGTCCTCCAGGACGACGGTTGGCTGAGAAGTTACCTCACGTTCAGATAAGAGAAGTTCAGATATCTCTCGTTTACAGATTTAATAAACTCATCCCTCTGTTCTTTACCCAATCCCGTGCATTCCGATATGCGGATGCAACACTCCGAAAGGTATCTGGGTTATCTATCATCGCAAATGACCTTAGCGAAGTCATAATGTATTCAGGGCGCCCATCACTTTCTCGGGGAGCAGTGGGGTGTGTTGTGTAGGGCTTGAGTGTACCACTTGGTAGGTTGACGTTATCGTATAGGCACTATTGTCGTTGGATGGCTCATCTTGCTCGTATAACTTAAGCTTGCGTATTCCTCGAGCGCCCAGCGCGCCATAGTAACAGGCTTGCCGAGCGGTAAGGATCCATCAGAACCCTTAGTCTCAAGAAAGAAATAAATTGAAAACCACCTCCGGCCTGGTCTTGCTACCTAACTATACGGAAGTCCTTTACTCTGTCTACGGGCGAGCTGAGCTCCGCGGAATATTATTTTTACGATAAAGAATAAGGTTATTATATAATTATTGATTACAAAGCTATCGTGAACCTTATCTAGAAAGCTTATTCAAAAGTTTTTTTTTTCTTCAAAGGCATCACTTTGAGAAAAAAGTAATTTGATATCTTCCATCGACGAGGAAGCATTGACTTCGCTGCAGCCATGTTCGCTGTGCCAGGGTGGTCAGTTTCGTCCTCAGAGCTGAAGCTCCAGACTGAACCATCTACAGCCAAGGATGTATCCAAGCCTCAAGTAACTGAGAACTCCTTTGGGAAGCGGAAGAGAGAACGTGGTGCAGATAGTGATGGCGGAAAAGTCACAAAATCAAACGTGAACGAGATGTGGAAGAGGTATATTGAGGGGGAAATACCAAAGCAGAAGAAATCACGAACAGAAAAGACGGAAACTAAGCCAACTCAAGGGAATGGGAAGAAATCGGGTGGAAGTGAAAATATCAAACCTGATGGACCGGCACCGAAAGCTAACAAGAAGGCAAAAAAGACAAAGTTGGAGAAAAGCTCTAAGAAAGGCCAACAAACAAGCAGCAATATGACACCGCTAGGAACCCGTGAACCCGGTGCGGCTTCCTCTGACAATGCAACTAGTATTAAGTCTACCTCGTTTCCTCCACCGCCACCACCGCTGCCAGAAAATCCCAATTTAACTCCACTACAGCAATCAATGAGACAAAAGCTGCTCTCCGCTAGATTCCGTCATCTCAATGAAACTCTTTACACCACTCCTTCTACCGAGGCAATGGAATTATTTACAAGCAACCCTGAAATGTTCGCAGAATATCACGCCGGTTTCTCGCGCCAAGTTAAGGAGTCATGGCCATCCAACCCAGTTGATGAGTACATTCAGTCTGTTAAAACCCGAGGAGAAGTTCGACCTCAGCATAACGGACAGGGAAAGAAGCCGGCCCAGAACAGCTTAAGCCTCCAACCACTTCCAAGGAAGACTCAAGGCCTTTGCACGATTGCAGACATGGGATGTGGTGATGCAAAGTTCGCTCGTGCTCTTGCCCCCTCAAAAAAGTCGTTGAAACTCAAGATACACAGCTTTGACTTGCATGCCCCAGACTCCGTGATTACCAAGGCCGATATTGCCAATGTACCACTTGAAGATGGAAAGGTAGACATTGCTATATTTTGCCTAAGCCTGATGGGGACTAATTGGGTATCCTTTGTCGAAGAAGCGTGGCGTGTACTTAGAAGTGACGGTAAAGGCGAATGTTGGGTTAGTGAGGTCAAAAGTCGATTTGGGAAGGCAAATAAGCACAAATCCGCTAGGGCATCAATTGGCCAGGTCAGGAAAGATAAATCCAAGAAGAAGAAAAAGAACGAAAACGAAGAGGAAGACGGTGGAGAGGAAATATTCGCGGAAGATCAGCTTAAAAGGGCCGAGGATGATGATCAAACGGATATATCAGCATTTGCGGAAGTTTTTGCTTCACGAGGATTCGTTTTGAAACAGGAAACCGTTGACAAGTCTAACAAGATGTTCGTGAAGATGGAATTTATTAAACATGGTGTGCCGAAAAAGGGCAAATGGGCTAATGTAAATGGCCCAGTCGAACCGAAGAAAACATACAAGAAATGGGGATCCTCAATACCTGAGGATACGGGCATGACAGCCGAAGAGGAGAGCAAAGTTTTGAAACCATGCGTCTACAAACTGAGATAGGTATATAGATATGCAATATCCGTTGACTCCTTGATTACTTAGCTTCAAGAAGCCTTTGAAGGTGCTTAGCTTGCATATTACTGCTTATAAATTAACAGATTCTGAATTCAGACCACCGTTAAGGCTTCCAATTGAGTCTATGGGCTTTCTTGATAAAGATGGGATTTTAACCCAGAGCGATTCAACCCCTAACTCCCACGCTAATTTCCTCCCAATGTAGATACAACTCGCCCCATGTCCTCGTCACTATAGATCTGGAAGCCTTTCTCTTTCGTAACGCTGGCCAACTGGACGTTCTTCTCGTCGAGCTTCTCTTCCATAACTTGCTTCAGGGTTTTGAGAACTAGAGTCTCAGCCTCAGCTAATGTTAAAGACCGATGATATTCGTTTTGTAGCTCAGCCTGTGCTCCCTCACTTCCAGACCCTATAGCCTTTGCGTCGTAGCGATAGAATGTGCCGGATGGTTCTGCATGGTACCTACACGATTGTAATGTCAGCAATTGAAGTATAACGTCCTGTTGCCCCATGGATATGAAACGTACAGTTGCGGACCATCTTCGTCGTATCCTGCAATTAACAAAGCTACACCGAAAGGTCTGCTCATCACGCTCTCTTCACCATCAGCTCCCTCTCCGAACCTTAGGGCAAGGTCACATATGGCTTGAGTACAGCTCTCAACTCTAAGAGGCTCTGAATAATGGAATCGATGGTTTTGGGTCTCCACTCGTGCGTGTTCAACCATTGATCTTGCATCAGCTTGCAGGCCGGACATCGCACATCCTATGTGTTGGTCTATCTCAACGATCTTCTCAACCGACGAGGTCTCGAGTAGGGTAGAGGTGACTCGCTTTTCGACACCAAGAACGACGCCCTCGGACGTGGCAACCTTTATCGTAATAACAAACTGCGTCAGTAAAAGTTTTTTTTCAGGCAGCTTGACGTTGGATAAAACGGCGAGTATCACTTACTCCGATAGCAGTGGAACCAAGTTTTATAGCTTCGAGAGAATACTCTACTTGGAAAAGACGGCCCTCTGGAGAGAAGGTGCTGTACGTAGTCTGTATAAGAAGCTGTGCGCTTGGATAATGAATGCAACGAGGAGTGTATGCTTACTTGATTCCACGATCTATAGAGTAATGAGTATCAGGCGCCGTCTTGGAGGGACCATGAAGAGGTACTTACCATACTCGGACCGGGCGATAAACATGTTGATATGAATGAAAAAGGGACGGTAGTCTTAGAGAAGTACGGCGGCTCCGCAGGATTTCAGAGAATTCCCGGATATCGTCCTTGGGAACGCAACTGGAGGAATGTTCGTCTGAAGCTGTTTGGGCGGTTGGAAGTTCAAGAAGTAACAAGAAGCTCTCGCTCTTCCTTTTGGTCCACGCAAACAGACAAAGTTGCCTGGGCAAGATGCGCTAAGCCCAAAAGGGAGCTCTGTAAGCATCATACTAAAACGCGGGTCCTTTTTTATATATCAATCTTTGCGAAATAATATAGCAGTCCTCGAGAAGATAGATTTACACTGAGTTACGCCGTCTTAATGATTTCATGATTATGAATTCTCCTTCTACCGCAAAGTCCAGGGCGGCACATGAGCGCGCTGCAAGCTATAACAACCCAAACGGCAGGCCAGGCGCCTCCGCCCGCGTTCATGGAAGAACAACGTCCAGACAAGAATCACCTTTTTCGCGCGAAACCACTCCAATAGCTGATGGGCGTCCTGCTATAAAGCCCATTAATAAGAGCCATGTTACCACGAGCGAGATTCGCACGGAGAGAACAAGTGTGGTAACAAGGGACAAGATCCATACCAAAAGACCCGCCAAAGAGAGTGTTGCGCCTGGCAGCCCGAGGGATTGGGATAAGAATCGCATAAAGAAGGACCAGCATAGAAGTAGCTCGATAGCTATGGTGGCAGAGAAACCGCAAGCTGAAGGTTCGTTTGCTTGCTGCGTCTCAAAGCTGTCAATGCTAACCATATCAAATAGTACCATGGAATCCAACGGTATCACTCATTCCTCACTCCGCTGCACCCCTCGCCTGCCGCGTTTCCATCCCGCCATTGTTCTCGGAGGTACCTCAGTATCTTCGCCCAGGATCTCTTCGAGATATCTCCTTGGATGCGCAAGAAGCGGCGATACTACAAGACCTGCTGTTTGTGTTTATGGGATATGAGGGCCAGTACATACACTATGCAAATACCTACAACCCATCTATAGAAACAGATCGCCTAGTGGGGCCTTCCTTTCAAATCATGCCTGGCCTCGATCCAAGTTTGCGAGACTTAACGATGGCTATGTTAAAAATGGCTACACACTACAGCGCAATGGAAGCATTTGTAGAAGTGCAGAGCAGATCGGAATTTGGCGCAGTGAATCACGCGTTATGTGCGGCAATAAGGAAGCTTTTGAAGGACTATTTGATCATGGTGGCCCAATTGGAGACTCAATATATCAATAACCCAAATTTCACATTACACGTCATGCACCTCCATACCATGCCTACGAGCCAGACACTAGCCCAGCTTTACTCCCTTGGGCAGGAACTCTTGAAGAAAAACTCGCTCTTGGCGCAAGATCCAGACGAATCAATTGACGATTTTGATGATGTTGATAATATCCTAGAACAACTACGGGAGGGAGGGGAATTAGCACCAGGGAGCATGTCAAGCAAGAAGCTCTGCAAGGGAGGTAATGTACTCGGCCTTATAAGCCAACGCCTTGCAACGTTCTCGGGTGACCCGGCCACTGGTGTATTATTACAAACCCTACTACGAGAGGCCAGCCGGCCGTACATGGCCATGCTAAACGAGTGGTTGCACCATGGTGGGATAAGAGATCCTCACGCTGAGTTTCTTGTCAAGGAGCAAAAGGGTATCAAACGTGACAAACTCGAAGAAGACTATACCGATGAGTACTGGGAAAAGCGATACACAATCCGTGATAATGAGGTCCCTCCGCAACTTGATGCCGTTAGAGACAAAGTCCTGTTGGCAGGAAAATATTTAAATGTTGTCAGGGAGTGTGGAGGCATTGATATCAGCAAGGAGGTAAAAGACGTTCCCAAAACGTTCGATGACCCACGCTTCCTCGATAACATAAATGGAGCATATGCGCACGCAAATGCATCACTTCTACACCTTCTATTAACCAAGAATTCTCTAACCACCCGATTCCGCTCGCTGAAACATTATTTCTTCCTCGATCGTTCTGACTTCTTCTCATACTTCCTTGAACTTGGTACCTCCGAACTTCGAAAGCCGGCGAAACATGTTAATGAAGGAAAACTCCAATCTCTTCTAGATATAGTATTAAGACAACCGGGAAGCATTGCTGCTCAAGATCCATTCAAAGAAGATGTTAAAGTTAGGATGAATCAAATGGGGCTCACAAAATGGCTGATGCGTGTTGTAAGCGTGTCTGGGATCGATCAAGATAACCCTGAGGGTGCGATAGAAAAATATCAAACCCCTGCTCCCCAGACATCCGAGAACGAAAAGGACATTATAGGATTTGATGCTCTTGAGCTCGATTACCTCGTGCCGTTTCCACTTTCTCTTGTGATCAGCCGCAAGACTGTTCTCCGCTATCAACTCGTGTTCCGACACCTTCTATCCCTCAGGCATCTTGAGACGTTACTTGTTAACTCATGGCAGGATCATAATAAATCTATCAGCTGGAAACATAAATCTTCTGACCGAAAGGTCGAACTTTGGAAAAGGAGAGCATGGACTCTTCGCGCTAAGATGCTCGTCTTCGTGCAACAGTTGCTTTACTTTTGCACTGCAGAGGTGATGGAACCAAACTGGCAGATATTGATGAATAGAGTCAATGGTGACGGTACTGAAGCCACTGAGGTGACTGTAAACGGGACAAAACAAGTCAATAGAACTGTGGACGAATTAATGCAAGACCATGTCGACTTTCTCGACACCTGTTTGAAGGAATGCATGCTTACTCAAGGGAAGCTGTTGAAGGTAACATCACAACCTGCTAGGACATACATAGCCTGAAAGCTAAGCTATCATTACTCTAGATCCACTCCAAACTCATGACCTGCTGCACTATGTTTGCATCCTGGTCTGCGTCGTCACTGTCTCGCAGCCTTGCATCGGCGGACCCAGATTTGTCTGGGTCTATGGACTCCTCGAAAACTTACGACCCCCTAAGGCTTGCCAAACTAGAGGACACTCTTAAGCGCTATGAGGATCATTTTAATCGACACTTGAGGATTCTGATGGATAGGTAGGACTGAATTTGCATTGCTACTAATTCGGCTCGTAAACTAATTATTTAATTAGTCTTAACTACTTCGCTGCTACGGAGAGCGTAGTCTTGCTGAAGCTTGCTCACTCGCTAAGCGCAATAGGGAAAGAAGAATGATGATGATGACGGTGATGATGATGTATTCTACGACTAATAATCAACTCATGACTCGTTTCATACCAAGAGCTGGGTCGAGACTGCCGAGCCACTGGGGGAAAGATTACAGGCTACATATTAAGCGCTTGCCTTCAAATACACTGCCGGATACACGGCCATCAAACTTGTAGTGGCTCAAATCCTTTGAGGCGGTCGAACCCCGGGTTTTTTATAGGCAAATGCGGCCGGCCTATAGAGAAAATGGCGGAGGAGAAGGCAACCCGCTCCCAAGCCCTTACTATGTCCTGCGACGCCGGGGTGGACACCTTACCATTGAAACTACTAGCAAAGATCTTGGGGGGTCGCTATGATTATACAGCTATACAGTGGAGGAGAGACCGTGAGGTATTCGTTGAATTATTGATAATTCACGATGGGCAAAGCCGCTTAACTCTAGGATATCAAAGAAGTGTATGCCGTAAAATACGCAATAAACGCCCTAACCCCAATGGGAAACAATACAAAGAAGAAACCTTCGATATCATTTCAAATCATGCTTTCTCCTTCTTGGAGCTCTTTTTATGTTTGACTTTCTTCTCAACATCGTCTCCATTCCTGGCATCCTCATCATAGTCCTCATGTCGCTTTCGTTTCTTTTTCTTCTTCTCACCAGTATCTTCCTTCGGCGGAATATAATCTTTTTCCTGCTCCTTCATCTTCTCCGCCCTTTTTTCCCGCTGCTTCTCCATGATTTCCTCTTTTCGAGCTCTTTCTTTGGCCTGTTTGCTAAGGAAATATTCACCACTCTCGATCTGTAGATCAACCTTACTCTTCTCCTGAGCAGGTGGGAATGGTGTGTAAACCTTCTTTGATTTATCGGTGACCTTGAATGGTTTCCGTCTTTTGCTAAGGGTCCGTTTCTTCAGTTGCGGAAGGAACCTGTCCCAGGATTCCTCTGCCAATTGAGGATCCTTGGCAAGTTCTCGTTTGATCATTAGTTCTTTAATATGGTATATTGGGTGAATGTTGTTCATGCAGTCTTCTACAACTCGACGGACTTCTTTTAGGCCCTTGAAGGGGCCCATAGCGGCAACGGTGTTTCCCTGAACGAGTAGATATGTGTTTGTAAGCAGTTCGAGGGCTTTTAGTGTGGATCCAGAGGGCCCCAGAATGCGCTGTCGTCTCTTTACGAATCTCTCCTTATTCCGGACCAGGTTACGGATCTTGATGATATCGCATGCGACGTCATCCTCGAGGATTTTCAATGCCTGTATACAACATAATTTAGTATATATTCAACAGCATTGAGCGGAATTCAGCTATTCTTACTTGTGGGGCTGGAACACTTCTTGCCAGCAGCTTGATCAGATCTCTTGCTTTCAGGATAGCGGCAGGGTCGAATGTCTTTCGGGTGGTCTTGACGGTCATGCTACCCTCCACCAAATCCAGCGTGCATGCTATACCGTTCTTCTCCAGCGCTTTGGTTATCAGCGGCCATACCTCCCTTAGATAGATCTCTCTGTACTTGGGAAACAAGCTAACGAAAGAGGATTCCTCCGTGAATGTGCCGCCTACGTTATCAGAAGGCTTGAATTCTTCAATCTATCGGGAAAAAGAATATTAGCTTCAAGTCGCATGTAGAAATGGGCGAGCACAACAAACCTTCCACTTGTCAATGTCATCTGTATCCCAGGGCTTATCCCTTTTATATGTTGAAGGCATCTTTGTTTTTATCACAACACAGATCGCGGGATTCCTCTTAGTCTCTTCCGCGTATTTTGCTTGAGCTCTTTTGATATCAAGAAAAAAAAATAGCTAGAAAAATCCAAGTAGGGGCCACTTCGGGCAGGTGGGCCGATAGCTTGGCAATGACATACAATAGAGGGAAGGTCTACCGAAGGATTATGTGATACCAGTCCAGTTTTATCCTCATCACGTGCACATGAAGCCTAAAAGAGCCAAGAAACTGTGAGTTTACGCGCTAATCGTAAACTGAAACTAGCGTGGCCCAGTTATTTTTAAGCGGCGGTTGGGTCAAGCGCTTTGCAGGAGTTCGCTTGACGTTGGCTATGCATACAATATATATATTAGGACTTGGTTCTTTGGTGAAAATACACGACCGAAGAAGGTCTTCCCTCCTCGCAGCTGAATGTACAAAATTACTTAATATTATAGATGTAATAGTCCGAAAGAAGGACATTTATACTTCTTTAAAGCGGGTGAGGTTGTTGGCAGCGATCCACATCTTGACCATAGCGTTTGCTGGCCCACCATTCTACATTAATTTATGGGGAGACATGGAGTGTATATACTTGTGATGGTTGCTATATATACAAGAGTTCAGGGTTCCAGCCGGGTCATAAAACGATGGTTTCAACGCCTCCTGAACCGGATTCTTCCCAAAGCATCTTTGGAAGGGATGTACAGAATATTGTTCATTGATTAGGTTGGCTGTGGGCTCTCGGCAGACCCCTAGATTTGATTCAGGCTCAAGGTTCGCTGGCTAGAATGCGCACGAAGCAGTTAGCCTGATATCTATCTTCAAGTTAACATGGATGACATTTGCCAGGATACGAAGCAGATATCTTCCTGTACATTTCAACGGATGTTGTGACAAATACCTGTGGTTTACCTTCCCATAGCTGAGATACGCAGTAAAAGGACCTTAGAGGCCATGTTCTCCTATTTGCTCTATATGAGCAATATTAAACATTCTGTAAAAAGAAGTGTCCAATAGCCAGAGTACGATATCTTGTGCCCAGTAGCGTCGGCTAGGTGAACCGTACAAAGTATAATATCTGCCACAATCCTAGGAAGTTGCTTCAGGTATTAACACTCCACATCAATCTCTCGATGACCCTCAGTTTATCTTCTTCAACACCTGCAGCTCCATGGTTTATCTATTGTGGCTCGACTCGAAATATATATTGTTTCTGTACTCCCAGCCGATATTTCTCTGTTGAAACACTGTTTTCGTGCCTGTTTCTCTTCGTCTCTCCATCTCGAAGACCATCCGAAACCACCACCACGAACGCCCCAAGTCTCATAGAATTGTACTGTTGATACGAGATCTGATTTGGTGAAAGGAGTGCGTAACTCTTCAACTCGATAGCTTGCCTCCTTTATTTCGTCTCGTCTCCGAACTGATAACGCCATGAGATGGACCAGCTCGATCCTCCCAAACCGCCTACCTTAGAGTTCCTTTCAATCCTTCTGTTGATGCTCTACCTCAACCAGAGGCAGTGTAGCCTCAGGTGATATTCGTTCCATCGATTTCTACCTCCGAAAGATGGAATCACCATCCAACTGTGCAAAGTTGTCAACAGATCCCCGCGTCTCCCCGAGTACACAACGTCCCTTACTACCTTGAGTGGCCATATTGCTCGGTTTGGTACACAAGACAACGGCTCTGCTCTGGTGATAAGGCCACTGGTACTTAATGAATGTAATAAAGGGGCATCAACTCTTCTTGGCTTGCTGATATTAATATCAGCTTATGCCAACCTCTATTGCGGGTTGGCAAGCTGATACGGTATTATATCCGAACCAAGGAACTGCGAAATATAACTTTAACGGCTGGAGAGAATATGTAAGGAGTCATTTTTTTTAATAGTTCCTCTCTCCTTTTTGAAAAGAGATTTCAATTTTGACATGACATATTTACAGGGTTATCAGAGAAAAAAGTCAGCGCGGGAGGTCTATCCATGTGGTAACTGGATAATTCAAGGCTTTCGCCCAATGCAAATATATCTGTCAAGTCAGGTTCGGCTGCGTCATAAGCTAAAGGAGATAACTTACAGAGGAATATATGCTTTCAATGATGGATCACTCGCTTCTTGCCTAGCACCCGCTAACAGCTCCTGGAATTGAACTTCAGGCATATCAAGCCGGTGCATTAACGGATATAGCCCGAGAGATTCAAGGAATAAGTGAGTATTTTCCCTATTTGCCTCTCCAATAGCTCTCATCCTCGGATCTAGCTTCTAATTAGTAGGATGTAGTTAACTAGCTAGTTGGGGCTGCCGCATGTTGTGGGTCTCACCTGTTGACCATCCAGATAATGGCAGGGGTATCATCTTCGATTCAATATCAACCAAGCCAGCTGAAGCCATAAGGTTGGCTAGCTTCATTCCACTTCGAAGGTCTTTCACACCTTCCAAAGCCGCGATATAGTCCCTGCTCCATCTTCTCAAGCAATGACTTTCAGTCAATGTCCCGCTATCTGACTGGACATTGAAATATATTTCTACCATTTGTACCCAGCCACCTCGTTTCAAGCACCTAAACGTGTCCCACACACTATTCAGTACTATTCAGATATAATGTGTACGAGCAGCTACCGGTGATACCATCCGGCCACCCAAGGCAATCCGTCAACTTACCTAGCAATGTCACGAAGATACCGTGGCCATCTTTCCTTGTCAAGGCCGGAAGAAACCAGCCGCGAGTGAATGAGGTCAAATTGATTCGACCGGAAAGTAAAAGTGCGGTTTAGGTCGTCAACCTAGCCACTCTTCAATTAACATAAGATGTTAATAGACAAGTACACCTAAAGAGACAATGAGCTATTACCTGCAACCAAAGGTTATCTGGCATATCATCTGGTTTCATATGGGGAGACACGTCGATTCCTATGACCTTGATTTGGTTCGGCGGATTAGAGGTAATCCTTCTCCAGAGAGCCGATTAGTGACATACTTCACAGTTTGGATATTGTTCAGCAACCTCAACTGCCCACGCTCCTGATCCATAACCACAATCGAGGACTTTTGCCAGCTGTTGAATTGGTGGAAATATAATCCTATCATCGAACACCCTGCTGAAAACCTGTTGCTCCAACTCTAGCCTTTCGATCTCTTCCTGTTTATGGATGAGCAAGGCGTTACTTGCTATGGGATGAGTGAAAATAAACTACGCACATCGTCGATAGGAGCGAAATATATCTGGTTATCGAGTGCGTATTTCTGATAATCCCGCCCTTGAAAGGTTACAATTTCCAAATGTGCGCTGTCCAGGGCTGTGGTACCGAAATGAGGATCACTGTGAGGAAATACCGTCAGTCACTAACACCAGGCTATAATAAGAGAAGTGGAAGGCAGCGGTACTTCATTCTGACAACATGAACTCTTAAAAGTTTACTCAGAGGATGAAAAGACCGTCTTAGTGGATTCTTTCGAAAATTCCTTTGAATACCTATCCCCGAAAGTTCAAGATGATCGATAGCTTGTTCATGAGAGGCTAAAGTGATCATTTACTGTCGAAGCAAGAAACAAAAAATCAAATCATAGGAGAAAGTTCAGCCGGTCAATGGCACTCTTACCTTTCCAACCCGTCACGAGAGGTGCGGTCAAATGTTAGGACATTCAATCACTGTCCTGCTGACTGGCGCCCACAATATCAAATCCTTGCTCAGCCTAAGTTGCGGGATACCCGATACCCAGGCAGATCCGGTCACTAATCATGTATCCTATGACCGGCCCTAGATGCCCGTGCACAGCTTATGCTTCGCAAAACAATGTTGGGACCATGAATCCCTCGAATTTTCTGCACAAAATAGCACCCCATTGACTGGGTGCTGACTTTAGCTAAAGCCGTCTGACTGCTGACGGGACTCAGGGCCGATGCCCTTGATGCCTGTATGAACGTGAATATCTACCCACATAAACAAATCTTATTTCCCACTTGTGGAAACCTCAGAATATGATACGTAACTAAGGCGGTGAAACTTCAAGCCATCTGCTTATGGGGTCAATATATAAAGGGTTTGCTTCTGGAGGGGGCAGACCACATTCCATTCTTCACGTACTATATTCGGTTCTGCAACCATTTCGCTCTTGTTGGCATGACAAGGTTGCCTTGGATATAAGTGCGAATGTCCAAAATACGCCTCAGGCTGAACTGCCTGGTTGGGCCGTGTTAAATTGACGATGGCTGAAATATCCTAGCAAAAGGTAAAGAATTGATGACGAAGTGGAACCAGAAGGAACCCATTATAGTGTTCCACGTATTTCAAGAAAGGGCACCTTGGATATCGAATACCCAGCATCTCTACGATCCAAACTCAATCAAAATCTTGCCGTCCATCTTTATCTTTCGAATCTCCCAGTGACATGGACTTGGGTTACTCAGCTGAATTCCCTTTTCTCCGTTAGTCTGGACCAAGGGAGGGTGCATTTTACGCCTGCTAAACTACTGATATACATGTGTCAGGCATCTACGGTAAATCTTAGTTACTTAACTCAGTATATTCTCCTGGAGCCGTCAACATCATCTCAACTAGGAAATAGTTGCATGTTTCGTCTGCTATAACGAAGGAAATGAGGCAGTACTTCCATATCCGACCCCAGCATCGAGCTCTGCATGGCAAACTATATTCGAAGCAGGCTAACGCAGGAGTTGATGCAGAGCATGATATCGACGGAGCGGATCTCCTCTCCACAGCCGTACTATGTATATATTGATGCATACCATGTGTTTTATAATACATCCATATGCGCAGGGTTCGGCAATATCCAGCGCATTCAAACTCATAACTAACGAAGCCTGAGTATATTATATTCGAAGAATCGTGAGTTCGAATAACCAATTCCTAATTCCATCCGTCTATCCGGATTCACCCAATTTGAATAATGGCTGGCGGTTTACACGCACCAAAACCCACCGTTAGATAGAGAGCCGCTGCTAGCTATCTTGCTGAAGTTCTTCGGTCCGTCAGCCATAAATTTCAAGTCCTAAGTTCGTCTCATGTTACGACATCGGTTGTAGGTGCAGGTGGAGCTTGCATAGTGTAACAAACACTCCCCAAAATAGTAGGATTATCCGCGACAGTTACATATAATATGCAAAGAATCGATATTATGGGGCATCGGCCAATGGAGCGAGTTTCTTGATGTTGGCAGCAACATTTGAATTTTATATCTTGTTGGATATCTTGTCTCCAGCAACATGAAGCCGTTCAAAGCTATCAATACCGCGTATATCCACGGAGGACCTACATTACCTGAACATCTGTTCTTCACACGCCCTATATCACTCCACAAACTCTGATTCTACTTTGCTGAGGCGTAATAACCTCCTTGGGACATGATGCACGTCTTCAGGTAAACGGAGCTCGGAGCACACGATCTCCTATTCGCATCAAAGCACAAATTGAAGGTGATAGCAGAGTTAAAGGTCTGGTAAAATACCGTGCTTTATGGCCCTCGCCATCCAACTTCTATGCCTTGTTACACCTGTTGGCAAGCGATGCGTAAGAATTGGTGATTTATTTCCCTTGAGGGGTTCCCTACCCATATCTGCATATACTATGGTATATGTGCACCCCGGTATTGAATACGTACTGCTGGGGGGAAGCGGGCATCCCAGATTACGGGAAAATCAATACCCTTATACATACCATAAAACAGGGATATTTCATGCATATGTAGGGTGCAATACTGGCAAGTGAGACGGGAATGAGCAAGCATCCCGAATTGAGATTCTCCCGAACCGGAATTCTATCCTCACTTGGTAAATAATAAATCTCTCTTGATATTACCATGGAGCTCGCACTTCAGGCTGCATAGACATTGCGTTGCATGCTGACACCAGAGACATGGATCAATGGTAGATTGCCGCCCTGTCCTTGGTAGGCGTTAATTGTCACGGCCCATCAACGCCAGTTATGATTCCAATGCTTTCTGTCCTGGAACAATTTTCGTACTACGGCAAGTGGACCTGTATAGACCTCTATCCTCCAAGAGTCAAGTTTATTTAATTATTAGGATATATTCTTTGGCTTGCTTTCCTTTAACACCTGTCTCTCCCACTAAAGTAATAATATTAGTTAAAGCCAGTTGTCATCAGAACATTAATTCATACCCCAAACTCAGGGCCCGCCTTTGTGGCATACCAGCTGAGAATGAAGGCAGCACAGGTTGAAAGCAGCAGTGTTAGGGTCATAGGTGTGGTAGGAAAGAGTAGTAGTCGACACGCATGGTTTTCCAAGGTGAGACTGGAGGCATCGAAATCACAACCCTTTCTTTCCGGACTCTCTTTCCCTCTTTCGAAGGGCCCGCTTACGTATAGACTCGTGCATCGATTTATTGAATCCTATCACTGTCTTACTTAAAGGACCAAGGAAGGTGGCGATACTCCATGCCATTAATCCGTGACTCCAGTATGGGACGGAAGTATAAGCATAGGAGAACAATCCTCCACTCCGCCCAATATGGCTGAGGGTAGCACGGACAAAGTCTTTTGGGTTTGGGATAGTAATGCTGGATTTCCTGATTTTAGACATGGCGGAGGTGACGAGATAGCTTTGCGTGAGTTGAACAGTGATCCCATAAGGTTCTAATTCGGACGCCAACGAACTTGACCATTGTTGAAGGAATGCCTTACTTCCAGAATATGTTGCGAGAAGAGGGGTTGGGAAAAGGCCGGCAAACGACCCCATCGTAAGAATCAACCCACGCTTCCGCTCCATCATGCCAGGTGCCACGAGCTGGCTGACGCGAAGGGTACCAAGGCAATTTATGGTGATGATGTCTTCCATTTCTTCCGCATCGGTGAGAACGAACGGGACTGGAATGGAGTGACTGAGCCCCACATTGTTGATGAGAATGGAAATGTCTAGACCCTTGATTATTTTCTTCAATTTCTCATAATCATCGTCATCGTTGTGGGAAAAGTCCATGGCGAAAGTTTTGGTTTGAACAGTGGCATTCTTTTCGCAGATCTCTCCTGCTACGGCAGCCAGCTTGTCGGCGGATCGTGAGACAAGCAAAATGTTGAAGCCGGCGCGCGCAAGTTGGTGGGCGTATTCTTTTCCAATTCCATCAGATGCGCCAGTGACCAGAGCCCAGCTACCTTTGGGGCCGAACGAGCGCAGCTATTGGTAGACAGTATTGTTAGCATATTAGAGTACAAAACTTCCACCAAGCTGTGCAAATATAAGTAAGATATAGCAAAGAGTGCCTCATACCGACTTTCCTGGAAGAATGAAGATGCTCAAGAGAGCTCGAATGACGTTGAACAATTTCGTGGCAAGGAAGAGACCTCCAACCGCAGCAACAAAGGTTGACGCAATTGACGCCCATCCGGCCGGTGGTTCGACACGGAAATTATGGATGGCCTCACAGAATGAAGACATCTTCGTAAGTCGCCCTGCTCTGTGCCGCCACTCTGAAGGATATTTGTTTGCTTTCGAGACTGTCAAGAAGTGTTGACTTAGAAGGTTCCAACTAAACAAAAAAATATTCAACCTTCACATGCCAAGACCTATGAAGACTTCAACCCCTTTTTTCGACCTTCTTCAATTCATCTTCGAAGAATAAGCAATTGAACGAAGAGCTGGATAATATCAACGGTGTTTGCTAGGTTCAACTACAGGCAATATGGATGCAATTACCTCTTATCTACCTCAGCATGCGGGATTCCTGCCCAAGTGGCTACTCTTCGTAAGTCTACCTCCAGCGTTAAGAAAGACAACACAAGCTAACACGATCCCTACTATGTTTACAGGTCTCAGTCGTATCATCTCTAAACACCTTTCAGGCATTTGCCAGCCCTGCTTATACCGGTCAACTTTACTCTGCGACTCCAGTGACGCCTCTCTCCTCACGCAAATTCGGGACCTGGACCTTTCTATCCTCTATCATTCGCATGTACGCCGCCTACTATGTGTCCAACCCTCAAGTATACGACCTTGCTATGTGGACTTATGGGATTGCACTGGCGCATTTTGCGAGTGAGTGGTTGGTTTTCGGCACTGCAAAGGCACAGGGGAGGTTTATCAGCCCCCTTATCGTAGCAAGTTGCAGTTTGACGTGGATGCTCACTCAAAGAAGCTGGTATCTGAGCCTGTGATGTTTGGCTGTTAAAAAGAAAGATATAACGAGGTCCTGTAATGGTATGGTTGTGGCTTATATTGGCCAATGTTGACTGTATCTAACTTTGGCTTGGGAGCCAGATAGTTGGATCTAAGAAAAAATAACGAATTTCTTCCAGAGATTATGATCTATCTACATACAAGCCCATTGGATGGGTCCATACTAAGGCCCAAAGGATGGCCCATTGCGATCCTGAGGAATTTGGATCTAGAGGTTATAGATGTTTCCTATACAGCTCTCCCGCACAGCCCCTTAGTCTTGCTGCAGCCTGCTCCGGCGTTATGTCACGCTGAGGTTCTGCGAGCAACTCATATCTAACAAAAGAACGGAAGTTAGCTCTGATATCACCCAGCTGAGACCAAAGCGCAGACGTTGGCATACGTACCCTACTAAGAACTTCTTCACTGTGGCACTCCTCAGCAGCGGTGGGTAAAAATGGAAGTGAAGGTATGAGCAATCGGTCTCCTCTACTGATCCGTCCAGAGGGGCCTGATGTATACCCATGCTGTACGGAAAGTTGGTTTGGAAGAGGTTATCATATCGACGAGTTAACTCGGCTATTGCCTCAGCCAAGTCTTCTTTCCCTTTTTGGTTCAAATCTACCAGCGCCCTCTTATGCCGCTTGCTTATTATGATCGTCTCGAACGGCCATATTGCCCACCAGGGGCAGAGGACTAGAAAATTGGTATTTTCAAATACTACCCTCTCTTTCTTTTCCATTTCGAGGGCGGCATAGTCTTCGAGCATGTGGCTACCATCATGGTCTTTACAATACTTCAGCATCTGTGAGAGTTCTTTTGACGGTTCTTCAGGCAAAGAACTCGTCGTCCATATTTGGCCATGTGGATGGGGATTGGAACATCCCATTGTTGCCCCCTTATTCTCAAATATCTGCATATATCGGTACTGTTCTCTTGGGCCTGATATTTGCCGCGCCGGAGAGTCTGGTGAAATGCTCGTTACTGCATCTGCTTTGTATAAAGTTGACCCTGGCGAGAGATGCAGCGCATATATGTCGGTCCAGACATTTATTATAGGAACAATCTCTTGCGGTGAGAGGTCCGCAAGTGTAAGGTTGTGCTTGGCTGAAAACGTCAAGACATAGCACCTACCCTTGACTGGCTGGGCCTGAAGGAACCGCGCAGATAGGGATGCTTTCAATTCAATTAGCCTACACATCTCCTATACAACCGTCAATGGCAATCATGGGTCCAGCTTTCAAACCAACATTTATCATCTGTCTCATAGTCCGCTTGGCTTTCCTTCACAGCACTATAGTCGTTGACAAAAACAAAGACCTTATCATACTGTGGATTTTGGTCTCCTTGTGCTCGTTTGTTTCCGGGACACAGGTAACAGTTTTCATCATACGCTGGAAGTGAAGACTTGGTAGGTGCTTCTTCTTGTCCTCTATTGCGCAAGATGGTTAGGACATGCTCCTTTATGTATCCGAGGCGCCATATATCAAGACTTACTGCCATGGCCTTTTCGTCCGATGAGGTGAAACCAGAACGTGTGAGCCGGTAAGCGGATTATATCTCCGGTGCGAAATGTCGTCTAAAACCGAATTGACCATCTTTTTCTGTATTTTCTATCTTAGGGGCCCTTGTGGATGCTGCTTGGTGGAAGAGTTGCTTGTTGCTTTACCGTTGGTTTTTTTTTTTCTGCCCGGAAGATGAAAACACCCCACCGACCAAGCATACGTCATAGTCTTTTTTCTTGCCCTAGCATATTGAAGTCCGAGAATATACACAAGAGATCTGTTTTCACGATGAAATTACTTGAGAGCTGACATCTATGATGGTATTTTATTGTGATAATCTGTTTATGCCAACCTCGTGGATAACAGGATTCTAATGGTCGATAGTTGGCCCAGCGAGGCTAGCACTTTCTTCGTACCGTGGCCGCTTCAGATGAATTCACAGAGCTATACGAATTCGCAATACCCAACTATTGAGCATAACATGAATCGATACCCTCTACGGACTTTGTCTCCAGGTGTCTCTGTCTAGGTCATGCGCCTGTCCATCAAAGTTGCAATATGATCTATACCTGATGGGCCTATAAGACACTATAGAAGGGCGAGATATAGCCAAGGGTTAACTCGGATATCGTAGCTTATACCTATTGATGCAAGATATTCGCCAAGTACACTCGTGTCATTGAATACGCCTAGCTGAATCAACCAGGAACATGGGCTGATATCTAATTGTCACGTAACAAAATTTTTGGCAACCGGCCATGCATCCAGAATTACCTACGAGAAATACAACCAAGGCTGGTCAAATCATATTCGTTTGAAAAGAGATTACTGAACAGTCCCTGATAGATGGACAGCCCGAGGTACCCCAGACCGATAACATCAGCTTCTATCCATGCAGTAAATCATGTGTATGGCTGCATGAAACCCTACAAAAGTGCATCTATGACACTGTTATGCAGTGACGCAGTGGGGAGGGCCTAGCCGCCCGGATATGCTGCATTACCTCGTCCAGCGGTGACATAGGGTTGCATTAACCATGAGCTGATGGTTCATGCCAGCTGTCATGAAAATTATCACTTCCGCGCAACCCTTCTTCCTGCTCCGCCCCTTCCTCTCCCTATTAATAGGAGCAAAGCCAGTACTGCAGGTCGAACACGGAGGGTAGGACAAGATTAAGCGACCGTTACTACATTGTAACGATTCGAAAGTCAATTACCATGGATTATATAGATGCCTGGAGTTGTCAGTTTTAACTACTGGTCAATGCCGGAAAACAAGCAACCATGGACCCCTGGACATCCGTCATATTAAGCGAACTTATACGCATATATATATATCTACTTACACCCGTACATCGATCTAAGAGTATATATTCTTCTTTCTTTCCCCGTACACAAAGTATTACTGCAAATAGATCTTGCAGGCACCTACATTATCACCACCGTAATCCTCTTATCAACCAGTTTACGGAGTACAAGGTGAAAGAGAGTTCGGTAGGATCCCCGTCAAAAAGGGCCTTGTCAGCTACACGCATCTGGATCCTGGTATAACGTGCTGTTTAATGCTTCTCTACCCCTGCTCGATCCGTTTAGGGAATATGCAGAGAGTAGTTTGATTCGACGACCTGCAAAGAATCAAGGGTAGGGTAGGTGCACTAGCATGAAGTTCTATAACTATTCTTCCTCTGTCTTGATCGGAGACACCCTTTTGGATGGTTCCCACGCAGGCATATATACATAGTATACGGAGCATATGAAGGACGGAGGTGATAGTAATGTGGCAAGACTTTTGCCCTGTTCCCCCCGGGCTTGGATTCTTTTTTTTTTCCTCGAAGGGATCGAAGCGAGAACCAGCCCTACAAGGAATGGGAAAAGACCCTGAGCTGCGGCTGCTTTTGGTCTCCGGTCCTCCATCTCTCACTGGCCTGTCTGGTATCTGTCTGGCCTTGCGGCGAGATGAACCAGGGCAAAGCTGAGTGACTTCACCTGGCAAGCATCCGGATCCCGTGACGTCGACTTCGCTCTATCCCACCAAGTTCTCTTTCAGTGCAATATATACGCGAATGATCGATCAACTAGCAGACTTCACTCTCCATGTGCATGTCATCGAAAGTAAAGGTTACGGAACGAGGAATAGGGTTCAGCCTTGCTCGCTGGCTTTTCTAAAAAAAGGACCGAGATTCGACCTTTCAGAGCTGCTTCGTTAGATATATGCATGTATGAGTGTGTATGTAGCTTTAATTCATAAGACTATCGATACATAGCGTTGAGTATCGGCCAGTGACCAGTTGGATGTCTTGCTCCGCCCAATAGCTCACCGTTAGTTGAGATGGGCGAAAAAGCAAGGAGGAAGAGAAAAAGGAAGAAGAAGGGCATCGCCATCGCCCTACAGCCCATCCAATAGGCAGATACACCGACTGGAACCCTCATTGAGAGTTGAGGGCAAAACAACCAAGCAAGCAAACTCCATGCGGCTATTCCCAGCTTCCCAGCTGATGCGGATGAAGGGGGTCCGCGCCGCAGTATCATGCATCTGGTGAAAATGTTTAATGCAATCGCGCATCGTGCAAAGGTTTGCCTCGTTTCCTCGCTTATACGATGTGGTACCCTTGAAAGGGATATGGATGTATACATAGTACATACGCAGTCAGGACCATGGCTGTTGATCGGACAAGACCGTGGCTTCCACGACGGTCCGGATGTCTTTTACTTTGAATATGCATCTTTCTCCCTCTACATCGGCGCATGAACGATGTATAGATATATAACCAAGGCTTACAAGAATGGGAACCAGGGTGAAAAGGAACCAAAAAAGAAAGGCTATGATACCCCCCCTGCAAGTATTTTTCCGAGGTTTCTATTTTTAATTGAGTAATGATATGCTCTATATATCGAGTTGGACTTGATCTGAGCACGAACTAGGGGATGTTCTTTTTCTTTTTCCCTTTTCTCGTTTCTCGTGCTGCTCTCGTACCTGTTGGAGGTCAAAATTTTCCGAAACGGAGGTCAATACCGATGATTATCGTTCATAGAAGCAAGTGTAATAATTAGAACGGGGGAAGGGAGATGTTTCACCGCAGCACGAAATGTAAAATGGTCGATGTGATAGATATGCAGTGCCCCCTTCACCCCCCCCCTTTTTCCCTCTTCTTCTACTGCCACTATCATAACTATATGTATGTATAACCTTGATCGGAAGACGAAGACAAACTTCCGGTGTATCATCGGTGTGGCGGTAAAAGAAAAAAGAATAAAAAAAATTATAATGAATGGTTTGGCTTTGTTGGGATAGCCAGCCATTAACCATCTGAGTGCTTTTTTTTTCTTCTTTCCTCAGGCGTACCTATCTTCCTGCATAGGGATAGATAGAATTGATAACCCCGTACTAACTAACTATCTATCTGTCTGATGTTTTTTCTTTGCTTTTTTATGCCTGTGACTGTAGTCAGCCTGCATCGATCACAGTAGGGATAATGCAGATTTGGGGAGGGGAGGAGGGGGGAGTTCAGGCAAGCATGGCCAGATTACAGATGGGCCTATCGGGTAGGCCAGAGCAAGTTATATCCATTCAGTGAATAACTTTTTCGTATTTCTCACAGTTAGTTACGCAAGGAATGGGGGATTTGCCCATGTGGACGAAGGCAAGTCCCCTGCATCCGCATGCCCTTGCGCAGCGTGGACATGACATGTGGGAAAAGCATCATCGCATCTATATACAAAGTATACATAGTACGGGATGTATTAATGTATCAGGGCGAGGCATTAAAGAAGAAAAAAAGGGACGGGGGGGAGAATGAAAGGGAAAAAAAAGAAAGAAGAAGCTGGGGTTGACTAGGGGTAGGAGGCAAGGGGCGAATAAGATGTCAAGGGTGATAAGTTGGTTTCTTACGGTCACATTTGTCCTCCCTGTGACGAAGAGAAGAGATAGAGACAGGCTGATATGTGAAATAGCAGTGGTCGATGATGTATCGCATATCGAGGTCTTCGAGGTTGCTAGCTTTGCCCCTTTTGGGGTCAAGGCCAGCTTGACAAAAACTCAGTGAAGTGTTCTCAGCCCCCGCGCGACCGTAGAGAAGGTTAAAAAAGAAAAAGGCGTAAAATGCTATTACTACATACTACTATATGTAGTATGTATTAAAAAGAGGTCTAGCTGGCTCCGTAGGGACGGGACGAGCAAGAAGTTGGGCGATTGATGCGGCTCTAGGAGAGCTAACTAACATATATCCTCAGATGCTTTCATCCTTTACCCGAGGGAACGGGAAATCACGCAAAAGGAGCAACCCTTCTTTAGGGAGATATACGTAAGAATTAAAGTAAGGGATACATCTTAAAACCGCCCATTGACTTGGGGTGATTCGTTCGAAGGTCTGAGGCTGGAAGTTATAGTTAAATGCAATCCTAGCAAATCCCGAAACACCGGGAGTGTTAAAAGAGATGCTATATAACATATTATACAGAGTAGTTAGTTATCCCAAGTAATATAATGATAATAATTAAAAAAACGACATGAGCAATTTCCTATCAGACTTTGAGACTATTGAGGTGAGGAAGAGAAAAAAAATAACGTCCCCATGGAGTTCCCTTCCTGGCAAGCTCCCAGTAAAGGCTTTTTGCTCCGACTCCGAGTCTAGATAACTTAAGCCAGGGGTGAGGGATGAAGACAAGGACGATAGGCCTGGGCCAATAAAGGCCAGTCAAAGCCCTCTTCGTCCCCTCTCCGTAGACATATTAAGTAAGTATATATTATCTGGATGGCGTAAGGTTGGTAAGAGGAAAAGAAAACATAATAACAGCCTAAGAAGTAAAAAGTTAGTCTGTCTTACCCTTGGCCGGCGCCCCATGCCTATTTCTGGACAAGCTGGTTGGAATGAATTGTATGCAAGTCATCAGCTGATGAAGTGTGATGATGCCATTTATACCCTGCCCACGGGGAAAGCAGGTGTAAAGATAAGGGCGGAGAGAGGATAGAGAGAGAGAGAGAGTCACAGAGAGACGCAGCGGAGAGGGAGATAGTCCCAAAGTGGGAAAAGAAGAGAAGAGTACATGCTGGAGTTTCGCCACCAGGTGGGAAAGACGGGGCGGGGACAAAAAAAGATATTTCTCGATGCCTTAGTTCTAGACGCCGGGCTTCATCTCTTCTTCACGCCGGACTTTTTTTTTTTTTTTCTTCAGCCTGGCTAGATCAGTTAAAAGCAAGGAGTGAAAAAGAAGAAAAAAACACGTATGAAAAGGGGGGGATAAGTGAGAGATGCATCATTAGGGAGAAAAAGCAAGAGAGGCAAAGGCAGAGATCAGACCTGAGAGCACACCTGGATGAAGACCTCTGAAATGGCCGGTCTGGAACATCTGGGGGAGGAGGATTTCTATCTGGTGTAGACGCCGTTTACATCCTCTTCTTTTCTTTTCTTCTTCATCTTCTTGTCGGCTCAGGAAGGTTGAAAAAGGCTGCTGATCTGGACCCGACGAGTTGGGTGCTGGCGTGGGAAAGCTTGAAGGTGCGCACGTCTCCGGGTGATGGACATGGAGGGATGTCCTTGTTGTCTCCCCTTGGTATATGTTTTTTTTTTTTCAAAGATGTCCATATCACTGGCCGATGTTGACTGGCCACTTGGGGCTTTGACAGAGCCACTGAAAGCTCGATACGTGCGTAGGCCAGCCCCCCCCTTTTGCCTCTCTTTTTTCTCTTTCTCTCTATCTCTGTGTCTGAGCCAGTTCCCCCCTTAAGCTGTAGAGGAGCAGAGATATGAAAAAGAAAAGGGAGAGCATATACAACGGTGAACAGACGATTCGACCAGCGACGTGGAGCCCCCCGGGAGATGCTCTGATGGCTCTTCTAACTCGCCCTCGTATTCTTTTTTGTTATTCTACTTTTCTTTTCTTTTGCCCTTTTGGCTGGTAAGAACCGTTTCGGCCACGTTGGTACTAAAAAAAGGCCGTCCAGTCGTCTTCGTCGTCCACAAGGCCAAGGTCGGAAACCTAGTCAAATACCCTTTTTCCGGTCGAAGGAGAGAAAAGATGAAAAAAGCAAAGAAGGGGAAGATGAAAAAAGACGGGGTGTTCTAGTTGGTTGTGGTCCGGTCGAGAGCCAGGGTGCGTTGTCTCATGATAATTTTCCAGGAGGGAGAGCCGTCTGTATGATGTAAGTATGTATCTGTGTCTAGAGAGATATGTATATCACCCCTTCCTTGACTAACAGCCTGGTAAATAACAGACCACATCCTGACAGAAGTCTTAGTAGGACGCTGATATAGCGAGATGACGACCAGGGCCAACCACCAGGGCGGTCGAGTTTGATATCTTCACGCCCAGCTAGTCGAACCCGCAAGAACTCAATCTCCACGGAAGAATTTAAAAAATAAAAAAGACAAAATAAAGAAGAAAAAAGAAAGAAGAAGAGGGAGAAAAAAAAGTTCGAGGGCGCTTTTTTCGGTTTTTTTCCCCAACTTTCGTCTCTGCTGGGAGCAGGAAGTAGATGATGTTGCTGTCTTGTCTCTCTGCTGTCTCTTGCTCCCTGAACCCCCCCTGGCTGATACCGATGAAGCCTTGTTCTTGTCCTCTATGCAAGTCCCTTAGCTTCTTCAGGTTTGCCTTCTCGCGTGCTCTGTCATACCCATCTTCTTCTTTTCTTCTTCTTCTTATTTTTTATTCATACCTTTTTTTGCCTTTTGATATAGCTTGCGTCTCCAAACAAGGGTGCTATTCTCTCTTCTCTCCCCCTTGCTTTTTTCTCTCTCTCTTCTCTCTGTGTATCTCTTCATGGTGATTACTGAGAAAGAGAGAGGAAGTCCCGCCCTATTGACTTGTTTTTGCGGAGTTGCTTGCTTTTGCCGCTGACCGGACAATTCGTGACTCCTCGGTACAAGCCCGACTGCCTCGAGTCCTACCAACTAACTATATAAAAGCCAAAAAAAAAAAAAAAAAAAAAAAAAAAAAAAAAGATAAAAAAGAGATTAACCATCTTAGAGTTGGCAGAAGAAATTTCCAATGCTTACCGGGGCCGACAGGACGGTCGGGATCTTCCAGCACGTTAAATTTCATCTCATCTCGACCGCTTGACAGCTAGCCTTGCCTCTCTCGCTCTTCCTTTGGCTCTATCTTTTCTTTTTTACTTCTTCTCTTCCCTGTCTGGGCGTTTCATGCGATTCTTCATTAGCTAGCTTGCCAAGATAGGCTTCGACCTGTCTGCTGGTTATTATTATTATTGTCAAGCTTGTTGTTATATATATTTATATATCTCCCTTGCCATTCCCCGCTGGCTGGCAACCATTATATACTCCCCGTCGACCTTTTCTGATACCTTCTACCATCACATCAGCATCGTTATGAACACTTCTTCTTAGCTATAAGCTTGGTCCTGTTTACTCTCCTCTTTCTACCTTGCTTCATACATACAGCAGTTGACCGGTGTCTTCTTCCTTTCTCCCTCTCTCCCTCCTTCATAACATACTACTCTACGTCACAGACCATGGATATGGACCAGGCCTGCTTAAAGGGCATGGACAGCCCTCCTCAGTCGGCAGAGGAGAAGCCCACCAAAGATGCTGCTCAGAAGGCCAAAGGCCCTCGGAAACGGACAAAGACTGGTTGTCTGAGTGAGTTGGATCATCGTCTCTCCCTCCTTACTCCTTGCTTGTTCCATGACTGACAAGTTGGTATAGCCTGCCGTAAGAGACGCATCAAGTGCGGTGAAGAGAAGCCGAGGTGCAACAATTGCATCAAGTCCAAGAGAGAGTGCGAAGGGTACGGGCAGCGGGTCGTCTTCAGACATCCTGTCGGCCCAATTCCTCATCTCGGACCTATCCGCCAGCTTCAGGGTATGGGCGGGATGGCCGCCATGCCCATGATGGCCAGCTCGTTTGCTCATTCCATGCAGCATATCGAAGCCTCCTCGACTCGACCGGCCCTTCTACCTATCGCACCCCGTCCAACATCCTATCACACTCACCCAGAAGATGCTTCACGACATCACAGCTACTCATCTAGCTCGGATCCGTACGCCTCATCACATCACTCCGCCATCAGCCCGGATCAGCCGCCGTACACTTGGGATTCCATCTCGTACAGTGACGGCGCCTATATTCCAACTTCTTCTTCCGCATCCCAGCACTACACCACTTCCGCCTCTTCTGCCGGTTATGCGACTTCAGAGGCCCCCTATCCCCACCAGGAGTACGGATACGAGGACACCACAGCCGCCTGGGAAGATGCGGGACAGCTCCAAGCATATGAAGCGGCCGCAGTATATCAGGCCCAGCTTTCACTCCAAGTAAGATTCCCCTTTTCTATCTGCTTTTTTCTGTGCTTCCAAACATCAGAAGAGACAGAAAAAAGGACGAAAAAAAGTGGTTGAACAATCTAGCTGACAGGATAGGGATTTCATCCTCCCTCGTCGATAGTCACGCCAACACCCGAATGTATGGGCACATACCGATTCATAGTAATGTAGCACTGACTAAAAAAAGGTTTTACGTCCAGATGTTCGACGGGATCATGTTTCTACTACTACTACTACTACTACTACACTGGTGCCCAAATTGGAGTCAAAGGAGGCGCTGATTTTCCCCCATACTGATGATGCCCATGCCCTGAATAACCAACATAACGTGATGATGCACGATGTTGGAGAGGAGAGTGATGACTATTATGATGTCGAGACAGACGGAGAGCTAGAAGATCAGTATTCTGTTGCTCCGCCTTCTTCAGGTTATTATGCGGTAGAAGGCGGTTGCGGTTCTTCCGCCTACTACCATTCTGCACTTGCAGTATCTAATCCCCCATTCGCGACTTATATGAATTATGATAATTTATTGGCCACTTACCGTCCGTCTCCATTAACAAGCCCTCTTATCGACCCAGAGGTCGCCAAACTATTCTCCCATTTCATAGGCTCAATTGGCACCATTATCTCAATTTTCGAGCGCAAGAATAACATGGCTCCCCAGCTCAATTTCTCCCTTATCCCGACGGAGCAGCAGAGCCTGTTTACTTATACCTTGCCTACCATGGCCTTGGAGAATCACGGCCTCCTACACTCGCTGCTCGCACTGAGCAGTGCCCATCTCGCGAATACTACAGGCCAGTCGTCTTCTGCCGCCTTTAGACACTACCATTTTGCTCTACGGCGAGTAAGCAAGGCGGTCGGCCTCCCGCATAGGAGGAAGCAGATTCCTACTCTCGCCGCCACTTTGCTGCTTGGGTTCTTCGAAGTCATGGCCGCAGAGCACTCGAAGTGGTGTAGTCATGTTGCTGGAGCATCGCAATTGATACAGGAGATTGATTTTACAAGTATGACGAGGCGCATCCGCGCGATGAGAGCGACGGCGAGGAAGCAGAAGTTGGTTGCTGGTGAGAAATCGTGGACTCGCGCAGGCGACTTTCGTCTTGATACCTTCTTCGAGAATGATATCTACGCGCCAATAGAGAGGGAGATTGATGTTGACCTGATAAGCATGATTATCGGGAGAAAGGCAAATTACGACGGCCATGTCAACAGCAACGATACACCTTACGGACCAGAACAGGGTCTTACTGCAAAGGATATAGAGGACCATAGGATACGGACGGACCTCTACTGGCATTACTGCAAGCAGGATCTGTTCCAGAGCATTATCAGTGGAAATCCTTTGCTGTACGTTCTGCACCACCTTCTTTTTTGTCACTAGCAACAAACTTGCTAACTGCTGCCGTTATCTAGGTTACCGTACGATAAATGGGCCCAAACTCCACCGCGTTCAGCTGTTGGAAGGATACAGACAGCCTATGGCACGATGGATCATCTTCTCCTCCTACTTGCTCGCATCTCCGCCTTTGGCGTAAAGGACAGGAAGCGAAAACTCAAGGTTATGGAAGTAAACGGGGGAGAATGGCGACCGCCCCCGAACATGTTCCCTCCTGGCAAGGGCGGCGGAGGAAGGCATCCTCCACCTGGTGCTGCTGGTGCTGCGACTACTGGTGGACCGCCCCGGGGTGCCCCTGGCGGCCCGCCCAAACACGCCCAACAGACAAATCGGGATAAGAGCCCGCCCATGTATGGCATGCTGCCGGCTGGACCAGTCAAGCTACTGTCTGGCTTCGCAGACCCGTCAAACTATCAGGCTGCGCCATCACCTAGTAGCACCGACGAGAGTGATCTAGACGCCCGCACTGCAGAGGCAGAAGCAGAGTGGCAAGATATTCTAGCTGCATGCGAGTGCTTTGAACAGGCCATGGGTCCGTCTTTTGCCCCATTGCCCTCGGACGGAGCACCTTTGATCACGAGTCCGTTTGGCCCTGCATTACAATACCGGACACACATCATTGGCTGCATCTGGGGCCTCTATTATACAGGCCGCATCATCCTCCATCGATTTCACCCATCCATGCCTCCAGCAGCCACCATGGCCGCCGTCGTGGCCGCCCCTAGAACTGCCGCGTACGCGCAAAACATCGGTCGAATAGCTGCCGGGATCCCGTACGACCAACAGCGCTTCACCTCTTCCTCCTCCTTTGCTGGTGCTGGTGCCAGCTCCAACCTAAACGTTACCATCGCTGGGGTCCTGAACGAACTTACCGTCTGCCTCTTCTTCGCGGCCGTGCAGTACGTCGACCCTGCGCAGAGGGCCTGGACCGTGGCGATGTTACGTGACATATCGAATATAACTGGCGGCAAGTCTCCTATCGCTATCGCTCGTGGCTGTGAGACGTCCTGGATCAAGGCGTTTGAGGCTGGTCGAGGCCCGCCTCACCAACGACTTGTTTTCGACTTTGATCCAAACATTTGCTATAGCCATGAGGGAACTGTTCCAGACCATGGCGATGATAGACGCTGGATCGCCGTGCATCGCGGGAGCTCGATCTCTTGGGCGATGGGGCTGTTGTCGATTGACGGCGATTATTCTGCATCTGAGGATAGTCCTCCTGCTCATTCCGGTTCCTCTGCATAAACATGCTACTTTAGTCCCTTTCTTTACCTCCCCTCTCACTAGTTAATCACGATAACGACATGATGATTATTTATGATGGATCTTTTTTTTTTTTTTTTTTTTTTTTTGTTTCATGTACACGGGATACGGAGTTATTTTCTTTCCAGGTGTGATGTACTATTGTAACCCTAATGTTTTTTGAAGCCTTGAATATTTATTTCTCATTTCCTTGGTTATAGCATGATTCTTTAATCCTGTTTATTCCTTTCATACATTCGGTAGTAAGAGTATCATAATGCTTCAGAGACCTTTTTAAAGAATAATTAATGGACATATACCTCATTCCATTGGTCGTAACTGCGTCGAGGAATACCAGCTACACTCTCCATCGATTGGTCTGGGTCTCCTAGATCAGATACCCAATTGCACCGTCAAGGTTGCCGTCGGCCGCATCAAGGGCCTGTATAGCTTCATCTCGAGTGAATCCTAGATCTGTTATCTTTGCAATAGCGTCAGCTGGCCAACGGGAAGGTCGCTGCGGAGGGGTATTAGACGTCGGCGGCGGGACAGTGGCGGCAACAGATGGACGTGGCGGAGCGGACGGTGCAGGTCTCGGTACTGGTCTTGGTAGGTGTCTCGGCATGGTCAACCCCCCAGCCGCCTGCTGCACGGCACCAGTCCTCCCTCCGACAACAGCTCCATCTCGTCCCATGACCATTGGCTCGTTTTCAAATTCATCTTGATGCTTGGGTATATCAGCTTCGTGTAGGAAAGGGACTGTCTCATCACGGATTTTCAGTACGCCTTCCTTCAGGTCAATGCATGCTTGGTGACGCTTAAGCATGTCTAAGCCTAGTAAGAGGTCGATGTGCTTTCCGTCCATCACCGTGAAAGAACAAGGGAGAAACATGTCGCCGATTTTGATTTCGGCGCAGTGGACACGCCCTAGGATACTGGCTGTGCCTACACCCTTTGCAATACCCCCATATCGTCGATCAATTAATCGCATGATATTGCAGGCCGAAGCACATTCGGGTGACATTATGGTGACTTGTGCACCAGAGTCAACGAATGCCTTCACTTTGTGCCCATTCACCTCTACAGGGATATACAGCATAGATACTCGACCAAATGCTAAATTGATAGGAGTTGGCCTTGTTAGAAGTAGATTTGAAGTTGTGGGGATGTGCATTCAACGACATACCTTCTGGAGTGTGTTCCATGGCAGTGTGTAGGTTCTCCGTAACAGCATTCTGACGAATGATCTCTTCGATCTCTCGCTGTGCATCGAGATTGAATGGATCTGCATTCAACATAGCTATTCTGGCTTCCTTTGCAGCTTCAGCCTGTGCCTCAGCACGACGATGGGAGAGCATTATCTGCCTAAACCGCTGCGGATCATTTATTGCCGAAGCAAGGTGTGGGTTCTGCTGTCTAACTGCCGCCAGAGCCCGTGGATCACCCAACATATGCAGTCGTATAGTCTCTGGGTCTGGTATCGCCTGTGACCCGCGTGAGGACTCACCGTGTTGTGGCGCACCTCCAGCACCTCCCCCTGCCGCCGCAGAATGTGAAGAATTAACCTGGCCTGGACCAGAGCCTGGTGTTGGCACTTGTATACGCATACCCAGCATATCGCCTTCACTTATGCCTATCTGTCCTAGCGGCTTGGAGTCGTCTGTCAAGGGCTGGTTATTGTGGGAGAGGTACTGTGACTGCGGGGGAATCTGGATATCGCTTTGTATGACAGCCTTGAGGTCTGCCAGCGTCATGTCTTCACCGACATCGAGGGTGACGATATCTGAGCTGACGGCGACATTGGACGCGACGACAGACACTGTGATGCGCCTTGTCTCTGTTAGTATGGGGAAACCCTGCAAGGTAGGAGTGACATACATCTTGCAGCTCTCAGTAGAAGAATAACTCGAGATATATGTGCTGTATGTAATAAGCTGTGCGGGAAGTTCTGAGAGCTTTGTATCTCGTTCTTTGGTGGAAGGTCTTCTCTTCTTGTCTTTGGTGGTGGACGAAGCGTAGCAAGAGGGAAAACGTCAAGGCTTCCAAGCAATGACGCAGGCGGCTCTTCTTCTTTCTCTCTCTCTCTCTCGACTAACCCGCCAACAAGCCGAGAACTCGACCTGGCTTCTATCGACTCTTGACGTGATTGATAGTGAAAAAACGAGGTATCTGAGGTGCTGTTGGCTGGCTGTGATGAAAAAGAAGGGTGGGAGCACAAGACAGAAACAGGCAGACTTCGGTTTGAGAGGCTGCGGCTAGGGAAACCTGGAGTATTAATGGCAAGAACCCAAGCTCCCCCCCCAGAGGAGAAGGGGATGTTGTTTATATATTATATATTATATATTATTTTTTTTTTTTAAACAATCATGCTAACTCTATCTAAAAGGTCAGACGAAGGACGAGACCCGGGACAAATCCACCGAAGCAACGGGAAGGCAGCAGAAGCAGAGCCGTGAATTAGTAACGGTTCGCGCCCATCCATGCACACCGATTCAAATTGATTGCTTCCTGCGTCTTGCCTGCGCTGCAAGGGCGCCTTTTTCCCCCTTCGTCTACCTTTCCGGTGTTCGTTTTTACAATCGGATTCAAATGCAGCCAGGTTTTATTGGCCGGGGAGGTGAAACTTGAAGCATGTACCCGTTTGTATAAATACAAGGCGCCGTTGGAGTAACGTTGCGCCCCCTCTAAGATGCAGGTAAACGATTTCAACCTCCCTTTCTCTCTCCCATTTTCTTCCTTTCCCGCTTCTTGGTGCAGGAAGCGGTCCGAGATGTTGCATAACTACAGGATATGATGCGCCTCCCGTCATGTTGCAAGATGGGAATGACAGGGATGGACAGCGTTTGTTCTACTGCAGCTGAGAGATATCTCTCACCGTTACTCTATGCAGTGACACTATTCACTATTGGATAGGGGGGGAAAGGGGGGAGATTTCGTTCTCTTTCTCCTCCCACCCTTGTCCTGGTTCAGTGGTACATATCACTGTGAGTACGGAGCACTTCAGTACCATACCTCTTCGTGGAGTCCAAAAAGCGGACGACGAAGGAAGAGGGGAGGCCAACAGCGCTGGCATCCTTTGCAACTAACTATAACTACCTAGGGCTTATCAAGCTTCCCTGTATATATAGCCACTGGCGCTCTCACGAAACCCGATCACCGCAGGGTGGAGTTTCTCGAGGCCTAGATACACACTATCTGTACATACTCGCAGGGGAGGTTGCTCCATGAAGCCGTCCTGTTGGGCCTCTGGCTATTAGCTACTAGTTTCTTCCAGGATGGCCGGCTGCAGAGACTCTCGAGTGACCTATCCGGGCGACTTCCGTTTGGCCTTATTGATAATAATTGGTATCATCCCGAGGGCGTGATGCTCTTGTCCAGCTACGCCTCACCTTTTGTTTGCAGAAATACTTGCTGGCTCAAGGGTTCGAGAGAATACCTTGATAGTTGAGTACCCGTAGAATACTCCTCGTGGCATTGCAGAGTAATACATGACTGTCCAGGCTCAACTAATATATACATACATTGATTATACTTGCATCTCCGGCAAACTCCTGCATGTAATCAAAGTATCTTCCATGTACTCACGCCAAGTATTAAATTATAACTTCGAGACTGCGCCGCGAGTGAAAAACTTAGGATGCAGAACTTCGTTTCTTCGCTTTTTTCCCCTTCAGCACATAGAAAAAAAAAACCAACCGCCAGCGCCGCCAGCCTCACCGTCAACGAGCCAGCAAGTCTCTTCCTCCGTCCTCGAGCATTTCCCCTCTGGCCTCCTTTTTTTCTTATCAAGTTGTCCCGCAGTTAGACCCGGTGCCTCCAGACGCCACAGTTTCTTTTTTGCGCAGTCGATCGATCACCCCTCCAACCTATCCTCGACCAGCACGACGTCCAAGGAACAGTTCTGTGGAATTGCAAATAATAATTACGTCTTTAAAGGTAGAAATTCTATGCGCTGTTGCCTGGGGATGCCCTTTTTGCGTTCCCCTTTTGTCTCTATTCGGAGTTTTCCGATTCCTTTGCCATGACTTCATCCGCCCAGGATAATATGGCAAACTCCACACTCCGTCCACCAGCTGCCCTTGAGGCCTGGTGAACCGTCTATTGCTGTAGAAAGAAAGGGGAGAAGGAGAAATGCTTTAATGGTGTTTGTTCGTCTCTTTGTTGTCTATTTTCACTCTCCTTGTCTTTGCCTGCTCTGCTAGCCTTACAATATACGCACTTTCAAATTAAGCGCTTGTCTTGCTATTCTGTTATTATGCTGTCTCTGCAAGCCATGCTAACCGCCTTAAAATGAAAAACTAGTATCCGCAGACTGTAAGGAGAGAGAGAGAGAAAACAACATATTGTATAACCCTGGAAATAGTTGATACTCTATTATTCTCTTTCCCCTGGACCCGCTATCATGGCAGAAGGCACTTCCATATCTGCATCCCCGGTCGACGAAACACACGATACCAGCCCCCCTGCCTTCCACTCCATTCATCTAAACGACGTCTCAGGCCTCACAGGTCGGCCTACACCGCTGCCACAGAAACTCTGGATTAAACACCGACCTGATCTCCTTAACGGTAATGTGCTAGATGAAGACGAGGACGAGGACGAGGACGATGATGAAGACGATGATGATGTCGAAGACATATACCCAACGGCAGGTGGTGTCTTTAACACGGAAGAAGACGATTTTGTAGCCGTTGACCATTCAGATGCTTCGGATTATCCTTGGTATATGCGGTCCCGGGCACCTGCAAGGAAGTCGGAGCTAGATAAACTCCACCCGTACGTGCAGCTCCTCTCAGTGTCGGATGTTGAAGGCTGCGAGAAGGTTGAGTTAGCATTCCCAGAGCCCGAGAGGTGCTCAAAGGAAAAGGTACGTGCCGTCTCCCTCCAGCCAGTTCTTTCCAAAATTCATCTAACCGGAATAGTTAATCTACCGCCTTTCGAAATGCCCCGAACTTTCTCTCGGGATCTTTTCCATCCCACTAGCAACTCCTGGCAATAATAAACCAAAGGCGGTTCTTCTTGCACACATCCTGGCCACGAGGACAACCTCTCCTGTGATAACCAATGCGACCATGGAGATCCCCAAGGACTGGAGAAATAAGAAATCTGCCCTACCAAGGTCTAGTGATGAGGAGCCTATAGGCCACCAGGACGAGGGCTCAACCATAGCCATTCACTCGCTCGCTGTCCTCCCTGAGCATCAGGATAAGGGTCTTGGCAAATTGCTGATAAAATCATATATTCAGCGGATCCAGGATGCTAAGATTGCGGATCGTCTCGTTCTGTTAGCCCACGACCACCTTCTTCCGTTTTATACAAGTCTTGGATTCGAGAACATTGGGCGTAGTAAATGCACCTTTGGCGGTGGTGGTTGGAATGATCTGGTACATCCCCTCTTCCTCTGTATCATTAAAGTTCACGGGACATACTGACTTTCAATCTAAATAGGTCCTCGACTTCAACAAAATTAAATGAGCTCTACGCACGCTAAAGCTTCTAAACACAATTGCTCTTTTATTCTTGTCTATAGGTTCCTTGTGCGATGGAGAATATGCGACTCACTCTTGCATGAGGCTGGCTTTTGCGGTATTTGAATTATGGCCTGTCAGTTGGTATGAATACATCATTAACTATATCAGCTTTATAAAAAACTAATTCTTGGCGACGGTGTCCCAGAGACGGTTGGAAAAGCATTATTGGTATAACGAACGCGGTGACGAGGTGGGTATTTAAGGACGGGCCGAATCTGTATTATAGCAATAGCAATGTTACATTCTTATGCTTCAGGAACGCCGCTTGACGAGATGTTTTGGTTGTTAAGATTGAGAGCCCGCTTGACAGTTGTTATTCCCCCCCCTTCAGTCTGTTAAACGTCTTCCTCTCTTGTTTACCATGGTATCCAGGCTTCTTCGAATTGTTCCAGCCGCCTGGCCAGCTTCCTGCTTTCTTTTTGATGCTGATAATACTGGAAACACGGGGCTAGAATGGTTATCGTTATTGACACATGTCTCAGCTATACAATTACAAAGGCTTTGCCTATCTCTGTTCGGTCCCATATGAGGAATTCTCAACCGTTCTACTAGCTTTTGAGAGTCTTTCAAAGCACAATTCCTCTTTAGAATAAAGAGACATCTAGGCCCTTCGCATCATCTAGATGCTAATATTCCTTACACGTATTAATATCCGTCCTTAGCTCCTCTCCAGTATAGAATTTGATAGGGCTCACTTCACCCCTATCCCTAAAGATAATACAACCCGTCATCTACCAAAGCCGGACTTCGACGGTTGTAGGTCAAACCACTGATTCGCCTAGCCTTAAAATTGTAATAAAAGCTGACATCCCACATATATATCCTTACAATTTCGTTGTTTCTGTTGCTAGACTGGAAGAGTTTCCATGTTTCTTAGTACTCACCAGGTAGATAGACAGCATCCACACGTCCAAGGTGTGGAAGGCACTGCATTGCTAAATAAATGCCACACTTTACCAAGATAAATAAGGGGAAAAGTTGCTATGAGAAATAGTGGCAGGCTTTTTGCGCGGGCGTCTTTGGAATATAATAACGGGGTGATTCGAGCCTGTGAGGTTGTTAAGGCCAGTAACAGGCTTGTCATCCTGGAGAGCTGTACAAAGTATTGTTGGCTTTCATATTTCGATGATATCTCTCTTTCCACTTTCTACCCTGTTGTCACACTGCCTCAACATCTATTGGTATACTCCAGAGCTCTCTTTACACGTAATACCTTGCTGTATAGACAAGGGGAAGAGTTCAGAGTTTCCTAAGAGATGTTTTTATAGAGTAGAAATGGAAGTCGTCAGATTGACCAATGAGAAGCTACCTCGCACTTTAAGATTCCTGATTATATAATATAAAAGAATTACAATAACCCACTTATCGATAAGATCACGTGATTGCTTATAACTGCCACTTATTCTTGCCAAGACCTCGGGAAAAGCTTCCACTTCTGGCTGCAAAATCTCGAAAAAAAAAAGTTTCCCACCTTGATAAAGAAATTTTGATTTCCAGAGAAACAGAATCATCTCGAGCTCCGACCGTAGATTAAAACCAAGGTACGATTCCTTGAACTCGCCATGAAGACCACCTGGAAGGATGTAAGTGATATACTTCATTGCAATTATCGGTTCAAAGACTGTGCGGTTAAATTTGACTGGGCGAGGGATTCATTATATCTAACTGTGTGCGCTCGAATAGATCCAACCGGTGCCGACGCATCAGGAGTTCCTCGATATCGTATTGAGTCGAACGCAAAGACGTTTGCCGACGCAGATTCGTGCTGGATTCAAGATCAGTCGAATCAGGGGTATGCTTCCTTCGGTCTATCTATACAGACTGACGGGTGTCCAGTTTGGCTAATGAAATATGATTTTATAGCCTTCTACACGCGAAAGGTCAAATTCACGTCTGAGACTTTTTGTGAGAAATTCTCGGCAATTCTCGATGGCTTCCCTAGGTTACAGGATATTCATCCATTCCGTAAGAATTCCCTCCTTCGAATTAGCGGGGTGTTTGGCCGTTTTTTATTCTTTTTTCCCCCTTGGGACAATGGGCTGATAATTTATTTCTATTCCAGATAAGGACCTACTAAATACGCTTTATGATGCCGACCACTTTAGGATTGCGCTTGGTCAACTGTCGACGGCGAAGCGCTTGGTTGAAACCGTTTCTCGGGATTATGTACGCCTACTTAAATATGCACAATCACTTTTCCAGTGCAAGCAATTGAAGAGAGCCGCCCTTGGCCGTATGGCAACTATATGCAAACGTTTAAAAGATCCACTACTCTACCTCGAGCAAGTACGTCAACATTTAGGCCGTCTTCCATCCATCGATCCCAACACCCGAACCCTGCTCATCTGCGGATATCCAAATGTGGGTAAATCCAGCTTCTTGCGGAGCGTGACCAAGGCAGATGTCGACGTCCAGCCATATGCTTTCACTACCAAGAGTTTGTTCGTTGGGCATTTTGACTACAAATATCTCCGATTCCAGGCCATAGATACCCCAGGAATTCTGGACCACCCCCTTGAGGAGATGAACACTATCGAAATGCAGTCGATTACAGCAATTGCGCATTTGAGATCCGCCATTCTCTACTTTATGGACCTTTCCGAGCAGTGTGGATACTCAGTTATCGATCAGCTTAAGCTCTTCAACAGCATCAAGCCACTTTTTTCGAACAAACTCGTTTTCATCGTTATTAACAAGATTGATGTGATGCGCCCTGAAGATCTTGATCCCGAGACTCAGGAACAGTTACAGGCTGTTCTGAAATCATCTGGTGTGGAGATGTTGCAGCTTTCGTGCGCCACAACGGAGGGGGTGACCGCGGTGAAAAATGCGGCTTGCGACAGACTAATTGCGGAACGAGTTGCTCAGAAGCTGAACACCGGTGCGAACAGCTCGGGAACTCCCACAGGGCGACTTGGTGATGTTTTGGCTCGTATTCACGTCGCCCAACCTATAGGTGGAGTGCGCGAAACTTTCATTCCAGAAGCCGTGAAATCTCTTAAGAAATATGATAAAAACGACCCCAACAGACGTAAACTCGCAAGGGACATTGAGGAAGAGAACGGCGGTGCTGGTGTTTATAGCTTTGATCTCAAGGAAGGCTATCTACTCGCCAATGACGAGTGGAAACATGATAAGATGCCTGAATTGTGGGAAGGAAAGAATATCTATGACTACGTCGATCCTGATATTGAGGAGAAATTGGCTCAGCTGGAAGAAGAGGAAGAGAAATTAGAGGCAGAAGGATACTATGACTCCGATGAGTCTGTTGAAGACGCTGACGAAGCTGAGATCCGTATGAAAGCTGATTTGATCCGAGAAAAACGGGCTCTGATCATGAATGAATCGAAGATGAGGAAGTCCCTTAAGAACCGTGCATTAATTCCTCGAAGTGCAAGGAGCAAGAAACTGTCGGATATGGAGAAACACCTCGACTCGATTGGTTACGATGCAAACGCTTCTTCTGCGCGTGCCAAAGCTCAACCGCAGTCTCGTGGCCGGACCGCGACCAGAGATGAGCCGGATGCTATGGATGTTGATACTCCAGAATCTCAGCACGATGCACTTCGACGAGCCGTCAGTCGTGCACGAAGTCAGGCAGCCACTAACCGTCGTGTAGACGGTGTTACCAGCCTTACCAGCAGGTCCAACGCTGAGAAACTCATGAAACTTGGTCAAAAGAAAATGAATCGCATGGCCAGACAGGGTGAAGCAGACAGACACACTCCAGCATCCCTACCCAAACACTTGGTATGTAATTTTTTCTATTCCTTACCTGTAGTATTACTAACTATTTTCTCTTGTATTAGTTCTCCGGTAAGCGTTCCATTGGCAAGACCCAACGACGTTAAGGAATGTCAAGTCGATACCATTTCATTTCAGGGTTTATATTTATCGTTTAATGCCTTGTTTTCCATGACGAAATGACAGTGCCTGTTTCCTTGGAGAACCTCTTGGAGTTAGAGGTGTTATGGCTTTGATTTCCTTATTTTCTATAGAAGGGTAATGAGTGATCTTATCGAAGGAAAAGTTTGTCCTATCCTCGGTTGCAAATGCAATGCATTATATAAATAGTTCTTCCCGTTGTACAACTAGCAAGGGCTTAAAATTGGGACCTTGGTATTAGAGTTTCGCTGACTAACCACTGCTCTTTGGCCGCATGACATAACATCTCTCACCAACCCCATCTTTTCCCAGCTCCAGCTCAAACATCATCACACAAGAGCAAGGCCGTACCTACATAGCACAAACCACTCTCATTACCTATTTCTACCCGACAAGGGAGCAGTTGTATATTATCTATTCATATACTGTACAGTGTCCTTTCAGCAGTCGTCCAGCTTTTGACTTCCAAAGAGATATCGTCATCATGCGGTTCTCATCCACCGCTATCATTGCTTCCCTGCTTTCTTCTCTCGCTCTATCCGCTCCGTCTTCGTCTTTCCCCGATACCTTCTTGCAGGTACCGTTTGATACAGAGCCAGGCCTTAGCGTCCCCGGAGATAACCCCCTAACTTACTGCGCTGATCCAACGGCGGACATTCTAACCATCGAACGGGTAGATTTGACGCCAAACCCTCCTATCCCGTAAGTGTTGACTAGATTATCACATTTTCCCAAGCGAAAAACTTGTCTGCATATATGCCTGTATTCATCGCTAACATATGGAATATAATAGCGGCAAACCTCTTAAGATCAAAGCGTCCGGCATCTTTTCCAAGCCGGTTGAAAAGGGTGCCACTGTCCAACTGCAGGTCACATACGGCTTTCTTCAGCTAATCAACGAAAACATGGATCTATGTGACCAGACTGGGAAGGTTGGGTTAGATTGTCCATTAGAAAAGGGCAAGACGGTACTTAGCAAGACTGTGGATATTCCTCCCCAGGTCCCTCCAGTGAGTTCACCTTTCTGACCCTTCAGCCTTATCGGATGGCTAATTCGTATCCTGCTTAACATAGGGCAAGTACATCGTCAGAGCAGACGTTCAGACTGCAAACAAGGAGCCAGTTACCTGCCTCACAGCCACGGTTAGCTTCAAGGTAGAGATATAAGGCGAGATCATTGGCCTTCATCCAATACCGTCGCCTGTCAAAACATTATGACCCCCTCCATTCGTGATTTGGATAACTGGCCATGCGTCAAAAAATGGGCAAGGCTCACTGATTCGATAAGAGACCTAGACGGACTAATTTGGTACAATACGATGTAGTATGAATCGAGGGGTGACTTTTTGGGTTCTTTCTTTCTATGCTCGTTTCCACACACTTTATTGGTCCGGCGAGCCTAGTTCGTACAAACTAGCCCATTTATCTGATGATCAGGATATCCTCTCTTACATATGCCTCTTTTAAAGGGACGCTAGCGTTTGTTTTGTTAACTTTTGGGTTTCTTTGCTGTATATCCACCTTGTTCTAGCGTATTTTGATCATGTTCTCTGTTGATTTCCTACTTCATTGATGTTTAGTTCGGTTCTTGCTTTCAGAAACAAATAGACGACAATAATATGAGAGAGAAATATAATGAGTCCCATCTCTTGTAGCTCTCATGCTTATTGCAACCATTGAGCTATGATAGCAAAAATAACTATCTTAAATAGATCTGTAACTTCTGGCTCTATACTATCATGAACTATCACCGAAATAACAAAAAAAAGATCAGAAAAAAAAAAGCATCTTCTCTTGTGCCAAACATAACTATTACTCGCCAAACAGCCTTCTCACACGTCGTAATACACTATCCTTCTCTGGGTCATACGGATGATCCTTGCTTGGAATCTCAAGGACTGCTGGGAAAGCCTCAGTGAAGCTGTCCACGCTATTGCGTATCCTTTCAGCGACCTGTTGAGTATAATAGTACCCTTAGTAGGCTATCCCAATTTTAATAATGGTGAAGAGGGGTACGTACGTGTTGATTTATGAGTAGGACGCCGATATCCTTTCTTTCCTGTGTAAAGTTTTTGAATGCCTTTTCAATCGCACTCGTCTCGGTCTTGGAGTCGACGACAAGGAAATTGCGCTGGGAGTCTGGGGGGTCGGTTACGTGCTGGTTAACTCAAGTCAGTCTTGATTATCGAACAATATAGCACTCTCAATCAAGTCTGCAAAGGGAGGGATGTTGATTGACTCCCCCAATGTACTTACACCTATGCCAGCAAGTAGAAGTCCAGTCACAGAACTATATCAGACATCACGGTTAGTAAAGCCCTCCCGTGTAGGTAGGTGTTTTTAGCCAACACTAGGTGGGATCCCGGGATCATACTCTTCATCTCCAATCACGGCAAGGAATTGTCTGTCCTAGATATAACGAAACAAGATATCAGTATCAGGGCTATAAGGGTTCAACATGGCGTTGCAGCGTACCTTGGAGCCCGAAGCCATATTGTTTTCAGAAACCCAAAAGCCAGAAAAGAATAATTCACCACGGCCTCCAGCAGTGACCAGATAGAGTTTCAAGCAGAGGATAGATTCCCGCAAACAGTACACCTCCTTCGCAAAATGGACGAGTAAACAGTCGACAACTTCGTGTCTCTCGTTTCTCAAGCTGCAGAATCTCTTGAAGCTGCTTATCAGATGCACATGATCTCATATGGTTTATGTAATACAACTTCTGCCTTACTGGAGTATTTTAGTCACGTGACAAAGTTACGTTAGCAGTTAGTATCTTAATTGGACATAGTACGTTAGTTCGTCTATACGGAGTACTTATTTCTCTTATAGCGTATTAGTAAGGCTAGAAAGAAAGTGTTGAGACCGGGTGTTTGAGGCCGTTGGAAGTACGTTGATAGCTGGCACATTAGTATACATAATCCGCCATAATGTGTCAGGTGACTACTGAATAAGTTAATATTACATCAGCAAAAAGCTTTGACGTAAACAAAACATCTGAATAAACCATGAAAAGCAGCAGACGTTGAACACCAACTTCAACGCTCTGGTGTTTGCGCTTTGGAGTTTTGGATGAAGAGTGAACTGGGTTGGAACAAAGCTGCAGAGAGACCATGAACCGAAGCTAGAAGTTCCAATAAACAGCAGCCGCCTCCTTTCCAGCACCAACAGAGGCACTGAATTCATTGAGTCCACCACTCACGATGCCTCCTCTTATTCGACGAAGGCCGCTTCTCGAGCGTATTAAAGCCTATCTGAATCCTCTTGATTTTCTATTATGGCTATCGGAGGAGCTTGATTCTAGTGATTGGGACCAATGGGAGAAAGAGTGGGCGTTGCCTGTTGGGATTGCATTGAACTTTCTCTTCCTTGTCGCGCGTGCGAATAGCCAGAAGGGAAGTCGGGCTCATGACGATATTTTCGGAGACGACAGAGGCGGAAGCTATATTTCATGGCTGGTATGTTGGAATTTCTTGGTGGAATGCCGGAAGAGATCTTATGCTGACAGCTATTTCGGCCTTACAGGCATCGTTCGTTGTCCATGCGCTAGCACTTCTTTCAATCTCGAATGCACTATATGCCTTTTGTCGAAAACGCCCCTACCGGCTGTTTGAAGTTCCTATCGATAACGTACCTTCAACACCATCTGCCAAACGAGTCCAGGTGAATTCTTCGCCGGCAGCATCCACTCCTCTGCGCTTTATATCCAACGTCTTGTCCGTCAGCTCGGCAGAGAACAGGGCTCACCCTGATGCGCACCGTGATGTATGGCAGGTCTCAGTCTGGGATCCACATCCTCTTGCCATTCGATTGTTTTGCTTGTTTAGTCCTGGCCACATTCTAGTCTATTGGTTATTTCTACCTACTCTATCCACGGACCCCAGGCCTAGCGTAACAATAGTGACGACTATATTTCTAGCCGTGTTGCTGACCGCACAGATGTCTGCACTTTCAGCTTCGTACTCTCAGCAAGCTAAAGACTCAGCATTGGTTCATAAGGAGGTTCTGAATGAGTACGATATAAAATTTGTTCACCCAAGGACAGAGCCAGACATGCGCGACGTCGCAACCCAATTCTCGGAGGCACATTCATATATTCAGCATAAAGATGAAAAGTACAACGTGGTAGAGACACATACACCAACTGCCTCACAGCACGCCTTTAAGATTCGTCCAAATCCCAACTATGTTCATCACGTCAATCCTGATTACCGTATCAAAAAACGATCACAAGTAACTCCTCGGGCATCACTATCAACACCTCGAATTACATCAACTGGTTCCATACAGCGAGTGTCTGATACCCAAACACCCCCTCACGCTACAGATGTGTTCTCACCAATCACCAAGCAAAGCGGAGCGATGCGCCAACCGCAATTTCGGCCTACTTCAGGGACTGGTGACGGAGGAAGCCTTGGAGTATATTCCCATGCTCAATCCCCCCTACGAAAGGCAACGACGCCACATTTTGACAGAAGGCAAAGTTCTACCTACCGAGGCTCCGATGACACACGTAGCCCAAGACAAATACCAAGCAGCCCGATCAAGCGTTCAAGTGTTGCTGGAGATATGAATTCTATGCTATCATCCCACAGGCGAGCTCGGTTAGCGAACGATCTCACCCCTAGAAGAGAAAGTGGACGGTTTTGATTACAGTCCTGCTTTCGATGATATCTTTTAACTTGTTTACAATGAACTCATATTTGTACTACAGCCCCCTTTTTAGCATTTGCAGCTGTATCCAGCCAGCGATACCATCATGCATGCATTTTCACCGTGTTACTCCTTCTAGCACATTCCGCGGCTCTTTCTCGTCGTTTGTATTTGTATTTGTATTTGTTTATTATACCCATCGTGCTTTCTTTCTATAAAGGTAACGCAACCTCCATAAAAGCAAGTCTTTTTTGATTCATCTCAACGTTTGATGCTTCGAGCTGCTTTTCCTCATGAATAGCAGCAAAAAGTCTATCGTTCTCCCCCCAATGATACACATACAAGTGTCTCGCATTCTCCAAGTCAATTTATATTTCGTGAATTACTTATTATTACCTTTTAGCGGATTCCCCCCTTTCGGTCACAATGCCTTTATCACCGTCGTCCGCCTCAGGTCCTAGCACCGCTTTGCCACCCACAGATGCTTGTCCAGATAAAGTGGGAGGAAAATCCGGCCTAACGAAGTCTATACGGTCATCGTCTTGGTCGACATGGCTTTCAGCGTCAATTTTCCATACCTCGGAGGCACAGGATAACCCTATTTCAAAAGTTGAGGGACAATATAACGAGCCTGTAGCCAACCCAGAGCTAGGTGGTGAAACAGGTACAAATCAGGAAAAGGACCTTCACAAGTCTGTTCAGAGTGATGAGCATAAGAAGTTCGTTACGATCGATGAGCCTATTGAGGAGACAGGAAACGGAACAGAAAGTGATACGCACAGTGATACTGGGACCGTCAGGAGACCCAAAATTCCTGGAAGCAATATACCACCTAAATTTCTTCTATCACCAGAGTCGCTGGATAACCATCGATCCCTATCACTTAATGATATTGATCGCTTGCCACAGGAATATCAGCTTGAAAGTCATACCTCTCGTCGTCCTAATAATAGAGAGCCAGAGGATCGTACACGACAGGCTCCAGGCCCAAGGAGAACTTCTCGGACTGTTAGCCGTGATGACTGCCTTAAGGCTCGCGGCGCGAACCCACGAACTGGAGTTGTTAGCCCTGCTTTAACGGATGAAAGCTGCTCGGATGGTCTAGGAGCTCAGGTAGAAAACCTTGGCAGCCTTATGAACAATCAGAAATGGCGTCTCAAAGGAGACCAGTGGATCAGCCTTGATGCTTCAGAGAGGACACCGTTACCCACGCCCTCTACTGATGCAGGTATGAATAGATCTCTTTTTATTAGCTCTCGAGATCAGGCACAAGCTCATGTGGCCTCTCTACTAGATGCCGGCGTGCCACTTAAAAGCCTTGAAGATCGATTTGTTGTCAATATGCCGTCTGCTAGAGAGCCATGTCCGCCAACTATGACTCCTCAGCAGATTGCTGACTTCCAACAAGCTTGCAATCGATTTTATCGCTATGATAATGATATGGTTGACCCTGAAAGAGCACCAAGTCCTCGACCTATGACTCCCGAGGGCCCTAGCACTCCTCCAAAAAAGTTGTACAAGATTCGTGAAGCGCTTCTACAAAGTACGGGGCCGTTTGAGAGAGGCCACAAGAGAGAAAGGCCCCCGGTTCATCCTTACAATCCACACCCCCAAAGTAGATCACGCCAGTGGAGGCATAGCTCCGCTCCTCCTACGGACCGACCGCGCCACGGACAGAGAGAACAGACAAATAAATCTTTTTTAGACGGTGGACGGGTTTGTGGAAGAGAGGACAGGCTCCCGGCCCCTCAGAAGATGAGGCGGTACCCTCCTGCCACGGATCTATACAGGCCAACTGGTCACTACGGACAACGAGGGCCTCAGGAGATTCCGTACCGGAACCATCGTGGCCCTGGCATGCCGAGCTATCCTCAAGACCTTCACCCCCGCTTCCGGAGCAGTGGACCAGCCCGAAGACAAAACTTCGACGGCGTTCAAGACAGAAGGGTATCCAGAGACATCTACTTCGAACCTCAAAGCCATGCAAGGCAAACAATTCAGCTCGGACCCTCAGACGGAGACGACCTACTTGCTACCATTACCACTACCACTACCACATCCACAGTCACCCCCATCCGACTGAACCCAAGCGATATGGACAGCTACTTTACCCCAACCGAGGTTACGAGCCAGAAAAGCTCCCCTGGACAATCGCAAAGAGCATCTGGAGAAAGCATCGCTACTACAGCTACCAAGACGGGGAATGTAGGAAGTGCAGAAAACGTCGAAGACACAGAGGGCATAAACCAGCCAGCGGCAACCCACAACACCAAGTCTGGGCGAAACGCCCAAGGGGCGGATGGGCTCATCCCTATCTTAGGGACCCAAGGTGGAGAAATAAGAAGCTCAGATGAGTACTGCACAAATTGGTTGATTGCCCGTGCTACATCATTTACTAAATATCATCTGATACCGATGGCCATATTCTACCTTACCCTTGCTGCAATGACATGTCGGGAATATCATCAGTATCTGGCATCAAGAATGGCTGGGCTAAATACACCACAGGGTTTGCGATCAATGCGGGTCATGGGGGGTGTTTTATTTATGGCTGTAGCTATATCGCTTATCCCAAGAAGCCCAGCAAAGGCTTCTTCCCTTAGCCTTCAAGATATGGTATAACTAACCAGACCGTAGCGGCCATGGTGTCAACCTAACATGCCCACTCCGCAGCTTGCTTGAACATGCGGAACCAGGATATCACTACCCAATTACTCTTCTTTTTCTTTTTCTTTACACGTTCTTTAGAGGTAGAAATGAGATAATTACTTCCATTCGCTTGAATCTTGAGTTTTTCCTCCTGATAATCCATAGAAGAATTATTTGAACATTAGCATGAGGAACTAAAAAATGCTCTAGAAGAAAACCTAAACGCTGGCATATTCATGTTGAAATAATGTTGAAAAAAAAATCATTTGCCCGCCCTTTGCATCATTTCAATCATCAAGATAGTACTTTGTTGAAATATTCCTTCTTGTTGCGCGCCTCCCCGTTCCTTTCGCCCGCTATGATATAATTGGATAAAATGATGCATCTCAGATACTTTGTTGTTATCCTTCCTTCATTTTTCCCCCCTTTATAGACGCCGATTTCCCATGCATTGAGTTGAGTCTAGCCCCGGCAGTCTTCCTTTTTTTTTTCCCCCGGCGTTCATCTTTTCATTATCATGTTTCTTTTTATTTTCGCGCCAATAGGGCAAAAAGCAAGAGAAATTAGAAGTGAAGCCATGGAAGGGATAATAACATATAAACGATACCAAATAACAAATGCCTTAGAATAGAAAACACGAATGTTGAATGGGGTATTTTGAAGAAGGTAAGTTGAAATTGAGCCAAGAAAAGAATAATAGAGGATCTTAGAATGGTGGTAGGATGGATAGTTTGATGAGTTAGTTAGGGGTATGAGAGTTGCAGTGAGAGCAAGTTTAGTTTGCTGCAACGGCTTGATTCTCTGACGTCGAGGCGGGAGCCCCTGGGTGTGAACCGTTCTTCACTGGTTCAGAGGCTGGCTGGGTTCCACTGACTTCAGTATCGAGGTCCTTCAGGACCAGGCCCTTGAATAGGTCGAAGATATCATGAGTTTTATGGAAGTCATTGTTCACTAGAAGGAGCGTTGCATTAGCAGGTGATCTATTATTAAGTTGGCAGGGCCAAATATGTACTTACCGATGTTGAAGAGGTACCAAGTATCCATCGTATTCTGAATAATTTTCCTGCTGGGGCTTGATGCATCGTGGCATTTGGCCCAATCATCTCCCAGTCTATATGCCTCATCCTTCCACGCTAGGAAACTAACCGTCTCTACAATTGTAGGCTGAATAACTTCCTTGGAGGCGAAGATACCCCAGGTGACAGCATTAGGTGTGTCACTCGAGTTTGTCCTTAGTTCTCCATTCTTGTTGATACAATGGTATGTCAGGTCCGGGTTGGTCTCAATTCGTCGAATGACCTCGTCAATAAGTGTGGGAGAGATAAGTAGCTCGAGGTAGGCTTTTTGATACACATAACCATTCTTTGGGCCCCATCCATAAATTGGGTGTGAGGACTTAGCTCCATTGATCGCAGGCTGTGAGTTGATGGTGAGGAACCCTCTGTTGTTGAGGGCTATCAGGTCATCCTTGATGATATCTGACTCCTGGGTGATCGCACTCTCGCTCCATGGTAGTCTGTCGAGTTTACCCTCTAAGAAGCGGATAAAGATATCTGATAGATCTTTGACTGATTTGGGTTCACCCCATAGCTTGATGTTTTGTTCATTAGTACCCTTGAGTCCGATGCCGTAAACGTCAAGTTCGCCAAAGGCAGGAGATCGCGAATCAGTCCAACGGCCGTTAGGGAATTCATCCCAAGACTGTGTCCGCGCAACGTATGACTGATGTCTGTGTCTCCAGAAAATAGGTCGAACATCTTCCTCCCTTCTTCCAAGGCCCAGAGACTTTCTCCATGGCAGTGGTTTCTGGAGAGGAGTTTCGGTGGAAGGTTTCAAGTTTAGCTCTTCCAAAACCATCGTTGTTGACTGTGCAAGATTCATAGTGTAGCTGCAAAGGAATTAGTTCATCGGAAACTTCGAAATATAAGGTGGAGTGAGTGGTGAACGTACAAGTGCAAATGGTTGATACCGTTGTCAAGGAGTTTTCTGCACATTTCAGAGACAAGAGCCCTTCCTATTTGCTTGACGGCGGCGTCATCATTCTTCACAGGCTCAAGGGCTTCCATCCAACCCTTCGGGATCTTGCACTTGACCCAATTGGTTCGACGAATAAAGGCAGCATAGGTCGAGATGGGCATGATACCGGGTATAATTGGCACCGTGATGCCAGCCTTGCGACATCTTTTCACCCAGTCCAAGAAGTTGTCCGCATCGTAGAACATCTGAGTGATAATAAAGGTGCCACCAGCATCTACCTTTTCCTTCAAGTATTTCATCAATAACTCAGGGTCCTCTTCATCCTCACACCCTTCGGGGTAACCGGCAACACCAATATCGAAGTGGTTGCCATATTTCTCCCTGATATACTGGACAAGATCTCTGGCGTATCGAAATCCACCTTCGGTCTGCTCCCACGACTCCTTCTCTCGAGGCGGGTCTCCTCGCAAAGCTAGGATATTGGTACAACCGGCCTTGAAGGCACTCTGTAGAGCTTCATCAACCTTCTCTCTTGGCATATCCGTGCAGGTGAGATGCATGCAGGTCTCCAGCCCGTAGACGGACTGAGCCACATGGACCATTTCACAGGTAAGCTCCGCCAGTCGGCCTCCTGCACCCCATGTTATATCGATGAAAGATGGCCCAAGTCCATGCATACGATCCATACGGTCGTACAGGTTCTGTACTCCCTGTGCCGTCTTTGGAGGGAAGAATTCAAAGGAGATACCTGGTCGTCCGGTGGCTTCTGCCAGGGCCAATTTGTCTTTGATATGCATCTTGGATTAAAATTTGCTAGGAGACAAAAAACGGTTAGCTCTTTCACTCAAACCAGCGATGACAGTAAAAGCAAGGTAAAGAAGATGTCTCTTTCACCAGGAGTTATCCAGCAGTTGGTGCAATTCACACGGCTTTCTGGATGTTTATCCTTTCCCTCCGAAATCGGTAAGAGACCCTCCACCGACTTAAAGAGAAACAGAAAAATAGAAGACAAGAAAGGGGGGAGCAGAAGATGAATTGATCCTGACCAGGCTTCGTATACCTTTTAGCGAACAAGTAGAGTAAATAGGCCGAATGAACAGGTGAAAAAGGGCCCAAAAAGCCTCCGAGCTGAGCTCAAAGGTCCGATATTTCTGCCTGTTATGTCTCGGGCAATCTCAACCAAAGTAGCGTTTGCGTGCCCACCTGTCTGCCAGTATGCGCAACATATAGTGTAGATATACTATTTTTTTTTATCTCATATACAGCGATTATCTGGAGCTTGTCGAAAAAAAGTTGAAGATGGCGGAGGAAGCTCCTTTTGGGGGGGAAGAAGAAAAAAGAAAAGGGCGAACCGGAGTTCTTGAAAGCTATTAAGGTTGACCGGAATGATGAGCAGAGAAGAAGTAGGAGAAGGCCAGCGACGAAGTTTTGTGTGTTTGTCTGTTCAGAGGAGACAGATTTACGAAGAGCTCGAGAGGAAGAAGTTGTCGATGTGTCCTAATGGTGAAGTTGAGGAAAAGGGAGAGCAGCAAAAGGGGGGGGACCTTTTTTTTATATGGTCAGTTTCTCAAAGAGCGGGACCTCCTCAGGCAAGCCCTTTTTCTTTCTTTTTCTCCTTTAAAGGGCAGATCTACGCTCAATAGAAAGGAGTGAGATGTTCAATTGCTGATAGACTATGTATAAACTGTCGGCCCTTTTATTAGGTTATTGTCGACGGCGCTGCGCTATCAATAAATTTTCCTGCTGTTGTCTTTTCCCTACCCCTCCGCTATAACTAGTTAGTTATTACATACGCCATTGTCCCGTCCCGCTCTCCAGGGTTCCTGGCCTGCAGATGAACGGCTGAACAGATGGAAAGCGGGAGGCCAATCTGATTTTCGTCCAAGTTTTTGTTCTTGTTGCCCTTGTTGGCGCCGGAAAAAGGGCATACGAAGTCCAGGGCTTCCACCGTGACCGTCAATGACCCTCCAATAATACTAGGGCAAGGCAGAAAGGGCCTGTCGTCATCATTCCAGGTTCGATGGCTGACGGGGATATGGATCGGTTCTCCTGTTTGCCCTAGCCTGTCAGATGTCAGCATGAAAATATTTCTCGCCTTCTGCAGGTGAATTGCAGCAGAAGAGTTATAATCCTGATGACAAGGATCTCGCTGTCAAGAAATCAGCATTCTAAAATAAGTTACGCAGCGTGATATTCGGTATTTTAAAGGAGGCTGCAGCGTTGTTAACTGTGAGCTTGCACGTGCGGGATTACTTGCTCGAGCCCCGCATGGGGTGCGGGAGGCGTCAGTTCATCAGTAGAAGACATATCGTACTTGAAGTTGAATTTGAAGTTGAAGTTGAAGCTGAAGCTGAAGTGATGAAGTTGATGAAGCAGAAAATGAAACGTTGAAGTTGAAAGAAGAAGACGGTGGAGAGCGGCAGAAAGCCTAAAAGGGAAGTGGGATTTTTTTTTTTTTTTTTTTGGTGAGAAAAAGAGAAGAAAACATCAACCATTCATCAGTCCTGAAGTCATTGAAAAGCTGACTTGTCTTGCATCTGCAGCTGCTACAGACTAGACCCTGCAGCAGTCAGACATCGAATAAATCCCCAATTGCACGCCCCGCTTGAACGACTGCGAGAAATACCCCGCCATACAGCCTTTTCTCCCCAGGGCAACAATCACATACGATCAGCCTTCAACTCGCCATGTCAAAACAGGACTCGAGCCAGTCGCACGACTATAAATCACATCTCCTCTCCATCCTCATTTCCAGTAAAGTCCTCTCGTTCGGCTCTTACGTTCTCAAATCAGGCCGAAAATCGCCCTACTTCTTCACCACTACCCTCCTACATACCGCGCCGCTACTGCATGCCACAGCTTCCGCCTGCGCTTCAGTATTATCTAGCTCACCATTCGTCTCCAGTCAGGAAGGCCAAGCCGCTGCCCCCAATTTTGATATCATTTTCGGACCCGCGTACAAAGGTATACCCCTCTGCACCGCTGTTCTGAACGAGCTAGGTGTCCGGGATACCCAGGGTGTGTGGAACAATGTCAGCTACTCTTTTAACCGAAAAGAAGCCAAGAACCACGGTGAAGGGGGGAATATCGTTGGAGCTCCTCTAAAGGGCAAACGGATAGTCATTATAGATGATGTTATCACCGCCGGAACTGCCTTGAGAGAAGCTGTTGCCATTATTGAGAAAGAAGGAGGCATTGTGGTTGGTGTGCTGGTCTTACTGGATAGGCAGGAGAGGGTCAGTGATACTGAAACTAAAAGTGCGGTTGGTGCTGCGCAGAGGGACCTGGGAGACTCGATCCCTGTGCGTGCGGTGCTGGGGCTGAACGATATCATTGAAAAGCTCGGTGACGATATTGGGAAAGAGAACTTGAAGAATCTCCTTGAATACAGGGCTAAATATGGCGCTGAATAGTAGACTGGCTCTTTTCACGAATAAGTGCGAGTCTTCAGGTAGACGAATAACGGCCTTGATATATTCTACCCAAAGAGTAATTAAGCATAGAATGCGGGCATCTACTACATAGCTGATATATAGTTAGGGACGTGCCTATTATTTAACGTTCCTACACCTACTCCTTGGATTTTTAACCTCTCTACCCAGAGAGCTAGAGGGCCCCTTAACATACCAGGCCCCAACCCTCGTCTTAAGCCCCCAGCAGGAAGGGGAACCTATTCTCCATAATGCGTACCATCTACCAGTTTCTCATTGTAAATCAGACGGTAACTGTAAATCAGTCCAATAAAACAAGATTTAAAATTTGAGGCTCTTGATTTTTGTTCTGATGCTAAATATACAGACTAAGCTCTGTCAAAACGTATGGACACTTGAAACAATAGGGACCGAAACATGGTGCAGTTATGTATGATAACGCCGCGCGTAGATTTCACAAGGCGGAGGGTATTATTGTATTGACATAAGGAAATGCATAGCGTTTTCTTCAGCTCCATTCTCACCACTCCAACGGCTCACCCTTGACCTCACCTCTATTTGTCTTGGGAACAGGAGCGGCTTCTACCATGGCTGGGCCTGTTTCCTTGCCATTTTGCCGCTTCAGGTATCCGCTCCCGTCTAACCACGGTGTTTCTCGTGTCCGCTGGCCTTCAAATCTGCGGATTAGACCTTCCATCTGCATCGTCAAGCCAATGTCGTCAAGGCCATTGATAAGACAGTGTTTTCGGAATTCCTCAACATCAAAGTCTGCGAGTTTGTTGCCTGCAGAATCATTGATACGTTGGTTAATGAGATCAACTTCCAGTTCATGGCCAGCATCAGCTTCATCGGCTAGCTTCTTCATAATAGATGCATCAGGAATGGAAATCGGAAGCATTCCGTTCTTGAAGGTGTTGTTGAAGAAAATATCGGCGAAAGATGGTGCAATAATGCATTTGATTCCAAAGTCAAGCAGAGCCCAGGGGGCGTGCTCACGAGAACTTCCACATCCAAAGTTTTCACCACTGACGAGGATTTTGGCGTTGCGATATATCCCCTTGTTCAGCACAAACTCCGAGTTTTCCGACTCATCTTCGTTATATCGGAGAGGGTGGAAAAGGGCACTTCCAAGGCCAGTGCGCTTTATTGTCTTGAGAAACTGCTTGGGAATGATGGCATCTGTGTCAACGTTGGCTCGGTCTAAGTGGGCAGCAATTCCCTTTAGAGTTGTGAACTTCGGAAGACCGGCTGATGTTTTCTCAGCACAGGTGTTGGTGTGGGGTTCATTGTCTTCGGGATAATCAAGGATCCGATCTAGCTCGTCCTCGTCGGTTACCTCAGCGTGTATTTCGAGCCTTGGTGAGGATTTCTTCTGCGATATTGGAATTGACGACGCGATTTTGCGAACATCAGCCAGCTTTCCTACTATCGCGGCAGCGGCAGCCATTGCAGGAGACATCAGATGTGTCCGGCCAGCGGCACCCTGTCGACCTTCAAAATTTCTGTTTGACGTACTGGCACACCGTTCTCGAGGGGAGAGGATGTCAGGATTCATGCCGAGGCACATGGAGCATCCGGCCTCCCTCCATTCAAATCCGGCATCAATAAATATCTTGTCAAGGCCTTCGGATTCGGCCTGTCGCTTAACCAGCCCAGATCCAGGAACGATCATTGCACGCATGATGTTCGAAGCAATCTTCTTGCCTTCCACAATATGAGCAGCAACTCGAAGATCTTCAATTCGCGCATTTGTGCATGAGCCAATGAACACCTTGTCGATGGGGATATCCTCCATTCGAGTACCAGCAGTAAGGCCCATGTACTCCAAGGCTCTACAACAACTGGCCTTCTTGACCTCGTCTGAGAAATCATCAGGGCTCGGAACAACACCGGTGATTGGGACAACATCCTGAGGTGAGGTTCCCCACGAGATCGTTGGTACGATATCCTTTGCATCTATAAAGACTTCCTTATCGTAAACGGCACCGTCATCGGATTTTAGGCTGGACCAGTAGGCCACTGCCTTCTTCCATTCTGCACTCCCGTACTTTGGAGCGAGAGGTCGGTCCTTCAAGTATTCAAACGTGGTTTCATCAGGCGCAATCATACCAGCTCTAGCACCGGCTTCGATAGACATGTTGCAAATTGACATGCGCGCTTCCATGCTAAGTCCTCTGATGGCAGAGCCGCAGAACTCGATAACCGCACCGGTACCACCCGCAGTTCCTATGACGCCAATCACGTATAGAACTATGTCCTTACTACTGACGCCTGGTGGAAGCTCGCCATCTACTTGCACCCGCATGTTCTTGCTTCTCTTGGTGATTAAGGTCTGGGTTGCAAGAACATGTTCCACCTCACTTGTACCGATACCAAATGCCAATGCGCCAAAAGCTCCATGGGTGGAGGTATGACTGTCACCGCAAACAACGGTGGTGCCAGGTAGGGTGAACCCTTGCTCAGGCCCGATGATGTGAACAATGCCTTGTCTCTTATCGCCGAGTCCAAAGTAAGTAACACCAAACTCTTTGACGTTTTCCTCCAGGGTCATGCATTGCAGTCGAGAGTCAGACTCTTGAACGAATCCTGCAACATCTTTGTATGTTTCACGGGAAGTCGTAGGAATGTTCTGTCCAACGCAATGTCGTCAGTAATATGAACACCCAATCCCAAGAGTACAAAACTTCTATGCTTACATGGTCCACTGTAGCTAGGGTGCAGTCTGGCCTCCTAACCTTCCGCCCGGCTTTCTTCAGACCTTCAAAGGCTTGCTGTGGGGAAAGGGTTAGCCTTAATAGCACAACTATAGGTGCAGGGGCTTTGATAGCATGCGACTTACTGGAGACGTGACCTCATGCACAAGGTGCCTATCTGTTGGATTCCAGCACACATGTCTTAGTTTACCAACTTCAATGCTAAAGCAACAGGGATGATAGTGTAGCAATGTACGTACCTATATACAGCAAGATAGTACCGTCCTTCTGCTCATTTACTATGTGGTCTTTGAGGACCTTGTCGTACAGCGTCCTGGGTGCTTTATCTGGGGCAGGCATTGCGGCAAAGTCCGTGTAAAATCTCGCCTGCAGAGAAGGAGAAGAGTAAGAGAGACAGAGGAGAGATTGTTGAACTTGAAATCGGAAACCTGAAGCTTTCTCTTGCACTCTCTCTTCATTTTATATATAAGAAGCTTGGGCCATAAAGCTGGTCGGCGGGGAGAAGCCGGTATCGGCGGTCATCAAATTATGACGTACGCCGATTGGCCAAGTTATGCCAAGAGGCGGTAGGAGACGCACATTCACCCCGGCTGCGGCCGCCGCTTTCGGAAGCGGCTATTTTCAAATGTTATTTTCTATCTTGTTACTGTATGATATGTGTGTATCCTAGTAGGTATGAAGTCTATACGGAGCTATATACAAATCCGGGCCCGCGGTTATCCTCTCTAAACACTAACAAGGCAAGTTTGTGTCGGACCAGCAGTGCTGCCACACCGCAGAGTAGCTGGACGCCAACAATGTGAATCGCCAACTTATCCTCCCGCAACGGTCCAAACCAGAGTAACCACAGATTAAGTAAGGTCAGGTTTGTCGTCTCGATAATTTCCCCGTCTTCGTTCCTCTTGACGCGCACCAAGTATAGCGTGTCCAGGAGATCGAGGCTCATTGCGATTATTGCATGAGGCGGGCGTGTCCACTCGGTGACGGATGGTTCCATCAGACCGGTTCGCGGGTTGAACTTCGGCAGCCGGTGCCGTGGACAAGGTATCAGATGAAATAGCTGCGGTGTAGAATATAAGAAATTGAAGATCTGAGGTATGAATAATAGCAGCAAAGTTTTACTAAAGTGGCCCAGGATTCCGACGACGGCAAAGACCATTCCAGCAAAGTAGCAGTAAGTATCCCCGACAAAAACTTTAGAGGGATACCAATTGTGCCACCATAATGCCAGTGAGACAGCCACAAATGGAAGAAGAAGATACATCGAGAAGAGGTGGGAGTCCGTGGCCGGGTGTGGGTATGGGGTAAATGGTGATAGAAACAGGGCATCATTGGTTATCAACAGGCAGGCTATGGCTATGGACTGTGAGACCTCGATTCCGTTGATTCCAGCCAGCATGTTAATACTGTTCGGGCAGAATATAGCGACTGCAGCCATATACACATAGTACATCCAACCCAGATCGAGGGATGGCCCTAGATAATCCTGAAGAGGGACTGGTACTATGACGTGCGTCACTCCAAAGTCGACAAAGTAAACTATTAGCATCGGTACTGCGGCAAAGGCGGGTATAAAAAACTTGTGCCGCCACCGAATGTCTAATAGATCATCACCTATTCCCAGTATTACTATTGACTGCAGAGAGAGAAGCCCAGAAAGATAGGTTGCGAGCTTTACAGCGATTGCATTAGTTTTATGGCCCACTTTTCTCTAAGTATTAGAAAGGAAATCACCTTATTGTGAGGAAACTTGTGTAGAAAGCGACCGGTTTCCACATGATGAATTGGCAATGGTATATCACGATTCCCTCCACCAGATGTTGCGGCCACGAGATCTTTGTAAAAGGGAAATGGAATAAACACGATAAGAATCAGTATGTAAACAACCGCAACAACAGCACCCATGGTCTCTGGTCTAAATTTGGTATTAGCAGTGTATTTTTTATGAACCAACATTGTGTGTGGCTTACATCTCTATCTTCTTAAGCTTTGACATATCTTTTCCTTTCAGTCCGGCTTTCATAAACACATTCCCAAGCCACCGAATGAGGCTAAAGGTAGCAGCAAAGGCGATTCCAGACAACGCAAGTGAAGCCACCAAAGGCTCTCCATCCTGCAGCGCGTTCTTCACCAGAACAGCTGAACAGGCTATCGACAACGCAATGAGACCCCATGTCTCTCTACGACTGAGGGTTATCGACGTCATATCATGCACATCGCGTGAATCTACCAACGCATCTGTCAAAAAAAAAAAAAAAAAAAGCTGTTGCAGAAAGTCCGGCGCTTAAATATCAATTTTGAGTTGCGCAAGCTGTCCTTTTGGCGTCAAATTAAGTTTAGCAACCAATCACGGCGCTTATTATCACGTGACAAGCACAGCAAGGTCCAACCTCAACCCGCAAAACGCTTGTAATATTAATTAACTTGCGACAAGGCCAAGTTGCGCAGCAGTTTATTTTTTCATGCAGGAATCATCCCTGCTATAAGCAGCGATGAGGCACTGCACGCGACTACCGAGGAGATGACAGCTTTCACCGAGTTTGATGCCGGCCACCGGGACTTGGTTACAGTGACCAAGTTCAACTTCTATGGTAATCGCATCCTAACTGCGTCTGCGGACCATCGAATAAAGGTATGGGATCAAAAGGACGATGGCTGGGAGCTCGTAGATACTTGGCGAGCACATGATGCGGAAATTCGAGACGTAAGTTAAGTCAAGGGAGCTACATCTGCTTTGGCCCTCTTTGAGATCCGCTTGCTCACACTTACTGCGCTCAACAGGCAGCATGGAACGGCCCTTTCACCGGCCAACATATAGGTACCGTGGCGGAGGATATGAAGTTTAAACTATGGCAAGAAGATGTTACGCAATCTCGCAATTCTGGACGACGTTTCCGGAATATCTTCCGTCTTACCTCGCCCATTCGTACGCCCTACGTCTCGCTAGACTTTCGAAACATTGATCTGGAATCCTGGCTCGCCTTAATCACTCGTGACGGCCTTCTCACAGTTCTGGAGCCGATTGGTGCAGATAATCTCTCAGAGTGGCAACAGCTCGACCAGTTTCGCGTTTGCTCAGAACCCTCACGCGGTGATGAGACGAGCTTCAAAGTCCAGTTCCACCATGATCCTATGGACATGACTCATATGGTCATGCCATCTTGGGATAGCAAAAGCTTGTCCCTAGTCGTCGCTGCGATGAATACCGTCAAGGTGTATCGAATGGCTTCAAATAGGAAGTTTTATCACGCCATTGAGTTGACTGGCCACACAGGCTTAGTACGAGACATTGCGTGGGCGAATGGATCTGTTCGCGGGTTTGATATAATCGGTAGTGGATCCAAGGATGGCACCATCAAAATATTTGAGATATACACGTCGGTCACAAACAGTGCGAACAGCAATCAGACTGGGCCTGTAAATGCTACGTCTCGAGCCTCAACCCAGTCTGGAATTGGGACGGCACTTGCAAGCCAGACAACGGGGACGCTTGTGGACACAAGAAAGACCAGCGAGAGCCCGTTTAAGCATACTTTTAGAGAAGTTGCCTCCATTGATAGCAAACATCTCGATGTCTGGCAAGTTAAATTTTCTCACTCAGGTACGCGATACGCCATATTGACGCTTTGATGTACTGCACTATGCGTTTTTACTTACCTTCCCCTCTAGGTGATTGTCTGCTTTCTTCCGGTGATGACGGCTCTTTACGATTCTGGAAACGAGCCACCTCTGGAGACTGGCTGGAGTTTGCAGAAACTTCAATGGAGAATAACTAGGCTGCCCTTCACATTAGGTGCCAGTCTCAACGAATCACTCTAAACATTGTTCGCGATGACCTTTTAACTACCCAACCTTCCTCTCTAACTTGCTGCCATTACTCGCTGCAGCCTAGGCATGATTGATGCTGTCATGATGATAATTTTGTGCATATGTCCATATATCATATCTATATACCACATACCCAATGGCTATGCTGTTCATGTATGCATACAGTAACAGTATAATTACTCCAGGAAGCCATTTTTTAAATAGCGTTTTTGTCCCTACCAATGACGAAACTGCCCTTCCTGATCAATAAACGTGTAGTCTACATAGTTCTTATGCCTCGTGAACGTCCGAGATCAAAGTTGCAGCGATAAAGGTAAAGTTATTGCGATCTGCATAGCTGCGGCCATCCTCAATAAGAATGACATAGGCTGAGTACAGGCCAGAGAAGTTGTAGAAAATAAAGATATCTTGAGAATAGAACAATTAAATATATGTCATAACTGCGGATGGCTCCAAAACATATCGCGTAGTAGGTCCTGATGCCATTAAGTATCCTTCATTATATTCATCTAGTACGCAATCTGACCTGGCCATCCTATAGGGAAAAGGAAATTTGGAGGTTGATTATGTGCGTTCACATGAAATATAATATTTCATAAAAGTGTGAGGAAGAAAGGGAGAAGAAAAACCAAAAAGCTGATATAAAATGTGGTCATGTACCTGATCACGTGGTTATCGGATTAAAATAAAGGCGGACCCGAGGGCACTTAAAGAGGAAAAAAAAACTTCGACTTTTCTTTCTTACTCAAGACATCAACCAACTGCTTGGAATGACCACGTCCCACGCCTGGGAAGATATTTATTATATTCATCCTTGTGTAATAAGGCAATTATGTATCTGCTTTATTATGATGACTACAAACAGAAGAAAGCAACCCGGGATGTCACTGCAATATTTTGACTCGTTATAGCAGTATCTTCGCTTACGAACCCATATCTTTTCACTGGTTTATACTGATACTGTGTGAGAAAAGGAGAGCATCCTCCTGTCAGAATGATAGCTATTTTTTATGACTTTTCTTTCTATGCTGCTTGTTGAACCCGGTATGAGACATATGACTGAACATTACCTGAACCACAACTTTGCCAACATCTTGTGCCTCTTTCCCTCAATGGTCAAGATGTATACTTCGTTTAAAGGTCTAGTGGAAGAACAATCCCATACAGTTTTTAGCAGAAACTGCGTCTTTTCCACCCTGCCACTTTGTCTACAGTCGAGTGACCAGGACTAATATAGGACGAACATCCCTTTGATACTCTTACGCATAGTTCTTGGAAGAAAATGAATCAATTACTTCGCTTGCTTATCCACCCATTCTGAATTTTATTTTATTTTTATATTTATTTTGTGCCTACTGCACCCAGAAAGCTCTTTTCCGAGTCAATCAAGATGTTTGCTAATGTAACTTGGGGGTGTCAATTGGTAAGGGAAACGCAGAGAGCTATCGGGGCATTAAAAATCTAGAATAAGATGTCACTTGCCTATTAAGAGTTATTCATCATCGATGCATTCGGTGTATAAGATCTCGTTGCATTGAGTTAACGACAGTATTGGTTCGTACAAGCTCAGTATGAAAAGACACAGAAGCGTACAAATATGAATAACAAGGCAAGGAATGGCAGGCAAGATGTTCATCTTCCCTTATGAAGCTGAAGGTGGTCTTTGGGTTGTTCCACCTCCGAGAGAGAAAGGATAGTACTATTTCAATTTGTTGCATATTAACTCAGTAACTTTGAAAACGACACTGGCAAGACAGTGGCATTTCTAATAGAAACGATAAAAAAAAAAGGAGCTTCCCTTATCCCCCTAATTACCTCTTTATTCTGCTCCTCCATTGACTCTGGAGCTACTGCTCAGTCACCCGCGATCGTCTAAAAAAATGAACTGTCTTGTGATGAGGGTGATGCGGAGGCAGGAGTGGGCTGTCCACTGACGGCAGCGCCCGATGCATTTGGCGATACTGAGGCAGGTGTGGGCTGTCCACTGACGGCAGCAACCGAGGCCATTGGCGATACTGAGGCAGGTGTGGGCTGTCCACTGACAGCAGCAACCGAGGCCATTGGCGATGCTGAGTCAGGTGTAGGTTGTCCACTAGCGGCAGAGGCTGGAAGGGACGACTTTTCAGATCCCTTTAATGAATCCAACGCCTGTCCCTCCAATTGTCTGTCATCATCTGAGTTGATGATATCCAAGAGGGAGAGGGAAGAAGGTGTGGGAGTTGGATCATTTGCGGCGGAGGCAGTGTTAGCAGCCGCTGGAGACACAGATTGCTGGGAGGCCATCTTCTCATTTTGTGGTGTAGAAGGGCGTGGTTGGCGCCCTGGCATACCAGATTCCTGTGGGCTGGGGCCATTGGCAACAGGCTCTGCGCTGGTAGTCGGCATAGGCGCACTTTCACCTTGAGATTCGGGCATTGGCTCTGCCTCGTTGCCTACGGTCTCTGGTTGCTCTGGCTGCTTGACCATATTTTGGCGTTGCGTTGTCTCATCTCCCATGGTCGCTGATTGCCTTGGATCTTCAGCCATGGAGTTTTGCGTACCTCCCATGGGTTGGGACTGGTCTTGGGGGGTCATTGGCTGGGTTTCATCATCACGTTGGCCGCTAGGTGACATTGAGGGCATTGGCTTAGATGCGGATTGACTTGCTTCTGGTGAGTTTGGCATGGGTGCACTCTCTGGGGTTGGAGATGCAACCGCCACCTGGCTTGCACCTGTGGCAAGAGAATCAGGAGAACCGCTTCCCATGGGAGCTGCCTCAGTTTCGCTTGCCATGCCGGTGGGGCTTGGGCTCCTATTTTTTTCCAGTGCATTGAGGGCATCCAAGTCTGAGGCACCGTCAAGAGCGCTGTTTGCGGTTGGCGGCTGGCCCCCGAGGGTTCCTCCTAGGCCTCCGAGGGCCCCCAAAAGCCCACCGACTCCGCCTAATTGCGGCTGCCGACGATGGTTCAAATGGGCATTATCACCAACGCCTCGAAGGTCTATAACGAATATGTCAATTTTTGAAGATGGAGCTGCTAATGATTATTCGGAAACGTACTAATTGCCGCAGAAGCAGCAAGTCCAACGAAGGACAGGTAGACCAGAGAATCAAAACGCATCTTGTATGTTGTAATGAATCACCTTCCCGAGCATCACCTGTTAGCATAAACTTCTCAAGAGTATAAATCCACTACTAAGATACGTACCTTGGTCAAAATGAAGCTCAAACAGAGTAGCTAGGTTTCTCTGGTGCCAGGCCCTCGAGTTGAATTGGCTGCTTCAACAATCATCCATCACAGATTAAAGCTCCTCGATGACCATTTAAATACACTTATCCATCTGAATTTCAAGATTATGGAAATGGGGTAGAGCGGGGTTTCAGATGCCACGATTTACAAATACCTGGTCGTCGGGTTGTCCAAACATAATTTATACGTTATAGGAAGAACCTGGCTGCAGTTTCGAAGAGACGCTGCACAAAATCCTGTGGGTGCCCACATTAAAGTAGGTTGTTCCTGGGCTATCTTCAATCGCTGTTCCTGTTCTCCTTCTGTTGTGGAACAACTGTGCACTTTGGCAGAAAGATACGCGTCGGTATGGAGATTTCCTAGTCCTGCAGGAACACGGCATAGATTTAGATGTCTGAGATCATAATTCTGGGCAGAACCATTCAAACAATCTTTCTTTCCTTTTTTTCCTTTTTTTCCCCCTTTTTCTTCTTCATTTTTGGCCATAAACTAGGGAGAAACTCCTTCGGCTCATGAAATGTCTAGCATTGAGATCGATTCAGCTTCACCCAGCTCAGTGGTAGCATCAGAGAGAGTAATACATAGTAAGCCCCTGCTAATGGTTGATAGCGTGTGAAGGACAAGTGAACGTCTTTGACAGCAAGGTTCTGACGCTATCCGGGCTGTGAGGGGAAGCAGACAGGTACGACCATATATTGAAATATGGACAAGAGAATCCAGGTATGATACCTCGTGCTTGTCCAACATAAACACATATACTCCGCCACATCATCGCGCAGGAACCTCTGAGATAAAATCAAGATTCGTGGGTGAGTAACAGCATTTTTATCAGGAATCCAAACCACCCGCGGCTGGTGTTAATACATCCCAGTCTAAGCTTTAATCATTGGTAGAATTCCGGATAGCTTCAGCTTGAGGTTGCAAACATATCACTTCAGGGGTATAAGGATATTTAATGAGAAGCAACATCCCGCATAGACTTTAGAATTGTAGCTTTAAACATGTCGTATAACCGCAACGAAAGAGAAGATCCGCTTCTCAATAGCGGTAATACAATAACTCTAAGGTTAACAAAGCACGCCATGATAGCCTGAAATAAAACCCAGGCTACTACGTAAGTAGCTCAAGAATTAGTGGAGTGGGACATATTCCTCCTGAGCCGCCAGGCGTGTTGTCCGCAGCGTAAACTAGCGGTGGTAGGCGCAGCAAGATATAGAGCCAAGTCTTTGGACATGCCATGGAAGCTATGAGAGAGCTCATATGTTACGTCTAGCTTGTCCTCTTACTCCTTTCTGTCATGCCTTCTTGCCCACTTGTCAGTGATTATTCTTCTGCTCATACTAGGCCAATGTATCTGCTTCTAGGTTAGCTTTAGGCAATCCATGCTTTTACATAGTAGGCCTGGTTACCTTAGTGCGTGTCATCGGGTCGACATCTTGAGAAGAAATCATTCCCCTCATCTTGACTGTTCTCCAGGCCTGCGGTGTCTCGTAACACGATTCGCATTAAATCTTCACTCCGACCGATTGTAAACTGAGAAGGTCACAGTTGTGTGCTGTATTTTGCTACTCCTCACTTTTTCTTTTCTTTTGGTATACCTAGACGTGTTAAGAGAGAAAATGTCCTTAACCCAGCAGTATGAAGATCCGTCGAGGTTGGTTCGGATGATTAATCAGCAAGTCACCATTGAGTTCAAACGCTCACATGGACATCGGGAATGTTAACGAGGTACATAGGATCAATTTATTTGGTCCTTCGAAGATAGCACAGAGGGATCCATGGTAAACAAGCGTGGGACAAGGGGCATTGCTCCCGAGTCGCACAGCATCATGATAAGTAACAAACCAAACCCACAATTGTTGGTAAAGGCATTATCTATAATTGCAATAGTAACCATGCAAATGGCACGCATTACGCACTTCTTGACCGGGAACTATCCATACTCACTCTGGATATGTCGTAATCTAAGATCAGCAATGGCTAGACAAAGCCGAAATCATACACACCAAGCTAGATGAATCATGGGAGTATTTGGCCTTCATGACATGCTTATTTACAGCGAAGGCGGGAAACCACAACACAGGGCCAAGACACGATGAACAAGTTGAATACCAGAAGGCTAGTAATGATAATGATACCTCAAATTCCGTATATAGTCATCATATGTAATGTCATGCCTTTGAAATCCATCCACTGTGGACCATAAAATCATAAATGCGGCTTGATTTTTGAGCGTCAATCTAAGTAGAAATAGTGTAAGGTCAGCAAATATAATATTCAACGCGAAAAGCACATTAGAAGAATCCCGTGCTGAAGGAAAAGTGTCCTCTCACCTTGCACATCGATTTGACGTCCTTCTTCTTTAGGTTGCCGCCTTGTTTCATCGCTTCTTTAAGCAGATGTTCCTTGATAGCCAGATAGGGCTTGGGGTTCAAATGTAAGACATTGCAGAGCTCGACTTCATCCCTCGTCAACAGGTGTAGGTCTGGAGAATTGTCATTCTCGGATTTCCAAGGAACCAGTCCGGTAATCACTGGAACGGTATACTTAGCTTTCACTGGTTGGGGAGCGGGAGTGCCTGCTAAGCTGGGGTTTGCAAGGGCCTTGTCAAAGTCATTCAGAGGTGGTGGCTCAGAAGGGTTGGCCTTAGAGGAGCCCGGCCGCTGTAGTCGGAGTGGAAGTTCTGGTAATGTTAATTGGGAAGCAGCAGATGGCCCTTCAGCCACGGCTGGAGCTTTTGGCCTAGCTGTACTAAAACGATCGAAAGATCCTTGCGGAACAGAGCGCTGAGCTCGCTGTAATTTTTCCTGCTCGTACTTTTCACCACTCTTAAGGTCGCCAATTCCCATGGTCCTCCACTCCTGGAGCTGTGCAATCGCAAGCCTAAGATTATGTTCGTACTCTAAGCCTTTGGTGAATTCTTCAAAGTCCTCATGGTTCATCATCCGAGCAAACGGCTTGGCTTTGTTCAAAAGGTCTCGCTCCTCTTTCGTCCGTTTCTTCTCCTGAGCAGCATTTTTACGATAATCAAGTAAGTTATGTTCGAATACGATCTTCTTTCGTTCTGTTCTTGCTGTTAACCGAGAGTTATAGATATCTTTCACCGTCATCTTGAGTTCCATCTCGGGATCCATCTCGCCGTTCGCATTAAGGCCATTACCGGGTTCGAACTGCATATGTTGTACTGCTTCTTCTGCATCATTAGCAAATTCGGTCTCGAATTCAAGTCGACCTGGCATGTAGCCTTGAACTTCATGGCAGGCAGGGACTGAGGCAGTTGGCTTTTGTTTCGGTGTTGCCGGAGGCGCAGCTTTGGCAGCTTCTTTACGCGCTTGTATTCGCCGCTTCTTTCGCGCTTGAAATTCCTCCTTAGGTATTTGCTCCTGTAATGTTTTGTCGTGTGGGTCGGCAAGGTCGGGGAGAGGGAAATTAGACCCTTCAAGGTATGTTTTAATGTAATGATCTCTGACTTCATCCTTCGTACGGTAACCTCCAATATGGTCGGCAATATCGGCCCATGACCCAAGACCGTATATTTCTGCTCCTTCTAAGAGCAGGAGCTCTTCGTCGGCCCCCCAATCCGGATCATATATTGGAACCGAGTTTTGTTCGACAACAGAGTACGGGTGTGTTCGAGGATCGTGGGATTTCGTCGTAGACCCGCGCGCAAAGCAAGGAACACACATATCGTACTCGGGGCAAGCACTATGGGCGCATGATATCCGAACCTGATTTAACAATCACGTTGTCAGTTCCGTCATACTAAAAATTCGAAAGAGATCTCACGGTAGATGTGATGTCTATGGAGCAGACATCACAGTGGTATTTGGTTCCTCCATCTGTACCGCGCGCTGCGGTCTTCTTTCTTATAACACCCATAGATGTGGTTGTCTGCGCATCATCTGTTGAGGTAAGTATGGTGACAGGAGTCCCCCTGTGTCTAATATCAAGTGTCTAAAACCAGGCCTAGGGTAGTCGTAAGTGAGGGATCTGGAAGGTTCCCTTGACGCGTCCCGATGCAGGTACGGTTTATGCGGTGACTTTTGTCCGATAGATTATATTTGTTGGCAATGATATAACTGCTATGTTTACCACAGGATAATCTCAGGAGTTGAAACGAGGCCAAGTGCAATTCCAGCAGAGCAATGTAGAGAATCAACAATGTCTAGCCGGTCAAAACCTCTTTTTGAGGTTGAAGCTGGCCATGACGGACGCCGTGTCGCTCTAGTCCCAATATAGTTAGTCACTAATTCACATGACTGATGTGGCTTTGACCAACTCTAAAACGCATTAAGGTTATTCCGTTACTGCAGTTTGCTGAGTCACCTGTCTGGAGCGGACAAGTGAAGAAGATAAGCAAAGTATCAAAAGCATCCAGCCCCCAACTTCTGTCCTGTTCACCTACTTTCTTTTAAATTGGTGAGCAGGGAGGACAGGACGTCTTCTGTTGTTTCTTCATCAACCAACCATTCTTTTTCTTCCTTCTTTTTTACTTGCATGGCCTATAGTAAAAGGTACCTTTTTACCAACGATAAACCCCACACACGCCATCCAGCCAACACTGGCTTACTATATCCTCCTTTAAAGCCTCTAGATATCATACTGACGCCTTTGTGGGGAGATCTGAGTTACTCAGATTAATAGACCTGTCTATTACTGAGACTCTCTGCCCTTCAAGATGTCGTGGAATTTAACCAAAAGTATGATATCCCTATTTACACTCTAGATGATATTAGCCCTAGTCTCAAGACATGGTTCACAGATACTAATAGAGGCATGTTATAGAGCTTAAGGAAACGCACCTAGCGCCTCTTGCAAATACGTTTAGCCGGTCCTCTACTGGCTCTTCTCCCAAGGGAGATGCTTCAACTGAGGATGGAGCGCCTCTTAGCAAAACTCCAACTGCGTCTTCCTCCACAAGTTCTAACGGCATAGGTGAGGTCTATTTCCCTCCTACTTTATAAGGGGCGGTTTTAAATTATATTTATCAGGATATCAGTCAATACTAATAACCATATAGCTGCTTCAGATGCAACCACCAATTCGCCTACCCAGTCGTTAAAGCCTGGAATTCTGATTGTGACCCTCCACGAAGGAAAAGGCTTCTCACTGTCTCCTCACTACGAACATGTTTTCAATTCTCACTATCAAGGCTCCAGCGGTTCATACTCTGCTTCGATGAGGCCAAGCTCCTCTCATGCGTCACATATTCCGAATTCGTTCACTCATGCTATGAGACCTCAATCTACAAGTGGGGGAATAAATGCTGCTCCGACAAACCATGGACGATACTCCGCAAAACATCTGCCATATGCACTCCTGGATTTTGATAAACTGCAGGTCTTTGTTGATTCTGTTTCAGGGACTCCAGAAAACCCGCTGTGGGCTGGTGACAACACCTCTTTCAAGTTTGATGTTTCTCGAGTTACGGATTTGAACGTTCAGGTGTATATTCGGAACCCCGCTGCACGCCCTGGGAGTGGACGCAGCGACGATATTTTCCTCGGAGCTTGTAAAATTAACCCCCGCTTTGAAGAGCCCCGTCGGTTTGTCGAAGATCCTAAAGCCAGCAAAAAGGAGCGTGAAAAAGCTGCTGCAGCTTTTGCGCAAAAGGAGAAACAACTGGGACAGTTGGGCTCTGAGTGGATTGACTTACAGTTTGGCACTGGAAGTATCAAAATTGGAGTTTCATTTGTGGAAAACCGTCAGCGTAGCCTGACAATGGCTGACTTCGAGCTCCTGAAGGTTGTCGGGAGAGGCAGCTTCGGGAAAGTTATGCAAGTTATGTAAGTGACTATCACAGCCATGCTACCGCATTATATAGAGGCTAACCAATACTGCCATATTAGGAAGCGTGACACTAAGCGAATTTATGCGATGAAGACTATCCGAAAGGCCCATATCATATCTCGCTCCGAAGTAGAGCATACATTGGCCGAACGATCTGTTCTGTCACAAATTAGCAACCCGTTTATTGTTCCACTCAAGTTCTCTTTCCAGTCTCCGGAAAAACTGTATCTTGTTCTGGCATTTGTTAACGGTGGCGAGCTTTTCCATCATCTCCAACGGGAACAACGATTCGATATCAACAGAGCTCGGTTCTACACAGCAGAATTGCTTTGCGCATTGGAGTGTTTACATGGGTTCAAAGTGATCTACAGAGATTTGAAACCCGAAAATATCCTCTTAGATTATAGCGGTCATATCGCTTTATGTGACTTTGGCCTCTGCAAGCTTGGCATGAAAGACGAGGATCGCACGAACAGTATGTATATCCTACGCACGTCGGGCCCCTTTACCATTTTATCACTGTTGTTAACCGGTCTCCTCTAGCGTTTTGCGGTACCCCAGAGTACCTTGCTCCAGAACTACTCCTTGGTCACGGGTATACAAAAACTGTTGATTGGTGGACCTTAGGAGTCCTCCTTTATGAAATGTTAACAGGTCTTCCCCCATTCTATGACGAGGACACAAATGAAATGTATCGAAAAATTTTACATGACCCTCTCACATTCCCCAATCAGGAAGTTGTCCCAGCGGCTGCGAGAGATCTTCTGTCTCGCCTTCTTGACAGAGACCCCCACCGTCGCCTTGGTGCTGGCGGTGCTGGCGAAATCAAAGGCCATCATTTCTTTGCAAACATTGACTGGCGCAAGTTGCTGCAGCGTAAATATGAGCCTAGTTTCCGCCCTAACGTGGTACGTATTAACCATTTCTCATATATCTACCTGCTCTTCACTTACTCATTAATACTTAGGCGGATGCCCGTGACACTGCAAACTTTGATATCGAATTCACATCAGAAGTTCCGGTTGACTCTTACGAGGAAGGGTCTGGACTTTCTCGAACCATGCAAAAGCCATTTGAAGGGTGGTCTTACAATCGCCCAGTTGCAGGTTTAAACGACGGAGGTGGCAGTGTCAGAGACCCTGCTTTTGGCAGCATCCCTGAATAAGCAGCCTCCACTTATGGAACCCGAGTTTTTCTCTCTTCTACAAACCGACAGCATGGACGCACCATTCTCATTACATTTCTCCCTATACTCCGATACTCTCATGGTTCTCCTTTCTTTTCTACGACTTCTCATGCATGCATGGATCACTGCTACGAATTTCCTTTCTCAGAAGTTAAATTTCTCAAGAGGCAATGATGGCAACGATTACACATTGCACTGGTGCTCTCAGCCATTCTCATAACGATTGTTCTGTTCTCTTTTCCCTCTGACTATTTTCTGCTAATTTGCTAACTTGCCTTTCATTGCTATATCATCGGCGGGCGGACGGAGCTTTTCATGTTTATTCCTGCATATCATATTGCTTTCTTTTCCCCTTTCCTTAGAACATTCCCCCATAAGCACTAGCCCCGTGCGTTATTTTACTATTTGTTTTACGGAATGGGTTTCTTTCTCAACTTGATTTTAACATGGGCACTCACGAGGATGAGAAACACATTCGTGGACATGGTTTCAATTTCTTTTCCTTCTCTTTCCTGTCTTCTATTGACTCTTTAAGTGCTTTGGTTTGATTTCCTCGAGGGGTGGATAAGCACTTAGGGCCATATTCTGGCTTTATAGTGCTGCTCTCACCCTATTTTCCGCTCTTGCTTCCTTCATGACTTGTGTTTTTCTAACTCTGGCGAACGGAGGATTGATTCCTTTCGAGCGTCTCTCTTTAGTCACCTCCATACCATACAACATTGAGTAAACTGGCCAATCTTTTCTCACATTGACTCAACTCGGCATAATGCATTTCCTTCAGGAAGCTCAACTTGAGCTTTAACTCACGTACGCTAGTAACCCTGCCCAGATAAATCCGAGCTGATGTAGAGGACTTCCAATTACATGTAGGATGTACATTTGAAATCAAATACAGCAGCAAATTTGAATGCAGAAATGAAACGTAAGAGCTGTTCATTCATAGAATTGTTCTCATAATCTAAGTCAAACTACATTTTCCCCCAGCCCCTAACTTCTTCCAACACTTCAGGTTGCGGTGAAAAATCAAAATGCATAAATAATTATTCAGAAGCCCCATTTACAGGTTCGTCTGCGGGTTGCTCTGTGTCTGCCTCATCATCACCATTAGCATCAACATCAATCAGATTCGCCGTTTTTATACCGCCTTCTGCCTCCAGTTTTAGATAACTGTCCCATTCGGGAAACAAGTCATCATCGGCATTTTCAGCACCCGGTGGTACACCGATAATACGGGCAACTTTGGCTTTGCCATTCTTTTCAAGGCTCTGTTTCCACTGGACTGCTAGCTCTGGGGTACGACTAGGCTTGTATGTCTGTGCAAAAAAGACAGATTCAGCATAGCGGTTTGTTTCGACAAGGAGGTCAATGCAAGAGTCTACATCAGACAGCTGCCATAGAGCAGAGAATGCAATATTATGTGACCCAGCCTGCTTTGCTTGCTCAGCCAATTTTTCAAGGCCGGCGGAATTGCGGCTGGATGAGTGCAACAAAAGCAGAGATCCTAAATCTTTGGCGTTTGTAAAGCATTCTTCAGCCAAGGAGAGATTCCAAGCTGTAAGGGCGGCATCACCGACAGTCTTCCATCTGTGTTCAACATCCGTTACCTTAGCAATTTCAAGGGCGATGTCAAGTTTTCCGAGCCCAAGAGCAAGGTCAAAGCGGTGCTCTTGGTCAGTGGCAACCTCAAGGGCAAGGTCCTTATAGCCCTGACCCTCCAAGAATCGGGCAATTTTGTTCATCTGGTCCTTTGGAATATCCTCTAACAATTCCGTCGCAGAATCCATATCCCCCCGCAGCACCAAAGTTTGGTATTCAACAACAGAAAGCGAAAGTGCGAACGAGACGGTAGTGAGTTCTTTATCTGTAAGGTAAATTCGTCCATCGCGTGGGAGGTACCCAAGGAGGTACATCGGCTGGTCGAAGTGTGAAATCGTGTAAGTCTGATCACCAACCAGGTAGTTTAATCGGTTGGTCGAGTTTGTATAAATAAAACAGTCCCCAACCCATTCACCGGTGCGCACAGTATCGTTAACATCCGTAACCACCTCGAACGCAGCCTCAACACCATCCTCATCAGCCTCTCCGGCGTTGAGTCCCGCAATATAATCTTCCCGTGAAAACCGGAGCACATAGAATGTATCTTCACATGCAAGGGCGACCAGTTCTCCCGATTCAGACCAGTACACCTAAGAACAATGTCAGTAGCTGAAATATAGCATTGGGATATACTTGTAAGTTACTAACCGCTCTAGGCTCAACTTCTATCCGTCGAACAAGGTTGCCAGTCTCCCAGTCAAACATTCCAATGCCCCCTTGGCCCTTGACTCCGAGGAGGACACCAGAGCTCAAGCCTTCAGCGTGGAAACCAACATCGAGTCCACCACTCTTCTCTTTAAAATTTCGGAATATTTTAACACTTGTTGATGATTCCCGAATGGCGTAATCGTTGCTATTGTCCTTGGATCCCCATGCAAAATCTAGAGCCTGGCCAAAGGCCTTGTTCCTCCAGGCAAGGGCAGTATAAATGATATATTCGCCATCGCCACAAACCGAAACGAATCTTCCGTTTGGAGAATGAGCCAAAGTCTGCGGGTATATTTCACAGGACCCAAGATCCTTGGTGGGTAAAGTGAGAGGGGCACCATCCTTTAAGCTTGAGTCACCGCCCTTAATGACAGTAGAAACGACTTCATTGTGTCTAGCCCAGACAATCTTACCAGACCCGTCCATAGATACGGCAGGCTCTTCTCTGCCCATCTTAACAACTACGGCTCCGTCATCAAAGCCCATTGCAATTCCCTGTTTGCCACGTTGGTAGCTAACACACCATGCTCTCTCTAGGCCATAACTAAGAGATTGCTCTAGCCTGTAAGTGTTAGCATGCCAGAGCTTAATGGTTCCATCTTCAGAGCCAGATATAATGATTGGGAGCTCAGGGTGGTAGCAGGCGAAAGACACATTGCTAGTATGACCCTCCAAGGTAGCAATCAATGCCTTTGTGGTGTAATCCCAGACTTTCACAGTCTTGTCGTCAGAGGTTGTGAGAAGATATGGCTTATCAGCCTGTGGGTAATACTCGACATGGTTTACACCCTTGGTCTCGTGTGCTTCCAAAGTATAGTTGGGATTAGGTGAGCCCAAGCTCCATATCTTAACAGTCCTGTCAAGGCAGGCTGAAGCAAATGTGTTGGTATGTTTTGGGTTGATGGCAAGACCCATTACGTAGTGGCTGTGACCCTCAAACACCTGCACACACTTCCATGCTTTGTCCCAGTCCCACAACTTGATGGTCATATCATCTGACGCTGTCAACACAAATGGGTGCGTTGGATGAACAGCGATCGATCGAATATAGTCAGGATGCGCTTCAAAGGATATAATCTTCTCCGAGGTATTGTAATTGTATACTCGCAGTTGGAAGTCATCTGAGCCACAAACAATCCAGTTTTTTCGGGCAATGAATCGGCCGGCTCGTACAGGGACATCAGTAAGCTCGAAGGTTTTGATAATCGACTGAAATAGGCTAGCATCAGTGCTCTGGACAAGTGGGCAGCAGTGCATCATGAGAAACACTTACCTGGGTTTCGTAAGACCAAATGTAGACATGTCCTAGGGATGGAATATCAGCAACCAGACCGTATAATTAGTAGTACTGGAGGGAGATAGCAGCATACCGCTATACAATGTCGTCAAAATCTATAGCAATGGTTAGCAATATGCCATACAGCTAGTATATAGGTTTGTAGGCAAACTTACCCATGGCTCTGTGGGGTGAAAATCGATCCCCTTAACTCGCTCAGAGCGGGCAAAGAGTTGTCGCTATGAACAAGTGTCAGTAAGGTCTTTGATCCTTTAAGTAACCGGATATAATGATTTAGATGGTCGGTTTACCTTGACGTCGAACCGCATTTTGGTGGGCGAACGGGGGGGTTAAGGCGGCTCAGGGCCGCAAAGGGGATAGCTCTTAACGAATAATAATCTGTATTAAAATACGTCGTTAAGAGAATTTGGTATTCCCCTATATCCAGCGCAGACAGAAAGCGATCAATTGGCTGTTCGCGTTCATCTAGTTAGTTGAAGCAACCTGCCACATAATCGCTATCGTAGGTTCTAATATTTGAACGGGACAGTGTTTCCACCAGCTGTCCTAATCCGGTTAGTCTCGAACGAGCGCTCGCCCCAAGAACTTTTTGGTCTTTGTAACAAAATATTCATACTGGATGTCTCGACAGCGACAATATTGTTGCCTACCTTTAGGTATACTACGCAATCTTCATGGCTACCCTCACTGCGTTTATAAGTTTTCTTCCCCAAGTAAATTAAATTATATGGGTTGTTATGTTTCTTGCACATAAGCCATTTAAGACGTATCAAGACAGCGAAATAACTGACCAGAGGACTTCTATTGGATTGATTTAATATCTGTGCAAATAAGAATCACAATATCACAATGGCATAGTATACAAAGCTGGAAGGAATATCACGGCCACATCAATGTTGAGCCCAAGCGAAATCGTAACATAAGCCGCCAACAAGTGCGGTAGTGTAGAATCACAGCATGGTTTGTTGATCACGAGCTGGGTTCAGTTCTCTCAAAGTAAGTCCACTGGCCTGGCTTGGGCTTCTCTACAAGTTCCTCCCATCTAATGGCAGTGGTCAGCGCATGCGAGCAAGAATATGAGTTCTATCCTTCAAAAACTTACACTTTGTTTTTAACCATCTCATCCACGAGTTTCATTTCTCCTTCGGCAACTTGGATGACCTCCTCTATCAATCCACCGCCAATTTTGTTTTCAATCTCAGAAATCCTATATGATATTAGGCCACCGGGAATCAATAAAGTTAGACAATGAAACGAAACATACTGTGCAGCCTCGAGAGCTGGCTCTGCCTCCCAATGGATACTAGGCGTCGCATGTTGGGCAGCCTCTGCCTCTGCCTCCTTTATGCGCTCCTCCATCTCCTCCTCACTGAGATATGCACCCTCCTGCTGCATCTTGGATGTCTCACCACCCCAAAGCTCGTCCTCCTTTGCGATATTCTCCTCTTCCACTTGAAATGCGGCGTATGTACCATCATCCCTTAGAGCAGCCTTATATTTCTCAGGGTTCTCAGCGACAAGGGCCCTTACTCGTTCGAGCCAGGCGTCGAACCCGGGGGGTTTCGTGGACTTCACGACTTCCAATCGGTGTTTCGTGAGGGCTTCTGTCGACTTGCGGTATACAGATGATTCCGGGATCGCCTTTAGCTTCTCGAGCGTTGTGGTGTAGAGATAGATGAGTGTTGGTCGAGGGCTAGGGTGGGTTGAAAGGCCAGTAAGACCAGTAGGAGTGAAAGGTTCCAGGTATCTGGCTGGCTTAACATTAGCCAGAAGCCGTAGAGTCGCCCTCATGATGTGCTAAAGAGCGAATCCTGCGAGTACTGAGATTCAATTGCTGCGTGGAGCGGTGGAATAGATAGAAACGTCTTCGCTGCTTTCTATGCAAGTCGTTTCGCTCTAGGCGGACTTGCCGACTCGGGAAACGGAACGGAATAACTAGTTAACCGAGAAATCGCTTATATAATCAGTCCAGAGCGAAAAGACAGTAATTAATAAGGGGAAAAGCAAAAGAGTCGTTAGAGAGTTAAGAAACAGAAGCTGACGACGGACAGGTTCCTCAACACCACGAACGCCCTTCATGATAACAAGGCTGTTTGGCGCGAAGCAGGCATTACGGAAATCTCCCTGTCTAAGAATATAAACCCCGAATCCCTATCTTAACTAAATAACACTCCTCCGCAAAAGAAACGAGTGGTGTCTTTGGGAGCCTCGAGATCTCCGCCTTCGAAAGTCGAATTTGGGCGTTGCCCGTCGATACTGGCCTCTGTGGCCTTCTCAGTTCATAATGAAGCGCTCTTTCTTCTTCCTGTCCCTCCTTGTGACGACGATATCCCCAGTGTTCGGTCTGCCCGGCGAACAGGCTGTAGAGAGCGGAGATGAGGACGAGATAGCCCCAGGCCCTGACCCTCTGTCGACTGTTTTCAATGGGGTCACCGTACCACCCATGAAGGAGCTACGAGCATCAGATTTTGAAGAGAGCATAAAGGAAGATTACTGGTGCGCCTTTCTTCAGATACCTTTATTTGTCTATGATTACCCACTAACCAATCACCATTTTCTGGAATATAGGTTTGTAAAGCACTACCACCCTGATTGCATACACTGTCAAGCTGTTGCACCAATTTGGCAGACTCTATATGAATTTTATTACGTTTGTGCTCCTACCTCCATTTTCTACTTAGCATAGTACCAACCAACTCTAGACCTCCAATCCCCTATTATCAAGCACCGCGAAAAAAGCGGCTGATACCGAAAAATCATTAAACTCGTTCCACGGTTACTATGGCTTCCATTTTGCGTCGTTGAACTGTGCCGCATATGCCGATAAATGTGAGGAGCTCGGTATAGCTGGTTTCCCGAGATTTGTTCTATACTATCAAGGGAAACCGTTCGACACATTTTCGAATGAGAAGAAGGGGATGGAAGAGCTCAGTAGTTTTATTGAAGATAAGTTGGAGTCTATTAAACCTGGCTCCAGGCCGCGAGGAGGAGTACACCTCCCCCAGCCCGGTGCTAAGGAAGGTCAAATGATACTCCCAAACAAAGAGAAGGCCGATGAAAGTTCGGAGGCCGAGAAGCCAACCAAGGAAAACAGCGGAGATTCTTCGAAGAGCCCAAGCGATTCCAAAGATTCGAAGGTTTCCAAGACTTCTGAACAACCGAAGGATTCCAAGGGCCCCAAAGAGGAAAAGGCCCCAGCTCAAGACCCTAACCCTAAGAAAGAGATCAAGGAAAAGAACTACAATCTCTCAGGATCATCTGTCTCTTTAACCGCAGAATCCTTCTTGAAACTTGTCACAACAACCCAGGATCCATGGTTTATCAAATTTTATGCACCATGGTGTACTCACTGTCAGGCCCTTGCGCCCGTGTGGCAGCAGATGGCAAAGGACATGAAAGGGAAACTCAACATTGGTGAAGTCAACTGTGAAGTTGAGCGACGCCTTTGCAAAGATGCACGAATCTCCTCCTACCCAACAATGCATTTCTTCCGTGGTGGTGAGAAAGTACAGTACGAGGGCCTACGTGGACTTGGTGACCTTGTAAACTACGCCAATAAGGCCACCGAGGTAGTTGGCCTTGGTGTTCAATACGTCGATGCAGCAGCATTCAAGAAGATGGAAGAAACAGAGGAGGTTATCTTCCTTTACTTCTTCGATCATGCAACCACGTCTGAAGACTTTGCCGCTCTTGATAGACTCACCCTCAGTCTAGTGGGACATGCACGATTAGTGAAAACCGATAGCAAGGAACTTGCCGAGCGATTCAGAATTTCTACATGGCCCCGCCTCCTCGTTGCAAGGGATGGAACAGCCAAATATTATACCGCCTTGGCTCCAAAAGATATGAGAGATTTCCGGGCTGTTCTATCCTGGATGCAGAGTGTTTGGCTCCCAATTGTCCCTGAATTGACTGCTACCAATGCTCGCGATGTCATGGACGGTAAATATGTTGTTCTTGGTATTCTAAACAGACAGCATACGGAAGACTTCGTTCAAAACAAACGTGAGCTTAAGAATGCTGCTCTCGAGTGGATGGAAAAACAAACCAAGTTGTTCCAGCTAGAACGCCAGGAGTTGCGTGATGCTAAAGATCTCCGTATCGAGGAAGCAGATGATCGTAATGACCAGCGTGCCCTCCGAGCTGCAAAGAGTATGCGTATCACTATCCGTGAGGATGATAAGAAACAGGTCGGGTTCGCTTGGGTTGATGGAATCTTCTGGGACCGATGGGTCAGGACTACTTTTGGTGTTGATATAAGAAATGGGGACCGAGTGATAATCCACGATGAGTCGGTAAGTATCGTTTCCAGAGATATAAGTTTGCATGGCCATGAATTGCTAACTTCCGAGCTAACAGAACCGACGCTTCTGGGATTCATCTCCAAATGGAGTGGATATCATGCCCAGCCGCACCTCCATCCTCGAAACACTCACCCATATTGCCTCTTCCTCTCCAAAGCTCAAGTCTAAGTCTACTGTCGGCTTCCTTGAGCATATATTCTTCACCATTCGTACCTTTGTCAGCTCTCATCCATTCATAACCCTAGCTCTCTGTATAATTTCCATCGGCGTTGCTTCACTGTGGGCCAAGCGCCAAATACGACGAACAAGAACAACAACCGGGAAACTCGGGGGTTCTTCCATGGGCTTCTTCCACCTTGATGGAAAGGAGAAGGGAATATTTGGATCTGTCGGATCTGGCCCGAGTAATGGAAAAGTCGATTAAACGAGTGGGACTGGGCTCCTTTGCATTGTCCACCATTCGATTTGACAACAATAGTATTCTTGTTTGTAATATTCTTTGGCCTCCTGGGTTTGAATGTTGACTGGTTTCTTTCTTTCCTTTCTTCCGTCTTGCTACTAGGGCGCTTCTTTTTTTCTTTCTCCCCCAGTTGCTATCATACCATATTTATATACCTGGACTTTCTTCTCTTCGCAGGTTGCTATATTTACTATCATAAGGAACGAAATGAAACGGCGTTAGTATGAATGAAATTGCGTTAATAGACCATATCCCAATGCAGTGTCGAGGTTAATAGTCTATGGGCTATTAAGCGTATGCCCATCTAGATCCCCCAAGGTAAAATACCTATATCGTTGTTCAATCCGCTCCAATGGTCGTCCATTCGGTCTCCTTGATATCCTGAAAGTTCATCACACGGTTACTTCCATCTGGGCCATAGCGGCCCTGCAACGCTCCCCAGTCCCTCCCAACAGCAGTCTCAGGTCGCCATCGGAAGGCCTTCTCCAACCTTGGGTCTAGTTTCGATTCCATCACGTCTGCAATGAACGATCCCACAGATGGAATATGCGCAAACCCGTGGCCTGAACCGCCGACGCCGAGCACCAGGTTTCGGTGCTCCGGGTGCGTACTGATGAGGAATTTGCGATCTGGAGTATCAGCGCCTGGAAGAACAGTTAGTATGGTAAAAAAAGAACATGTCAGGGTAGCAGTAGCAGTAGCTAATGTAAACATACACCAACATATCCGAGCAAAACTCAACGGTCTACTGGCTAGATGTGGCATCGTTTCCTTCAGGAACTGACGCACTCGCTCTTCGGACTCGAGAGGGATCTGGTGCCTCGCGAATGGCTTACTCTTGAGCTTCCCTCCCTCCATCACCCAGTTACAGTATCCCGGATGTTCGTCACATATCTTCAGCTCATGCTTGTCCTCGTCCGGTTCCATGAAGAAGCCTCTCTCGACGTTGAATAAAACGGGTAGATCTTTATAGAGCTTCACCTCCTCCGGCGTCATCTTGATATGAGCCAAGGTCCATGCCGTAGGTCTCAGCTGGTCCTTCATGTCGAGAAGGCTCTCTGCCGCAGCCCCGGTACATAAGATGGTCTTCGCTCCCAGATGGACTTGGCCATCCGCAGTACGCACCCCCCTCACGGCGGCCCCATCATCTTCATAGACAAGCTCCCTGGCCTCTCCAGCAGGTCCAGATAGGAACGCGACTCCCAGCCTGGCTGCCTCCTTAGCGGCACTCTCCATGCTCTTACGCGCAGCCACCCAGCCGGCCCCGTCCTTCTTCCAGTAACCTTTCCAGCCAGGGAAGTCTCCCGTCAGCACGCCTAGAGGCATCGTTTCACGGAACTCCTGCGCCGTAGACCGTGGTATCCAGCCATTGGCAGCAGTCATGCCGCCGCCAGAGGAAATGTCCTCTCTCGCGCCCGGCGAGGTTGCTGCAATAATTGCACCGGCGTCATGGTAGTAGGGCTGGAAGACAGGATCGTTCTTCCATCCACTGACCGTCGCCTGCGCGATGGTTTTGGAGACGTAGTCACCGACAGGGGAGGAGTCCAGCTCGAGGAACTTGTTCACATCATTTCCAGCTGATATTGGTGAAGGAACGGGGTATTTGTCGAGAAGTTTTATATCCTTGTACCCCCTGCGAGCGAGATGGAGGGCGGTGCTGATACCCCAGGTTCCAGCACCGATGATGACGATGGGAGAATCTTTTGATGGTTGAGACATTGCTGGCCCTTTATTCAATTGACTCTTGTTCTTTCGTCAATGTACTAAGTATATTACATATAGAAGATATTACTCCTCCGCTAGACATCAATGGAACATCCAATGATCTAATTATTAGGCCGACCACTAGGTTTGTTTTGGGGTTTAGCATCAGAGAAGCCGTTAACCGAATCGAAACCCCTGCGATTGCGGGGAAGGGCGTGGGGGAGAAACAGCTTTCGTTGTCCGGGGAAGATGAAGAGTGGTATAAGCATCTCGTTGGTGGCAGGACGAAGGTGGGAGGTGAAGTTGCTTTTGGGAGCCGATGTAGAAGAGATACTGATATATACGCACGATGGGCTACGACAACGATCTGGATGTTCCTGGCACGGAACGGCTTTTTAACAGTGAGTGATCTCGATCTATATCCTGAGTATATAAACTACTAACAGGACTGGATAGTCGACGGGGAACATCTCTCTACCCACGTTGAGGTTGAGATCATCTTGATTCCCAAGCCAACGGCCGAGGGCAGTGATCCGTTGACATGGTCGATATCAAAGAAGTCCTGGCAGCTGTTTCTTCTCTGTAAGATTATCTGCATGCTCCAGATAGGCCTCCAGGCTGTTAATATTTGTCAGGTCTCTATGCGTGTACATTCTCGTATGGGGAGAACATGCTTGGAGCAGCATGGACAACCGTCTCCCGCGAGGCTGAGATATCCCTGGAAAACATGAACGGGGGTTCAGCACTCAACTACCTGCTTCTCGGGCTTGTCAATGTCTTCTGGGTGCCTATTGGCATGAAGCTGGGTCGCCGTCCGGTCTTTCTCATCACCACGCTCATCTGCATGCTGACTGCTGTCTGGCTGGGCTATGTCCACGGCACGGCGCAGTGGATGACCAACCTGGCCATCAACGGCTTTGGGGTTGCTGCGTACCAGGCAGTCATCCAGCTGAGTGTGTTTGACATGTTCTTTGCCCATCAGCGAGGACGGACGTTGTCCTTTTATCTATTTGGCCAGCAGCTGGGCTCGATTCTGGGTATATTCTCTCCTCCCCATCTTAACCCTCTGACGGGTCCGAAGGAGAAACTAACACTTCTTCACCAGGACCCATCACTGGAGGCATCATCTCAGACGGGCCGGGCTGGAGATGGACTCAATGGATCTGCTCCATGATCTTCGCCGTCGTCTTGATTCTCCTGTTCACCTCATTTGAAGAGACCCTCTTCCCACGCTTCTTGTTCGAGAGTGGCCAGCATGGCACCGGCACCGCCAAAAAGCAAATAGACGAGGCAGCCTCCGCCAACGAGGTCGATTATACCACCCCAGACATACCCTACAGCTTCCCGAAGCGAACTCACCTCCAACGCCTGAGGCCATGGGTGCATTTCCCCCAGGACAAGACGACCTACTGGCAATACTTCCGTCGGCCCTTTGTCCTCTTCCTCTTCCCCAATATTATTATCGCAGGCGTCATATTCGCCTTTGGCTGCACGGCGGGCATCGTCTCCTTCGGCACCATCTCCCGCATCACCTCTGCACCGCCATACAACTGGTCCACCACGTCGACAGGTCTAATCTACCTGGCTGCCCTGGTCGGAAACATCGCCGGTTGGGCCACCGGCGTCTCTAGCGACTTCATCGTCATGCGCCTGGCACGCCGCAACAACGGCATCAAGGAGACAGAAATGCGTCTGTGGACGTTGTGCTTCTCATTCGTCTACGCTGCTGTCGGCTACATGCTCTATGGCTGGGGAGCGCACTTCGGCATGCACTGGATCACCATCGCCATCGGGCTGGGCTGTATGATTGCGCATCAGGTGTCTGCTTGCTCTGTCGCTACGGCGTACGCCATGGAGTGTTTCCCGGGTATATCGGGGGAACTGGTCGTGGTTCTTTCGATCTGTTCGTCCGTCATCAACTTCCCGCTCTCCTTCACGGTGCAGCAGGTTGTGGATGCGATGGGGTTTGGGTATGCGTTTGTGTTTTATGGGTTCTGCGTCCTGGCCTCCATGGCAGCAGGGATTCCCACCGTTATATACGGCAAGTCGTGGCGTCGTCGTGCCGCTCCCAAGTGGAAGAAGTGGCTTGCAGAGAGAGGCCGTGTCGACTAGTCTATTATATCGGTATTATCATCGTCTTAAAGAGTCCTCATCGCCATCTACAATATAAATACTGGCTCCCTGTAGATGGCTATCATTAGCTAATTAATATATTATCCGGCCTGCTACTGGTTCCCTGGACCCTGACGACAGAGGCATATCCCTGCTAAGAACCGAACCGGATGCATTTGCAATAATACGGTTAATATATATATGAGATCATCTCTTATACGATGTCTGTCCGTCGGTGTGGCTGAGAAGCCAAACGTGTCGCCACTTACGGTGCGAGATCCAGCTCTCCACGCTTGTGTCCATGCGACTGCTATGAGCTACTGTGGATGTAACCGACTACTCCGCGATGGATGATTTCTCCGATCAACTAGCTCGTGGAATAACGACCTAACTCGTATGTAAGAGTATATAAGAAAAAAAAGAAAGAGAGTAAAGGTGGCAAGCATGCAAGTTCTGCTAGCAAAAGCTGCCCTGCCCGACCGCATCCCCAGCCGTCAAGCATGAGACGAGTCCACCTTTTTTCTCTCCCATCTCTTGTCCAGGTTCAGGTTCTTCTGCTGCGGGTCAACGCCACAGCTGGTCGGTTTAGATATATATACAACAGTTGATGGCGATGTCGCTGCTTAAAAGGATGTCCTCGTCCTCTTCTCCCCCCATCTCCCTTCACAGTACGGAATATCTATATGTTGGGCGTGTCCGTCTTCATCCCTGCCAAGTTGCACTGCCACGATCGAGAAGATCTGAGGGTGTCCGCATCGTCCATCACGCTGGCTGTTGCATCCATCTAAGCTAGACGACAGACGGTTACATACACAGACACACCATCGCTAGGTTGACTCCGGCGACCCGCGGGGCCCTTTCGAACCTCACCCTTGGTTCCAATTCTTTTGACTTGCTCCGGTTTATTACTATTATTCATCGCCAGATCTTGGCCTTTCTCTGGTCCTGCTGCTATTCTTGCTTAGGATGGGTACGTTTCGCCCTTCTTCTCCTCCTCTCGCCCTCTCTTTTCCCTCTCCTCCTCTCCCTCTCCCTTACACCCGATATACCCATCAACCTTCTCCCTTGCTTTCATCAGCCGATCTGGGATCTGAGATCCGACACTGTCTGGACCGGGCTTATTCTCGTTCTAGCTCCAACCACTATAAAAGCGCAGTTCCATCGCATTGGGTCGTCCTTTTCGATCTGCCGTAGCAGCTCCTCAGGCGCAATGCCCAACGATGCCGAAGACGGCTATACGAATGGAAACTCGAACGAGCGTACCGGCCTGCTGAATGGGAACCACGGCCGGCGTGGCAGCCAGCGCTGGTCTCGTCGCGACGACAGGTCCTGCGTCCGGATACCGTATGAGGTTTGCTACTTGACCTATGCCACCCTCGCGAGCAACTACATCAATGTCCTTCTCGTCTTCGTGCCTCTCGGGCTGCTCTCTGGGTTCCTTGGATGGTCGCCCACGGCCACGTTCGTGCTCAATTTCATCGCGATCATGCCCCTGGCCTCGCTCCTGAGCTTTGCGACGGAGGAGCTGGCTTCCACCCTGGGAGAGACCCTTGGAGGACTGCTCAATGCGACTTTTGGAAACGCCGTCGAGCTCATCGTATGTCTGTTCCTTTGCTTGATGTGTTTCGATAGGTGCTAATCAGACGTCAACAGGTCAGCATTGTCGCATTGTCCAAGAATGAGATTCGCATCGTACAGTCCAGCATGCTGGGCAGCGTCTTGTCCAACATCCTCCTAGTCCTAGGCTGCTGCTTCTTCTTCGGTGGCCTCAACTACCACGAACAGCTGTTCAACAGCACCGCGGCCTCCACCATGTCCTCCATGATGACCGTGGCCTCTGCCTCCCTTATCATCCCGTCCACCCTCTATGCCTCTCTCTCTTCCTCCAAGGCCGATTCCAGAGAGAACATCCTCTTCATCTCCCACGGGACCGCCGTCATTCTGCTCATCGTGTACATCATGTACCTTTTCTTCCAGCTCAGATCTCACTCGGACCTCTTTGAAAGCCAGAACGTGGAGAACGGAGAGGTCGGGAGAGAGGAGGAGGAGGAAGAGGAGGAGCGCCTCCTCAACCCATACGCTGCCTCTGTCCTCCTGCTCATAGTCACCGTCCTGGTCTCAGGATGTGCCGAGTACCTCGTCGGAAGCATCGAGCCCATCGTCCAGTCAACCGGCATGAGCAGGACCTTTATCGGTCTTATACTCATCCCAATCGTCGGAAATGCTGCAGAACACGTCACCGCCGTCGTAGTCGCATGCAAGAACAAGATGGACCTCGCCATCGGCGTCGCCATTGGAAGTAGTCTGCAGATCGCCCTTTTTGTCACACCCTTCCTGGTCATCCTCGGCTGGATCATGGACAAGGACATGACTCTTCACTTCCAGACCTTCGAGACCGTTGCCTTCTTCATCTCCGGATTGGTCGTCACCATCCTGATCCAGGACGGCAAGTCAAACTACCTCGAGGGCGGCCTCTGCCTCGGAATGTAAGTTCTCATCACCACGTCGCGCGCTCTCTCTCTCTATGCAGCGCAGGCAACTAACCCATTCAATAGGTATGTCATCATTGCGCTTGGATTCTACGTCTACCCCGACGACGCCGGTGACGTCGGTGCCATTGCTGCTCGGCTCGCCAGCCGTTTCTCTCTCTAGCCAACTTCCGCCGTTCGCTGTTGACTTGCAGCACTCACTCTCACTCTTCAGTGTTTCTTTTCCATTGATTCCGCAAACTTATGTTATTATAACCAACCAATCCTTGTAGTATGTTCGTTCAAATCCGAAACAGTAATTGCTCTTCACCTCAGCTTTACCTTTCTTCTCGCTCGAGCTGCTAGTTTTCTATATGTACTCTTTCTGTTGCTCGAGGGACGCGCGTTTCCCCTAGCTTCCCTTCTTTATATTGGGTGTGGCACCTGCAGATGCTTTGGCTTAACCCCAGCCTGTGTCCGCCGAAGCTGAACACTTCATCTATCCAAGGAAAAGGCCCAATGATATCCAACTGTTAACCGAATTGCTGCCTCTCTCTTCGTCCTTACTCGTCCTCAAAACTCCTCTGTATGCCTTCTATCGATTATATAATCATTCAAATGTCACCCTTGGTAGGCACGTGACTCTTTTGATCTTCTATCAATACTGAATAGAAGATTTCATATCTTCAGTCCAAGTAGAAGGAGATGCTCTAATTAATGCGTATGAACTCACTACCATAAGTGCGTCTTCTCTTGTCTTATCATCTTCTTAGCGTTTTTACAGAAACCTGCCAATATATTATCACGTGACTTTTGAGTTGAAGCTTTTTTCAATCTCGAATTCAAGGCGAACAAACTGCAAGTTCAATCAAAAAGCAACTGCGCCCATCAAACCCTAGCGGTTGACTCCGCCATTACTACATGTTGAAGCTGGATATATAACAGATCGACCGACTCCTCATCCTGTGGCCATCCTGGAACCAACCGGCGGGACGGAAGCCTGATGAGCATCTCTCCCACGATATATAAAAAAATACATAAACCCAACTTTTCAACACATACTACCGAAGATGCCTCCTAGAATTCCTATCCTGCCGACTAGGTCGACCCTCTCCCTTATCCGTTCCACGCAGTGCAGCTCCGCAAGCTCTATTTCCTCTACGGCACTCCCACTTCGCGATTCGGTACACCAGACTACTCGCCAGTTCGCAAGCATAAGTTTACGCACTTCAAGATGCAACTCTCCTTCGTCTTATAGGGCCTTTAGCGGAACTTCCTCCTACCGCATGAGCTCTACATCGTCAGGTGGCAACGGAGAGAAAAATGACGGTGGGATTGCAGAACAGCCACTGGGACCGAACCAGGATCAATTGCCGCATGTAAGTGAAGAGGCTGCGGCGACAGCTAAGATCTTGGAGAAGAAATGCGGTGAAGTTGGTGGACCTGAGCTAGAGCAAGGAACGCCGATTGCAGATGTATATGATATCCTTGATTCTGCGTTTTCCCCATCCCAGAAGGACCCGCTGCGTATTACTTTGCTGACACCGAGGAATTTAGATCCTTAAACGAGACAAAGATGCTCTTAAGAATATGCCCCAGGTTCTTCGTGATGAAATTGCCTGGAGTCAGAACGGAAGTGGTTCCAAGCGATCGTTCTCTACCTCTGCGAGATTAGGCCAACAGGAGCAGAAAAGCGTTCAGGATAACTCGTCGAAGGATCCGTCGGTTGCCACGGTTGCTAATATGCTTGCTGCGTCGAACCGTGGAGAATCCGTTGAAGTTGCGGAAGGAATCCCAGAGGGCTTCAAGTTCGAGCCACCGACCCTGCCACTTCCACCAGATGGACGTATCAATCGCCGCTATGAGCCATTGGTGGAGCAGTTTACCAAGCTAATAATGAAGCATGGCAAGCTATCTCTTGCTCAAAAGGTAAGATGATCCTTTTGTTAACAGCCTTACCAGAGAGGCATATATATATCTAACTTCGTCGTAGCACATGGCCAAAATTCTAGAGCACCTCCGTACAGCTCCACCACCACTCATCGACTCATCGAAGCCATTCCTCCCCGGCCCGCCATCACAACAGCTTCCTCTGAATCCCATTCTATACCTTACTCTTGCCGTTGACTCTGTTGCTCCCCTTTTCCGAATTCGCCAGATACGGGGTATTGCTGGTGGTGGTGCTGCACTCCCCATCCCAAGCCCGCTTGCTTCACGCCAGCGTCGCCGAGAGGCCATCTCATGGATCCTTGATGCCGCTAACAAGAGGCGTGACAACCAGCTTTCTCAACGGATAGCAAATGAAATCATCGCCATCGCCGAGGGAAAGAGCAGTACTTGGCTTAAGCGAGCAGCCATTCATAAACAGGCAGCAGTCTCCCGCGCAAACATCCGCCGAGCATCGCAGCAACGGAGGGGTAGGAATCAGTAAGCCCGTGTTTTTGATTTTATGCATTTTCTCAAATGGAATGACACGAGAAGAGGGGGAAGGGCCTTCGTTTACACAGAGGGTATATCCTTTCTTGTCTGGCTGGGCTAATTGGTGTTGATTGTTTACCATGTTCCGGCCGCAGCTGAAGCTTCTTCTTTCTATTGTTCCCTGTATAACTAGCTGTTTTTATATCACGTTTACCTTGGAGTTATATATATGTTAAGTCCGGGCTTCTTGTATACAAACTGTGGATTAGTCAGACTTTCCCTTGCCCCGTGATGTTGATTGTTGCCCAAAAGCAGAAATGGTAGCTTTTTATTGTTCGACTTAATCGCGACTTCATCTCAACTTCAACTGTGACCTCTTCATGACCTCTTGGAGTGAGTGGCCTATTATATATTTTACTTTCCATCCGGATATTAGCCAAGCAGGTATTTCGCCTAACTAGCCATGGCCAGCAGACTCAGTATACAGGCATTCCCGCATCCATGCCGGTTCCCCGGTTGGGTGACTGCGGACGGTGGTAACTGTTTTAAGCAGCGGGAGAGCAACCTCACATTCCAAGCGGCGTTGAGCTTCTTTTCTAAACACATCCTGCGGCGTCCTGCATAACGAGTTATAAGAATGCCGGTACTCCACAGTATCAGATACGACTTTGTATGGCCTCTGGCAAAACATTGTTTCTCCAAACATGATCCCCCTAGATCCCGGTTATTATGCAAAATTGGCGTTTGCCCCCAAGACCGCATCCTCGGCATTCTCTCGACCTTCCAGAATGAGGACAGAAAGGCAGCCTGCAGACAATCCGTTTGCAAGGCCAAATAGCTTCCGTTGATTCCTGATAACTTTCCTTCTGGGCAACGCTAAGGACGGATGTCGTTTGAGGCAAACTACATTGCAATGAGACCCTTTCTTGAATGAGAGCTCGTATTTGCCGTGTCGCATGCAATCTTCCTTCAAGACACACTATGCATGGAGGAAGACATCGCGTGCATGCGAGATGTGCAAGCTAAAGCTCCACGCACGTTCCGATAGGCGACTAGAAGGCATTATCAGTTGGTTCCGCCCGCCTGAGGAGTGATTGGATGAGTTTGTGCCGAAAACCAATACCTTTCTTATTTTCTGAACAATTTTAACGTTACACTGGCGCGACGGGCGGTCGCGTTGGGAGAATGCTGTGCCCTCGTTTGCTCGTCGAACCGCCTACGGGAGACAGCAAGGCTTAAGATCTGCAGTCGAATCACATCGTGCAGCCTAAATACACTATGGCAAAAATGTTCCCTCCAGAGCCAACTGGGTCGTGGAAGGCCGACTGGAAAGGTTGACTCCTCCATGCCAGCTGTCCCCTCATCCCTCCAATCTGGGGATATAGTTATTCAGCGAGATTGCGCAGGGGTACCCGTGTTGGAGTCTTTTATCCCCATAAATGTGAGCGGGGCCTTCGTATATCATCTCACCGTCGCAAGGGTACGGACATCACAAATCCGCTGGTAACCTGGCTGGCTGGTGGCATGCTTATACGACCAAATACCGGGTTATTAATGACGAATTGTTCCAACTATTAGAAGGACTGGGGAGCCCACGACTTTTCCCTTCGATTGTTCTTCTGTGGTGCAGATTGCTTCGTGGGACAATTTCGTTTCTTCCTGAACATAGCACCATGGTCAAGCTCACAGCATGCCTGCTGCTACTTGTAGCTGCAGTACAAGCAAAACTTCCGGTCACTCCAATCAGCCAGCTTCGTGCTCAGGTATGGTAGCATCAGAGCATTCCTTGTCGTTTGCCTTATTTTAACGTAGTCAATTCTGCTGACTATTATCAGGCCCAGCGTAACAATGAACTTGTTGCACGCAGCGAGGATGTGAATGCTCAGTTCCCTGCTCATCAGATCAAAATCCCAATCGACCACTTCCCAAAGAGCCAACGATATGAACCTCACACCATGGAGAAGTTCAACCTGCGATACTGGTTCGATGCCAGCCACTACAAGGAGGGTGGCCCAGTGATTATTCTGCATGGTGGAGAGACCGATGGCGAAGGTATGTGATGGCGTAGGAGCATTGTTTATTGAGAGACCGTCCTGCCTGATTGGAATTATTATGGGAAGTGCTGATGAGCCCACCATTATAGGCCGTATTCCATTCCTTCAGAAGGGTATCCTTGCCCAGCTTGCACAGGCAACGAATGGTATCGGTGTTGTGATGGAGCACCGATACTATGGTGGATCACTTCCAACTCGCGATTTCTCGAACAAGAGCTTGAGATTCTTGACAACCGAACAGGCCCTCGCTGATACTGCTTATTTCTCGCAGAATATCAAGTTCCCTGGCCTTGAAAAATACAATCTGACTGCCCCTGGTACTGCTCACATCGTGTATGGGGGTTCATATGCTGGTGGACAAGTTGTAAGTTCGCCCTATGGAATAAATAGAGAAGCTGACTTGCTCATGCTGACCAATTGTCATTAGGCCTTCCTTCGTACTCAGTACCCTGATGTCTTCTGGGGAGCCATTTCTTCATCTGGAGTGACCAAGGCCATCTATGACTACTGGCAATACTTCGAACCCATCCGCCAGGAAGCTCCTCAGGACTGTGTCCATGTCACTCAGAACTTTGTTGACATTGTTGACAACATCATTATTCACGGCAAGAACGCCAACACCACCCAGGAGCTGAAGAACTTGTTTGGACTAGGCCGTCTCCGTGATGCCGACTTTGCCAATGCTCTTTCTTCTGGTATCACTGGATGGCAATCCACCAACTGGGACCCTGCCATCAGTGGCAAGAGCTTCTACAAGTACTGCAGTGACATCACCAGTGACCGCTATCTCTACCCGGTGACTGCTGAGCAGAAGGCTTCTGCTAAGCGTATCATCGAAGCAGGCGGACACGGTCGTGAGTACCCCGAGATCCTGCCTCAGCTGCTCAACTTCGTCGGATGGCTCAACAAGAACACTTTGGCTACATGCTCCGAGCAGGGCCAGACTGCTGAGGAGTGCTTGAACTCCTATGATGAGGATTTCTACAAGCAAGACAGTGCTGACCAGAGCTGGCGCGCATGGCCCTGGCAATACTGCAACGAGTAAGCGTTCTCAGTCTTTGCACCATGTGTTGTTTCTAATTCTCTTCCTTCTAGGTGGGGATACCTACAGACTGGCAGCGGTACTCCCAAGAACATCCGCCCTGTCATCTCCCGACTGATTGATCTTCCATACACCTCCAACATCTGCAAGCAGGCCTTTGGCATCACGAAGCCCTCGAACGTCGACCTCGTTAACAAGTACGGTGCTCTTGACATCGAATACGACCGTCTCGCTTTTATTGACGGAGCCTCTGACCCATGGAAGGAGGCCGGTGTCCACGCTACTGCTGCCAGAAAGCGTAGAACCTCCACTAACAAACCATATATCTTGATTCCCCAGGCCGTCCATCACTGTAAGTCAACCTTTTAGAATGCTGAAAAGAGATTCTAGACACTGACTATACCTACCCTTAGGGGATGAAAATGGACTCTACCCCAACGAGACCACTGCCGAGCTCCCACCACAGAGGATCAAGGATGTTCAGGCTGAGGAGGCCCGCTTCGTCAAGGAATGGATGAAGGGTAAGGGACTCTTTCTTTTCAGTCTACTAAGAAACCAACTTCGATGCTAACCGATCTTCTTCTCCTTTCCTGTAGAATGGAAGCAAAAGCATTCCCACAGAGCCTAGACTGGGAGCACGATCCCGGCATGACATTTCCAATATATACATTAATCATCAGACCTTTACCAATGCGAGAAGAGTCTTCATGAAGAATACGCCTTGCATTGCTCCTTCGTAAGCTTTTATTTACCAACCTTGCTATAGTACAAATGCGGTATAATATCTCATGAGCAACTGCACCTGATTCCATCCCGCTGCATACTCTGTATAATGTCTTGGCTGAGTGTGTACATGTTACATCAGGCTATCCATGTCTCTCTCGTGACCTGCGATGTTCTTTGCATAAAAATGAGACCATCTCATCGCAACATCCTGGCCAGCAGTTCACTTCTGCGATGGAGATCCAATTGTATGCACAGGGCTTACCACGGGGCCGGGTTCGTATCCTTCCTTCTCTTTGCTTTTTTCATGTATATATTTTTGTTATATTTAACATATCAAATCTATGAATGTTTAGAGTAGCATACACGATCACGTCGTTAAGTGGATGTGTCGATGTCTTCACAGCTAGCCGTAGGCGTCACTATCGACATATACTGTTATTGTAAAGGCATGAACAGTGTTGGCTGTGTGCTGCGCCTTGTAATGAGTTTCAGGAGATTTGGCGGCTGTTGAGATCGACCAGGCTGGATCTTTCGACCTCTCAGCTTCATCTCCTGAACGCTTCTCGCGACTGCAGCGGCAAATTACAACTTCCACGCCTAAATTGACGAGAGAACCCGTGAGCTCCGTTGGCTTCGTACAGCAGAGAGACATCCGATCCACAATAGAATATCTCTCCAGCCCTGACTTGACGAGGCACCACAGAATCCCAAGCGTTGCCTTGGTTCAGCCAACCATCAACGAAGCACAAAAAGCCAGCTATCCACACAGCTCCCTAACTATACACAACAATCCCGGCAGGATACAAATAGCTGCAGCTCCCGCGGAAATACACTCGCGAGTCGAATGACACTGCAGTCAATGGTCTCTACCTAGTCACTGGTCAGGCTGACTCCTGTTGGATTCGATTCGTCTGAAACTTATCCCTTTACCCGCCTCGACGCCCGCCTAACACCAGGTTTAGGTTATTTACACATATAAAGAAACATCCCGGAACGGCAAATGTGAACAGGTGACTGCAAAGAAATATCTTATAACTGCCCACCCTGGCTCAACAAGGTGCCAGCTGGAGTTTCGAACTCGACGAATTCACTCGCCCTTCGTCGTCATCACCGCCTCCATCATCCACCCCGGTCCCCATACACAGATCGGGATCACATCGCGCAAGGTCGGGGATAGATCGAATACGTCCCGCGAGCAAAAAGGGTCCCACTGGACTTGCATGGCTTTTTGGGTGGGGGGAAAGGAGGGGTCACCAGAATTCTCGTCAGACAAGTGGTAAGCGAGATAGTGATAAAGAGAGTCGAAGGGAGAAAGAGTATCGACATAGGAGAAGTGGCGGCGTCAGAACAAAACGAAAGGAGAATACTGAAGGAAGAAATCAGTATAAGTGCAGCTATTTCGGAGAAGCGGGCCTACGGCAGCAGATATACAAGCTTAATCGTGGATCAGTAGCTCGTCTTGCTACGGAAGAAGAGATCATGAAGTTCTCACACAGCATTCAGTTTAACTCCGTTCCGGACTGGAGTGGTAGTTATATTGCATACAGCAATTTGAAGAAGCTGTAAGATGACCCTATCAACAAGAAAGAACCAAGTGTTGTTTTTATATATGCTAAACGTTATGATGGCAGAATATACACTCTTGAAAAACAAGTGAACCACCCCGAACATGAAACTGGACAGCACGAAGCAGCTCCTCTTCTCGACAGGAGCCTCGACACTGATGCCATCTTCCGCCGTGCCCTGGATGGAGAGCTGGAGAAGATATGTTCTTTCTACCGTGCCAAGGAGACAGACCTGTATGAAGAGGTGGAGGAGATAAGAAAGGAGCTAGAATCTTTTGCCCAGGACAGCATAGGGATCAACATGGATCCCGTTGCCCATTCTCTGGTCAAGTCACGGACGTTGAACCCTGGCGGCAGAAATCGCCGGCGCAGCGAGACCTCACGCCATGCCACACTTGCCCATCAACGGTCGAGCACCATCAGTGAACCTTCCGGGCCTGAGGGTGACGGAGACAGTGATGATTCAGAGGATAACATGGATATGGCGGAGTTTCCGCAGCGAAGGATCAGGAGACATTCGACTTCGTCCAGAGACTGGACCAGAGACCCACGGCCGCATGGGGAAGACATGATGAACAGCGAGCTGATCGATTCGAAGTTTCTGGGAATTGCGCATGATCCAGAATACTCTGCGCTCTATGGTGTTGGCGTGTCTTTGAAGAAACGAACAATCGGAATATATGTGTCGTTATGCGAGCTCAAATCTTTTATCCAGCTTAACCGCACTGGATTTTCCAAGGCATTGAAGAAATATGACAAGACCCTCGATCGAAATCTGAGAAGACAATACATGGATTCTACTGTTTTGGTGGCCCTGCCGTTCACGGACTCAACCATCTCCCAGCTAGACAACACCATTGCTAGCGTCGAGAGGTTGTACGCCGGGTTCGTTACAGATGGTGATTTGGCGCTATCCAGACGAGAGCTTCGTCTCCATCTACGTGAGCATGTCGTCTGGGAACGGAATACCGTATGGAGAGAGATGATCGGTATTGAAAGAAAGGCCCAGGCAGCAAATATGGGAATACGCAGAACACTTCTCGGCGGAGAGCAGGATATGGAAACGGCTCAACGACAGGGCGATGAGCAGGAGGCGAGTGTAAAAGAATTCATAACACCTGTGGGGCGATGCCCTGTTCCATCGTGGCTGCTGTCAGCTACCTTTGCTACTCTGGTTATAATTCTTATTATATTCGGGGTGATGCTTGTGGTACCGATCATGAAGAAGCCCGAGCAGCAGG